GCTGTGAGATGGAAGTGCTCATAGAAGCACGCGGAGTAAACGAGTTGATAATGGTACTACCACTAGTGCTGGCCATCGGGCTTTACACTTTAGACTTTAGTGACAGCTATCATCACTAGAAAATGGTGTAAGCACTCTTCTTGACTAGCTCTACAGCACATCGTTGTGTTTTCTTTCAAAAAGGGTGGTGTTAAAAAACACCAGAATGAAAGTGTCGACGCTAGGACGACAGAAGACGAGCTAGCGCACACACTGCGGTGCGCACTAGCTCAGCAGCGAAAGCTAGTTAGCTGCGGACAGGCAACTTACGAGCGCTCGCCACGGATGCGGCGGGCCAGCTGGATGTCCTTGGGCATAATGGTGACACGCTTGGCGTGGATGGCGCACAGGTTGGTATCCTCGAACAGACCCACGAGGTAGGCCTCGGCGGCCTCCTGAAGGGCGAGCACAGCAGAGCCCTGGAAGCGCAGGTCAGTCTTGAAGTCCTGGGCGATTTCGCGCACCAGACGCTGGAAGGGCAGCTTGCGGATGAGCAGCTCCGTCGACTTCTGGTAGCGACGGATCTCACGCAGAGCGACCGTACCGGGGCGGTAACGGTGCGGCTTCTTGACGCCGCCCGTGGCGGGGGCCGACTTGCGAGCAGCCTTGGTGGCGAGCTGCTTGCGCGGGGCCTTGCCACCGGTGGACTTGCGGGCGGTCTGCTTGGTACGGGCCATGGTTGCTTCTTCTTTGCTTGAGGGAGAATTTGGGAATGAGCTTCCGGCATGGGTGGGCGCCCGCGTTTGTTTTTCGCGCGCTTGGGCTCCGCTGAGGGCCACTCAGCGGTCTCCGCTGTCAACGGTTCCGCCAATCCTCGTCCTCCAAAAGCAAATGACGCGAATCCAGCCAATCCGGGTCGAGAAGGCGCGGCCAGAGGAAAAAGCGTTTGGCGCGGCGGGGTAGGTCTCCTTCGGTTCAAACCTCGAGCGATATAGCCGCGGCTTGGAGCGGTGACTGCCGCGAAGTAGGGGGCCTTGGCGCCAAGCGCAAAGCGCGGCGAGTTGCCGCCGCCATCTCTCATTCTTCAATTTCCGGTTTGGAAACCACAACTTTCCTCCCCTTTTCTCAAGAACCTCAACAACTCAACCATGTCTGGACGCGGCAAGGGCGGCAAGGGACTCGGCAAGGGCGGCGCCAAGCGTCACCGCAAGGTTCTTCGCGACAACATCCAGGGCATCACCAAGCCCGCCATCCGCCGTCTCGCACGCCGTGGTGGTGTGAAGCGTATCTCCGGCCTCATCTACGAGGAGACCCGCGGTGTCCTCAAGGTGTTCCTCGAGAACGTCATCCGCGACTCGGTCACCTACACGGAGCACGCTCGCCGCAAAACCGTGACGGCCATGGACGTCGTGTACGCCCTCAAGCGCCAGGGCCGCACCCTGTACGGCTTCGGCGGATAAGCGCATTCCGCTTAGAAGTTCGTGCAGCTTCGGCTGCCTGAGCAACAACTTTGCAGCACTGGTAGCTTTCTAGCTTGCCTTCGTTGCGAGTGGCTTTAGCCTCTCACTTCATTCTGGTGTTTTTTAACACCACCCTTTTCGAAGAAACAACTCGTAGCCTTTCATTAGGCGAAGCTTAAAGTTTGTTGTGATGTCATTGTGATTGTGTCTACTACAGTATAGGGCTGAACTGGCAGGCGTATTACACCAAGCCTCGGAATCTCGCGTACTAATGCTAGGCAGAACCTGCATGCAGCGAGGATAGATTCGTCCGCTTGCGTAGCTCTTCGTTTGAGCTGCAAAACTTGGGCAGCAGCACCTTGCCTTGCATGAGTAGGACCTCCTTTTGGCGATTAAGTAGTAAACAAGTGATCTGCTGCTGTTAAGCGTCAAAATCCATCGATCCATTTGTGTGTCTTGGCACATGTACTCAAGTGATAAGCTGCATGCCGACGGGGTGGGTGAGAAAGACGTCCTGTAGCTCCTGGTGCGAGCAACGCAGCTCCAGCAGCGGGTAGCGCGACGTGCGCGTCGAGATCTGCCGGATGATGCCCGAGCGCTCCAACTCGTCGCAGATAAAGAGCAGCCCGCGCAGTCGTGGGATGGGGACAAACGAGTGCGTCTTGCAGAGAATCGCGAAGCGCTCGATGACGGCTTCCAGCTCGGCGCCACTTTTGGTAAATCCACGCGCCGCGTTGGAGCGGACCTCCATGCGCAGAGCAACCAAGAAGGTGCACTCAAACTTGCTGCACGCGCGCAAGCGGGTCATCGGCGCCGACACCGACACGGCCTGCTGAGCCTCGTGCAAGTCTTCGCCTGTCACGACCAATTCGCCTCCCTCCTTAGCCGCTGGATCCCGGTCGAGCGACGTAAGTCGGTACAGGCACACTTCGGCGGATTTACGGCAGAGCGACAGCGCCTGACGAACATCGCCCGACTGGTGCGCCAACGACTTGGCGCAGATCTGGATGGCCTCTTGGCTGAAAACGTCGAGCTGAAGCAGACGCTGCTGGATGATGTTCTCGAGCTGGGCTCTCGTATACGCCGGAAAGGTGATGCGGTGCCCTCCCAGTCGACTGCGGATCTTCGTGGGCAGTCGCTCCGGCAAGTCCATGGTGTTGGCAATGCCGACCAGCACGAGCTTGGCCGTGGCAGAAGTCTGCCACTCCAGCAGGTTGTACAGCACTTGGTTCTTGCCCGCCAGCATGAAGTCCATCTCGTCCAGCAGCACCAGCAGCATGGGGCGCTTGGAGTTCTTGAAGTGAAACTCGTGCTGCAGCATCTCGCACAGCCGCGCGGCGCCGATCGCGCGCGCCAGTGGCTGTTCACCGTCCGGCTCCGGTGGCTGGAGAGCCTTCCACAGCACGCTGTAGGCGACGTCCGGGCGCGGCATCTGCAGGCCGTTGACCTCCACCCACGCGAAGTTGCGCAGCTCTCCGGCGTCGCGCTGCGTCTCGAGCGAGCGGATCACCTCCTTCACGATGGACGTCTTGCCTGCGCCCGGCAGGCCGCTGATGTAGATGGGCCCGCCCGCGCTCTGCTGCTCGATGGAGGAGCGCAGCGCCGTGTAGATCTCGTCGCGCTCGTCCTCGCGCCCCGTCATGACACGCGGGAGACTCGACAGCTGAAGCTCGTGGCATGCGCGCTGGAGCTTCTTCACGGCAGCTGAGACGGAGGGAGGGAGAGCTTTCGCAGCCTTGTTGCTGTCACTGCCGTCGGCGGCATGGTCTTCCGGTCGAGGTCGCTTCATGCCGGCCATGCTGCTGAGTGTGGCAGCGTTGTTCAAGACGACACTAAAATGACACTAAAGGGAGAGATAATTTAGAGCATACAGAAATTGAATGGCACTAAAGCGAGGAAATTTAGCCACCATCTGATGGTGTACAATTTTCAGAGTGGTCCATTTCTAAATATTTGGTACCAAATTTAGAACTATACCAATCTGGTATATACTAGTACGACATTGCGGGCGGAAGGCTATGCGCGACAACAGACACAGCACAAGCGCTTTGGCGCAGCTTCCACTCACGACCGTAGGACACCACCCCAAACACCAGCTTACCTTGAGGGGGATGAAGCATGTGTTCAATGCCGCCATTTCAGTAGACGTACGGGCATGGATCTGATACAATGGTTTCCAGTGCTCCAGATGTACTTCAGCGCTATCGTCATTCATCGCGGCAGAACCACCTGCCGCCTGCCTTGCACCTCAAGTTTAAAGCTGGCAACGGAGCCAAGTCTCACTCGACGCGTGTCAAAACGAAGCCGATTCTTGCCCGACGTGGCGGAATGGCATCTTGTGGCCGGGAACATTTTTTTTCGCGTTACTTATTGCCAGCCTAACTTCATTTTGGTCCTCGAGAGTTCAGCAACTATCACGCGAATCGGCATCAACACTATCAGCCCCAAGCGGAGCTTATTACTCGGCGCGCGCGGCACCATAAAGCTGCGGTGGCGGCTTTCTGATTTGGCAGTCAGCTGGATTCGCGCGCAAGCTGCGTCCGTTTGATTCTCATTTCCGCCCGGAGGTGGTCAAGTTCGCGTCCAGATGACAGCGGGGAAAGTCCGAGCGCCGAAAAGAGCAGGCACCAAGTCTGGACACCTTTAGTATCCATCAGGGGCGTACGATGTTGGCGCGTCTTCTTAGTGGTGCAGCCTGTCAAGCAAACGCAAGTCTTTCGTCTGGCTTGGTAAACCGTGCTAAGCCGAGTGAAGGCGAACTTCGGGCTTGAGAACGAGATTCATTTCCGATTTGGCTGGCTTGTGCTCAAGCGGAAACAAAGCAGCTCGCACCAGCTTCTCTGCAGTTCGCCATCCCGTTGCGTCGCCGATGAAGATCACACAATTGGCTCAAGTTGCGGTGACCGTGGCCGCGACTGCCACGGCCACGTTGGCGGACATTACGATGTCGCAGGCTGGTAACTACCAACAAGGCACGGTTCAACCCGCCGAGCAAGTTCAGGGCGGCATCACTTCAAGCAGCGGCTCGTCCACTGTCGGCACGACCTCGACCACCGGCAGCACTGCGAGCAGTGGCGACTACCTCGCCCCGTTCTCGACTGACGCACCTTCGGATCTCTTCCAGCGCTACGACACCCTCACCACTCTAGCGCCGATCATCAACGTGGCGTCCGACTTGCTCACGCGGCCGCTGCCGACCAACAAGTGGTGGGGCAACCTCATCCACACCACCGCGGAGGATATCGACACGGTGGCCAACCCTGCGTGGTCGAACCCGTATGCACTCAAGCTGCCCAAGGAAGCACCCTACGGTGTGCAAGCCTGCTACTCGTACTCGTACCGTAGCTTTGCTGATGAGGTGGACGGCGTCGTCAAGTACTACCTGCACGCATTCCACAACGACCTCACGCTCTCGGCGACCGAGTTCGCTTCGTCCAAGCCTGACTACGAGATCTACTCGTTCAGCGACCTCGGTGCCAATGTCCGCACCTGCGTATCGGGCAGCGACAGCTGCATGGACTCCGCTCTCGTGAACGGTATGGCTTTCGTTTCGGCAACCTATTCGGGACTCACCGCTAGCATCGAGTCCGAGTACGCCATGACCATGGTGGACGACTCGACTGCGGGCAAGTATGTCATTCAACTGCCAAATAACCAGACGTGGGTGGTGTACTCCAGCGACACCAGTGCGTCCTTCTCCATCGACAGCACCGGATCGGCATTGGTGTCAAGCTCAGCCTACACGGGTATGCTTCGTGTGGCAATCCTCCCTGACAGTGGCGACCAGACCGTGTACGATGACTACTCGTCGTGCATCGTCCGTGGCGGCAATGTGTCTGTGGCGTCTCGCACTAGCTACTCGCTGCAGTGGGAGACCGAAGGCAGCGGGTGTGACAGCACTGGGCTTCTTCACTTTGCTCTGCCTCACCAGGTGGAGGTCTTGGGCGACGCCACCACGACGCAGTCGAGTGGAGCGATCGTCCTGCACTCAAGTACCCGCGGCCAAATGGTGGGCCAAGTTACCACGTCGGGAAGCTGGACGCTCACAGAGGATGAAGCGGACGACGAGGTGGACTTCTACCCCGCCAACAAGCCGTCTTCCGATGTTGTTTCGCAGATTGGTCTGCTTGCCACGCTCCAAAGCGACATTGATAGCGACTGGAGTCTGGATACTGGTAGTTGGTACTACAACGGCAAGGCATACCAGAAGTACGCGTCGCTGTGCCTGATGGCTGCTGACAGCTCGGTAGTGGGGGATGACAGTACGCTGCTGAGCACTTGCCTGTCAAAGCTGGAGGGAATTGTGGAGCCGTTCCTCAACAACACTCTCGGATCTCCGCTTGCCTATGAAACCTCCTACAAGGGTGTTGTCACTAGCCAAGTCTTCACCGCCAACAACGCAGATGTGGAATTCGGCAATGGTGTGTACAATGACCACCACTACCACTACGGCTACTGGGTGACGGCGTCGGCCATTCTCAAGAAACTAGACCCGTCTTGGTCAGGCATGGCCCAGCTCGAGACCATGGTGTGGACATTGCTGCGCGACGTCGCCAACCCAAGCTCGGACGACGAGTACTTCCCGAGATTCCGCCATTTTTCCTGGTACCTCGGCCACTCGTACTCGCACGGCGTGACGCCCATGGCTGACGGCAAGGACGAAGAGAGTACGTCGGAGGACGTGAACTTCTACTACGGCATGATGCTGTGGGGAAAAGTGACCCAGAACCAAGCTGTGGAAGACCTGGGCAGCCTCATGTTGCGTCTGAATGCTCGCGCCGTGCGCACTTACTTCCTCATGACGTCAGACAACACGATCCATCCGCCGCAGTTCGTGCCCAACCACGTCACGGGCATTTTCTTCGACAACAAGGCGGACTACGCGACGTGGTTCAGCGCCGAGAAGTACTGCATCCACGGCATTCAGATGATCCCTGTGTCGCCGATCAACGGTTTAGTGCGGACGACGACGTTCATCCAGGAGGAATGGGACGATATCCTTTCGAAGGAGGCGATTGTCACGGGAGATGATACCACAAACGCGTGGCTGTCGCTGTTGCTAGTGAACGAAGCTGCAATCAATCAGGCGGATGCGCTCTCGAAGCTGGCGACGGCAACTATGGACGATGGACTGACGCGTTCGTGGGCTTTGTACAATGCTGCCTCGCGCGGAGGATCGAGTTCGAGCGGCAGTTCGTCAATCGTCACAGTGACGCCAAGCACTACCACAGCGACACCGGAGGTGACTTCTACTGCTTCTGCTACGCCGAGCGTGACTACTGTATCACCGACTGCAGCCCCTATCGCTACCACCGCTGCCCCAGTTGCTACCTCTGCTGCTGTTTCGACTGCGACGCCCACGGTCAATCCGAAGACGGGAGTGACGACCGCCCCCGTTGCTACGTCGGCCACGTCAAGCTCTTGGAAGAACGAGGTGGGCCAGAGCTTCCGTTAGACTCGTTCGAGCTGCTTTCCTGCTGCTGCATGCATCGTGCCTGCGTGCAGTGCCTGCATGTCGAGTGAAACCCACTTAGAGAACTGCGTCAGTGAATTGCATGTAGAGTTGTCGAGGCCCACCATCGTAGAGCGGCCTAATTGCTGTCAAAATCAAATGATGTGAACCCACTACATGTACTTGTACCGTCCTGCATTTTGAGAAGTTGAAGTGATAGGCACTTCAACTCTTGCGCGTCTACTCAACGTTCAGCTAAGTCATGCTCGTCGATACCGACGTGCTCGTAATGGTGCTGTCGCCGTGATGGCACTGGTAGCTAGATCTTGTTCCATACGCATGCACAAGTACACAATAATGTACGCACTATCTGTATGAACGACAGCGCAATGCTAACAGAACGCAAGAACGGCATAACTACCGGAAAATGATCTCTATACATATTCCCCAACCTACTCACTACTATCAAAAAGAAGAATCAAAAGCCGAGGGAGAAGAGGGAGGCAGGCGAAGCTTTATGCCGCCGCCACCCCGCTTCAAAACTACCTATATCCGTGGATTCCACACGGCTTAGTTAAGGGCCGAGCTGAGAGCAGCCTGGGCGTCCGGGCTCATCTGCGCGATGACCTCCTTCATCTGGGCCTCGTAGGCCTGGAGCAGGCCACGCACGCATCCCTTCACCTCGGCCTGGGTCTCCTCCTCCACGCTGGAGGTGGGGGCAAGGGCCTTCGCGTACACGTCGAGCACCTGGGGCATCAGGTTGAGTGCCACAGGGTTCTGCGAGCTCACCAGACCGTTCAGGCAGCGAAAGCACACGGGGCTCTCGTCCATGTCAGCCTTAAGGGGCAGGCCACCCAGGAAAACGGGGAGCACGGCCTCCAGAGGCAGGTTGGCACCGCCAGCGATGATCATACGAGCCACAGCAGCGCACGCGTTGTCGGTCACCACCTCGTCGTTGCCCGAGGTCTCGAACAGCGGCCGCAGAGCCTGCAGCATCTGCTCGTACGCGCTGAAGAGCTTGTCACCGCTGATCTCCGCAAGGATACCCATGCAAAACGCGCTGTTAGCCTTGAGCACGTAGTTGTCCGAGGCCAGACCCTGGAGCACGACTGGGAACACGCTCTCCACGAAGACCAGGGCGCCCGGGCCGAGCTCACGGAGCACCTCGGCGAAGCAGCCCACAGCGGCGGCACGATCACGCACGGCACGCAGGCCCGTGGCGAACGACAGCAGAGCCGGGAACAGCTCCTGGAACGTGGCCAGGAAGTGCTCGCCGTAGCACTTAGCAAGCACGCCGATCAGCTCCGACGCGCTCTCCAGCACGGAGCCGCCCTCCTCTTCCTCCTCGTCCTCATCCTCCTCGTGGGTAGTCTGGCAGACGTGCTCGTGAGCAAGCACGGTCTTGGTAATGCGCAGCAGCTCGTTCATGTGGTCCATGGTGACGACGGGACCGACGCGGGCGCTCATGGCCTTGATGGCGTTGAAAGCCTTCTCCACAACGACCTCCTCAGGGTCCTCCAGGAGCTCCTCCACCAGGCTCTTCATCACAGCCGAGGCGATGACGGCGTTGTTGGGCGTCAGGATGTTCTTGTTGAAGTCACCCTTGGTCCACACCTGCACGTCACCGCTCGAGGCGTGCGAAGCCTCGAACGAGCAGATCACCAGGGCAGCGAGAGCCTCGGCAACGGCGCCACGCACGTCCTCGTGGATGTACTCCGTGAGCGGAGCGAGAGCCTCCAGGAACTTCGGGATGTAAGGCTCAAACATGGGGCCACCGCAGTTCAGGGCCAGCTCCTCGACAGCAGCGACAGCGCGGACCTTGGAGTTCAGGGCGTCGGTGCGGATGCTGATGTGGCGCAGGACGTGGTCGTCACCGTCCTCCTCGTCGTCGGAGTCCAGGCCCTCAAGCACGTCCTCGTCGTCGTCCATGACGCGGAGACCCTCGTCGCTGACAATGGCCTGCAGCACGTGGGTGGCAGCCTGCTCAAGGAACGGGGCGAACTCCTCCTTGAAGATGCTCGACACGTTGATGAAGTACACGAAAGCCTGCTCCTTCAGCTCCGAGTCATCGAGCTCGAACGAAGAGAACACGAACGGCATCGAAGGCGCGAAGTACGGGCGGAACGGCTCCTTGCCCAGAGCAGTGGCCAGGTAGCCCAGGCACTCGATGGCGGCACCACGCAGGAAGAAGAACTTGGGGTCCGTGATGCCCCAAAACGGCTGGATCAGCTCAGCCACCGACGGGAAGTACGGCAGGAATGCGTCCTTGGCGCCAATGGCAATCGAGCCAACGGCGTCCAGAGCCATCTTCTGCAGCTGCGGCGAGCCCGTGCGAAGGACAGCCACAAGCTTGGACACGAGCGTCTCGAGGTACGGCAGCACCTGCTCGCTCTCCATGCTCTGCGTGATCTCGTCAAGGACGTACAGGGCCGTGGCCTTGATCACCTTGGAGCCGTCGTCCAGAAGCGTCAGACCAATCGGCAGGATGTCCGTGTAGTGGTCCGTAATCGTGGGCTGCAGGAACTCAGCGAACTGGCCGAGAGCGAAGCAGGCAGCCTCGCGCACGTGCTGGTCAGCGTCCTGGGCGACGCGGTACACAGCGGGCAGCAGCTCGTTCAGGTTCTGGCACATGAAGTCGCAGCATCCCTCCGACAGGATGCCAAGAGCCAGCACGCCGGCCTTGCGCTTGCGAGCGTCCTGCGACGTGATGTACTCGTTGCAGATGCCGAACACGACGGGGTTCAGGTACTTGGCGGGCACGCTCAGGGCCAGCGAGTCCAGAGTCTGCTGGGCCAGGTGGCCGGGGGACTCGTCGTCCTCATCGTCGTCGTCGCCGTCGGCCTTGCTCTCGCGCTCAAGAAGGTTGGAGATCAGACCGCAGGACACAGCCTCGTCGGCGGCCACAATGTCCAGCATGGTGGTGAAGATCTTGGCCACGAGGTTCTTCTTGCCGATGGTCTTCGGTTTCTTCTTGATGAACTCGCCGATAGCGTAGCTGGCCGAGGCGCGCGTGCTGACCTCCAGCTGCTCCGCGAGGATGATCTGAAGCAGCAGCTCGATGAACTGAGGGAAGGCCTGGTCCAGGATGGGGAACGGGTGCGAGGCGATCTCCGAGAACACGTCCATGAACTCCACAGCCTCAGCCTCGGCACCGCTGGACACGCACTGCTGCAGCACAGTGATCATGAGCGGCACGAGCTCACGGAAGCCGCGCAGGTCGGCCTCCTCCAGGAACTCCACGAGGCTGCAGGCCGCGCGCATGGCGCCGACGCGCACCTTGAGGTTCTCCGGGTCCTGCAGCGCCTTGGCATAGAGCTGCTTGAGGTCGTTGAAGTGCGGCTGCAGCGACGTGCCCATGGACTCGCCCAGCAGCTGCAGCAGCTTCATGCTCATCTCGCGCTGGTCCACGCTGGCGCTGTTGGCGCACGTGTTGATGAACACCATGAGCTCGGGCCAGTTGCCCGACGGCACCTCGTGCAGGGCCAGCGCCGTGATGAGCGTGGCCACGGTGGAACGCACAGCGTGCACGGGGTCCTCAGCGGCGCGCGAGAGCAGCACCTGCTTGGCCTGCGCCTGCGCGGCGGCGTCCAGCTTGGGCCAGTGCTTGAAGATCTTTTTGCGCAGCATGAGCGCGGCCAGCTGGCGCACCTCGGGCTTGGCCGAGTGCTGCAGCTGCGTGAGCAGGCCGCCCACGGCCGCGATCTGCTTGGTGTAGGCCTTGAGCGCCGCCTCCGCCTGCTTGATCTGCTCCGTGTCCGGGTGCGTGAGCTGCAGCAGACACGCCTCCAGCTGCTCCGGGGTGAAGTCCGCCATAGCAATCAGTCGTACGTGGGTTCTGCTTGAGAGGACTGGGGGGATTGCGGAATGACGCGGCCAGTGCGAGCGGCTCCGCTCCGAAATCAGAGTAGAAATGACTGGTCGACACTCGAACCTGCGGAACTTCATAGTTTTCGGGCCTTTTCCCGCCAAAATAGATGGCTTCACCCGCGACTGCCATCCGTTTTGAACGTGCAAGCCCCGGCTCTGCACGCGGGGCCAGGGGATCCGCAGTTTGAAATGGCTTCACTGCCCGGCGCCACGCACGCGCCATGTGACATCGAATGGACCACAAGCTCATCGACGGCGAGTATTGTGCGGGGACGAGCAAGCACTGCTAGTGGAAGGGCACGCGGTGGCCGGCGGCTCTGCTGGGAGGACGGCGAGGCGTCAACTTTGTCGGCTCGACGCTCGAGGCTGGTAGCGATGTGCTCGTGTCGTTCGCCAGGTGGTGCTGTTCTTGCTGCTGCTGTTGACGTCCCTGCTGTTCTTCTGGCTGCTGCTGCTGCTGAAGTGCGGGGATAGATAGCTGCGAGTCTCGTATGCGAAGAAGCGGAAGGATGCCTTCAAGCAGAGCAGCCTGGCTGGTCAAGTGCTGCGTGTTCCCTGTTGATCCCAGTAGAGCGATGATCTGTGCATGTAAGTGACAATGGTTAGTGCTGGACGTTGTTCATATTGCGCGAGGCTTGCTCACTGTACCTCGGTGATCTTGAGCGTGATTTCCATTGCCGCTTCCGCTTGGTTGCTTTCGCCGTTCGGAAATCTGGTCACCTCGAGGTGCAGGACGCACTGTCCATCGCTACTGGGGCGAGCCGTTGGTCGCACGTGGCATTTGGTCCCATCGACTACTTGCACAAGCGATGTTTGCCTCGTATTTGAGTTCGTTGTGTCACTCTTGGTGCTGCATGCGCTTTCTTGTCTCTTAGTTGAGTTCGTCATCTCACTTTTGTTGTTGCTTGCGCTCTCTTGCTTCTTGGCGCCTGTGAGCGAGAGAAGCCGTGCTCTTCGCGACGACGTGCTTGTCGGAATGCAGCTATGCGGTCGATCTGGTCTTTTGGGCACGCATGCTGTGCTTGATGGCGTTCTGGGAATCACTGGGCATGAAGCTTCGGTAATGTGCATATAGCGTGTCGGCCGAATGATTCGTTGTTGAGATGGCACTCGTTCGGCTGGCCGAGCGACCCGATGGAACGGTTTGAGACTGCCAGCGAGTAAACTGTCAACAGCATCAATGTCGATAGTCTGTGGGCTTAGTGAGCTTTCTTGCACTTGACACAACTCGTTCCACTACAGATTACCCGTAGCATCCGCGTTAGTGTACCAAACTATTGCACTTGGAATGAAAATGCAGTGTTCTTACGTAGCGAGCTGCCAACATCAGTAGATCGGTGTTGCAGACCCCGGCCAGAGTGCGCATAGGCACCAATGATCCAACAGGAAATACATTGCACTGCGACAGCGCAAAGCGTAGCGATGGATGGCCGTAAGTCTGAATTAGATGCCGAGCCAATTGACGCAAACGCTCAAGAGGAGGCAGCTCCGGTGGGTCAAACGCATTCAGGCGAGGTAATACTCGAAGCAAGTGCTGCCGATACTGACTACTACCATTTCTGATGTTTTTCTTGGAGAACTTCATGCGCATTGAGCCAGCCGATGCCGCTCTTGTATGCACCACCACCACAGGTTTTGGGACCCTGGGTGCTTTTACCCCTTTTGTAGGCGAAGCACACTTGTTGTTGTTTTCGGGTGTGAAAATATCGCCTCTCACTGCTCCTTGGTCAGGTTCAGTGCGGTTATCATTATTCCTCGTCGGCGAGTTGCACTCTTTGCTTTCCGCATTAATATTTCGTGCGCAAGTTAGGCAAAGTTGCACTGTCTGGTAGCTGGAGATGCGATAACATGTTAATACCGGCTTATCAAGCGAGGTGAGTCTTGCACTTACAGATATGTTGCGGACTGCTTCAATTGCTTGAACCGTTCAACTTGAATAGGCCCACTGATTGCTCGAAGGAGCGTCGGGATAGCTGCAGCATCCTCTTCACTATTATTTTCATCAGCGTTGCGCTCAAATTGGCGAATGATCGACCTGTACGTGACCTTGACCAGAACAATGCATCATCATCAATAGCTTGTAGTTATGGCACGTGTCCTGCCATCCTTACCACATACTCCACTTTATCACGATGAAACAGTCGACTGCAATTCGGACAAACTTTGAGCTGTGCAGTACAGCCGATAAGTGACTGGTGAGTTGCAGGAGGAGTGCCACTGTCTTCTGTATCGCTAGGCGCAGCAGGAGCACCGTGTACATGATTTCCTAAGGATAGACTGTAGCTCTTCGCAGCTCCCTTGATACCAGCGTCGAACGAAATCATCGAGCTCCACAAGAGGTAGATGCGATGGTCAGCCCCGACCTACTCAAGAAAGCAACAAAAGGTGGGTGTTATGGGTAATGTGGAGGTTGGTATCGTGATTTTACCTTGAAGTAGTTGACGAAGCGAACCATCTCCTTCCCTACGATAGGCTCCAGATGCGCTGCGATCTCTCCATTGATCTTCTCGACAGTCTTCAGCACTTCCTTATCCGTCACGTCGCCTGCAAGATATGAGCAGCACGGTTAGTTGTTTGAAAGCATAACCATCTCGCACTCTAACATATCGAGAGTGTAGTAAAAACGTACGATGGCGAAGCATAGGATCGTTGACTTCAAACGTGGCAGTGCGTTTTACCATGCTAACTTCCTCGTCACTCAGTAAAAATGGGCTGATACACTTCTGCACCGAGCAACCATCCACCGTATACACCGACCTAACGGTATGATTGTATCCCGACTTGGTGGGGATGAACCGCTGCAAAACGCTCAGACTAGGCATCTCACGATCTTCCAGTAAATGTTCTGAAACAAGGTAGAAAGTAGTCAAAGTGAGTCCGTGTACACCGCCCAGCAATCTGAAGTGCCACTAACGTTACCAAGGCCATCCTTATCGAGGTGCTCCACGACCATACGCATCTCTTCATGCACCGACGGCCGGTCCAAGTAAGTGTACGTGGCTAGAATCTGCTTGTCGCTGTCCAGCTTGGGCAGAGTGTGCGGAGCCCATCTCGGCGCCAGAAACTCCTGCATAACTCGAGTCGTCGACAAGAACCTTTTGGTTCTGCACAGAATCTAACCGACAATTTGTCAAAGGCAAGAGAACCCGCAGCTATGCAGTAAGCTTCTCCCAATAATAACGAACCTTCCCTCGCTCCTGCTTGGACGTGAAGAACCACTTGACGGGCTTCTGGCGCTTGAACACGACCGTATCCGTGAGGACGAAGGAGAACACCTTCTTGCCACTGCCATCTTCGTCCGCACTCGCCTTGGACCACAAATACGCGTACAGTTGCAGTGGCTGCTGGCCCAGCGCGTGCTCACAGGCCACGCCCTCGCACTCGGCCCCTTTGCGTCGAGCTGCCATTCCCAAAATGGCACTTCAACGTCACAAATCACATAAAATGCGTTTTGTGATTTGGTACCATTTTTTTTCCTCTTGAAGAACCACTTTTTCCTGCTGAAGAAGCGATGTCGGATACGTTCAGCGCCGGCTTCCGCGAGTTCTGCGGGGGCGTGCAGCACGCCGTGTCGCTGCACCGCATCCTGCTGTTCTACATCAAGTCGCGCCTCATCTGCGTGTCCAGCGTCAAGGTCAGAGCGCGCCCTAAGAGACACCCAAAGGCTGCAGCTGGCACTAATTTATTGTTGCTATGCGCAGTGTTTCGTGCTGAACGGCCTCATCTTCCTGGGGAGCATTTACTTCTTCGACCGAGCGGTGATCCCTGTCATTCACTTGTTCGGCGAAGTGCTGCACCGCTCCTTTTCGGACGGGTGAGGGAGGCTGAAGAGGGGTGTTCCTCTATTATGATGTTATTAATTTATGCGCGGATGTATATGCTCTGCGTTTTCTTCAATAGGTCGGTGGGTCAGGTGGATGATGTGCGCGATCGCGTGGATGGATTCGTCTTCCTGCTGTACCAGGTGCGACCTTGTGTCGTTTAAAGATTGTCTGTGGCAGCTGATAGCAATGCTGAATATGATTGTTATTTTTCTTAGGTGTTGTGGATGTATCCGATCTACTGCATCAGCTTCATCCTGAACACTATTTGGTACCAAGAGATCGCGGATGACGGTGCGTGTGTGAGATGATGATCTTTTTTAATTGTAGTGCACTGACGTGGATGTTGGTTGTGCAGCGTACATGCAGCTGCATGGCAAGCCGTCGCCTACGCCGGTGACAGATATGATTCGGTGAGTTAACTGTACTGAAGATGAACGCCTCCTGCATTGCACTGGTTGCTGACAGCGATGCAATGCATAGCGATGAAATGTACCGCGCGATTCTCGTGGCGTTCTTCCTGTTGCAGACTGTGCTGTCCTATCTGATTCCTGTCGTTGGCCCGGCTACCAGCTTCATCCACCTGAGTTGGCTGTATTCGCTGTATTGCTTCGAATACAAGTGGTCCTTGGCCGGGTGGAGTCTCGAACGGCGGCTGGCGCATTTGGAGCAGAACTGGGCCTACTTTGCAGGCTTCGGCAGCCCTTTTACGCTAGCCACCTTTTTCGTCCCGAACTTCGTGAGCAAAGGTATCTTCGCGCTGCTTTTCCCTGTGGTACGTGCTTGTATTATGTGGATACCATTCGATATGTTGCAGATATTGACAGTATTTTTGAATCCGTTCTTTTGATGCAGTTTTTACTGCTAGCTATCGCGTGTGACCCTGTTTCAGAGGGCAACGAAGCGCAGAGAAAACTGCCGATATTCCGGTATGTTCGGCTGTGATGGCTACTACATTTTACAATCTTAATTACTAATACTTTCGCATCTCCTTTCTCCAGTTTTTCGCGGTGGTGGAGCTTGCAATTGCTGCGTCGGGTCGGCAAGGCCACGGGTCTAAAGACCAAGAAACAGAGGATCATGGAAAAGCAGAAGCGTACCAAAAGAAGCTAGTGGGTGGTGCGAGTCACGAGAAAACACAAATTCGTGTTGTAAATCCTGCGCTTCAGTGTCGTGTGTAGACTGAAACGGCAATGAAACTACGCGCGAGCTGTTAAAGCGGGATTGGTTGACGAAGTTGGTTCTTTCCTGCAAAATCTATAACGGCCGCGCGTGTCTGTTCATTGCTACATTAGTTGCCCAGTGTTTGACTTGAAAGCTACTTACGATGCCTGAAGCGTACACCGTGTCGAAGATGCTGTCGAGCATCAATAAGGTCATGGCTCCCGTAGCCACCGACGTGTGCGGGTCTGTGACGCTGCAACGGAAAACTGAAAACGGGATCATGCTCAATACATCGGACAAGGAGATCGCGTACCTTGACACCAAAGCCAGGGTGAAGCACTCGGCGCGGCAAGTCGCTCAGCTGGATAAACCGGCTAAGGCACAGTGGGTGATGGCGCAACGGGAAGCTGGGAACGATGCTTTCCGCAGAGGAGAATACCAACAGGCTGCGGAGGCATATATTCAGGCACTTACGGCGCTGGACTTCGGTTCAACACCTCAGGAAAAGATAGCCTGCCAACAAGAGATACAGATCCCGATTACGTGCAACTTGGCGGCATGCATGCTGATGCTGGGGGTAGGTCCAATACGATATCTGGTGCGTACTCGATTCGTCTGCTGATGCTGCTACGCTTGTCTTGTCAATTAGCAATGGGAAAAAGCGCGACTCATGTGCGATCAGGTGGTTGCGTTGGATCCGAACTGTGTCAAAGCTCTACAACAACGTGCAAAAGCCAAGGCGAAGCTAAACAAGTTCGAAGATGCCCGGTACGTGTTGGAGGAAAACTACTGAAGATTTTCTTTCTAATTCGTATGCTGTTGTGGTGTTGGGCTCAATAGCGGCGATATTTTTCGCGCCAAGCAAGTGACCCGTGGTCCAACGACCTTACTTGATGACAGCAGCGAACAGCTCATCAATCGACTGGACAAGCAACTCGAGGATATTTCACGCTTTGAACTTCGACACAAACACCGAGTCCAGCAGCAAAAACTGTTCCAGAAGAAGATGATGCAGGAGGCGGTGGGGAAACTTTACAACGACAAGAAAGAGGTCAATTGCACTTCAGACCCAGAGGGCACCTCTGGAGCCTTGCAACATCAGCAAACATCGTTTATCAGGTTCGCTGAAGCTGCTATCTCATGCAACGGCTGGAATGCTGGTGTTGCATGGGTCCTAGCCATGTTTGCTATGCTCGTCAACGCGGTCTCGCGGTTCCTAGACTCGACGCGAGGAAAACTCAAAACGTCGTGAAAGGGAATTGCTTCTCACAAAAACTGTCGCGAGATCGTTGGCGCTGTGAACTTGGAGTTGATCTGCTTGGCCGCTGAAATCATGCGCTCGGCATCGTCTCCAGACATGCCTCGGCGAACTGTAAGATCCCGGTCCCTACAATATATCCATGATTAGCAAAGTTATTTCGCATTAGTGGCTGCCCCATTTGTGTCATTTGCACACCGCCTTCACGAACCTGTTCCATCCGCCACTGCTCTGTGTTGACTTTTCTCCATTTTTTGCCTGTTCTGCTTGCTTACGCTGATGCTGTTCTAACAGCGATGGTCCACGCGCTTTCCGCAGACTTTCCATTTGCTTTCGCATCTCTTCATCTGCTTCCGGATTCGCGTTAGGAAGAATGGACTCGTTCACCACTGGCTGAGCCGTGGAAGATGCTACACTGCTAGCCGCTGCAGCACATGGCGCGTTCTCCTCGCGAACATAACCCAGCAACTCCCTGTAATAAAAGAAAGAACGGTAAGTCCAAGCTCTAAAACCATGTTGCCCAACGCCAACTACCATACATGTCGAGCTTGGCGCGCTTCGCACGCTCGCGTTCTTCAGGGGAATCAAACCACGTCTTGTCCACTGCAGCTGGTTCCTTGCTGCACAAACGCAGATCACACAAGTCAAAAACAAATAGTAACTACTTCACGCAGTGTAAAATATGGGTACAACTTGCCTGCGGAATGCTGCAGGCTTGCCTGGAGGGGGCCGATTCTGCGGCCCCAGGGAATCCTTCAAAATCGAGCTCTCGGGCATCATAGTCATCCACGCTTCTCGCACCATAGGGGTATTTCCGGCCACATCAGACTTCTTACTGCTTCCACCATCACGCGCGCGCTCCCACTGCTCCTTCTCCAACTCTTGGGCCTGACGCGCCATTTCAGCCTCCACTCGCTCGTCGGCTAACCGGAAACCCTTCATGCCAGGCAGTGCTGGACCTACGACTTCATCCTCTTCATCGTCATCATCCTGGACATTGCTACCCCCAATGCTCGCCGAAGGAGGAGGTAATGCCGGTCCAATCGGCAATTCTCGCTTTGCTGGCCTCGGCGCGGCAGGTTTCTCTTCCACAGGTTTAGCTGCTTCTGTCGACAAATCATCCTCCCGCTCTGCGTTTGATGCGGTCTTGTCATATCCTCCAGACAGCATTCGCTGGAAAACCTCCATCAAGCTCTCTCCCCCATTGTCCTTCGCCTTCCGAGGCTTTGCAAATGCTCCCTTCGGTTCTCGCAGCTAATAACTCATGCAGAACCCCGTCAACCAACCCACAACCTCCACCACCTCACACTCCCAGCAAGTAAACCAACCTTGACTAGCCCCAACAGCGGGAAAAGCTCCTTGAGCTTGGACCGGATGCGGCGATTCTCAATGCCGCCGATGACGGCCACTTCGCCGTCGTCCACCATCTGCAGCAGCCCCAGCAGGTCCTTCGCGAGCTCCGGCGTCTCCGTCAGCAGCTCGCGCACCACTTTCATCGCTCTCTGCACACCACCAATAGCAAGACCATCCATGCTGGAGTAAGTATACCAGTGCAAGTGTGCCATTAGACTCATGCACAGTCACCTCATAGTCTGGGGTGGGGGCGTCGCTGTCGCTGTCGCTCTCACTGTCGCTGCGGCGGCTCCTCTTGTGCCTCTTCCTGTCCTTGTCCCTGTGCTTCTTGTGCTTCTTCTTCTTGTCGTCGTCGCGCCTCCTCTTGTGCCGCTTGTGCCCGTCGTCTAGTCGACTCGACCTCGACTCACGGTCGCGGTCGCGCTCATGCTTGCCCATGCTCCACTGACGTCGACACTATAAGATTGTGTACGACCGATGTGGCACAGTGAATTTAGCCATAAAGGCAAGTTGAAGTGAACAATTGCTCTATTTGATGGAGCTCCTCACTTCGCCACTGCCTCTATGCGCTCTATGTGCCGCCTTGGGTCCAAGAGCGGGGTGGATGAAGTCTTGGCGGCTTGTCGTCGAGTTCGTCCTTGTCGAAGCTGTCGTCTTCTTCGGCCTCGGGCTCGTCTCCGAGGCCGCCGAAAGAGTCAACCTCTGACGTGTTGGATTGGCGCTGGACCGGCATGGAGGCTGCACGTGGCAGCGAGCGCTCTTGTGGCGAAGAAGGCTCCACCGTGGTCTTGCGCAGTCGAGCGATGGCCCAACGAGTCGGCTCGGGCACACGAAGCTGCTTGGCGCGCGTGGTCAACGCAGCGCCGGCACCGCGCAAATTCGACGACAGCGACGCCAAGCGTAAGCTCCACGTTGTGGAGCTTGTTATCGCCTTCTTGTAAGGGTACGAGACTCGCCAACGCGACGAAGTGTACGGACCCCGTTCGCTCCAGACGTCGCCAAGGCCGTGGTCGTCTCGGCCCACGTCCTGGACCAGGATGGAAGGGTTGGAATCGCGCTCGGAGTAGCTGTGTGACAGGGACAACTTGGGCGCCATGCCAGCTCTTGGTCGGTGAAAAGGAAAGTGAAGGAACGAGGGGCTCCAATCGAATGTAGAACGTGGAGCCATCCGAGAGGTGCTGCAGCCATGGGGCAGAGAGAATCAGCACGCAAGAAACGCTGCAGTGATGAAGTACTAGGAGCGAATGGCTTTATGTGCTGCGTATTCAACGCAGCATCAGGTTTGATGGCGGATGAGAAGCTGGGCATCCTGTCACGGCGGGCGAGATTGTAGTCAGGCTGTGTATGTTGCTCGGTTATCCTTGTCGCCGTGGCTGTAAGCAGCGTAAATGGCAAGCGCTCACGGCGACCAAGGTCGTCAAGCGGTATAGACAGATACCTTCGAAGATTGAGTACCTAGAATTCGGTAGTCGAATGCGAATGTCGGTGAGCTCCGAGTGAAGACACGTTTGTCATGCACACGTTATATGTTACCAGTAGCCATGGTTTGCTCTTGTCTAGCTAGCTTCGAATTTTCGAAGCTGGTCGTACACCTGCCGGAGCGGCTGGGTGGCCTCTTGGTTCTCCGGGAAGAAGCTCAGGAAGTGCCCAAGCTGCCGGACCCACGGAAGCAGGAGCCTCGGGAACGCTACGGCATCAGCAGATTCGCCACCAGTCCTTGCGTCACCCACGAACGACTGGAAGACCTCGTGGTTGAACACGACCCCGTACGCCAGATCAGCCAGCGCGAGACTGTGTCGTACCGCGTTTCCGCGCACGCCATACCAAACCAGTTCATCCGTGATGTAGTAGAAGTCGAAGTACAATGCCCGATACGATTGCACTAGCTGGTACAAGTCGTCGCGGCTCGGTGCTGCGGGGATTGTCTCCGCTTCTTCAAACGTCTGCATTGCCGCGTGGGTGAGATTCCGAGGGCTCAAGGGCGATGCCAGGTCGAGCGCGTTCTCGAGATCATTCAGAATCTCAGCCAGCTTTGGTGCGGGCGAGCTAGATGACTGACCAGAAGAAGGCTTGGTCGAAGCTTGCGGCGACAGTGACTTCTCGTGGTACGAGATCAACCATTTCCACGTGTACTGGTAATTCTGCGAAAGGCACAATCCAAAATGATAAGTTTCACGTAGGAATGTGTCCTGGTGATAAACACTAACGCACCTGTAGAAACTTCGCGACGATATCCTCGAGTGCTGAAACAGGATAGCTCTCGCTGATGTTGGGCGGGATGTAGAAGCTTGCAACGTTACTGCAGCAAACAAAGCACATCGTTAGTTCAACATACAAATAATAGGATAATCAGCATGCGTCAGCCTAATACCTGCACGTAAAGCATAGCGTTACTTGGTAGTGCTCCGCAAATTGCTTGATGTTGTACAGAGTGACGTGCTCCTTCACGCTGTGATCCCAAAGCTGGTGGTGTTTCCACAAAGCTGCAACGTCTGGTTTCACCCGGAAAACTGCAACACTCAGCGGCTGGATGGTCACCAATAGTGTTGACCTCCGGCCAGCGCATACTCCATGATCCAGCAAATCGACCTTGGCAACACCAGGCTGGGTCAATTCTTCATCAATCGCCAGACTGAAAAACATACTGTCGTTCCTCAGCGCAAGGCGAGCATTTGAATCGCTCTTCGTGTTCCGGACGACCAGGAACTTTTGCGTCTCATCAGCAGCTTTCACAGACAGTTCCGGGTTAGAAAGAGTCGACTCGAGCATTGGGAATACCAGACCAAGGAACGTCGGCTGGGCTGAGAAATAGGTTTCCCTCTGTAGTGGAGACTCGTTAGTCTCGCCATTCGCCACGTTCACCATCAGCTGGGGCTGGCTGCAGATAGCGCGTAGTATTACTGTTTCCCTGAAGTCTTTCACCAATCGGCAGCTCACGTAGACTTCAACTTCACGCACCCACGGATCATTCACTTCTATGTCGGTCAGCAGTTCACTGCCTCCAGTGGAAGGCAGCACCAACTGCTTAGGCTGAGGTCGGAAATGTAAGAACACTTGCATGCTTGAGTGGGCTCCGAGAGTGACTGTGGTCACTTCGTTAAATGACATCGGAGATACAGAAAAGCTGACCTCCTGTGGTCTAGCGTTAGTTGACAGGATAAAGTCGAGGCTCAATCCAGAGGAATTCTCGATCACAATTGAGTGGTTCTGGTAGAGCTTGTAATAGTACACCTCACTGAAGTCAATCATCAATCGTGGAGCACCGCCAGGAGTGATTTCTGGTGGCATTTCAACACTGGACCGTCGAGACCGCTTCGGATTCCCATGATTTGACACGAGCACGCGAAACAGGTTCGACGTAGGGTCTAGCCCAGAAGACATACCACGCAGCGAATTCAGATCGGCGATAACTTCCAACCTGATATGAATCACCTTCAGGTCAGATGGGTTCGCCAGATTCTGAAGAACCATGAAGGTTGAATACACCCCAACAACGCCCCGAAGAAAATACAGCACCACACTCTGGTAACTGTGCCCTCGATCTAGTGTTCCCCGCTCACGACTGAGTTGCAACCATGACCGAGCGTTCTTATCAACCAGCATTAAGCGATATTCAACGGAGTCAAGTCCCGGGTCGGCAGCACTAGCGGCGCTGTAGAGACTCTCGATTGTAATCTCCCACTCCACTTCTCCACCATTTCGAACTGTGTGCTGCCCCACATCGATCAAGTACCGCGTATTTTCCAGAGAAGAATACTCCGCCGGCGTACAACCACGAATTGCTAAGACAGGTAAGTGGTTTTTCCTTCCAACAGCACCTGAACGTATTGACGAAATGTCGAACTCCTCGAAGTTGTCCAGCCCCGATGACTCTGATTGCTCATAAAGCTCGTCTTCTAAGTGAGTTTCCAAAGTTGGCCCGGGATAGAGCTTACGGGACTGGACAAGGCGCTTGTTACGAGCCTCGAAAGCTGCTGACATGAGCGTCTTGTCCAATACCACGCCGCCTTGTTTTGCACTGTCACCTCCAGTACTCTGCTGTTGCAGTACTAGCAGCACATCAACTTCTGTTGACACTCCAGCGTCCAGGCTTGAATCAGCATCTCGCACAGTCAAGAACATGTGATTCTGTCCACTCTCAATCGCCGAAATATCTGGGCCGCCGTCTGCATCCCACGAGTTGCTTCGCCAGGTGGGGTGGTGGCGCATTTTGTGCAGCGCTGCTAACTTTCCGGACGGACTGGCATCGCTTCCTTCGCGGAATGTAGCTGTGCTTGGGGTAGATGAAGCGGCTTCCTCGAGGTGAACAGTAACTTTCACAGATTCCCCGGGAGCAATTGTACCCGATGAAGGCACTGCAACAGCCTGAATCCATTCGCTCATCGCGCACATATCCGACTCCGTCGATCCCGCAATCAGGCACAAACCCGGTTGGTACATTGAAACCGGGCTAATGGCAAAGTTCAGTACTTCGACTGTCGAAGGATTTCTAACCCAGAAGCTTTCGGAAGCATTCCGCAGCTGATGCACGACGTTCTGTGACGAAGCTCCTGATAGCGCAAGTTGAGACGGATCCCTGGCCTTCTCCGGTTTTGATTTCAAGACCGGTGGCAATTGATCGACCGGAATGTCAGCCGGCAATTCCGTTGCTGTGGCAAAAAAGTGAAGATTGGATGCTGACAACAGAAAAGTCTTGCCCGGTATGAGTTTCCCCTTCACGTGAACTTCTTCCCTCTGCGCAGCATCCTCCATGTTCTGGATGCTGACATCAAGCCAAACGCGTCCAAGGTCCAGTATTTCAGACGTGGCACCATTACTTCCTGTCGACCAAGTGTCAGCTGGGAGGCGAGCGGATGGAACGACATGACACACAACACGAATATCCACCGATTCACCGGGCGCAATGGTAACCAAACTCAACGGCGTGTTCGCAGAACGAAGCATCAGCAGCAACTCAAGTGTTCTGGATAAAACAGTAGCATCAACAATCAATGAGGATCAGCACTTTTGCAATGGAGAAAGCTAGAAACTAGACAACTTACCGGTCGAAAGGGCTGTGAGTTTGCGAGGACAGTTTTACCGTCAGCTCTTCGTCGTATACATTTCGTAGCGAAAACCAAAAACTGGCACGGTGCGGTAAATCCTGCGGAGTCGGAACTGTGACCGGTGGAAGAAAAGCGATGTGGCCATGCTTAGGTTCTGCCGATTCCATTCCGTAGTCGGAGCTTTCCGGGTCCACCACCAGCTCTGCGTAGCTCGAAATAATCTGAGCACGAACCAACACATCTTTGTGGTTATGAGGATTGTAGAGGTTCAAAAAGCGAAGCGGGAACTCGTGGGCACCGGCCGTCAAAAACTATGCGATTCGCAGTCACAACAGCATAGTTAGTCATCGATACCAGAACAATGGGATGCAATATCGCACGAGTTTGACCAACTTACCTCTCTTGTTCGCACTAGCTCAAGCTCAAGAACGCACGATGCCCTAGGCAATATCTTCCACGCACTCCAGCGCGACGATTCCTCATCGCTTTTCAATGGTTTCTCAGCGTGAAGCGCAAGCATCCGAAGTGAGGGGACGTGAGCCTCCGAATCCCGATGGATCAAATCATTCAGCTGTACACGACTCGCGTCGCGGACATTGCGTACGTGTATGCATGCCGGTAAATTGGCAACGACAAAAGATACAGCAACATCGGAAACATTTTTCACCAAGACTTCAAAAGTAGATGATTCCCAGCCAATAGCGTAGCCGATTTTTCCCAGTGCAATGGACTTATCTCCAATGTGAAAACGAGACTCGCCATATGAACCTGACACGTTTACCACTTTCAGTGTGCACGCTTCTTCGTCGCCAGTTTGTTCATTGCTCTCAAAATTCTGGATTCCAACCATACCCCGAAGTGGACACAGTTTTCCGCTTTCGATTGCATCAATAGGCAGTGGCACCGTCGAAGCAATAGATGCAAAGCAAAACGACAATGAGCAGGCACTGTTAGCCGCTAGTGTGTATGAATCGCCGAAAAACACGTTTGCTTGTTGGCTCCGCGACTTGGCGCCCAAGGACCCCGATCTGTGCAATCTTCTTGCATCATCGGTGGAAGTGGATCTGGCAATCAATCCTCCTCCATCTGCAGTCGTAGGCGCAACTACTGGCTGACCTTCCTGTCTCCACTTATACGTCAGCGGAAGGTTACTTAGCGGACGCACCTTCATGGTACGATCTGTTGTGTTCGTGAGAACGAGAACTGTTTCACCACCTTGCAAGTTTTCTGGTGAAGGCTGGGCTACAAGCAAGGTATCTTTGCCAGACTCTCCATAAATTCGATATTTGCGACTTGTATTCTCATGCTCGCCACAGCAAGACGAAGTGTCGGTCAATTCATCCTCCAGCTTGATCACATTAATTAGCCCAAAATCAACAGTTGGCACCGTCAGTGCTTCATTTCCTGTCACATCATCCAGAACTGGATTTCCCACAGTAGGCAATCCTGAAACCTCGCAGCGCAGTTCACCACTATCCACGAATAGTACGACATCGACGAAACTTACTTTGCCGGGGTAATGAATGTTTTCCACCATAATGCGACGTCGAAACAGTCCATTCGTGTATGCCATCATACGGAACTCAATATTTCCGGTTTCACCCGGGGGGATTTCTCCCTTTTCGTGCTTCAGCGAAATGTGAAGCGAGTCGTCATCATCTGAGTACCCTTCGGTTGCGTTTGTCACGAAAAGGCGGTACCCAAGGGGTAGAGCCTTGCTCATGTTGATGAGTTCGAAACGACCTTCGTGTGTTTTGCATTTTTGTAGTCGCCCGCCGTTGTACTCAGCGCCGAAGTCGATCAATGAAGGTGCCACCCGAGCGATGCTTGCTCCAGCCACGCCAACAAACTTAACGGTGAACTCCGCCAGCATTTCGCTTTTGTCTTCTCCAGATGGGTCCGGCGTTGCAAGCAATCCAAACAGTTGTACGCGAATGCCTCCAACAAGATCTCGTGTCGAGCCTGTTCTAATTGCATCAGAAGACAGTCGCGGGCGAATTGCCACGAAAAGATCAATGGACTCCATTCCTTTCATCATGACGTGAGTTGCTTCTCGGTGCAAGCTTGCGTCCTCGTAAACGTAACACTGAGTCTTCAAATTTGATGAAGCACAAATAACGAGTGTATGGTCGACTTGGCTTTGCAGCGTGAGTTTGTGCACTTTGCTGAATCTCAGGGACACATTCGGGCTGTCCGCGGCCGTATCTTGCATTTCAGGTGTAACGTAGCATGGGCCCAGGTCGAGAACTTCCAATTGACCGGTCGCTTGAGGGTCCAGTTCAGGAATCCGGACGTACACTGGTCTTGTAACGCGGACTGACAATGTCAAGACTGACGTATCCAGACGGTCACCGCTAAGATTTCGCAAGACTATTTGCTCATTGTGCTGTCCAGGTATACTACCTCTGTACACAAACGCAGCGGTCACAAGCGATCCAGCTGCCACGGTTCCTGTCGCATTTTCGAAAATAATATCGCCTCCAACAACCGACGGCGCTGCAGTAGACGAGGAGCTTGGTGCGTTCTGATCACGGGATCCGGCCAGCAAAAGGAACTGCAGAGCTTGGTGAGACCGGTTGTGGATAACCATTTCACCTCTTACCTCGCCTCCCTGCTGATGCTCCCCCAAGTCCAGGAAATCTTTATCGAAACAGAGCGATTTCTGCACAGCTTTAACCACAGCCACACCCACCGACGAAACTGGAGTGCTCGAGCTTGCGCCCAGCGTATTTTCCTGTGGCGACGAATTGCTCGGTCGATAGAAAAAATCGATACTACCCGCGTTTAGTTCAGCGGCTTCAGATACGCTCTCCAAAATCGAGCGAGTCACGCAAGATGCCAGAGGGGTCGATGAAGCGAAACCAGCGTCGTTAGTGAAACACCACTTGAGATTCAAATTCACCGTGCGATCAGGGGGAATTCTCAGCTTAAGAGGAAGCATATTCCGCAAGTCAGTTGTATCGGATAAGGCAGGAACTGTCTTCGCGTCCTCCTGTATCAAAAAGTCACGCGGAACGATCTCGCATGACAGAGCGAGGACATTTCTGAATGCATTCGCTGGATTCCATACCACCTCAACGATTCCTGCACCTTTGTAAGAAGGGGATCCCAAAGAGAGCGTCAATGACCAGCCACGAGTATCCGTTGGTGATTCTTCCGCAGGCACCAGCAAGTTTGAAGTTGTGGAGGATACTCCGAGCTGATCGGGTGCAATATCCACGTTCAGCCTTCGGGCAGCTGGAATCGAATCTGGTATTTTAATGGTAAGACTGCGCCGACGTTCCGCCCCTTGAGATTCAGCCTCTGGTGGTGCCGTCATTGATGGCAAGACGTCATCATAACGTGAAACGGATGCACTACTAGCATCGCGCGCTTTCCGGGACTGAGTTTCGAGCGGATGCTCAGTAACGCCGGACGGCACTCCACCGGTATTTGGGTGCGGGGGAAGCGCAGACGGAGGCTTACGCCCTACAGCTCGGCAGAAGGCACTTTCACCTGCAACCGTTCGCAGAAATATTTCTGCGTTATACTGCAGCTCCTTCACCACGTCCTTGTTCTGCTGCTCGAACAAAAGAAACTTCCCCACGCCTACCATGGGAGTGGCATCTCGACGCAGTTGGCGCTTCTTCATTTTTTGGCTTGTGACGGCTCCACTCTTATCACCATCCCTTGGAGAAGTATCACCGGACTTGATGGGTGCGAAAATTGCGTATGCCACAATTCGACCAGTTGCCTCCGCTCCCAGGGAAAAGTGCAAACTATTTGTACTGGATGACACCAGTCCAGTCTTCGTGTCGACGGCAGGTTTGTTCAACTGGCGTGATCGGCGACGTCGAGAACGCGAGCTAGACTCTGACTCGGAGAGCTCTGATTCACTGTTGGCACTATCGTACGCATCAAACTCTCCCACTTCACTACTTCCTCCAGACATCCCAGTCGCCTCCGCGTCACTGTCCACTGGCGTGCCCGGTTCTTTTGCAGGTTGTTCGCCAGACAAAAGTGCCTTGACATGTGCAATCTTGGCGTTCAACTTTACAATCTTGTCCGCTTTCTTTTTCGTAATTGCAATACGCAATTTGTGCTCCAGTTTTTCCAGTTCTTCATCCAACTTTTTTTCCTGCGCCTGCGTGATAACCGTTGTCGGCGTTTCGTCGACCGAAAAGAAAAATGTTGGCCGCATACTAGGTATTGTGAAACTTGGATCTAGCTGGATCACGTATTCGCGTTTCTTCCGGCTCGTGTTTCGGACAGCAATCTTTACTTCGTCTGTTTTCTCGCCTACGAGGCATTTTCCAAAAGAAATTGTTTGTCCTGAGGCGAGCATAGACGTAAACGCGGTGAGTAGGGTTCATCATATTGATTTTCAAGCAGGATGCGTACCTGATTGAAGAAGTTTGAAGGTTTCGCGCTTGACCACTTTTGCCTTAATTGTGACCGAGACTGAGTTCTCCGTATCTTGCACATTGATGATTTTCAGCTTTTCTTCAAAGGGGCCTGCTAAGGTCGGCTGGAACTGGAAGCAAATTTCTTTCGTGCCAAATGCTTTGACCACGCCAACCTCACCTTCCTTTATCTGAAGAAATCCAGACGAGATAGAACCTGTTTTCTCCACACTGTACACCAGCGGTGTAGCTGACATGTTTTGCACAACCAGTCGCTTCGAGCTCTTTGATGATGTCGCAATGCGACCGAAGTTAATGTTCTTCTGATTCACATTCATCACCGAGCGGCAAACTCGACTCTTCAGCAGTAATTCTCTTACTGATGACCGCGTATCAAATGGGTGCTTTGATGCAGCCCACGCCGGCTTGCTAGGATCAAATTTTGCTCCATCCGTCACTGCTTTCTTGTTACCTCCAGGGGGAAGAGTAATCATAATCTTGTGCTTCTCCACTCTTGTCTTCGAGACATCCTTTACAGCAGCTGTCTCAGCAGAAACTGGGTTAAACACTGCCACAATTCTTTGACGCGATTTTGCCGGGATCCGCAGATTGCGTTCCTTGTTGGAATTCAGAAGAACTAACTTCTTCTCAGCAAAGAGTGTCTGCAACCGCTTCGATCGCTCCCGAACCATCGCCACAATTTCTTCCTCTTTTTCCTTTGACGGTAGAGAACTGTGGCAATAAGCATCACAGTCAGCACGCGATTTCGCAAAGAGCTGCAGCAGGGATGCCACCTCTTCCGACGAACTTCCGTCGGCATGTGAAGTCGTAGGTGTCAACGAGAAGGCAGTAGCAGCTCCGTCAATATTCCTCCTCTCGTCCGCTACCCCTTGCAATTGATTTCCGCGAGTTTCAGAGGCACTAACACTGTGCTCCAAACGGTTTTTATCACCATCAAATTGCTGACCAGAAACTGATCTAGAGATGCTGGGTCCAACTACAGATTGTTGAGGAGCCTGGGTCGTCATTTTCTTCGCCAGTAATTCACGTAGCGCTGTGGATTTGCCTCGTTTCACACTGTTTTTCCCATCCGTTAGCTCGGACACGCTGCAAAATGACCTCCGTCGACGGATAGTCCTACTGATAACCTGCGGGCTGATTTGCGCTGAAGGATTGCTTGGGTTGCCACCGCCGACACTATTCTGCGAATTCGTAGAAACAGAAGAAAGACGGACGTCGCTTTCCTCCTCCTCGTTTCCCGCGATTTTTGCTGGGGTTGCCACATCGTCGAACGAGTGTTTTATGCAGTACAACCGAACTTTCGATGGTGCAGAACTTTGAATATTCAAGTGAAGCGGGGCATTTGTGATATTCTCCAAGTCGAACACTTGAATTCCAACCGAATTGATAGTCACATGCTCAAAGTTCAAAAACGCAGACCTTGACTGAGTCAGCAACTTGTAGAACAGCGAATGGTAAATCACATGGTGTGCGTCCATATTGCTCGAGCGCACACATATCTGCGGAATATTGCTCTTGTTCTTCATGTTGATGATCGAAATGAGTCGGGAGTAATTCGGGTTCGTCTTGCGCGGAATGATTTCAATTTTGAGCTCCGTCGACTGCTTTGGCCCAAGCATCGTGTCGTCGTTCGGCACCGTCGAAATCACCTTGGACGTTACCAGTGGTTTCACCACCGTGGGTAATTCAGAATGGTTTGTTAGCATGCACGAGCTGCTCTTTAACTCTCCAATATTGCAATCCCCCAGGTGTAAGATTGAGGGTGTCACTGTCACCATCGACGTACAGGTACGGGCACGGACATGAATCGATTTGCCGAGGGTTCGATCATACACACGCGATTGAGCTTGCTGCCATGCACCTTGCATTAAAAAGCACCGGAATGACACACGAAAAGTTTGCTTCGTCAGACGAGCAGCCTTGAGATCCACTGCATCTGAGTTTTCTCCATATAAGCCTTCCAAGTTGCTATTCGAGACGGGTGAGTACCATATTAATATGGTCCGCTCGACTCCAGGTGGCAAGTCAATTGTTTCCACGAGAAAATTAGACGCGCTATTGTCGTCGACAGGGGTTGAATGTCGCTTTCGGGCTTCGACACGCGCACTTCGTTCAGGAGAGGACCTAGGACTGTTGTACGGTCACAGAAAGTAAGTAAACACAAAGGCAACAAAACTATCGAACCATGATCATTACCTGTCCACACCACTGTCATATGCCAAGTCTCTTATACGAGAAGGAACCTTGACGGACTTTTTACCCTTGGTCCGAAACGCCTTTTTCCTTAAGTCAGCGTTTCCTCTCGAGCCTCGCATCTTGGGGCTCCCAAGAGGACTTTGAGGGGGCGCACGAGGCTCGCGATCAAATTCAAAGTCATCATCCAAATCATCCGCATCACCCATAGGATTTTCCTCGAAAGAGTTTCGCTTCGTTTGTTGGAAGTCCTCTTCGTAAAAGTCCCCCTGGTATGACAGCGTGAACATCAACAACTCAATCGAGCGGATAATCTACGGAGCCAAAACAAAACAGCGCACTAACCTCGTTTTCGTCAGCCTCTTCGTCGCTGTCGAGCCCGTAAGCATCCATGTTGGAAAAAGACTGTGGGGTTTTGGCACCATCAGGTGATAGTGAGCCCTTCAAACTAGACCCATCATTTGAGTTTGTCGGAGAAAGAAGTTCATCGGCGCGCGGGGCTCTCGAAACGCGCGACCGATTTTGCTGCAGCTTCAGCTCGAATGTAACCTCTTTGGGCCGATCGCTAGTCAACTCAACGTGCAGAGCCACCTCTGTCATGTTGCGCATCAGGATCACTTTCGAGCTGGGAATTCCAGTATAGCAATCGCCAAAATCCAATCGACTCCCGCTCATGAGGTATGAACCACTAGGCTCCTTAATTGACAATCCTTCCCTGTTAGCAATCAAAACATGTTGGGTCAACATTCAGGTCCAGTACAGTGGCGTGAGCAATTCCAGGTATGCATACCTGTGGTGCTCTTGGTTCGTGATAGCATGAATCTTGAGGGTCTTCACATTCCTCGAGTCATGAAGATTTTGAGCCTGAATCTCGAAAAAGCGCTCCCCAATCTGTACGCGAAGCAACCACATAAAGTGCGATAAGAATCAGCGTGAATAGTAGGGATAACCTCGTCAAAGTACACTTACTTCTGTAGGGCGATAGGTAACACGAATCCGCACGTGTCCATACGCAGCAGCTTGCAACGTTTTGTCTCCAATCACATATCCGGAATTGTAGTCCGTACACACAAGTAACTCTTTGTTCTCGCTCCATGTCATCGGCGACACCAGTTTAAACAGCAAAGGTATCTCGGAACGGTTCCAAACGGTGAAGTCTTTCACAAAAGACCCACCAGGCACACAGTCGTCGAAATGCAACTCCTTGACATCCAGCCTCAGCAGCGAGCGACACACTTGCCCCTGCAATGGCACCAGCATCTCCGGAATGGGCAACCTGCTAGTCACACTTCCATCAACAAAGGACGCCTGCAAGATCAACCTTCCCGATAGCACGAAGCACGACGTTTCGCTGAGGTGCGCGCGCTCTTCCTCCGACGAATCCCCCGCCGCCACGTAAGCCGAGTTGCTCGCAGCATTGTGCGGCTGCGTCAACTTGGTGCACATAGAGAACATGATTCTCTTGGTTTCTTTTGGTTCCAGCTCAATCTCGTCCACGGTCCCGATGTGGTTGAAAAGCTCGTTGTAGCCCTCGCAGAGGTACACGTTCTCGGCGCAGAGCGCGGCCTTGGAGGACGAGCGCAGCACGGAGAACGGCACGTGGTTGAACTCGTCGGAGGCCACCGCGCGGTCTTTCTCCTGCTGCAGCTCGCGCTGCATGATGCTGACGTTCTCGTTCTCGAGCTGGAAGCCCCATTGGCTGCTCTGGAAGGGCTTGCGCAGCTCCGCACGCAGCTGCAGCTTCAGCTTGCGCGCCTTCAGGTTGGTCACCTCGAACACGAAAATGTCCGACAGGTCGTTGAGGTAGATCTCGCCCAGCCCCAGCAGCTCGCCCTTGCCGCCACGATACTCGACGCGGCTCTGCTCCGCCTTGCTCAGCATGGCCACGGCCACGGCGGGCGGCGGCGGCGCTTGCGAGCGCGCCGCGGGGACGTTGGCAGCTGGAGCTGGAGCTGTTCGAGCGCCAGATCCGACGTCCGCGTCGCCTGGGGCCGGCGCGGGCCCCGCGCGCTTCTTCACCATGGTTTCCGCAGGTCGAGGTTAGCTTGGGGGCAAGGAGGCGGGCTCGATAACTCGGTTAATCATCTGGGGATTGGCTGAATCCGAAGGGATATAACCGATAATGGACCAATCACGATCCAGTGTTGCCGGATCGTTCTCCATTTAACCGTGGGCAGAATCAATCTTGCAAGATGCAGGCGAGCGAAGCGAAGCCCAAGGCTGCGGCGCCAGCAGCGACGTCCATGTCGGACGCCGCCTACGCCTTCGACGAGGAGGTGCTCAAGGACGTGCGCAACAACAAGGTGTGGATGCAGGACCCCAAGTACTTCAAGAAGGTGATCGTGTCGCCCGCCGCCACCATGAAGATGCTCAATCACGCCAACTCGGGCGTGGAGAAAGGAATCAAGAACGGCGGCAAGCCCGTGGAGATCATGGGGCTCATCATGGGCAGACCTTCCACGGGCACGGACAGAGACGCAGGCGATGCGCACACCCTCGTGGTCACCGACTGCTTCCCGCTGCCGATTGAAGGCGCCGAGACCCGCGTGCTGGCGGACGACGCCGAGGTCATCAACTACATGATCTCGCTGGGCGAAGCGGTAGAGCAGACGCGCAAGGAGAAGTTCATGGGCTGGTACCACAGCCACCCGTTCGACGTGGAGGTGCACAGTCACTGCTTCCTCTCGGCCACGGACGTCAGCACGCAGCTGCAGTGGCAGCGCTCCGAAGATCCGCACGGCAACCCGTGGCTCGCCATTGTGCTGGACCCGCTCCGCTCGCTGGCCAAGAAGCGACCGGAGATGGGGGCTTTCCGTGTCTACCCTCCGGAGTACGCCGCTCCGGTGAACGAGACGCCCGATGGAACGATTGTCACGGACGAGAGCGCGAGACTGGAACGCTGGGGCAACTGCTGGAACCGCTACTACACGCTGGAGATCGACTACTTTATGAGCTCCTTGGGCTCCCAGGTCGTGAGTGTGCTTTCGGAGGAGTTCTTGTGGATGCGCACGCTGAGCTCCAACACGATGCAGGAGCGCGAGAACCGTGACCGCTTCTCGGAGCGAATTCAGTTGCTGGCGAACAAGCTGGACGGCTGCGAGGCCCACCTCATGCCGCGCACTGGACGCAGCGCCTCGCGTATCGGTGAGTACTACGTCCCGGAGAAGCAGCAGTCGCACATGGAGGCTGAGGAGTCGGCGCTCGACAAGATCACTCAAGCTGCGAATGAACTCGCTATTGAGAACTCGCTTGGCCAGGAGCTGCAAGTTACCAAGAAAGCCCTCTTCAATGACAAGTAGCGTGGTTTCGTTACCACATCGCATATCGTTAAGTAATAAACATGGACTGCGTGGATAATTTTCCAGCATGATGCGATAAATTATTGCGCTCACGGGCCGATGTTGAGAATTTGTGGCTGCTTAGCTAAAAAGTCTGCAGTCTAAAACAGCTTTGTCTTGGTTCTTCCTTCTCCCATGGCGAACAGTTCTTCCGCAATCCGTTCTTGCTCTTCCATAGCCTCCAAATTTTCCTGAAGTGCCTCACGATCAGCGTTGTCGACCACACTCACGACAGTCTGCTGAGGGAACAAAGAGGCTGTCGAGGAGCGCGATCCGTAGCCGTTGCCTTTCTTGAAGCGCTTGTAATTCACCAACCCGTCCCCTCCTCGCGCACTTTGGCGCGATGGTTCCCGTTTCTTAACTATCAACGTGCACCTCACAACAACTGGCTTGCCGATGTCATCTTCTTCCAATTTAACATCACGCGGAATCAACACACGAGCAGACTTCCAATCAGAGGCGTCCTCTCCTCTTAGTTTGGTCGTCTTCCGCTCGCTTGTAGTCATTGGCGACAACGCTTTACCGTGAAATATAAAGGAACGTAGCAGTAACATATCGAAAGCATTAGCCGCGCGTCGTGGGTGCGATGTAGAATCCCAGCACATTCATAGATACGAACCTTGTCGTTTGGTCTCCACCATGACCGGAATTTGCACAATGTTGATGGCAGTGTCCTCGATCGTGTCGCCTTTAACCTACAATACCGTAGTCAACGCAGTGATTAATGAAAGAAAAAGACCAAGACCGTGAACAACGTACCTCGGCGCTCTCGTAATTAGGATCGGTCTGCTGTTCTGAGCTCTCCTTGATCGTTACGTCTGCAACGTCGACATCCTCTGCCGATTCCACATCATCATCCTCTTGGCATGACTTCACTTCTTCTTTCTCGTGCTCTGCTGTCGATGTGGCTGACGTCGATCGTAAGCTTAAATGTTCCGGGAAACTCATAACTTGGACAGATGAGCCCGCATAACTGGCCAGACTGCTGCTGAAAGCCGAGTCGTTAGAAGTCGAAGGAGCCTTTACAAAAATCACGCTCGCTGCTAGCTCTTGAACACTCGTAAACACAGCTCCCATCGATTTAAACAACTCCACACGCCGTTCAACTATTTCCATCGGGCATGGAGGATCGGTGCCAGCGGAACCTCGCTGTTCACTTTGTCCTGCAGTGCTAGAAAACCCAGAGGCTTGTGAAGGTTCCACCAACAGCAAGCGCTTGCTAGAAGCGAGCGAGTCTAGCTTACGCATCAGTGCATCGTCCTCCTCCTGCTTGTACGCAGCAACGACAACACCGCCCATGGCTGCAATCAACTCCTGCATCGACTGCGGGGTCAGAAACACAACCACATATCCTTGAAACAGCGTCTTTCGCAGTGGATTCGGCAGATAACTGCTCTCCACCGATGGAATCGATGGATCTGACGGCAGGAAATCTTCACAGCGCGGCAACGACTCCGATAGACTCGAACGATTCAAAATGGCATAGATCCACGGTGTGCACACCACCGGCTGGTTGTACACGAGAGCCCACAGCACCTTCACCGTGGCCACAATGCGTCCAGGGTCCATAACGCAGTGCGTGGCATCCTTGCTCTCGCTTGGAATTAAGTGCATGCCGACGCGCTGGCACGCGTCGTTCACCTGCGGTCGACTGCCCCGCTGGATGCGCGAGGCCACGAGCACGAACACTTGGTAGCGCACACGCAGCACCGTCTTCTTGGCCCCGAAGGAGATCTGATCACCGTGCCGCAGTTGCCGCGTCCCGAAGCACTGCTCCTGGTTCACGAAGGAGCCGAAGCGCGACTTCATGTCCACCAGCTCCAGCGCCGGCCTCGTCGACGGGTCTCCCAATTGCTCTAGCGTGAGAGACCCCACGCGGATCAGCGCGTGTGTGCGCGAGATGGACGCGTCCGCGTGGAAGTTGAAGTGGCAGCGCTTGCGCCCCACGCTCCACTCGCCCGCCACCAGGTAGAAGGTCGTGCCGGCGCCTGCCTCGCCTGCAACAACATCCAGGACCCACATTTGGCTAATGGCACTTTTCGTGATAATCGACATAACCGAAATATTATACTTAGTCTGATCCGAATATTTCATTGAAGTCAAGCGACTCAAGTTCACTAAAAATGTGCTGCCAGACCTTATCCTCCTACAACACGTTGATCCAGCGCTCCTTCCGTCGCAGCTTGCGCGTCAATTTGCCACGTCGTTCTTCCTCAGCAAAAGCTCGCAGCGTTCAGCGGCACTTTTGCATTAGGCACCCTCACCAAACGCCCACTGAAACAGAGGGGGTGGTCGCGCACTGATTGCAGTGCCAGGAATCGTCGACGGGGTCACCGCGACTGGCACTGCCATTGGGAGCGGAAACTGCATGGAGCGTCTTGCAGACGACGCGGCTTCGGCACCCGCCAGACCTTCCGAGTCAGTGCGGCCAGCATTCTCCTCGCTGCGAGGTGAACTTGATCGAGTGTCGTCGTCCTCAAATCCACTCAGGTTCACCTCATCGAACTCGGCTCCGTCGCCGCGAAATGGCGATTCGAAACGGTGGATGCTTGATGGGCTAGCTTCGCGCTGCGGCGAGAGCACTCGGCAGTGGCGACGAGATGGTCCTAACGTTACAAGCATACTGTTAAAGCGAACGTGACGCACACTTGATTAATAAGCACAGCGTGCGTGCGTACCGTGCAAATCATCATCAGATTCGTGGCGCTCGCGCCGCTCGTGGTATGGTCGCGAGTGGCGACGTCGCTGCGAGCGGTGGGTAGGCTGGCGAGTCGATTGCATTTGCAGGTAACACCCATAGATATCAGCTGGACTGAGACGCGCTGCTCCACTTGCTCGTCGCGCCGCCTGGTACTTTACTCGTCCCCACAGGTCATTGATCCAAATAAGCCGTGTCGATAGCTGCTGCAAGTCCCCGGACACGGTTCCGCAAAAGCCTAGATGTATTGTAAGTACACACAGCAGGTCGTTGACTAAATGACTCTCACGACTGCAAGATACATAGTACCTACCGACAACCCATACTTCCTTGCGCAGCGCATTGCGAACGAAGCCCAACGACGTGTAAAAGTCACCGTCACCACTCAACAACACCACGCGATCAATGTACTGCACGCAAATTCAGACACAATTTTGATCAGAACTCTCTTGCAGCACGCCAGATTACCTTGCAGTTCGTACGTTCTGCGTCGTTAGTGTTAGAAGCTTTGTAGCAATCCTACAGAAACAGCGGAAGCATAACACGACACGATTAGCTTGATGAGAGCCCACATTTACTGCTTCTCAGTCGTACGCGTTGTCGACGCCTTTTTGGACGTTCTGGGTGAATCGATGTCCGCACTTCGTGCACCGGCAATTATACTTCTTCGTCGAAAACACCTCAACTTGAAACTGTAGCAAAAGCGTCGACTACATAAGTGCATGTACAGAGAAAGAGGCAAAACATAGCAGAAATCTCTACCTGTGGTCCGAATGGGCGCGCGAATTTAAGCCCGTGGTATTCAGCAGCAAGGGGGCTGTTGCCTCGCGCATCAAAACGTTGGCTGTCAAAATACCAGCATTCTGTGGATCATTGACAGAAATAACAAAAACTGTCAGGAACTACAGATAATGGTCAACCTGCACGAACCAAACCATGCCATGTACCCGTAAACTCGGTGCCTGCAAGGTACTCGAGCTCCGTTCGTAAGCTGGCGAAGTCCAACTTGCCGCCCTATAGACACAGCATACGTAGATGAGTCAATGATCGGCGCTTGTAGAGCTTAAACACACGCATTCACTTACCAACACTTGTCCTTGAATTCGCGCGTATGCGCCATCTACACAACAAGGTAGTCGTATCAGTCGCATCCTGCACCGGTCGTATTCGCACGAGCACTCACCAATAAGCAGCGCGGTGCTCTTCGCTCGTTCCTTCTTCTTCGTCATTACGCCCAGACTGCCGCCCTCAACTGCTTGCGTCCCAAGGAGAAAAACGGGAAATGAATTACTTTTCTCGTCCCTGTCTCGGACTCGTTACAGTACTTCAACTAACTGTAGGCTATCTCGTTTTCTTGTTCTCCGCTGCGCGCAATACTGGCTGCCGCTCGTGGCGAATAGCAGTGCTGCGTGGTCTGGGACCGAGGAACGCGAGCGTTCCCTGCTTCGCCCGCGCCCACATGACCGTTAGCACCTGGCCTGTTGCAGGGTCGCTCACCAGCGAGTAGAGGAAGTAGCCCAGCAGAGGAACCAGCACGGCCGCGTACACCACCGCGATAAACATCCACAGCTCGTCGAGCGACGACACAGAGCTGCTGGGCTTGGCGTGCGCCGCAGTCGCCAGCAGCGCGGGCAAAAGAGCGAAGCGCAGGATCGTCATCTTCAACTTGTAATGAGGAATTTGCAAATCCGAATTTTGCGATAGTTTCGTGATTTTTCGCCTTACCACAAAAGCGCGGGAAACAAGCATGGCTCGGATGAAGAAGCGCCGACGCGAGGAAGTCTCCTCGCAGCGCAGCAAGCGCTCGCGCCACCGTACGTGGGTCTTGTAGATGGCTATATGTTACGTATTACCGTGTTGTATCTGAGTTTACTGGTGTATCTCGCAGGTGATTCGATTGACAGCGCCGACGCAAGTGAGAGCGACGACGACGTGCAACCCACGAATGTGGTGGTGGCCGATGGCCCCAGCGACGCGGACGAGAAGGAAGAGGACAACGAAGAGGAGGAGGAGGAAGCGCTGCTCGACTTCACGCAGACCGACTACGCGGTGCAGATGAGTCAAGCCGAGCCGCCTGCTGAGGAAGACGACGCAGAAGGAGGAAGCAAGAAGGCCAATAAGGAGCCGGGCATCCCGAAGGCCGTGCACCAACTCTCGGAGAAGGTGCGCTGTTCTGCATATCGGCTTGCGTGGACTTGTGCACGAGACGGGGTGATAGAGGAGGTGTCGAGCTAACGTGGTTGTGCTGAGTAGGCGCTGGACGAGCTCACGGCCAAGCTGGTGCGCTACATGCTGTACAAAGGCGGCCTGAAGCTGCCAATTAAGTTCGCAGACATCAGCAAGGACGTTTTCCCACAGTACAAGAACGTTTCGAGGTGAAGTGGAGATGGAATGAGCCTTGCTGAGGCCACGTGTTTGTTCTGACTTTGTTACTTGCTCGGGCTGTGGTAGATACTTCTTCTTCCACGCGAAGCAGAGGATCGAAAGTGTGTTTGGCTACCGTGTAGTTCAAGTGGAGGATAGCACCAGCAAGGAGCTGTACCTGGTGCTAAACAATGCGTCGTCGCAGGAGCACTTGCTGCTCATGAACAAAACGGGCAAGGCTGCCTCGCGCGGTTTCCTCATGATGATCCTTGGCCTGTTGTGGTGTGCCCCAGCACGGCAACTCTCTGAAGGTTTGTATTGATGCCCACACTAGGAGCTTGCGGCGAGGGCTTATCGACGTGTTGACTCACGGTTTTTTATTTATGAATTGCAGACGAGTTGTGGAAACAGCTAATCCGCCTGGACTCGAAAGTGAAACTGAAAGGTGAGCACCCACAACTGGGTGACATCCCGCTACTTTTCAAGACATTCGAGGCCCAGCTGTAAGTGAATCGATCTCGCATAACCTCCAGAGTAAGTTTAACGTCCTGGTACTCATGCCGTTTGCCTTTTTGGTACATTCAGTTACCTGGACGCGACGTCAGAGCTCGATGCCGACTTGAAGAAGATCAAGTATTATCAGTATGGCCCTCGTACGCTCATGGAAGTGGGCAAGGTGCAGATTCTCAACTTTGTCTGCAAGGTGCGAGCTTTCTTCTGCTCCATGCCATGCGTTTGCGACTATTAATTAATAATCCGCCTGATGCGTTTTGTCATGCAGTTGATCACGGGGCGTCCTCCTTCGGATGTGCAGGTTAACGAGGTCTTGTCGGAGGACAGCTAGGTTGCTGGCCGAAGCAATTTTACACTAGCAGCAGCAGCAGCCAATTTACGGTGCCAAACTTCATTTTCAATCCCCGTCTTTGTTCCTGACTTACCTGAGCTGCCATCCGTTCAAAATGGAGTCCATCGTTGCCGCATACGGATCTTCATCCGAAGCATCCGACGATGCTGCTTCAGTATCGTCGGAAGATGAAGTGGAGGAAAGCACATCCGTTGAGCTTAGCGCCGAGGTAGCTACGCAGATCGGTACCAAGCGCAAGCGCCCCGACGAGCCCCAGTGGAAACGAGCGTTCCCGCACGTAGATGGGAATTGGCCAAGCCATGTACGCATCGACATTCCGGTCACCGAAGAGCTACGTGAGATGGCCAAATGCGCTATTGACCGTGCCCAGGAGCTCGTGGGTGAGAATGTGACACTGGTTCCATTTGAGGAGCTCAGGCTCGGCGAGTCTTCATCGACAGGCAGTGGCGGTGGACTGCACTTGAGTCTTTCGCGGGCCTTTATCCTCACGTATGACCAGATCGAAGGCTTCGTAGACTCCCTTCATACCGCACTTAAATGGCGACAACGGTGTGTGAACCACTGCGTACTGCAATTAACATTTGTGGAAACTTACAAGATACATGGTTTCTCTGTGTGCTTTGATACAGCTTCAGCGTCACCTTGGAGGGAGCGCTAGTATTGGTGAACGATGATAAGACACGCTCATTCCTGGCACTCCGGGTCAGTGCAGGTGCACAACAATTTAACCAAGTGCTACGCTGCGTTGACCAGTGCCTTGCTTGCTTCAAGCAGCCGACCTACTACCAGGTGCGCAATTGTTTCTGTTACTTAAGAATGCAACGAGAAAATTGAGTGATATATTCATTCCTTCTTGTCGTTGTGTTTGCTGCCGATGGCCTGGACCTTGCTGCATTTACCCGCTGTCTCTCCATCGGGGGCGAATTGGCTTTCTTAGGACCCCATCCCGCATGTCAGCATCGCGTCTTCGATGGGCGAAGAGCTCGCGCAACTGACACCGGACCAATGTGAAAACCTCCTTACCCCACGAAAGGAATCGCAGCAAGAGGCGAAGCCAACCTGCTTGACGGTAGGCGCTGCAACAGTTCACGTGGCCATCGGCAACAAACACTACGACATACCGCTCCGCTGATCACCCGACCCTCCAGTCCTACGTAAGATCAACTTGACTCTGAGCTGGATCGCACCACGTGTCTCCAACATCATCGTCGAAGTCCCTTCATTTTCTCACTCGCTTTCGGTGTCAGATGCGAGGTCAATAACTTGCGTCCGAGAGCCGATTTCATCCACCCCAGCATCTCGCCCCTGTGCTGTCATAACCGGTGTCGCTGTAGTTGGCCTCAGTGGCACCGGCAATGACAGCGGGAACGGCTTGCTGGTTTCCTCATCCGAACTAACGTCCGATAGAGTAAAAACTGGCACATCATCCGACTGCCTGCCCCCACGCCCTCCTCGTTTCGACCGCACTCGCTCGTTGTTTTCTAACGGTTCATAGCGATCACAACACATTAGTTGTGCATTTAAGAACCTCGCCCACCTTCAGCTACAGACGCACCATTTCTTTTCCGTTTCTTGCCATTCTTTCCTCCTGCACCTCGTTTCCCTTCAGCTGATTTTCTCTTCTTTTTCTCAGCCATCGGAGCACTTACGCTCGGGGTTTCGGCGGCAGGAACCGCCTCTGGGGCAGATGGCTTCTCACTGCAGGTGAGTTCTGCACGCGGTCGATCCCTTGAGCGTGAGCGGCTGCGCCCCCGACCACCTCTGCCTTTTGCTTTTCCGTTCCGGGATCGAGCTTTCCCACGTGTCGGATGATTGGTACGGTTTAATGCTTCGGCTTCTACCGGCGCAATTACCACTTGGCGACCACTGTCAACATCTTCGGTATAATCTGGTGGCGAAGACGAACCATTTGTGATGTGAACTTCTTCGCCCACGAGATCTTCAAACCAGCCCCCTTCATCTCCCCTTTCGCTTCGCCGATCTTGGTCGTGAGACCTTACTTGCCGCGCACTTTTAACTCGGCCCCACAAATCGTTCATATAGAGTACTCGAGATGCTAGTTGTTGGAGATCCCCGGATACTGTACCCCGATAGCCTAAAATTCAACTCAGGTCATTAGCACTGCTTAATTTGATGGAGACCTGCAACGTGGACACGACAACGTACCAATCACCCAAATATCCTTATGAAGCACATTCCGAGCAAGGCTCAGCGAGCTGTAGAAATCTCCGTCCCCTACGTAAACGCATATAACCGGTAACTTCCAAACTGGCCACAAGAAACCCGTACAAATTGGAACCATACCGGCGAACAAAATAAATCGATCGCAAATCTGGACATTTGTAGCGTGAACAAGGTTATCAAATGACTTCATCAGAACGCCATTACCACATGCGTACATTTTCGTAGGCAAGTGACAAGATCTTGGTGGCGATTCTATCAGAAAGAAGGACGGCATATTAGCAAACGCTTTTCACGTGATATGACCTGAAGCACACATACCCGTTGTCCACTCCTTTCTGGACATTTTGAGTGAAGTGATTACCGCATCTCTTGCAGTGGCAGCTATACTTCTTCATAGGGAACAAACTCACTTGGAACTGCGATGAATCAAACAAGTAGAGCTTTGTCAGCAACTACGCCACGAAGATTAATACCATAAAACTGCACAACCTGAGGTCCATCCGGTGGAGCGAACTTAAGCCTGTGGTACTCCGCCGTTAAGGACGCGTTGAGTCGCTGTGCGGAAGGGTTCTGATCGAAGAACCAGCAATCTGACGGAGCAGGAAAACGTCAACAAGCATTTGCGGTGTTCCGGCGCCACAAAGCGCAAGGCGAGCCATACATGTACGCAACGCCGAAGTAGCCCTAACAGGTGAATCTAATGGAAATCATCTTCCTACCTCCAAACGGGGCCTTGGCCAGTTCCTCCAGCGCTGCACGAAGCTTGATGTAGTCGATCTTGCCTCCCTTCCGAGTGCCAATACGAGCAGCAGACGCTCAAAAATCAGTGCCAAACTAGGCATGACCCAAGAGCAACATATCTCCAGCACGCCAGCAGCAAACGCACCAAGGAGCGGGCGCCGATCATCGCGTAAGAACCGTCTGCAGTCATCCAACCAGTCGCATCGGGTAAGACTAAGAATCGTTGCAAACGGCGCACTAACTGCTCAATTGTAGCTGCAGCCACGCTTACCGATAATGAGAGCCGTGCGCGTTGACCCAGCCGTCTCCACGGTCGATGCCGAAGACGCCGTGGACGCTGTGGAGCTCATGGAAGACGCCATCGTCGCCGCCGCGCCGCCGTCGGCTCAACTCGCTTCTTGGTTCAATTGCGTAGCTTTTTCAGCCAATGGCGTTCGGTTTGTGTGCACCACATAGCACATACGTCGCCCCTCCTCCGTCCCTCCCCATCGACTTTATTTTTTCTATATTTTTGGATTTTTTCCCGCGCAGTCAGTGGCCCAAACCCATCCAACAACCGAAATCTCGCCGCCGCCAACAGATCGCCGCGTATCAACCGCTCCCCCGAGCGCAGCTTAGCCCCAAGCTTAGAACCAGACACCCAGCACGCAACCATGCCCGGCGAGGAGAACAAGGAGTTCGACGACGAGTTGGTCGACTACGAAGAGGAGGAGGAGACGACGACGGACGCCTCCAAGGCTGCTGCCGAGGGCAAGGACGCCAAGAAGTAAGCAAAAAGATCTCGACCCCGAAGGGGATTGCGTACCCGAGAGGGGGAGCAGCACCGAGGAGAGAGAGCGAGCGACGCCGGGGGGAGAAGACGACGCTTTCTCGCTCGTTCGCCTGCGGTCGGAGGACCTCTTAAGCGCAGCCGCGCTGGCCGTCGTGATGACGCAATCGACGCTCGGTCGCTTATCCGCTCGCTCGGGATCTTCGAGGGAAGGAGGGGAAAAGGCCAGTTTGTTAACAACTTCTTCTGTATCTGTTCCGTGCTGTCGCTGGATGGTGATCGACAATCGTGATCGCGGGGGAATCTTTCAACAGGGGCCACTACGTCGGCATCCACAGTTCGGGTTTCCGTGACTTCATCCTCAAGCCTGAGTGCCTGCGCGCCGTCGTGGACTGCGGTTTTGAGCACCCTTCGGAAGGTGAGCTTCAGTTGACTCTGCTCGTGGTGGGGTCATTGTAACGGCAACTCACGATCTTGTGTTGCATTTGCTGTTGATACATTGCAGTCCAGCACGAGTGCATTCCTCAGGCCGTGCTCGGCATGGACATCATTTGCCAGGCCAAGTCGGGTATGGGAAAGACTGCTGTTTTCGTACTTGCTACGCTGCACCAGGTAGAGAGAGAGCTGCAACTTGGGACCGATTTTCTTGCTATTGAACGGGAACTCATGAACTTTGTGCTGTACTCTTAGATCGAGCCCGTGGACGGTCAGATTAGCGTCGTGGTGATGTGCCACACCCGCGAGCTGGCGTTCCAGATCGCTCACGAGTATGAGCGTTTCAGCAAGTACCTTGTGGACGTGAAGACCGGTGTGTTCTACGGAGGTACGTTAGATGCTATTTAATTGTGTTGGAATGATGCATACCCTGACACGAATCTGTTTGCAGGCGTGCCTATTTCGCAGAACCGTGAGGCTCTGAAGAACAACCCGCCCCACATCCTTGTGGGCACTCCCGGCCGTATCCTGGGTCTGCTTCGCGAAAAGACCCTGAAGCTGGACAAGGTGAAGCACTTCGTCATGGATGAGTGTGACAAGATGCTCGAAGCCATCGGTACGTCATGCACCAAGTATGACAGCGTCCGTTCCAGCGATTTATCAAAACCTGTTTTTTTCCTCGATAGACATGCGTCGTGACATCCAGGAGATCTTCAAGGCGACGCCGCACGACAAGCAGGTGATGATGTTCTCGGCGACTCTGTCGAAGGAAATCCGCCCCGTGTGTCGCAAGTTCTGCCAGGACGTAAGTATTCATAGCGACATGATGGTAGTGCGCTTAGCCTCCGTTTCTGACGCAGTGTGTGGCGTACTTCTTGCTTCGACCAGCCGATGGAGATTTACGTCGACGATGAGACGAAGCTGACCCTTCACGGTCTGCAGCAGTACTACATCAAGCTGGAGGAGTCGGAGAAGAACCGCAAGCTGAACGACCTGCTGGATGCGCTGGAGTTCAACCAGGTGGTGATCTTCGTCTCCAAGAAGAACCGTGGACGCGAGCTCAACCGCCTGCTGAACGAGTGCAACTTCCCCTCGATCTGCATTACGGCCGACCTCTCTCAGGAGGAGCGTATTAAGCGGTACAAAAGCTTCAAGGACTTCCAGAAGCGTATCCTGGTGACGACGGACCTTTTCGGCCGTGGTATGGATATTGAGCGTGTCAACATCGTGGTCAACTACGACTTCCCGAACGACAGCGACCAGTACCTTCACCGCGTGGGCCGTGCCGGTCGTTTCGGTACCAAGGGTCTGTCGATTAGCTTCATCTCGTCGGAGGAGGACACGGAGATGCTTGCTAAGGTGCAGTCTCGTTTCGAGGTCAACATCCCCGAGCTGCCCGACCAGATCGACATCTCCACGTACATGAGCACTTAGGCAAACTTTTCGGCTCTTGAGAAGAACAAGGAAGGGGGAGGAGGTTGCAAGAATGCAAACGCTATGTCCAAACCAACCAACCTCGCGCTTTTCAACCCATACAAGCTCCATTTCGGAAGAAAGCTTTATTGCTGCTGCGTGGCTGAATGAATATACCCAAAGCGCTGCGGACGATGCTTTACGATTCGGCTCGCGCTGTTTCTACTGGTGTCGTCCCAAGCTGCCGGTTCCAAGTGTTACTCTTTTCTCCGTCGCTTCGTCGACCCGTCGATTTCCTTCATGCCCCCACGGTGGCTCTTGTACTTTTCGCGGATGCCGTCATTGCGAGCCCAAAGTGAATCGCGGCTGGAGGTATCTTGGTCTGCCAGATGCGTGTACTTCGTGCTATGAATTATAAGTTGGGAACAAAACAAAATCAACGGATGAGTGTTAGAAATGCTAGCAAGCGATCAAAGCAACCTCAGGAAATACCATACCGGCCCGCGCGTCCAAAGTTCTTGACCTGCATCACTGCCGGAAGCATCTCCTTGTTGAACTTATCCTCCAGCGTAGCTCCGTCGGCATCTCGCTTACGCACGTCATCCTTCGATTGAATGCTATCGTCGTCGACGTAGAATGCGCCCTTGTGGTAGTATTTCTGCATGAATTTCAGCTTCTTCTTTTCCTTGGGCTCGTTCTTCTTCAGTTTACTGCAACACAAACCTTTAGTATCGCTTCTGATCATATCATCGGCATGCACATTCCGAAAACGTACGCGTCCTCAGCGGCCCGCTCTTCGGCAGTCATGTTACGTCTTCTCAGCGTCTCTTCTTCTTCCTGCCTGCGCTGTTCCTTACGATCACGATCACTACGGGAACAACATGCAACCAGAGTCAGAAGAGTGACAGGATGATTTCAGCCCACTTGGACATCTTACCGCTTGATACGCCGCATTTCACGCAGCTCCCAGTCGCGGTACTCTTGAGCCGGGTCCAGACCATCCGTGTCATCAGCCATCTCTCCGTCAGTCGAGCCGTCCTTGTCAGCGCCGTCCTGCTCGCGACGAATCTCCTCTGCTACCAAACGGCGAGACTCCATTTTCCGCGCCTCCATCTTCTCCTGCTCGCGTTTCTGACGTCGTTCCTCCTCTGCCGCCATCTCCTCTTGTCGCTTCACGGTCCCGCGAGCCTTCTTGGGAACGAAGACGGGTTTCATGATTTCCTCGCCAGGTTCCGAGTCATTTGTATCGGTCTCATACTCCGAGCTGCTGCTGCCGCTACTGCTACTGCTAGATCCGGCCCTTGCGTTACCAGCCTTAGCTGCCGGGATTGCTCCGCTGCGCTTCACAATTTGAGGCGCAACAGGCTGCCGCACACTCTTTTTCTCGATAGCTGCCGGTTTTGCTTCCTCTTCCTTTTCTGCCTCACGAGCCTTGGCCTTGCTGCGTAGCATGCGGCGTCGACGGTCGATATCCGAGTCGTCTTCCTCCTCCGAGCTCGAATCTTGCAGCGCCTTGGCCACATCTTCATCGCTCGAGCCCTTTTCACCCTCAGAGGACGATGACAGAGCACGTTCTTTAGCAGCGGGTGCAGCGGCGCTGATGACTTGCGCCTCAACGCGCTTCCTTCCCGTGGTAATCACTGGCGCAGGTTTGTGCTGCGCCTTAGCCTTCGGGAGCGCCCGCACCTGGCTGTTGGCGGTCACGAAGCCGCGGTCCTCCTCGTAGCCATGTGCGAAGGCTGGGACTTGACCTGCTCGGTACCGCGTCACTTTCTTGGACGGGTCCACCTTGGGCTTCAGTGGCTTGAACACCTCCGTCTCCTCTCTGCAGGAGCAACGAAGAGCAACCGTTAGATAACGAATTAGAAGAAACTACTCGCAAGGTTAGTATGAGAAGCATGCCGCACTTGGTGTTGGTGTGGCGCAGTGACACCGGGTCTCCGGGGGTGTCATCAGGCAGCAGCAAGCCGAGGTCCTTCTTGGTGAAGAGCGACATCGCAGGCGCAAAGGCGATTTGTGTAAATGCGATTTGTATAATTGGTCCGCTCTACATACCTTTAACTAGAAATATAGTCATACTTAAGATAAGAATATACTCCAAATTATTTTTTTCAAGGCGCTGCTTGTTGCATGCTGCTCATGATTGATATCCCGTGCTGCAGAAAGTTCCACTAATAATGGAGTGTGCCTCATGTTCACCGATGCCGAGAGGAGAAAATCTGCCGAGCACTGACACGAATTGTACATGTAGATGAAGAAGAAATGTGAGCAATGGAGCAGATGCATTCCTGGGGATATATCCACGAACGAGTGGAGATCTAGGCGTTTGGCAAATAATTCCTGCGATTCTGACTTCGATGCGAAAGTGTCAGAACTCCCCAGCCATTATATTAATCTGCTTTGCGAGCATCGTTCGCTGGTGCGGGCAATATACTTTCGTGTCACTGAGTGCGCAAAGTTACTGCGCCGTGAACGCATAAGCACCTCCGGCGAGAATAACCAGCAGAACCACGGCCGCAATGATCATCATGGGATTCGAGTCGGATTGCTTCTCTTTGAAGGCTACAAACACAAACACGAGCGGGACCTGTCAGCGACGTGTAACATTACCGCGGAGATGTTCGCCGCCGCGCACGTACTGTTCCCGGGGATGGCGTATCTTGAGCGCAGCTGGGCCGCACTGAGGTCGCAGTCGCGCACGCTGCCTCCGCGCTCGTAGCGCTGCCGCAGCTCACTCGCAGTCATGCCATCGTCCATCGTTATTTGCTAGGTTGCTTCTGTCGCGAGCGCTTCGACGTCCCGCTGTTGGATTCTGGCAAGAAAGCCCCGACTCCGTTTTGGGCTGCGCCCTTTCAAGCTCGGCGGTGGTTTCAGGTTCAACATGCTCGCCGTCCCAAGTTCCGGCCAGGTGCTCGCAGCACGCACGACCAGCATCAATAGCATCAATCCCTCGAGCTTCTTGACTTGCAAATGACACTTGCCGACAAACACTGATGCTGCCCCCGACTGAGCTCGATGGAGCCCAAGTCACATATTAATATTTGTCTTTAAATGGCTGCACCATTTCTAGTGGGTACAATCATTAAGATACACTTTACACGCAATTAACAACCGAGTAAACGTCAGTTCTCGCCAACACGCACCTGTCCGACATGGCGTTCCAGACGCCGATGCACGCGCTCGGGCTGCCGCAGACCCGTGCTCGTAGCCGAGACGCTATGGGCGCCAAGGAGGCTGCGCTGTTCCGTCGGCGACGCGCGATCGCAGGCGTGGTGGTCACAGCGCTGTGTCTGTCTGTGCTTATGACCTGGCGCCTCTTCATGCAGCTGCCGCCCTCCGTCTCGATGTCCATCGCCTCCCCGCGCCGCACGCTGCACCAGACGCTGTCGCCTCATATGAAGCAGCAAGAGAAACTCGAGTCCGAGAACGAGCGCCAGCGCAACATTCAGGAGCGCCAAGTGTCACGAGGATTCCGTGATGACAAGCAGATCGTGATGGTGCTCACCCACTTCCGAGACAGCGACGCGTGCGCCCAGACGCTCGTTGACGCGCTCACAAACGCGTTTCTGTCGTCACGAGTTCACTTCCGCGTGTTCGAAGAGCTGTACCTGGCGGAGGAGCAGACGTGTGCGCGGCGCTTCTGCGAGCTAAAACCCAAGGACTGCAAGCAATTGCTGCGATCGGGGCAGCTACGCACGCAAAGGAGGGACGCCTCGGGAGCTGTTGGGAGTACGGTGGCTAAATACATCGCCGAAGGAATGGTGGAGCGCAAGTTCTTGGACCATTTCTATCTGTCGGTGGATCCGGCGGTCGTGGTTTTCACGGATAGCTGGGACCTCAACCTGCTGAAGCAATGGTACAACGTGGGCAATGACATGGCTATCCTGAGCGTCGCCCCCAAGTCTGTCGAGCTACAAGGTTTGACGAATTCTACTATGCTCGTGCAGTGTTCCGCTCGGATCCACTCGAAGGACCAAGACGCAGTCGTTGAGTACAACGCTCCTGAGCCCATTCCCCGTCAGGGCGCTGCGCTGCTTTCTCCTGTGCTGCAAACGCAGTACACTGAAGTGTTTCACTTCGGTCCGACTCACGCGCTTTTCGACGTGCGCTCGGATCCGCACACGCCGTTGATCTCGGCTGGACAAGAGTACGCCCGGGCCACGCGCTTCTGGACGCGCGGCTACGACTTCTACGCACCCAACGAAGACGTTTTGTTTGCGCGGTACAAGTGGCAGGAGCCCCCGCTCCCTATGTCTAGCGGCAGCCTTGGCGACCGAACGGAGCAGCAGCGACAGCGCAGAGTGGACGAGGCCAACCGCCGCATCCGCCGGCTGCTGGGACTACCAGTGTCCGCACAGGATGGCCAACTGGAGCAGGCCGAAGTGTACGGGGTGGGCAAGAATCGCACTATGGAGGCCTGGCGGAGGTTTTCCGGCGTGGATCCGCGTGCGGCCTACAACGAGTCCACCACGAACCAGTTTACGCTCTGTGGTGCGGTAGCGACCGGCAAGGTGCACTATGTGCCGTACTAACCGTGATTTACTGTACAATAACGATTAGTACACGATGGTCTATTGTTACCCTCGGAGGGACGATAGGTGTTCAATCATTTGATCCGAAGATGAAGGAGTCACAGACTCTGAATTTGAGTGTTCGCCAGGAAATCTACTGCTTTATGCGGCCCAGACTTTATCGAACAGCGCGAATAACTCATCGAAACTTTCACTTTAGATGTTATGGTCAGCGAGGTACTCCGGCATTCCAGCCTACGGCTTCTTTGACATCTGTACATCAAGATGACGTACGAAGTCTTCCGCAATTTTGTTTAAACTGTAGCTCCATCCTTATGCATTTCTCGTGACTAACAGAATGTTTGAATCAGCTCCTTGCTGCGATGGTAGGTCGATTCGAGGGTGTTCTCGCGCTGTGTAGGTACTGTAGTTGTAGAACGCCCTGGTTCAATTCACGTTCACTGTGTACCCTATTCGGTAGCCTACGTTACTTTATGTAGTGTATTTGACAGTGCATTCTATTGGTGGAAACTATGTTTTTGCAAATCTTCCTTTTGACCATTTCAATTCGCTAAAATAGTGGAAAATCATATATTCCACCAATCGCCGTATTTGATCGCCGTCGCAAGCGGAAATCCCGAAGGCGCGCACGGCAGGCAGGAGGCGGACGCCAAGGGACGACGATGAACGTGGAGGTGGTGCGCCAGAAGCTGGTGGACGGCGAGCCGGACGCCGTGCTGAAGGAGCTGGTGGACCTGTACCGCCGCGCCGAGATCCTGCACACACCGCAGCTCGGCCGCATCCTTGAGGCGCTCTTCCCGGTCTGGAAGGGGTTGCTGCAGACCAAGCTGCAGCCGCAGCTGCGCTCCACGACGCAGAACCGCTGCCGAAAGGTGCTCCTGCAGATCCTGAATAGGATGCCGAGTAATGAAGCGCTGCGGCCGTATGTGGCGCAGCTGCTCCAGCTGCTGATGGAGGTCCTGCAGAAAGACAACGAGGACAACGCGCTGATCGCGCTCAAGACACTGTTCGACCTGCACCGCAACTACCGACCGGGACTCCGCAATGAAGTGCAGCCGTTTCTGGAGCTGGTGCAACTCATGTACAAGAATCTGCAGACGACGATGAAGAAGCAGTTCAGTGGACCGCCAGAGACGCACAAGTCCAGCTCCGTGTCGGCGGCAACGACGCCCACTGCCGCTAAAGCTGCAGCGTCTTCAGCTGCTGCTGCAGAGGAAACAAAGGAATCTACTGCAGCTGAAAAGGAATCGGCCAGTACTGCGAGTACTTCGGCGGGATCAACACAAGCAGGGGCGTCAGCACCCCAGGCAGCAACGAGTAGCAGCGCTGGCGAGACGGCTGCAACTGCAGCATCTTCTTCTACAGCAGTACCAGAAAATAGTGGTGCAAGTGCCGCGGCTACAGCAGCTTCTGGTAGTGAATCAGCCACCGATGAGCCTATCTGCAGCAATTTGGAGTCGTTCAAGACAATTTCGGAGTTGCCGTTGATCATCATGCTGCTCTTCCAGTGCTATCCGAGCTACATCGAGAGCTACATTCCCGTTTTGGTACCGCTGATGATGTCGGCGCTGGCATTGCGTGCGCCGGATACGGCGGCAACGTCACATCCGTCTCGTTATTTGGATTTCTTGGATTGTCAAGTGAAGACGCTGTCATTTGTAACGTACTTGCTGCGTGGGTGCGCCAATCTGATGCGTCCATTTCAAGATGCTATCTGTGAGAACACAGTAAAGCTGCTCGTGGCTTGTCCCAAGGACGCCTTCGTGCTACGCAAGGACATCTTTGTGGCAGCAAGACACATCATCTCGACGGACTTTCGGAGAGGGTTTTATCCGCAGCTAGAACTACTCATGAACGATGACGTGTTGGTGGGCAAGGGACGTTGTAGCTTCTACCAGATCCGGCCTTTGGCGTATTCAACTTTGGCAGACATGATCCATCATGTTCGGGATATGCTAACTCTGGCTCAGGTGAGCACAATCGTGGATTTCTACGGCAAGCGTATCCATGACCCAACGCTGCCAATCTCTATCCAAACGACCAGCATTCGGTTGCTTCTCAATCTCGTCGACATCAGTGCTAAGAATGAGGATACGGACGCATGGAAAGGTCGTAACATTCTCTCGCGCATTCTGCTCATCATTTCTGGGAAGTTCGGCACAACGCTGGAAAATTTGCCTATGGCTCTTGCAACTACTCTTCGCAGTAAGTCTAGCGGTGATCGAGGTGATCTACTGGAAGGAGGTGCTATGGATAAAATCAAGCAGTCCAGCCTGCTTCCTAAAGAAGTCGTGCAAAAAACACCGTACGAGAAGAAACTGGAGGTGCTACTGTTGCCGCATATGCGTGTACAACGCCCCGCGGACTCTATTTCGGAGGAAGAACCGAGTATTCGTGATATCAAGTCTCTGCTGCGCACAATGATCCTGGGTATCCGCGCTGTTATCTGGTGTACAGCCAATTACCGAAATCCGCACGCGAAGGATTTGTCAACGGTTGATGCCAACAGCACTGATGCGAGTGGTATGGCTGCTGTTTCGAGCTCTCAGGGAATTCACTCGGGGCTGACCATGGACGTGGTGACAAGTGCTACTGGTCGGTCGTCTGGGAGCGAACACTTGTATCCAATGACTGATGATGAACGCTTGCTTATCGCGAAGGTGCTTCGGAATGGATTGCGTTGTTTTATCCTTTATACGCTTTCCGAGAACACTCTATCAGAGGAGAAACAAATGCTGGACCACTTCGCTGGGGCATTCACAGTTTTGGATGCCGCGGACTTTCGGGACCTATTCATTTCGAATATTGAGCTGCTCTATCAGTGCATCCTTCAGGATCACGCTATATTGACGATCCCCCAGCATTTCTTGGCCAACTCGAATGTGAGCTGCTGGTTTGCTGAGATCCTGCTCAAGTTCTTAATTACGCAGATGAAGGACCTGAGTGTCGAATCGGAGGGTGATTTGCCCGATACGAAGCGTGTGGACAAGGTGATGGCTATCGAGAATCTTCAGTTTGAGAATATGCGTACTGTACCGCAGGTGCATCGTGCCTCCATTGTGCTCCGGCTGTTTAAGATTGTCTTTGGTTCGGTCACGTTGTTCAAGTCGAACGAATCAGCGCTGTTCCCGCATTTGCGTACAATTATTGAGTCGTGTCTGAAGCAAGCCACGTTCACAAAGCATCCAGACAACTACTTGCTGTTGCTACGTGCGCTGTTCCGGTCAATTTCAGGTGGAAAGTATGAAAACTTTTACAAGGAGGTGTTCCCGCTGCTGCCGGGTGTATTGTCAGCGCTGATGCGACTACAGAAGCACATTGGAAAACCGGCGATGCAAGAAGTGCTATTGGAGTTGTGTTTGACGATCCCAGCTCGACTGAGCTCATTGCTACAGTACTTGCCATCTCTCATGAAGTCGGTAGTGCGTGCGATCTTATCACGCGGCGAGCTCGCGTACTTAGGGCTGAGGACGCTGGAGTTTTGGGTGGACAATCTCAATCCGGACTTCTTGTATCCTATCATGACCTCTCAGGACCGGTTGCTTACGGAGATAATTGAGGCGCTGAACACACACCTCATCCCGCCACCGTACCCGTACGGTGAATTGGCCATGCGCATCCTGGGCAAGATTGGTGGTCGAAACCGTCAGTACCTTATGGATCCGCTGAACCTAGATTACCATGAGCACTCGTTTACGGGCATGTCTTTCACGTTTCAATGGGGTGGAGATGGAGATATTATGGATGTCGATATGGAAGGTGATGGAGTTGTACCGAACCAGGGCGGTAGATTTCCGATAAAGATGGATCTGCTTGTTGCACAGGCAACTAAGGTGCTTCGCACATACTTACGGAAGACGTCTGCGGAGCGCAATAATGTGAACAAGACTGATTCACGCCTTGCCGATGTCGATGATTTTGAAGAAGGCGAAAACGCAACAAGACCATCTTTCTTGCTCGAAAAGGATGACAAGACGCTTCAGTTGGAGACTGAAACAATGGGGAAAATTCGTGGATCAATTTTGCAGCATAAGCGCTCTGCGTTTATGTTTATTTCTCGCGCGGCGGTGGTATCTCTCAACGTAAGTTACTATGCAACTGCTGATTGCGAAACGCTTGACAGCAACGAAGACGCTACCAACGTGGGTTTGCAGCATGCGGAGCCAATGCGGAAAGTGATTTCGCAGGAGGCCTTGCGTTCCACACGCAAACAGCTATTGGAAGTTTTATTTGAAACGATGGTGGATGTGGATGTTGGTGCAGATGCAAAAAAAGTGTTGGAGGGTGTTGCGGCTCATCTCACAATATTGGCTTTGAAAAAGTGTTCACGAGACCCGCCAAATTTTGCTGTACTGTCTACTCTGCATGCATCGACATTGTATGCAGCGACGAGAGGTTTGTCGCCTGGACGTCACTTGGCAACGACGAAGCGGATAGAAACACTTCGTCAGGCGACGTATGGAATCTCAAAAATGACGGAAGGGGATGTGGCGAATGATTTTTACTCGTTTGCCCAAGCGGTTTCAGTTGCGCTGAGCTCGCCGGATCAACGGATTGTCGATGCAGCGAAAGAGATGGCCACGTTCATCGTCAAGACAGCTATTGCCCAGTTCGACTCACCGCAACTAGCTATGGAGCATGGTGGGGCTCTGTTTAACAGCATGTGCGAAGTGTTCGCTCACGGCTGCTACGACAAAGGAAGCTGGCGCCAGAAATTGGGAGGAGCTATCGGCCTGCGGCTACTTGTAGACCTGCTTGAGCCTCAGTGGTCTCACGAAAACGAACTCACGATTATCAAGGCGTTGTTTTTTGTACTGTCAGATCACCCCCCAGAAGTAAGTGCGACTGTAAGTGCTGAGACTGGCGAGGCGTTGGAAGGGGTTGTGAAGGCAGCATGGAAGGTTCGCTCGGGGTTCGCAGACCAGTTCGGCGACGATGAAGCCAAGAAAAAGGACTTCTTGTCGTGTGTTGCTTTCCAGGACACTGAAGTATTCCAGATGCTTGTCGTGGAATTCCTGAGCCCGAAGGCGCCAACCCGACAGTACGCGAAACAATGTATCGCCACAGTTGCATCGCTGCAAGAAACGACTGCTTCAGCTCTGCTATATCCATACAACCAGTTGATCAGTAAGCAGATCACTGGGTGCAATCTACGCATGCTGCCTAGCAATACCAGGACAGGCTACGTAGATGCAATGGCATACGCACTGTCAATGGAGCCACCGATATTCTCGCTGACCAAGGAACTCATGATGTTTCTTCAAGAGGTATGGAAATTGATTTCGGAAGATTCACAGCGCGATGGAGTTACAATGGTTGGGGCAGAAAGCCCAAACAGCGTTGGAGGTACTGCGCCGGCGATACCAGGGTCTGGTGTATCGGCCCAGGAATATCCGTTTGGACTTTCACAAGCCTGCGAATTGCGCATTGCAGCCGCCAAACTGCTCCGTGCAGCTTTTCTTGCGGCGCCGAACGAGCTGAATCAGCACCCCGAGTATCGCAATCGCTTTGTGGGCGTTTTCTTTCGATATCTGACGGGTCAGCCCCCGGAGCTGGTTCAAGTAGCGCAAAATGCGTTAACAGATGTCATTCAGCTGAACAAGCAAAATAAGGATGTATTTCTACCGAAGGAGCTTCTGCAACAATGCTTGAGACCAGTACTTCTCAACTTGGCCGACTACCGGAAACTTAACCTCCCGCTGCTGGAAGGGTTGTCGCGCCTACTGACGTTGCTCAGCAGTTGCTTCAACGTGACACTCGGGGAAAAACTGCTAGAGCATCTGAAGCAATGGCGTGATCCAGATCGAATTGCCAAAGCAGGAATTTGGAAGCGGGGCGAAGAGCCCGCTGTAGCAGCAGCAATTGTGGATCTTTTTCACTTGCTACCTCCCAACGATGCATTTTTGGAGCCGCTCATTAATTGCGTGGTGGACCTTGAGGCTGTACTGCCGAAGTACGGAAGTTATGGCAAAATGAGCTCGCCGTACCGGATTCCATTGACACGGTTCTTAAATCGCTACGCGTCGAAGGCTGTAGCATTTTTTCTGAAGCGTGAGCAGTTGGTCGAGGTCAAGTATTCGTCGCTATTCCAGCAGCTTATTAAGCTACCAGAGGCAGCTCCACTCCATGCGGTCATAATTGGCGACGGTGGTGCCGAGTCTATGGTAGAGGCAACCTTTAATGCTGCGTTGAAGATTAACGCTGCTGGTTTCGGAGACGTCAAAAGTGGAGCAGATGTGTCCAGCGACGCCAAAATGCAGGCCCAGATTCAGCTGAACGCGCAGAAAGCAGCAGCACAGGCTGTGGCCAACGCACAAGCTCAAGGAATGACCGCGTCAGCGGCGGAAGCTCGTGGTGTGCAAGCTCGTGCTGCGTATGTAGTGAAAGCTCAGGCTCAAGTGAACGCTCAGCAGGCGCTGAAGGTGCAGTCCCAAGTTCAGATTCAGGCCAATGCACAGAAATTGCACGCGCAGACTCTGGCAGCTGCCCAAGCTCAAGGACTGTCACTGGTGCAAGCTCAAGCAAAAGCGCAGTTCGCTAGCAAAGAGTACATCGCAAAGGCTCAAAGTCACATCTCGTCTGCCGCCATGCAAACGCCGTTACCCAATCCTGCGATGAGCTCACTGGTCACGCAGCAACAAGCGCAACAGCTACAAGCTCAGATCCAAGTGAACGCACAGAAGGTTCATGCCCAGGCACTTGCAACGGCTCAGGCCCAAGGCTTAAAACCAATGCAAGCGCAAGAAAAGGCAAAGCAGGCGCAAGCAACTTACATCCACCGTGCAAATGCGCAAGCTCAAGCAAAAATTGCACGAGCTCAGAGCCAGGGTTTAGCATCATCGCTGGCCTTGAGCAGCACCTCAACCACTGTCAGCGGTGGCCCATTTGCTTCCAAAGCTCAACAGGAGGCCCTGGAGCTGCATTACCAGGGATTGCGACTTGTACGCTCGATCAGCAAACTCCACCCAGCGTGGTTAGCGTCACAGACCGTCATTATCGAGTGTTTGAGGAAACTGTGGCGCTCATCAGCGCGAATCCAGCGACTCGTTGCGCACAATCGACTGCCTATCAAGTTTCACCTTGAGTCTAAGCTGCTGATTAAGTGTTTGATCACGTACAGCCGAGCAAAACCAGAAGATGTTCAGGTGCTGCTGGACATGGTATCGGTGTTTCTACACCGCACACCGTTCGACTTCAGTTTCCTGCAAACTTTCTATCGAGAGGAGGTCGCAACCAAGTACAGCGTGGCAAACAAGCGGAACCTCATTCGATTGTTCCTGCGTATGCTACGTGAACCGGGGGCATCTGAGGAACTGAAGGTTCACGCTGTTCAGTTGTTAATAATGCCTGTGCTGACGACGTCGTTCGAGGACCCAAACGTGAACAATATCGACGTCATGGACCTTGATACTGTTATGTGGATGTTACGGGAAATTTTGGCAAGCAAAGATTTTCCGCCGGACACAATGCAAAGCCTTCGGATTGAGCTACTCAAGCTGGGAACGCTACTCATCCAGCACATGAGCAAGTATGTGACTGACCACCGCAAGGAAGTGATCAAGTTTGCGTGGAATCATCTGAAAGCTCACGACCTGACGTCGAAACTCTGGGCATATGTGAACGTCTGCCGCTTTATCTCTGTCTACGATACGCCACCGAAGATTGTTTTGCAAGTGTATGTTGCGTTGTTGCGCACGCACGAAATGGACGCGCGTTTTCTGGTTCGAAAGGCGTTTGATATCCTCTTACCCGCACTGCCGAGCCGTTTGCCTTCAAATGAATTTATCAAGGCTATCAAGTGGACAAAAAAGATAGCGTACGAAGAGGGGCATGTTCTTGGGCAATTGGTCCACATTTGGTTCTTGATTGTTCGGCATCCGGCGCTGTTCTATCCATTTCGCGGCCAGTTTGTGCCGCTCATGGTGAACTCGCTAAACCGTTTGGCAATTCCTCCTAGTAGTACGCCTGACAACCGTAGACTTGCGGTGAACATTGTAGACTTGGTCATTTCATGGGAGCAAACACGGCATGATCGACTCGCCATGAGGGGTACTCTTTTAGCGTCTGGACACAAAGTAGCAAGCCCTGGTGGAGAACTAAAGCGGAGCCCATCCGCAATGAGAACTGCTGCAACGCTGGAGGGAGCTGTGGACGAACATGCGATGAAAAAACGGAAAGTTTTGCCGAGTGAAAGCACTAGCTCGTCGGATGCAAAGACTGTAGATGTTCCACCGAGTTCTAGTCCGAGCCATGACAACACCACCACGTTGCAGATTCAAGTTCCAGCCCCTGGATCTGGTCAGCAGCAAGGGCAGGTATCGGCATCCCCGTCTTCAGAGGCAACTCGGGCGGCGAACAGCGAAGATGATTTTGAGCTGAGCGGTGCTATGGTGGATCTGGTTATAAATTTCGCTTTTCGATTTGCTTTGGCATCTGCGGACAAGCAGGAGACAAGCCGTCTGGCAAAGACGTGTGGCGAGCTGTTCGACAAGGCACTGCGCTTGTGGCCGTCTGCATCCATTCGCTTCTCCTACTTCGACAAGTTGATCGCTGTCACTGCGGAGACAGTGATTCGGCAGCAGCAACAGCTGCAGGCAAGTATGAACGCCGCTGCCGCTGCTGCTGGAGGCACTGGACAGCCTGTTCCGATTCCAGCACCACCTCCACCGACCGTTATGCCCCCGTTTTTTGTGGTACCGAAGGGTGCGCCTTTGTCGTCTCTGGCAATCCTGGATGCTGTCTTGGGTATCTTGAATTCTTTAATCACTCCCGAAGTAGTTACCAAGTCCAAGCGTCCGATGCCGTACGTTATCCAATATGCACCACGCATCATGAAGCTACTTGAACCGTGCTTCGATCGCCAGAACCATGAGATTCAAGCTAGTCTTACAAATTTTCTATGTCGAATGACAGTGGTACGTGTGTCCGCATTCTATTATGTCGCCTGGCGTGTCTAAGACCAATGGTGACCATTCTCTCGGCTAATTCATATCTCTTTTTTGTATTGTAGCTCTATCCTCCAGCTCGCGCACCCCAGCCTCTTGTGGTGTGCAAGTTCTATCCCTGGCTGCGTGAAATTATCAACGAACGTCTCGTAAATGCAGCAATGTTCCAGCAAGAGTTGAGCACGGGCGGCATAGGTTTGTCTGGTGGTTCCACTTTGCTTGCCTCAAAGGGAAAAGGGAAGAACGCAGCGCAGAGTGGCCCTGGGTCTAAAGCTGATAAGCAGGGTGGAGCGACGGCCAATGCTGCTGCGGGCCATGGTCACCCCCCCGGAAAGAGTCAAAAAGATCCAAGTGGTATTAATCCACTTATCAATCACGAGGCGGCACGGATGCGCTTGTTGTTTTCACAGCATCCTCGCGTGGTTGTGTCACCGACAAGCTACCCCGGCGAGTTTACGTTGAAGCTGCTGAATGGTCTTGCCGAGATTACACCGGAGTTTGTGGATCACTTCGCACCAGCATTGCTGAAACTGGCGCAACGCTTCACGCGTGAACATTTGATTCAGTCAGCGGCAGCAGGAGGTGGGGGTGCTCATGGCGGAAAGCCTGGTGGTAGCAATGGTACTGCTATGGGCGTGGAAAGTGGGAAGGCAGTTGTGGATTCTTTTGGGCGGAATAGAGTGATGGCGACACCATCTTTAGCAATTGTCAACGAATGGAACCAAATGCAGGCGGGACGATCCAACTTGGCTGTGAATAACGTAGTACGACACGTTGCGAAGAAGCGTGAATCGTCAGGCGAGAAGTCAGGAGGGACCAAGAAGAAGGGGAGTGCTAATGACCAATCGCTAGGGAACGATGCGGCAAGTACGAAGGGCGGCAGCACAATGAAGAAGAAAATGGGGACGAATGCAAGTAACAGCTCGGGTCGTGGTTCTTTTGTCGGAGGAAGTGGCAAGAGGCCGATAGAGCTGCTTGTTCTGTGCTATGCGCTACTGGCAAAGTGTACGTTCACAACAGGCGAGCACCGTCGTCTGTACACAAACTTGCTAGTTCACTGCCTGGAGGGATCTTTCAACATACCGCTTTTGCTGCAAATTACAAAGATCGTGGCTAAGATGGTTGCATCGACGGATGTTCGCCATCAAGTTCTGACCGCGAAAGACAAGATGACGCTGCTGAGTAAGATGTCCACGTTTGACCGGCTCAACGAGATATCTGCGTTGCCGCTAAACGAGGAGTACTATCAATTGGTGCTCAAGCTTTGCGACCCACCAGCACCCGGTGATGCGAAGCACCACGCTCACCAGTTGCACTTGAGCCCTACGCCACAGAGCCACAGCCTTACCACGCACTTCATGGCGGGCCTACTTGCCCCTGATTCCACGACGCGTGAGAAGTTCCTGCAGATCTTCTTTGCAGCAACTGGCCCCGGGCCCGTTGCGCGTTTGCAACTTGTGTTACGTCAAGATTGGCAAGCTTGTGGAACTCGATACTGGCCAGTGATCGCCATTGAAACACTAATGGCAGCAATTTCTCCAAGCACGCCACCGTCGATTTTCTCTCCTGGAGCTCGGGACTCTACTGGAATTACAGTGGCGCCGAAGTCTTCAGTCCATGCCGAATTCTTGGAAAACTATGGAACGTTGAAGACATCAGAACTTACGTTGGCCTTACGCGACTTAGCACACATCGATCTGGAGCTTGCCAAGGAGTTATGGGTCAACCTGTTCAGTGCCGCGTGGGATTTACTGAAGAACTCGGAGCAAACGCAGATGACGAGTCAACTGTTGAAAATCTTGGCTTCCAAGTACAACAAGCGCGACCTGAATGTGCCCCTCGGCGCGTCTACTCCTCGGCGCACCAACGTGGTCCAAACTTTGATGAAGGGAATTGTGAGCACGAGTCAAAGCGCTCCCGTGATGACACCCGAGCTGGTGCTGCATATTTCTTCTGCTTACGATGTCTGGAGCTGTGCTATTAGAATTTGCGAGTTCCAAGTTGAAAAGTCGGACCTGAGTGTAGAGAGCCGGTTGCGATGGATCGAAGCTCTCAGTGCTATCTACAAACAGCTAAGTGAGGATGATCTTCGCATTGGATTGAGTTTGGAGAATATTGGACAGTCGGAAACGCGCACGGCGCTAACTCTGGAGGCTCTCGGTTGCGTGCATGAAGCGCAGGAGGAATACTTCCGCGCACTATCCAAGGCTCAGAGTGGGCGTGTGAGTGTGGAGGATGTGAATCTTTTCGAGTTGAGATTGTGGGAAGAGCGCTGGATGGGGTGTGCAAAACAACTGTGTCAGTGGCAGCTCATGAATGACTTCGCGAAGTCAACGCAGAACCAAGAGTTGTTACTCGACTGTGCTTGGAAACGCGGTGACTGGGCTTCTGCGAAGCAGTTGTTACTCTCTCCGTCTATGCAATCTTCGGCAGAGCTGGGGTGTCCGCAGACCCGTTTACAACGGTTGTACATCTCAATTCTTGATGCAGATAAACGCAGTGCTATCGATACTCTAGCTGCTCAGACTGCCGAGTTGGCATTGCACCAATGGCAGGGGCTGCCGCGCATTCTCTCTCGCGCACATTTGCCACTCATGCATTTGTTTCACAAGTTTGTGGAAGTAAAAGAGTCCATCCAAATGATGGAAGACATCAAGTCAGCGAGCGCTCAACACGCTGCATTGCCGAACCTCAAGCCTTCCATTAATACTTGGCGAGAGCGCTTACCAAACAAGTGGGAACCCATTCTTCTCTGGGATGATATTCTCACATGGCGGTCGCACATGTTCCAAGTTGTCAAGACTACATTTGCGTGGAGTGATGCGCAGGTGCTCGCTTGTATGCACGACAGTCCGTGGTCCGTGATTAAACTTGCGCACACAGCGCGTAAGCAGCGGCTACCCGATGTGTGTCTTGGCGCGCTTGCGAAATTGTATTCTGTTCCGGCCATGGACGTGCAGGATGCGTTCTCGAAACTGCGCGAGCAAGTGAGCATTTGCTACGAAAGTGCTACGGAGTACTCGGGCGGTCTGAGTATCCTGAATACGACCAACCTGGACTATTTCAGCTTGCGACAGAAAGCGGAAATGTTCCGTCTGAAGGCTCTGTTCTTGGAAGCACAAGGATCGCTCCCCGAAGCCAACCAAACATTCTCTCACTGTCTCCAGATCTGTGATAGTTACGGCAAGGGATGGCTTTCATGGGGCCACTATTGCTACCGGTTGTTCCTCGTTCGGAAAGAGCTGCCGCTAGCCTCGCAAACTATCGCGTGCTACTTGCAGGCTATTCACCACCGGTGCAACTCGGCCAGGTTGATGATTGCGCGGGTGCTTTGGCTGCTCAACATGGATGACCGCCGAGGAGTTCTTATCCAAGCCTTCGAGACGCACGGCAAGCAATTGCCGATTTGGATTTGGATTATTTGGATTCCACAGTTGCTTATGGCGCTTGGGCGCCCGGAGGCCCCCCAGATTCGGGGTCTGCTGCGAGGTCTCTCGGCCAAGTTCCCACAGGCGCTGTACTATACAATGCGCGCTTTCTTCCTGGAGAACCGAGACAACGCCATGCTACTAGCCAATCAGCAGCAGCAGCTAGCCGCTACTCCGACGGGTGTTTCGCCTTCTTCGAGTGCAGCATCTTCGCCAGGCAATCGTATGTACTACCGAACTAAATCCGGTCATGTTGTTGGAGTTCCTTCAACGCTGCCGGTTGCTCAAGTCCAGGAGGTTCCTGGACTTGTCGGCCCTCCTCGACCAACCCCAGCAGCGTTTAACGCAGCACCCGGTGTCGTGTTGACGTTAGATGCGTGGAACGAAAAGGTTCGCAACAATGGCGATGATGGATATTCGTTGAAGGCTGAGGTTGGGCCTGTGCAGTACACGGAGGATCTCCTGAACTTCTTACGCAGATCGCACGATTCGCTTACTTTTGAAATGGAATGTATGCTGGAAGAGATGATCACACGTTTCCGCCCCGAACCGGAAGAAGAGCTTCTCACGGCTGTTCACGCGCTTTTACTCAAGTGTTATCAGCTACCGAGGCTTACGAAGACAGAACCGGTGCCGAAGATGCTGCGTGCAGCGCTTGCGAGAGTCTGCCGCAAACTGTTCGTGCTGCTACCTCACCAGAAGAACGAAAAGCACGAGGCGTTTGTGGTGGAGTTTAAAGATGCCTTTAAACGTGACTTTACTCCGCTCGCAGATGACGAAACGCAGCAGCAGGATGGAGCAGCTTCTACCCTCTACGAGATTATGAACCGGTTGAAGCGGTGGAAGACTTTGCTGCAGCTACGGGTGAAAAAAGTGGGTAAGCGAAATGCTGGTAAGCTCTACCTTGAGCAGTGCAGTCGTCACCTGATGGAGCTGAGCAGTTCCAATATGGAGGTTCCGGGCCAGTATGTGTCTGACAGCGAGCCAATCAAGGATCTGCATGCACGCATCCAGCACTTTGAGAGTACTGTGGACGTGCTGTTACGCAATGGATTTACTCAGCGACGTGTGTCCATGGGTGGAAGCGACGGCCGAGCGTACTACTTCCTGGTGCAATATGCAATGACCCATATTACACGCACAGATGAGAGAATGATGCAGATGTATTTGCTTCTGAATCGACTGCTTCTTCGCCACAAGGAAACGAAAAAGCGCAACACGGTCTTCCACGTGCCGAAGGTGATTCCTCTTACACCACGCGTGCGTTTACTGGAGGACAACTGCGACTTCGTCACACTTGGCGAGATTTACGAGCTTGACTGTCAGATTGAGAACAAGGACCCAGACCTCCCTGTAGAACTCTATCGCGAGCGTGTGTGCGAAGCGTATGCGGCAGCAGAGGCCGGGAAGGATTCGAGGAAGCAAGAGGAGGAGCGCGTGATTCAAGCCAAGACTCGTGCCTTCGACGAGATCTGCAACGAGCACGTACCCGAAACACTATTGGCCAAGTATGTCCACGGTATCTCGACCCACAGTGATGCTTACTTCCAGTTCCGCAGCGAGTTTACTAAGCACCTCGCACTATCGAGCTTTCTATCGTATGCGCTGTTCGTGGGGGACCGTGCACCGCACCGAGTGTTGTTTTCAAGACGCACCGGTCGGGTGGTGAGCACAGAGCTACGACCAGGATACGCGACTAGTGGTATTCTGGAGGCTGCGACGACCATGCCATTCCGGCTCACGCGCAACCTCCACAGCTTCATGACGAGGCCGGGAGTCCAGGGGCCATTTAGTGTGGGGATGACGGCTGCTGCGGAGGCGCTCATGAGTGAGGAGGATATCCTGAGCAATCAGTTGTGCCTCTTCTTCCGCGACGACTTGCTGTCGTGGCATGCTTCGAAGACGCGTATGCTTTCTGCTGGCGCGTCGTCGCCCAGTGCATCGTCAGGCCCAGCATCGCCAGCAGCGGTGGCGCAGCGCCGTGTCGAGTCACAGGTGCAACAACGCGTCGAAGCCAATGTAAGTCTCGTCCTGGAGCGAATTCGCGGTGTATCCCTCAAGAAGGAAAGCGGCGAGTCGACGCGGGGCAGGAGCGTGCGTGAGCTACTGGAGGTTGCCACGAGCCCGGAGCGCCAGCGTGAAATGTACCCCACGTGGTACCCTTGGCTGTAGGTGACGTTGCCGTCCCTGTTCTCAATGTAGTTAGTCATTTGCATGTGCACAAACAAGTTACTTTGTTGAACGATGACTGAACTGGAATAAATATTTTGCATGTCTTCCAAGTGGACACGATGCAGTCAACTATTTAGCTTGCTGGGGTGGAGCGGACAAGTAAGAGCGTTGGTACGCCTGCGCTCGAGCTGCGATTCGGTTAAGTAATGCGTGAGTCAGCGCGACCACCGTCGTGAGCAGCAAGAAGAGCAAGGTCATATCCGTCAGCTCGGGGCGAAAGAGCCAATGTGACAGCACGGCCACGAGAGCTAGAGCTGCCGTGTACCCCAACGCCTCGGCTAGAGAGATTGCACCTTGAACAGCACCAGCCCAACGACGAGACGGCCTTGTGGCTGAAGGCACCGATGAGAACGAGTCCCGTGCTAGCTCGTGACACTGCTCTTGCAAGCTCACGCGGAAAAGAGCGTCGGAAGCACCAAGCAGTACGACGTACGGCAATGTCCAAAGGAACGCAAAGTCCGAGTGCACACTACCACAACTTCGTGGCAAAGCTGATGGACTCACCGATGCCTTCCGACGGTACAGTTCAACAACGCTGGACAGAAAAATACTCACGAGATACAGTAGCATGGCGAAGCACATGCGCGTGACTGGGGGGCATGATACCAGGCATGGCAACACGCGCTGGACCAACGACGTTCTATGTGTCTTCTTGAAGACGGGCGTCGCTAGCGCTGCGGCTGTGAAAATGTTCGGCTTCCTCAATGAGCTTAGTCTGGGACTATCAGCCTCAGCCTCAGTAGCACTCCCGGTGAAGACTCGACACAGCCCGATAAGCAGCAGCGAAGATGTCCCGACAGCAGTACCAAGCAACTCCGGGTCGAAGAGCGTACTTGTCGTACCCGGGACCAAAAGCCTAGTCTGACACACTTGAACGACCATAGTAGTGTAGAGCTGTGCGCGCAGGAATGACACGCATCCTGACACGCAGATGAAAGCCATCGCGAACAGAACCATGTAAAGTTGCCGCGACCGCAGGCCCAAACGACGGCATTCGCGAAGAAGTTGCTTCTTCGTTGGGTTTAGCTGTCTTGAACTAGCAACCATGGTTAGCAGCCAGCCAACCACGATCAGCAAAAATGACACCAACCGGACGGAAAGCGAAGCGTGAGACGCGAACAAAATCCCGACGGAAAAGCCGATTCCTATCAGCGTCATCAGCACAAAGGACAGCAATGCATAGCCCACAAGTGCGCGATTGCATAGCTGCACGATACTTCTCCAACTCCAAGCCCAAATCACTTTGACCGATGCGTTGAAGCCCTGTTCCAAAACCGCAAGCTTGTTCTCCAATCTCTGTGCTTCGGAAACGCTAGTGAACAAACTTAAGTTGTCTGGACGATGATCGTTCTGGCAGTTGCCCCATGATTTGAAGCAAAAGTAGATGAGCGCTGCCATGAGTCCAAAGCTCATTAAGAGCATGCAGTGGAATCCTCGAGAAGTAATAGGCGAGTGAAAGCCTCCATCCGTGAATGCGTTGACGTTCACGAACAAAAAGTAATACGCTTGCACAAGTGACGACCCTCCCAATCTTGCAGCGAAGCACCCCGAGAAAAAATTGTGGCTTGCCAAATCACAATTTGGCTGTTCGTCCTCGTCGAACACACTTGAACCTTCAGATGAATAGGAGCTCTCACTTTCCACCCCGCTATCATCATCTTCGCTGCTACTCTCGTCCTCATCTTCCGGAGACAGTGGTGTGAATAAGGACTGGGGCTTGTCGAGTCGAGCTTCGACTCTTAAGGCGATGACGTTTGGGCAGACGCTGCCGTGAGCTACTCCAGCGCACACCAATCCCAAAACCAAACTTATTGACGAAACCATGGGCGGCATCTGGAATGCAGCTACGTGCAATGCTAGAACAGCGACACCCCATAACACAGCGATGCGTTGTAGCAGCAGCACCCGGTTTCGTACGAGATCCCCGACGAGCCCACCGACAAATTGGATAAGACCGACAAATATCCAGCTCAACAACAATAGCACACCGAAGGGGTAGACATCAAGCCGCAAGAAATCCCGCAACTCCAAATTAAAGTTGAATATCGCGCAGTGTAGCACAGCAGTACTGAAAAACAGTAGAACGTACACCAGCGAAGAAGAAATCTCGAATTCAGATCGGCCTTGGCGGCCACTGGTTGCCGTCGGACTAGACATAACGCCAGGTCCTAGTCTCCGCTCCATAGCCTCTCTCCCTGGTACTTGAATTTTGCGTTCAAGTTGATCCTCCAAATCGCACAACTTCCTCTCCAAACTCCACTTCTGCTGCCCAGAGTTTGCTTCATCCACAAAAGTAGCAGCTAGACGGAGAGGCTGCAGTTTCTGGTCCAGGCTTGAACTATCAGATCCACCTTCTGTACAAACTGGCACAGATCGATCTGCATCTTGTAAATTCCTTTCCAGCTCCCATTTGCGCCGGTTTGCCTCCACCTTGTCTGCAGATAGATGAAAAGGATTTATGATCGATGGATTCAAGCTCTGCAACTTCCGTCCAAGACGACGATTCTCCTGGTTTTCACGAGCTCCACCTTGCAATCTCCTTTCAAGATCCCATTTGCGTCGGTTCGACTCAACCTCAGCCGCAGAGGGAACGACCGGATTCATCATGAAAGGGTTCAAGCTCTGCAACTTCCGTTTCAAGTTGTGCGCTCGAGGTGCTCTGCTCGCTACGTCCGTCGAGTTCCCAATCCGATCTTCATCTTGCAATCTTCTCTCCAGGTCCCATTTTCGTCGGTTCGCTTCCACTTCTGCTGCAGTATGTGCAACTGGATTAACAACCTGCAGTTTTCGTTTAAGGCTGCGCTTTCGGTCGCCATCGCATTCATTATCAACCGAACTGCACAATTGGTCAGCATCCTGCAGCTTCCCCTCCAAATCCCATTTTCGTCGGTTCGCCTCGACTTCGTCTCTCGAGGGCGAGAACTTGTCGTTCATGTTGGTAGTCCGAGCAAAAGTCGGTGGTGTCTTGCATTGATCCTCCTCTTTTGCTATGCCTTGGATCAGTCGAACACGAGAATGCGCAGCTGTCGCTCGAGAAAGCTGCGGCCGAAGCGCCTCCGAGTTCGAGAACCCAGGTATCCGAGGCAGAATTCGCTTCCTTTTCCTGGTGGGCGAGCTTGCCGACGTTTCTGCCGCTGCGCTGCCATCCATAGAATCACCACTACTTTCGCGATCCGTATTTGCGTTGAGCCCACCGCCGAATGGGACAGGTGTGGTTAACTGAGACCAATTGCACGCCTCCGCGTCGTTGCCATCGTCGTCTTCGCCCTCGCTCATGCACACTGTAGACCGGCAGAGCCACGCGTCACCTCCCGTCTCGTCGTCGACGACGCTGCCTCCTGCACCCGAGCCCATGGCCGCCGAGAAGCTCTCAGTCGTTCGGCGGGCCATTGTTCCGCTGCAGTTGGAGATGGCCGCGTCGGAAGCGCACTGCTACGAGTAGAGCGACGTGGTGGCGAGGAGCGCGCGCGCGTTCTTCTCTCTTTTTCCACTTGTGTACCATCGTGGCGCTGACTACCTGGGGAGTCCGTGCCTCTGGCGTTCACCATGTTGCATAACGCGCCTTTTCACCCGGTGAAACGCAGCGAGAAGGCGCGCCGAAGCGCCCGGTTCAGTTTTTGATGAAAACCTCCCACGCGCCAGACACGAAGCAGGTCCGTGTCAAGTCGTCCACCAGCACGACTGGGCCCAGCGCGCACTTGCCCACGCGCAGAAATACTACGTGCAGACTCCGTCTGACGCTCATGCCCGGGCGTATCAATCTGAAAAAACAACAACATGTTAGTAGCCGTCACTCAACGTTGAAGTGGCAAGCGCATTACGCATGGTTGGACGAAATGACTTCCGAACTTACCCCAAGCGGTGGGAAGCCTCGAACCCCACGAAAGAGGAAGGGTCCTCTCCAGAAGCACCAAGAGCTCTCTCTGTTCGGGAGGGTAACACCAGTGTCAAGTCAAACTCCCTGTGTGCGGAGCGGTTCGCCACCGTCACACACACGGTCACCGCGCTCCCGACCAAGATGCCCGTCGACAGCGGAGCAAGCGTGACTTGCAAAGCTGCGTCCGGAAGGAGTCGCACGCATCTGAAATCCGCATCGAGCTTAGCGCCTCGCTCGAGCGCAGACGACACCAGCTTCTGCATATCTGCGTGGTGCTCGTTATCGTCACGCGAAAGCGGGAGCGGCGTTGCTTTCGGAGACCATACAATCGTACGATTCTCCGTCACCGCATCCATCGTAACGGCGACGGCCTGCCAGGACAAGGTTAATAACGTGTGCTGGGCAGTAGGGTCCTTTCCTTTCTTCTGCGCGCTGCTCGTCGTCCGCGTCGATTGCTTGGCTTGTTCACCTGCTTCTGGCCCTCGCGGCGACTCATCTGCTGCCATAAGTTCTACTGGCTCCAACACGAACAGGAAGTTGTAGCATTCTTGCGGTAGCAACACGACTGGAAACGGGACTTGGTCGCCGCTTACGACGCGGAAACGAGGCGCTTCGCTTCCAAGAGCTTTGGGCGGCGTTCGTAACGATTGGTCCAGATGGAGATGCAGATCCCTCACCGCCAAGGCTAACGTCGAGTGGGCGTTGGAGGCGCGAGCAAGAACGCCCACACGCTGTCCAGCGAGCTCGCGCGTCTCCACTTCAAGCTGCAAGGGCTTCGTGACCACAACTCGCTGCTCCATACGCCGAGTCATCATCGGCGTCGGCTGAGCCTCCTCCCTCGTAAGCGACAGCAACTGCGAAGTCGCCCACTCGTCCCTCAGTAGTGATGCTGCAGGCACTGCCGTTAGTCCTGGTCCCATGCCTCCAGTAGTCCCACCAGTGCTGAGCCCCTCAGCAGCACCGACAATACTGTTCTTTGGTGTAACGTGCACAATGAGCAACACGTCTCGGCCCCAGAACTCGTGCCGCACTTTCAGGTCGAACTGGGCCTTCAGCACCACCACAGGCCCAGCTCCGTCGTCGGTATGAGCCACAGACACCCGGCACAGCTGCGTCTCTTGCCTAAACAGAGTGGCGGACGATGAACCGGGTCCGCCGCTCGCTCCTGGCGCCTCCACGACCTGAATCTGCACCCGAGCGCCTTCACAGTGCTCTCGCCAGCGCTGCAACAGTCGCTCGGTATTGATCTCCCCCTGGCTCTTGCTGCTGGGCGCCGAGGGGCCTCGAGATGCCGCCGCACAAACCTCCACATTCACAGTCTCCCCTAGCGGCAGCAAGACAACGCCGTTAAATAAAAATTACACTGCAAGCTTCGCTGTCGTGCGGACTATCTGTTGAGCAGCTACTCACCCTGAAAGAGCTCCTCGTTGCGGAGCTGCAGCCGCAGCCGCGCACACCTCCATTCGTCACTCCACGCCTTCATTTCTCTCTTTCACAGATCCTTGATGTCAAAAGTTGGTACGAAAGAGTACTGCCAAACCAGAACCAGATCGCTACCGTACCGGCGGCATCTGAACTGCTGGCGCTTGCACGGACTGCTATTTGTCTTTACTGTTCGTGACAGGCACCACCTCAGGGCAACTAGCTAGCTATACGGCGCTTATCCGCACGATTGACTGAGCTGCGAACTCCGAAATCCAAAAAATATACTTCAAGTAGCTCCTGGCCGCAGCCTCCCTCTTCCTCCGTCCGCATCGTCGCCTCTCCGCCTGCCCTTTCACTCGCTGCTGTATCTGCCTGGACTGCTGCAGCGCTCCCCACCGTCGCGCCGAGTGGAAGCGCGCCTTCTAATGCAGCACACGCCCGCTGGTTACGATCGGTCTGCCCCTACGCTTACAGGAAGTAGTCTGGAGCGGGCTTCTTTGCAGGCACACCACGCGCGTCTTGCGGCGCAGCCTCGAAAATCTGTGTTCAGAATTCGTAGAAGAACAAGCGCACAGTGGTCAGTCTCTGATTTTGCAGCAGCAACATGCTGCGTTCCCGCTCTCTCTTACCTTGAATCGCTGCTCCAGGTTCTCGTCCAGCTCCAGGATGGCCGCGACGTTGCCGCATCGGTAGCAGTAGTTGGGCGCCGACCAGACAGTCACCAGCGCGTTATTGAACATGGACTTGTGACCCTCCATCACGAGCTGATGCGCTCTGCAGATTAGCTGAATGTCGTTCGTCTGGTTGAACTGTGGTTACATCACGCAGCAACAATAATAAAATATCAGCATCAAGTTCCCCTCTCGAGAGAAATGCAACGTCGTTCTTACCTTCTCCACGACGTCGCCGCCGAAGAGGTATCCAGCTCCACGAGGACTGAGACCCCAGCCGTCGATGTCCTCAGGGTCGGACCACATCAAGTCGCACATAGCCCCGTCGTGCGGGACTTCCTGCTTGCGGTCGATGATGCGAATCTGGTCGAGCGTGTTGATCGACGGGGACAGGCCGCCGTGCACGCAGAAAATCTTGTCCTCGATGATCGCAGACAGACTTAAATAATCGAAGATTTCCGTGCAGTATCGCCACACGTTCACCGAGCCGTACTTGCGCAGACACTCGTCGTAGAAGCCGTAGACCTGCGTGATCTGACGGCTCTCGTGGTTGCCGCGGATCAGCGTAATGCGGTCCGGGTACCGCACCTACAGACAACATACCAAGTCCGTCAGTCTCTCTTTCCCCCTTGCTTCCTCCTCCTCCCGATCCCCCCTTGCTTTCCGTCAACCCACGCACCTTCAGAGCCAGCAGCAGCAGGAACGTCTCGACACTGTAGAAGCCGCGGTCCACGAAGTCGCCCATGAACAGGTAGTTGGTCTCGGGGCACTCCCCGCCCACGTTGAACAGCTCCTTGAGGTCGTAGAACTGGCCGTGGATGTCACCGCAGATCTACCATAATTCATAGCAAATAAGAAAAAAAATCAGTTCCCCCCGCCCCCCCCCTTCGTATTTTTTTCCTTTAAAAATAAATTCTCTCCCCCCCTTCTTACCGTCACGGGGGCGTCGATGCGCTGCACATTGCTCTCGTCCACGAGGATCTCGCGCGCCTTCTGGCACAGCGCCTTGACCTCCGACTCCTTGAGGTACTCGCAGCGCTTGAGCTGCTCGATCTGCCGGTCCAGCTCGCTCTGACTCGCTGCCATGTTGGTCGAACTGCTCCTGCTCGTTTATTCGCAACTGAGCGCGTGGTCCCGCGAGCTGCCGATAGGCAAAACAAGGAAGGAAGGAACCCATTGCCGTCCGGTCGTTTCATATGCGTTTTCACAGGTTCATCCTGTCCAAAACTATCCAACCGAATACTAAGAGAGATGAGACCGACCGAAATGGATACACTTTTTTAGGTGCGACTGCAAGTTGCAGACCGTGTTCCAGACTGCAAGTTGCAGTCTGCCTATATATCGCCTGACTGCACCTAGGTCATGGACAGCTCAGCTCAGCTGTCCTTGGCCGCGTGGACGGCATGCAGCGGGTCCTTGATGCGCTCCATGAGCGCCGCGAGCTTGTGCTCCGTCTTCTTCCGCTTGGTCTGCTCCTCGCGGATCCAGCCCATGTACAAATCGTTCAAGCTCTTCAACTCGCGCTCGAGCTTCACTCGACGCTCCTTCTCGCGACTAAGCCACTCATTCACGTCCTCGGCAGCAATTGCCTCCTGTGAGCGCGGTGGAGCTGAGTCGCTGCTTAGCGGCGGCTGATCGCCGTCCTCCGACGGTCGCTGCTGCAGCAACTGGCGCGACGACAGCTCCACCTGAAGCGAGGCCTTCTTGCGGAGCCAAGCGCGCTTCATGCGATGCGCTTCCACGACCGCGGCCGTGGTGTCTGGGACGAACATCTCCACGCACACCTTCACGGCGATCATGGCGTGCTCCATGAGGGCTATCGCGACCAGAGATCCAGCGAACGACATCTTGGGGAACAGTCTGTTCAGGAATCCCGAGTGCAGCCCGAAAATCGCGCAGTTCGTCATCACCGACAGGTAGCCCAACGCACTGAAGGCATAGTACCAGGTGCCAATGCCGTGGGTTGAGGTGCGGTGGCTTCGACGGAAACTCACACAAAGCTTGAAGCCGTCGCTGCGGATCTCCATAATGTTGTTGCAGAGGCTCCACAGCGAGGCAAGAGGGTATGCCGAAGCAAACAAGGTTACTTGGCTGACGCACCAGCATTTCACAGGTTAGTTATTGTCATGCGTAACGACATGTTGGTTTGCATTCCCAAATGTTGCAGTACGTACCCGAACTGCACAAACATCTCCAAGTAGTCGTCGAAGGTTCCGTCGTATGTTGGGAACAGTAGCTCCGCATCTATCTTGCTGACAATAGCGTCAGTATTCTTCGCTTCCTTAGCCAACTTTCCAGCTTCTGCCTTCAGTGAAGACCGTTTGCTCATGTAGGGCATCAGCTGTTCCTGCATATTGCCCAAAAGCTGGCGCGTGATCAGCAACGAGCTCAATGTTTGCTCCAGCAGAACCATATCGCGAGTCTTGAACGCCACGTAGAAGAGGAACCCGAAGTTGTTGACGAAGTAAAACAGCGCCAGTTTCAGCACGCGGGCGTTAGCAAACTAACATTCGAACAAGGAACAAAACACCATTCGCAACGTTTGTCAGGTTAGTTTCCAATCCGAAAAAAAAACACAATTCGAAAAGAGGGTAACTTACATCACTCTCTGTGCGGTGGTTCTCGTATTGCGTCAGCGAGGATGCAAGCTCGGAGTACTTTGCATCCACGTACAGCACCACGATCGAGTAGATGATGGAGGGCACGAGCGACACATACTCGTAGAATCCATCCCATCCCGTGGCTGGTGTAAACGCGATAGCAAACCATTCTTCCATCCAGCAATACACGATCATCATGAACGTCACGACCGCCATGGCAGCCATCGTCACCGAAAAAGTAACCAGATAGCGTTTTGCGCGGTCCTTGAACGAGAAGAATGTGTAATAGCATCCCTCCACAGGGTCAAACCGTTTTTCGCCGAAGAAATCGGTGCGTGTAGGCTCCAACACCAGCGAATCCGAGGTAGATATACCCCATTCATTGCGCAGCGTGCTCTCGCGGCGTTTCCAAAACTTCAAAAATGCTGTGGCCCAACTCGTCACCAGCAGCGAGTACAATCCACGGCCATACGCGGCCCAACTAGGGAAGAAATCGAGAATGAACGTCAACACGCCGATCGCTGCCAGCGGAATGAGCCACTGCGTGTACATTCCGAGAAATCCAAAGTAGAAGCCAACTTCATCTCCGAAGTACGAACGCACAGTGTTAAGCGGTTGCGGCTTCGTCCACTCCTTCACCCAAGTCTCCACCAGCTCGCTGCGCTCCTCGTCATCATGCAGTGGGAAATGGTCCGTCAAGAGCTGCGTGTGCATCGCCTGTTGCAGGAGCAGTCCGTGTTCCTCATCTTGGAACGGGTCAGGCAGCACAGCCACGCTGTCCTCTGCCTTCTCAATGGTATGGCCGCCAGTAGGTCGGTAGAAGGCGGGGTGCACTTTCAAGCGTCCCAGCTCGAACAGCAGAAGATCGATCCTGTCCCCCGAGCAGAAGCGCTCGGGCACAGGGTCTTCGCTCACGTCGCCGTGCAGCGCACGCTCCTTCTTCTGCTTGATCGCCACCAGCGTAGCGTGCGTGGCACCCAGCAGGTAGTACGTCTCTTCGGGTCGCTTCTTGTCCTCCGCGGCGTCGTGCTCCTCCAGCACGTTCTTCAACTTGGGGACGATGGTCAGGTGGCTCTGCTTCTGCACCATCTGCACGAAGAAGTCCACCGCCTCCGGCGAGAACTTCTTCGTGTCGAAGCACAGCACCACGTCCAGGTCGTGCTCGGCATCCCCACGCGGCGCGATTTTCTGCATGTGCATCAAGATACGTCACATGTGAGCGGGGGGATATCTACAGGATCTCACCCTCGAGATGGTACAAGACGCACCACTGGCGTGGCCACGATGAACTTGGTGAGCGTGTAGGCGCTGGCGAGGAAGCCGGCACCGCCCACGGCGCCCTTGATCACCGCGTCCGTCACCGTCGACATCGACGTTCTCTGTGCGCCTGATCCCGACTTTTGCAAACTGTCGCTGTTGTTTGTTGTTGAATTTTGCGACGAGATGTAGGTAAACTATAGTACACTGGACTCCAAATCCACAGGCGACACGACACGACTCAACTCAGCTCTGCGTGCAGCGCTGCTCTTTGGCAGCCACAGTGAGCGACTGTGGACTAATGGGGATGTTGAAGCTGCTTCTGAAGGTCTGAAGCTGGCCACCAGCACCACCTCGACATGTATCTATCCTACCTTCAAGCGCAGTATAGTGAATTCAAGTCAAAATGCACTGGTGGACCAGTTGCCGTTTTTGTTCATCAATCGAACGTGTCGGAGAGGACATGGCGGACGCTGCTGCCCCCACTCAGCAGCCCGAGCCCGAGCAGCCTGCAGGCGCGGAGGTCGCTACTGAGACCGAGGACGTTGCTGCTGATGCTACTGCTGCGGCTGAGGATGACGCCAAGCTGTCGAAGCGCGCCAAGCGCAAGCAGAAGCACCGCATGCAGTGGGAGGAGCGCAAGGCCAGCAAGAAGCTCAAGCGCCAGGAGCAACAGCGACTCAAGAAGGCCAGTGGAGAGATCCCGCCGCCCAAGGAGCTGGACATGAGCGAGGAGGCCGTGCTGCGCCGCAAGGAGCGCGCGCTGGCCAAGCGGGAGGCGTTCCTCATGGCTGCGGAGGAGGGCGTCAAGGTGGTCATCGACTGCGAGTTCGAGGAGGAGATGACCGAGAAGGAGAAGAAGAGCCTCTCACAGCAGATCATGTGGGTATCGCTGCGGAATTGGCCGGGTATTCCGTCAGTTTTGCTCAGCTAAAAGTATGTTGGTGTTGTGTGTTGGCGCAATGGAGCAGGTTCTCGTACGGCGTCAACCGACGCAGCCGCACGCCCATGAGGTGAGCACTATCATGTGAACAGTTGGTCCTTGATATTGTGATATTTACAGTCCACTTCCTCTTAATTGCAGCGCGTACATTACCTCTCTGCACGGTGACATCCAGAAGAACCTGGAGAAGATCAGTGGCTTTCACGAGTGGCAGGCGGTAGGTCGACTGGTTCAGTCTCGCTTTATTGCCCCGCTCCTTTGACGCTCATAATCGCTTGGTTTTGCCTGTTTGCAGTTCACTGGATCGCAAAAGAGCTACATTGACCTCTTCAAGAAGGAGTCGCTCGTTTATCTTACAGCTGACTCACCGAACACCATCACGAAGCTGAGCCGCGACAAGGTTTACATCATTGGCGGCATTGTGGATCGCAACCGCTTGAAGGGTATTACGTACCAGAAGGCAGTGGAGCAGGGTATTGAGACGGCCAAGCTGCCCCTTGATACCGTCGTCGAAATGGGCTCTGCCACACGAGTGCTCACCGTCAACCATGGTAGGTGCCGTAGAAACAACACTCTGCCCTGTTTCATGTGTTTCCATGCTGATAATACGTTTGCTGCAGTTTTTGAGATTTTAGCGCAGTTTTCTGAGGTGAAGGATTGGGCACAAGCTACTCTGTCAACGCTTCCGTCGCGCAAGGGCGCGCAGTTGAAGGAAGAGTAACTGCGACGCCCCTAGACCATTAGACAAAGCGATGAAAGTGATGATAAAAGAAACACACATGGATTCGGCTCGGATACGCTTGGGCTTGTGTTGGATGTTCATCCGTCTACGATCCTCTAATATTGCGCAACGCCATTTCTAAACGCTCTTCTGCCAACTTCATGTCTTTCACCTGATGAAAAGCGGAGGAGTAATTTGTTAACACTGTTAGACTCACTCCAATCACCCAGATCTACAGCTCAACCACGTACCTTCAGCGCAGCGACAGCGAATTTTGCGTATTCGATCGCGTCGTTGATTTCGTTTTGTGAGATCGGAGTGTTTCGTGGGCGAGACGGCATGCTCTGCGGCGTGTAACTGGGTGGCGGCTGATAAGACGGTGTCGGGGCGGGGGGAGGCTGGTATGAGGGAGGCGCTGGCGCAGAGGGAGTTTGGTACGCTGGCGCAGGGGCAGATGGAGGTTGATACTCTGGTGTCGGTGCAGGCGGCGCTTTAGGAGCGGAGTAGGCCGGTGCAGCAGGAGCCGAATGACTCGGGGCAGACGGCGGTGGAGACTGAGTCGTAGGCGGTCCATGCCAAGTACTGTCAAGCTCACTAGCGCTCATCACACCAGCAGACCTCGCTGACTCAGTAAGCGAAGGAAAAGGTTCCTGCTTGAACGCAGGTTCCGATGTTTGGGGTGGCTGGCTTGACACAGGCATAGTTGGGGGAGATGGCTGCGGAGCAGAAGGGAAAGATGAAGTTGGCGGTGCATCATCAGTTCCGTCTTCAGCCTAAACAAACACACAAAACCAGTTAGAGATCAACGATACGCTCAACAGACGCGTAGTGCTTACGCTTTTAAGATCCAAGCCCTCCGGAGGTCCCGGAGTCGGGACTTTTCCTTCCTTGATCGCCTTCAGAATCGTTGCCGCCTTGTACTTGCAGTAACGCCGCTTCTCCACTACCTGAAAACATAGTCATGGTAAGAACAAAACAGACACCGTGAAGCTTTTGCACTGCTCCTACGCACATCCTCCGATACGTCTCCAAACTGGTTCAGGATGTCGAAAAACGTGCCAGCAGCGTAGAACGTGCGAGCTGTACTTCTACACAAGCCCGCCAATACAAATTAGATTCTCCTCTCCACTTCAGCTTCTCTATTTTCACGTACTTATTCGCCATCCCTGCGCGATCCTCATCGTCCGCCTTGGTGAAAATCTCCATGGCGAAATCCTCGCAGATTTCCTGTCATCAATATCCAAATCTCAATCACCCCCCTTCAACGTTGACCTCAGCTTCAGCAAAACGCTCACGCACCTTCCCTTCCTCCTGCGTAAAGTCCGGCAGCTTGTTCTTCTCGTCCTCGAGGCGGTCCATGAGCGACAGGAGGTAGTCCGTCGCCTCGTTGGACGCATCGTTCTCGCGCAGCTTGATGCCCAGCTCCATGGCATACTGGCGGCAGAAGTAGGCGATCAGCTTGGACTCCGGGCGCGACGTGTCGCGGTCTAGCTCCTCGGCGCGCCGGATGAACGGCAGCAGCGTCTTGAACGTCGGCGGCACCTTCACGGGCTGCGGGTCGGCCATCGTCGTCACTTTTCCAGCTCAACTTTGAATTTGCCGTGCGACTTGCACTGAAAAACCAGAATGTGTGGACCACATGAGTGAAAATCCATTTTTGTCTTTACGAAATTTTAGTGTAGCCATCTCCACTTCAACATCGACACTCTAGCCGCGGAAATGCTGGATCGGCGCCGGCAGCGGCTCGGTCGTGACCTGAAGCTTCACGAGATTCTTTTCTCCGCGGCGCTTCACCTGCACGGGAATATGGCGGCCGATACTGTAGCCCACCGTGGTCAAAATGTCCTTAGTGCTGTGCACCTTCTTCCCGTCGAACGAGACGATCACGTCGCCGGGAAGCAGGCCTCCTTTGTGGGCGGGCGAGCCAGGCGCAACAGACTTGACAATCACGCCTTCCTTCACGTCCGGGAACAATCGGCCGATCTCCCTAAGCTCTCGCGTGTTGAAGTTGATCATCTGCATGCCGATGTACGGGCGCACCACCTTCTTGTGCTTGCGGAGCTGCTCGATCACTTGGACCGCCGTGTCGGCCGGGATGGCGAATGAGATGCCCACACTGCCATCCACTTTCATAGTGTTGATGCCGATCACTTCGCCGTCCAGGTTGATGAGCGGACCACCAGAGTTGCCTGCGTTAATGGCCGCATCCGTCTGGATGTACTCGCCTCCCTTTTGCGGATACCCCAGCTCGCTGCTGTGCCGAGCTACGGCGCTGATGATGCCGGCGCTCACACTGTTCTGCAGTGAAAACGGGCTGCCGAGCGCGCACACCCACTCACCAGCACGCAACTCTGACGACGATCCGATCGATATCATGGGCCATTCCTTCACATCGTCCGACTTGATCTGCAGAAGAGCTATGTCCGAAAGAGTGTCGGCGCTGTGGATCACAGCAGGGTAGTTGCTGCCATCCGCGAACGTCACCTGTACGTCCAAGTTTCAAAAAGTCAATATCTTCACGCATTTAGATCTAGGAGATGCTGCAGCTGGGAGCCAACCTGAATTTTAGAGTAACGATTGCACCTCGCGACAACGTGGGCGTTCGTCACAATCAGACCTTCCTTCGAGATGATGAATCCCGACCCATTGCTCGTGACGTAGCCTACGTATAAAACACCCGCAAACGCTTAGAATTAGCACACGCACGCTCATTTTAAGACCGAGACTCGCGCACCTGAGTCAACTGCGATGTTGACCACAGCCGGGAACGCCTTCTCTACAGCGTCGGCGATAAAGTTGCGCGACAACACGCTGTTCCTCCCGGTACGCGCCTCCAACAGCGCCCCTTCCTCTGCAAACAGTGCGCAATCACCTCAGAACATCGATCGCGAACATCAAAGCCCCGCTACGAACTAACCTCGCGTGTCGTAGGTAATGACTGCAGCCGCTGCGAGTCCGGCTCCAGCGACAGCGTAAACGCCCGACAAAGAGCCCACTACAAAGCGGCGGCCGCCTGCACCTGCCTTGGCGGTGGACAGGTGTCGAGCACCGATGCGTGGGGCAGCGCGAGCTGCTGCACGCCAAGAGCTCCGCCACATTTTCGAGACAATTCTTGGTCGGTCACCCAACATTTGTATCGGGACAAAAACGACCAATCGCCGCTTGAATAGTTTCCCGCTTCAACTCCAAATAAATTACCGGAATCCGATAAAGCTTGATGTTCAAACGGTCGTAGATTTTGGTGGTGCGTTCAGCGCTCCTTAGTAAAACGGTCTAGAGTTTGCATGTTCTGCAGGAGTTATTCAATATCGCGCCTACGCGAAGTTCATCACCAGTCCGACAACCGCGACGACGCCGGCCATAGAGATGGTAGCCAGCGGCGCGGAGGACGATCCGCTCGATCCGCTCGAGTCTCCCACGGCGCTGGACTCCTCGCCAGCCACAGAGCTCACGGTGCTTGCGGCGCTGTCGAGAAGGCTTCCTGCCGTTCCGACGGCGTCCCCGGCGGTGCTCGACACACTGTCAACGGCTCCGTCGACCCAGCTGCCAGTCGCATTCGCGGCGGCCTCGGCAGCACTGGAGACCGTGTCGACGGCCCCACTGACCCAGCTGCCCGTGGCATCCACGGCGGGGGACGCCGCGCTGGCGACGGTGTTGGCTGCACTGGTCACGGCGCTTCCGGCAGTGTTGGCCGCGGAGGTCACGTCGCTAATGACGTCGGCGACAGCGGCGTTCTTGGCAGAGGTGACGGCAGCGATGGTGGCGATGGCGATGCAGGAGAGGAAGCGGGTCATCTTGAGTTTTGTTTGAGGGAGGCGAGTGTGGTTGTTTGAGAAGTTGAGGTGTTCGAGCTCGAGAGCAAAAGCGGAAATGAGGCAAGAAGGCATCGGCCCGCATGCTCTCGGTGCCCACGCTTCGATGCATACCCGTGTCCTGCAATTGAATCAGAGCAAAATCTGGGCGAGACATTTGGCGTCCACAAAGGGTGCACACGCTACTGGCTTTTGGCAATGTGGGTATCATGATATCCTATGAACATGCAGCAAAGCGTGCCCTCACCGTTAAGCCCATGCGTACGCTTGTTCTTACCAGCAAAATCCAGCTCGTTTCAGTTAGAGAAACCTGAAGTTGATAGTTGACCTTTCGAGAGTCGCGCGAGTCAACCGACCGACCCTTGCATCTGAATATGCCAGGAGGCCGACTACGAACCTTGCGCGGCTTCGTGGTCTCGGTGGTGCTAGCCTACGTGCTAGACGCTGTAGCTAGCTACCGCGATCTCGTTCGCATCCCACTTGAAAGCGACGACCAGCTAAGATTTACAGGAACAGTTTACGTTGGCTCGCCTCCTCGGAGCGTGCAGGTGGACTTCGACACAGGCTCAAGCGATACTTGGGTGGTGACGAGCAACCACTTTCCCACTTACAGGGACGTTGAACCTGCTCCAAAAGCCTTCGCGATCGGCTATGGCGGCGGCGTTGCGTCGGGGCTTGCGGTCCCTGCAAACCTTCAGATTGGTAACCAGCTTGGCAAGAACTCGAACGAGGTACTCTTTCCAAACATACCGATAGGCTTCGTCGACGATCCGGTGGCAGATCTAAATTCCCAAGGTGTTGTCGGCCTTGGGATGGAAGCACTGGCTCAAATCCGAAGCAACTGGAGTCTCCTGGGGCTGATGGCCGAACAACAAGGGAATCCAAGGCCTGTGGTGTTCTCGCTTTACATAAGTAGCTGCTCAGGCGCCCAGCCATCCTCCCAGCTCATTCTTGGAGGACATGACCCAGCATTGACCAGCAGCAACACGACATGGTTCAGTTTTTCTGTCATCTCGAACGACGAGCTTCGCGGTCACCAACCTCCGGATTCTAACGTTGCAATTGCCGAGACCAACTTCGGATTTTGGGCCTTGCGAATGCAGAGCATGTGGTTTGACAACAAAGTATTACCAATCGGGCCTGCCAACCATCATGGCGCAGTACTACTCGATTCGGGGACATCAGTGCTGCTTTTATCTCAGCACACCTTCGATGCTGTCGTTCAGGCGCTCTCCACCCGCTTTGGTACACGTTTTCTGGCGCCACGAGATGGCTATCAAACTTTGCCAGCTTGTCGCCGCTGTCAGGTACACGAGTTTCCGCCTCTCGCTCTCGACCTTGTGCTTGAAAATGGGACAAAGTCGTCGAGTCAACGCTTTGTACTACAGGGAAGTGACTATGTTCGTTGCGATCAGCAACGCCGTGAGTGCACTGCATTAATTGACTCCATCCAGTCTTCCGAAGTCAGTGATCGGTTTCATGTCGTGCTTCTCGGGACAGTGTTCTTGAGCGCGTACTACGCCCGCTTCGATTACACCAACAAGCAGGTGGCTCTTGCGTGCACAGTGGACGAGCGCGGAGTTTGTTCTGGAGGCTTAAGGCCTGCGTTAGACCATCGAGGGCAGCCATACCAACCGCACAGGGAAGCAGTACCAGCAAATCGATATCTGACTGCAGTTTGCACTGCAATCACTGCTCTCGCCTTGCTGGTTGGACTTCGACTGTTGCTGGAATCCTACGAAAAGCTGCCACTGTTGTCGTTGTCTAGCAATCTTCAGCAAGCATGACACTTAGTTCACAGTTTGTTAGTGTATTTGCAACTCACTTGAAAATGCAGTCGCTCCAATGTACCAGCTACCCTAGCGTCGGCGGTCCGGTATTTGAGCCCCCAGTCGGCGCACTAGCAGTGAGAGGAGCGTCTTTAACCCAAATTCGCAGTGTGTCGAGCTCATCTGGTGCTCCTTCTCCACGCATACCAGGAGTTCCAGGTCCGATCGCTCCGTGCTGAGCACCCGCGGCTGGTTCCCACTCTGTTTTGAGCTCGATGTCTGGCCGATAACGTGTTAGCAGCTCACGTAGAAGTCTAGCAAACTCGCTGCGGACAGTCGGAGGAATATGGGCGATCTCCAATGCTCTGGCTCGCAGATCAGTCGTGCGATTACACTGCAGCAGATCTGCGATCCACGTGAGGCAGAAGCTGAACTTCTTGAGATTGGCCTTACAAATACCAACGCGCAGCAGGTGCAGAAGCTCCGTCTCGCTCGCTAGGCGGGGACACTTACGGACGACGATGGCCTCGACCCGGGCAAACAATGCATCCTCGTGCTCCTTGCCGTGGATTCCTTGACCATAGCACTTTTCGCATAGCTCGTACTCCTCGCCTGCTAGTAGGCGGCATGTGCGGCATACCCACTTGACACCTACGAGCGGTCCACGGCCACAACCATCACATATTGACTCATCGTCGTCGCCAATAACCTCTGTCGATCCAGCGAGTACGCTCACGGGCACAGGTGATGCATGCGATGATGAGCTGGAGGTTGAGTTGGATACCAGCGATTGCTGCGACTTGTGGCGACTCAGGCGATCGAAGACACTCCCCACAATCTTCTTGATTTTGCCGTCCTTACCCTCTTTCTCGCGCGGAGGCATCGGGATGACCTCGCCATCCGATCCCAGAGGAAGCACGCCCATCGACGACGGCGACTGGGCCGGGGATGGAAGCGCACCCATGGTCATTGTCTGTGTTCTTGTCGTCTCAACTGCAAATGTAGGCGCTGTACGCTTCGGAGTCAGTGTGTAGCGGCGTGACGCTTTCTCCACCGGTTTCTCCCCTAGCTTGTCCAGCTGTGAGCTAGCTGTTCGCGATGCCGCCGAGTTGCTTAGAGGTCGTGAGACGAACATTGCCTTAGTCGCGTGCAGCTCCCGGGGGCCATGGGGCACAGGGTTCCGTGCGGCGCCACGCCGTTCCAAGTCCACGCAGTCAAACAAATGCGGCGCCTCGGTCTCCTCTGTTTCCGGCGGCGCTTGCGCCAATGGAGCAAAAGAATCGCAGTTCGTATCCACTGTGCTAGCTCCCAGAACTGAGGGCGCGGGTGGCGGCTGCTTGTCTACTGCTGTCGACGATGCAGCACTTGCAGCCAAAGCTGATGACCCTGCAGCTTCGTCGACCACGGCCGCCCCCGCGGCCGTCGCATCAGCTGCCTGCCGCGTGCACACCCGGAAGTCCATCGTCTGCTTTCGGTACGTGCGACTGAAACACTGCAACTGCTGCGAGCCGTCGGCGGCGTCCAGCAACGCCGGCAGCAGATACAGCAGCAGGATGCGGCTGAGCTCCTCGGACACATCGGCGAACACGAGGTCGTCCCCGCCGCTGCTTCCGCCGCTCTGCTCGATAGCAGCCATCAGTGGCTGCAGTTTGTTCCTGTCAGCCTGGGAGAACTTCTCCAGCTTGGCGGTGGCCTGAGCGAGCGCCTTGGCGCGGTTAGATGTTCCGGGTTTGCTCTTCCAGGGCGTCCACTTGGCGTCCTCCTGCTTGTCTACCGGCGGTCCTCCACCTAGTGCATCTTTTGATCCGCTGCCACTGGTCGAGGCCTGATGGGCGTTCACCTGCTGCAGCCAGCGGTCCTTCCACTGCGCCACGGCCCCCTCCAGCTCCTCCAGGCGCCGCTGCATCACGCGGAACTGCTGGTCTTTCAGCTGGATGTAGTTCTCCTTTAGGCACAGGTCCCGCGTCAGCGCGCTGTTCTCCTGCTGCAGCGTCGCCAGCTGCGCCTGCAGCGCGGCCAGGTTGTGCTGCAGCGTCGCCGCCACCAGCATCGCCTCGAGGTGTGCTTGTGCACTTGAGTGACGCTTTGACAGAGACAGCGTCGGGATTGGCTAAAATTATGGCCACAATTGGCTAATCACGACTCGGGTTTACCGCTTCAACAGGGTCGAAGCGGAAAACTATTTGTTGAATGAATCAACAGCGAGGCAAGCATGCACACCGCGCCATTTGAATTGGTTGTATCGACCTTGAAGTTCAAAAACTTATGTTTCATAATTATCGATGCGCTTCTCTTCTTACGAACGCAGTCTAGTACGCGGCACTATCATCGAGTAGATTTTCGATCCCGCGCCTACGCGAAGTTCATCACCAGTCCGACAACCGCGACGACGCCGGCCATAGAGATGGTAGCCAGCGACGCGGAGGACGATCCGCTCGATCCGCTCGATCCGCTCGATCCGCTCGAGTCTCCCACGGCGCTCGACACCTCGCCAGCCACAGAGCTCACGGTGCTTGCGGCGCTGTCGAGAAGGCTTCCTGCCGTTCCGACGGCGTCCCCGGCGGTGCTCGACACACTGTCAACGGCTCCGTCGACCCAGCTGCCAGTCGCATTCGCGGCGGCCTCGGCAGCACTGGAGACCGTGTCGACGGCCCCACTGACCCAGCTGCCCGTGGCATCCACGGCGGGGGACGCCGCGCTGGCGACGGTGTTGGCTGCACTGGTCACGGCGCTTCCGGCAGTGTTGGCCGCGGAGGTCACGTCGCTAATGACGTCGGCGACAGCGGCGTTCTTGGCAGAGGTGACGGCAGCGATGGTGGCGATGGCGATGCAGGAGAGGAAGCGGGTCATCTTGAGTTTTGTTTGAGGGAGGCGAGTGTGGTTGTTTGAGAAGTTGAGGTGTTCGAGCTCGAGAGCAAAAGCGGAAATGAGGCAAGAAGGCATCGGCCCGCATGCTCTCGGTGCCCACGCTTCGATGCATACCCGTGTCCTGCAATTGAATCAGAGCAAAATCTGGGCGAGACATTTGGCGTCCACAAAGGGTGCACACACTACTGGCTGGCTTTTGGCAATGGGCGCCTTCCAAAACCCTCACCAAAGGTCGCGCATAAAAGTTTAATCCCGGAGAATTGTTTGATGAGACCACTTTTTGGTCTCATCAAACAGTTCTAATGCGACTCTTAACTAGCAACGTGATTAAACAAGTGAATTAACTCCACTATACTCGAAGGTCGCGTTCCAGCAACCGTTTTGGGACGCATTAAACGCTTCGGTACTTTAAAATAAATTACGGACTACACTGATCAAACGGTTTGATATGGGTTTATCATGATATCCACCCACTTCAACGTAAGACTTACCGCAAAACTTGGCCGCGCCAATCTGGACATCGGAAGGTGCTCGCTCTTGTCAATAAAATCCAGGCAGGTTTCTGGTAGGAAAGACCGTGCTGACACCGGCATCTCTGGCAGGTCTCTCACACCAGTCGCAGGGATAAGAGTGCTTTGTAGATGCATCTATCTTGATCAACAATTTGCTGAACAGCCATTTTTCGCTAGCCGTTACGACAACTTCGCTCAGAAGTCGTCAATATTACCGCCATCACCAAGATGGTTCGAGGGAGCACGCAGCCGGACCTGTCCTTCCTTCCTGTGGTATGTCTCAGTTGAGCTGCCTTGGGGTTCGATGAGCGTTGCTAAGATGTCATACGCCTCGCAGACAACGCAGCAGCAACTCCAGAACATGATCGCCTACGTCCAGATTCAAAAAGAGCTGCGAAAAGTGCCGCGAGTGGATGGGTGCGGGCGGAGCCATGAGAGACTTGAGTGCACGAGGTGGTGTGACGGTGTGGTGTCTAACGATATAATCTTCGGGGTGGCAAGAGCAGGCTTCGTATCACCAGAATCGGGTCGGCAGAGAACAGCGGCGCTGGCATACAACTTGCTGTCATCAAGAAAAATGTAAGTGTGTGCGTAGGATTCCGGCTTCTGGACTTTCACAACCTAATGCGCAATGTGTGGCTACTATCTGCACGCCTTTTTACAGCCCCAAAGCTATGGTGGTGTAGAAGATCGGATCGAGTTTGCTGTTCGGCTTTCGGCTGCATTTCCAGTAGAGGCACCCGTGATATCCTGTACTGCGGGAGCCGAAGTAAGTTCTGCTTCGGCATTTTCTGTGCATAGACTCGTTTTTATTGACTTGAATGCTACAGCGACTTCCTCGCTCTTTGTTTCAAAACGGACAGCTCCATCTTTCGTGGTTGCAACGAGGATGGCCGCAGGGATACAACTTGCGACTCCTGGTAAAGGATTTGTGCTCAAGAGTAGACATTTCAACTAGCGCGCCATCCGTTTGCGCCCCAGTACAACCGCTGTACGATGCCAATTTGCCTCTACCGGTGCCGTCAGCACCGACCTTATACAGTGAGCAGCTCGAAAAAGGTTCGGGGATTTTGCTTTCCAAAGTGTACGTTAGGTGATGCATTAACATTGTTCGGGAATTTATTTAGATGACTCGCGGCAAATGCTCTTCCGATGCAAATGGAAGGACACAGTGAAGCAGTTTCCGGTACCTATGGTACGAGCTCTGCTCGAACTTCGTCAAGTCATCGAGCCGCACATTCCAGCCGCCATGCATCCTGGAGCTTCGTTGAGACTGCTGAAAAGGTAAGGTCGCAGTACAGAGCACATAGCTATAGTTTTAGCGATGTCTTCACATCACTAGGCTGAACTAACGATTCGATGGTGGTAGTCCGCATGAATCCATTCTACTGAAGACAGACGAGGTACGTGAAAGCTTGAGTAGGTTATGGACGCACAGCGGAGAATAATTGTTTGCTGCTGTAGGATGTTCGGTGGCTTTGCTCCAGCAACACGTCTGTTGTGTACATCATGATTCAAGGTTAGTTAAAAAAATCGCGAAACTCTGATCTCAATTATCTCACAAAACTGTTGAAACACACAGATGAAGAGCATGGATCACCCGCACCGGTTGGTAGCGTGGATCTGCTAGGATTAAACCGTTTATCTCCAAAGAAACCCAACGGTGCAGCTCCACCAGCATCCCCTGCTAGGATCCAGTCGAGTCCTGTAGATACTGCGGATCTACTTGGATTAAGCCGTCATTCTCCAAAGAAGTGCAATGGATCAGCCCCACCCGCTTCCCCGGCACGCCAGCTGAGCTTGCCCTCTTTGGCGAAGATTTTGAAACCGGGATGCTCGGTACGGGAAGTTGAATGGAAAGACCTCGCCATCCAAAAGCATGTCGGTACGGGAAGCAGGTGCGTCACGTGTTTGAACGAAGTGCAGAAATGTGCTTCATGACTGAATTTGTGTTCTCGCTGCGATAGTTGCCAAGTTTACAAGGGAACCTGGCGGGGTGCCGAGGTCGCCGTGAAATCGTAAGTTTTTTTCTTAGTTAAGTGAACTACTCCAAGTCCACATACAAATGATCAGGTCTGTCCAGCTTCACAGGACTCGATCGTAACGCAGTGGAAAGAGAGTTCGCGAATGAAGTTGAAATGATGCAGCACCTCGGTTCCCATCCGTCGCTGGTGTTGCTGCTTGCGGTGTGCGCGAATCCACTTTCGATTGTGCTGGAGTATCTTCCGTTCTCTCTATTGTACGTATACGCTGAATTGCGAGAAAGCGCGTTCAATATATCTAACGTTTTGTTGCAGCGAGTTGATCAATGGTGCCCCCGACAAAAGTCGTCGAATTCCATCTTTCCCAACGTCTTGGACGAAACGAGTCCACATGATGGTACGCTTGTAAGCCTTACACTGAAAAAAATTAGTACTGCTATTCTCACTGGTGTTGATGCCGGGTAGCTGGATATCGCTCGAGGGCTGCAATTCCTCCATTCCTTCGACATGATCCACCGGTTAGCCCTCCATTAGTTTCCCTGATTCCGGTTATTTTGCCATGCTAACCTCGCAATTTTTCGTGGCTTTAGAGATCTAAAGTCTTTGTATGCTTCATTGAAAATCCCAGCTCGTGTCAATTCATTGGTGTCTAACAACCGGCGATGATGTGGGAAAATAGGAACCTGCTTATGACGGCTGAAGGGCGAGTAAAGCTTGCGGGTACATGGCATTCGCTTTATTGTCGTGAGATAGGTAGACATCGATCTGAACTATCGTTTTGCTTAGATTTTGGGATCTCGCGCGTCAACAATCAAACGGATCTCATGACGGGGTGCTGTGGCACGTTTCAATGGATGGCCCCGTACGTACCCGAGCGATCATCTCTACACCAACGAAAGGATGCTCGAGGTACTAACCTAAAGTGATGCATGTATCATCAGGGAAGTTCTTACGAGCCAAAAGTATTCATTATCCGCCGACGTGTACAGCTTCGGTGTCATTCTGTGGGAAATATGCGAGGTCGCTGCCCCCTTTAAAGATCTAGCTCCTGCTCAGGTCCCCATCGCAGTCGTTCAGGAGAGACGGCGGCCGATTATCTCACCCAAGACACCACCGGTAGGGGAACGACACAGCCACATCTTCAAACAACTTGCAAATATGTCTAACCGTTTGTTGCGATGCAGCCGCTCCGCGACCTCATCCAGCGCTGCTGGCAGCACGAACCTACTCTGCGTCCCACCGCAGCGGAGGTGGTCAGCATTCTGCAAGGCTTCTTCCCCAGTACATGAAAGCAGCATGTTTTGTCCAGATCCAACTCACTGACAGCCAAGCACCTCCATCCCAATTGCAGACACATAACCTCACCATTCTCAAATCTACCATTCCACACTTGCATTCCTCCAATGTATCATCCTGCACTGTCGCCAACTTATCTGAAGCACGGCTGACTCTCCAGGTACTGCGTGAGCTGCGCCCGGAAAAGCTGGCTGGTGATCGGCTTGCCGCTCTTGGTGTCACTCAGCGGGTTGCTCACCACCGTCTCCACGTAGATCTGTGAGTAGATGTACTTGAGCGTGGGGGTCATGTCGCCCGCCTGGTTGTCCGTCATCATCACGAAGCGCAGGCCGCTGGGCGTCTCGTACTGGTGGCACGTGTACGTGTTGGTCTGGTACCTCTGCATCCCCTCGGGGGTCGCGCCCGCACCGGCAGCCGCAGGCTCCGCCGGGCCAAAGGGGTCCGCGCTACCTCCAGCCGCCTGCGTCGCCGTCGTGGGCGCGATCTTCCCCACGAACTCCTTGAGCGAGAACAGCAGCCCGAAGAGCAGCCTCTTCTCCTCCTCCGGGTCTGAATACGTCACGCTCTTGCCGCCGGGCACGTTCCATTTCTCCTGGTACAGGCACGCCCCACTGCGCGTGTAGATGTAGAACGAGTAGATCATTATCGCTTCCTTAGTTTTCTTTTTCTAATGTGCCGACAGTAGTAGAATGCTGTATCGATTAGTAGTGACATAGGTCGTACTAATATACCTACTAATACTAGTATAGCAGCATCCTCACGGCGAATTTTCGCCCCGGTTGCTAGAGGGGCATTGCTTCGGAAAATGTTGTATCTTAGCTTCTCAGCACCGCCCCCAAGTATCCTATACACACTCATACTTTTACCAAATTGGTTTCAAAAATATATGCACGAAGTGCCGGGTTTGCATCAGATTTTATTAAAATGACCGGGCTTGGAGTTTAATATGGAAAACGGTATAGGCAGCACGGGGACCGATGCCACGAGCAAGCGCAGCGAGCACTGGTAGACAGCGCGCGTGTTCCCGACGTTGCACACATGCTGATCAACTAGAACTTGCATGTCCGAGTCATCCGTCGCCGCCATAAATGAAGACAGGAAAGAGGCTTGACGTAACAGCAAGGGATCTCGTGCCGCATCTGGTAGTGCCGTCGTAGCTTTCGACCTCTTTCAACCGTAAGTCAATGTAGTCTTTTGCTTAGTCCTGGTTTCCATGCTACAGTAGTAAATAAGCACTTTCCGAATCATTATAAGTGGCTTTGGCGTTGCCACCGTTGGCCGCTGAATCGATTGCAACAAATTTCCGGGTGGACATCCTTAAATATCCCCCACAGTATCAGGCTAAATCATGCTCGAGCATTCAGCAAGCCAATACATCAGTAAAATTGTAACTCATGGCGAAAAATTCAGTCACATTACATTCAACAACCACCGGTATGCACATTTGCTCTGACATTACATTAATTTAAAGCTCATTGAAACAGCGAGACCAGCAGTGTGCCCCCCAACACGTAAGAGCTTTTCACAATAACACGAACTCACTGTAAGTGATTTAAAAGAGCTTCAAGATGAACGACTAAACGTCTCACTCCACATACATGTTCGCCAGATTCACTAAACAGTAACAAACATTTAACAAACGCTAGTGTTAGCTATAAATTTGGCGTTTGTGTGAACATGCAAGACCAAAAGTTGGTGTCAGAATTGCACATTGCCACTTTAACTTGCTCAGGAAATAGCATGCAATTTTGGAGAGCAACGACGTCTTACTTCCTGCGCAAATGACATATTTATCAACGTTGTCAGAATAATATACCAAATGTCAGGGCAAAAAGAGAATTCTCCACGTTTTCTTCACAGCTACAGAGCATACATCCTGGCTATTGTCTCCACTATATGGCACGTCTGGCCAAGTTACCGCTTTCTGTATCATGCCAATCTTCGTAATCGGTCGCCCCCGCTGCTGCAGAACTGTGTGTAGCAAGCGATTTATAGATTTCTTCAGTCAACGATTGCAGCAACTAATATGCCAACTAAATCTAGTGCTGCCTTCTTGCTTCCGCATGAGTGGTTCGTAATAGTTAGCGGTAGCATAGTATTGTGGATTTCACGCATTTTGGCGTGGACTAGCGATTTCGTGACGGTTTATGCCAATGCTCAACACGAATAATCAGAGAGCGAATAACAGTTTGAACAGTTTTAGCGAATTGAAAAACGAGTAGAGAGAACGACAGCGTCGCAGAGCTCGGGTAGCGTGGGTAGTTCGGCCGTCATTGGCGTCCGTGGGCAGGTGTCTGTGGTGAAGGTGCTGGCTTGTGGTCGGCAAAAGGCGAGATGCATAGTTTTTGCGCAACGACTTCTTTATTTAGCCAAGACGATTTATGGGACGAATAGAGGGCGCAAAATTCGTGAAGGCGACAATATAGCCTTTGGATTTAGACTTCACTGCTCCATGCCAGTTTTGCCAAGATTAGGTTATCTATGAATAACTTAATCCAAACGACTCTTCAGTACATTGTTTCGTACGTTAGCGGAGACTTTTTACGGAGCTGCCTGTCCTCTCATATGTTTTTTACGGCGGGCTCCACTGTCATTTGCCTCCGTTACCACATTTAACCGGAGTTCAGCCACCCCTTGAAAAGGGTTCCACGGTCCATGTGCATAAATCGTCGGTTGTCAACTCTTACCTTAAACTTCAACGCAATCGTTTGTTTGCTGATACAAACGGGGCGATAAAAAGTTGACCTCAGTTTAATAACTTGTTATACCTTCGAACAAGGTAACATTTGAAGGGTCGCGTTTGAGCGCCGTTCAACATAAGTTCGTGTGTTCTTAAAAAAAGGTAAAATTCGATCGAAATCGCCCCGGGCAGGCTATGATTGTTCATTTGCCCTAACCCATTCTCAATTATAATACAGGGGTCATAAATTGGAGTAAAAGTACCTGTAAAAAGGGTAAAAAGTCTTTATGCATATTTCATTAAAGGGGGGCAATGCCCCAATGATGACTACTAGCATTTGACCATCAGCGACCGAATGGCGCTTCCGTGTGCGAAGTATGAACTACTAAGTATAACTGTAGGCGCATGTTGTCCGTTCGCATCCTGAACACGCTTGACGACGAGGAGCGTTCACGCATGGATAAGTTTTCGCGAACCAACAGCACACGTAAATGTTTCCTCAAAGCTGCTTAACACTCCAAACCTGAATATTGCGTTTTCTATCTCGCCCGATCTCCTTGAATAACACCATATTGCACTCTTCATTGCCTGAATATTGCGGTCGGTGCATTACTTGATCACGATACTCCAGCGGTAGAGTATGGTACTTGATTTAGAGTAAAGCTTGATGACTTCTGAGTAACTTCACGAAAGGCCTCTGGTTGTCTTTGGAAAGATGCCGTGTCCAGTATGGCAGCCTAGAAGGGGCACAGCGCAAGTGTACGTGGGGAGACGTTCAACGGCATATATATACCGACGTGAAGAGGTTAATAGGGAATTAAAGTGTCATCTAGCCGAAAACAATAGACATTCCACGATCAAACTGCTTGTAGTATGATATTCACGTCGTGGAGGCCAACCCAACAACCAGCACCTTACACTAGAGCAAGTAGACTCTAGCTGATACAGCGCACAAACTCCAAGGGAGTATGTATTCAAAACTTCAAGCACATTACTTGCTACTCTGAAGTCAGTACGGCTCCAAGCCGCAACGACGGGTTCATTCGCTACCCTGCTAGTCGCTGGGCCTTCCTACGCGGACATGCTTCACGGGCACCTCGCGAGGGTTTGTTTTGGTTATGCTCCTCGCAATCACTTGCTGCCGATAGAATAGAGAATCGTGTCACATTTTTTAAATTGTGTTTTATCACTTAAAAGTGATATGGTAGCACTAGAGAGGAAGTACGGCGGGCATCGGGAGCCGAGATGCTGTGTTGAGTACGCTGGAAAATCGAAACTGAATATTATAGCTTTTAACTACAACTATCCCTTGCTATTTGCTTTGGGCTGTCGGTTACCACTAATTGATCTTGAACAACTGCTGCTGCAGTTCACCCTTTCGGTTAACCGTGATCTAGGGATTCGCGAGATACAGTCCAGCGTCATTAGTGCTCTCTTGCTGCTGGTGTGTAATTGCCGTTGATTATCTTGATCTCGCGACAGATAGTATTTGCTGATAATGAAGACTTCATCGTGCAGCTCCACCAGTGTTGCTTTGGTTTGATGGCCTGCATGCAGGGCTGGCAGAAGGGGTTTAATTATTAGGCTTTATTTTAGGTTTTGTAGTAAAACCTGTCAACCTCCAAAAAGTGCCAATAGGTTTTACTGGATTTCAAATCGATTTCGTAGGTCTTTCAGAGAAAAAAGAATAATTTGGTTGCCAAATTTCCATAAATACAAATCGTGATGCTACCACTTTTGCCGACAGACCTTTAATGGCAGCACAGACGAATGTACACACTTGGTAACGATGATTCTGGTTCAGATGGACTCAGCCAAACATGGCTAAATAGATCATAAGAATGAAAGAAGCTCCATTCTGAAGAACACCACAATAATTTCGGTACCAATGTTGCGCCGAAGCCGTACATATACCCATGGAGAACGAAAAGGCGAAATCATCATAGAGCCGACCCTAACTACACTCGTACTTTCACCACTATTTTCACTCCTCGCTGACAACGTGGTATTTCAGAGCCCGTCGACATGAACTATTAGGTACTCGGCCTCTTAGCATCCTCCTCGCTTCGTGCTCCAAGCTCGGAATGCGCTTTGCATAGGCAACTACATCACAAAGAACGAAAACAGGAAGAACTACCAAGAATGCAGTAGCAAAGCTTAGTCAAGAAATAAAACTAGGTTCTATTGGTTCAAACCAAGGTAAAACCAAAAACCTAATTCGTTTTGAAAAAATCGACAGGTTTTACCAGCCCTGCCTGCATGAGCTAAACTGAGACTCTAAATTGCAACAGTCGCGAACACGCCCTTAGCCCTAAGTTTGCTTCACTACACAACAAAAAATGGTCATGGTGATTGATAGAGTTATTGGATCAATTAGAGGTGGGGACGTCGGCCTGAAGTGGGGACTCTACTGCAGAGTGTCGGCCCCCCTAAGCAACTCAGCGGGGCAACGCGACTGAGGTGCTCCATTACTAGTTCCATAAATAGTACTACTAATGGCTCCAATCCCAGAGCTGTAGTAGTAGTAGACATAGTATTGATAATATGGCTACTAACGAAACTATTCTAGAGACTACTAATACTACCAAACCTGTTTTTATTAGAGTCAACCCTAACCATATATATTTTGTATCACTGACGATGGGTCCCACCCAACACATCGACATCGGCCGTCTCGGTGACAAGCAAGCCACGCACGCCCGTCGCAAGCTCCAGCCCACCAGCGGCCCCGCAGCCCCGCAAACCTTCCACACCAGATAGATCCTCCCTCGGACATGGGGATGGCGCTGGAGCAGCTCTTCGTGCGCGTGTCAGACGCGCCGGAGGCCTCGCCCGACCGCGAGACGTGCGTGCAGCAGGTGGCGCGCGTCTGCGGCCTCGCGGCAGCTTCGCACGAGGACGACGCCAAGCTCTGCACGCTCTCGGGCTTCGCGGACACCAAGCAGCAGCTGGCGGTGGCCTGCATGCTGCACTGGCAGCTGCTGCAGGCCAAGGAGAGCGGCGCCACGGTCTCCGTGAGCGACTCGGCCATGGGCACGTGCTTCTCGCTGGCGGAGCTGCTCAACTGCGACAAGACGGCGTTGGAAGCCGGCGCTGTGCACGTGCTGGACGCTGTAGTCTTTGTGGATAAGGTGCTGCAACAATCGCAGCAAGATGGGGAGGAGGTACAGAAGACGCAGATCCTGGACTGCAGAGAGCAGAAGGAGTTCCTGGGCCTTGTCAGCGGCCAAGAAGTGTCGGGACACCTTGAGGGTGCACGGAATGTGCCGTTCTCGTCCATTTTCACAGCGGATAGCCATGCTGCCGATGATGAGAAGCAAGAGGAGGTCCCGACTGCTGAAAAGAGCGGCGAAGGAGCTTTCTTGCTGCCTGTGGAAGAGCTGCGGGAGGTGTTCGAAGTGAACGGCGTCGACTTGGACCTGCCTATTGCGGTTGTAGCGAGAGTACCTGCTGAAGCCGCAGCGGTTGCCACTGCGTTGCTCCTAGCGGGTCACCGTTCATGGGTTGCGTTCTGCACAGATGCACTGACCGATGCGTTGGTGGCGTCGTTCCCGTCGTCCACAACGACCGACATTTTCCACCAAGGCCGACTGCTATACAAGGACGACAAGGGTGCTTTTGATCTATCTCCGCAGTCGAATGATGCCAGCACTGTTGGAAAGGAGGGCGAGCACGAGGTTGAGGAGCTAAAGAAGGCTTACAACGAAGAGCTCAGTGGGAAGGCCAGCAAGAAGCGAGGGGATGCCAACGAGGAAGAGCAGGAAGAAAAAGCTGAAGATATTGTGTGGGTCAAGGATGGCCATTGCTTCTTTGACATGCCGTCTCCTGTCAGCAAGTCGGAGTTCCTGGATGCGTCTCGAACTATCTTCCGCGTCGTGTCCTTCGTGCTCGCACCTTTCGGGTTCCCTGCATCTTTGCGCAAGAAACGTTCGTTGCAAGAAGTGAAGACGCAGTGCGGATCGCTCTTCCAGGATGTTATTGAAGTGTGCTCGGATCTTATCTACCAGCAAAAGGAGCTCAACGAAGGCGCCATGGCCATGAGCGTGCACAAGTGGGTGGAGGAGAAGCACGACCATGAGTGCACTGCCCAGGTTAAGGCTATCAATGAGCTGTGGGAAGTGCTGTACACACCACCTGCTGTGGTAGAAGTGCCGGACTTGACCGAGGAGCACGTGTTTGAGCTCGCTACGAAACTGGAAGAGAAGGTGCGCGACCTGGTAAGCCAACGTACACCTTGGGCATTCGACGCGGTAGCCGAGGAGGAAGAAGAGGGGGAATCAAGCGATGAAGAAATTGAGTTCGACCTAAAGGAGGAAGTGATTGACCTGGAGGAGGAAGAATTTAGCGACGAAGAGGAGGACGAAGAGGACCTCCACGAAGGTGAATCCGCCCGAGAAGAAACAACTGATGTTGTCGAAGAAAACGCTAACGAGCACGAAGCCACGGTGAAACAAGAGAACGTTGAAGAGCCTGCAGGCACCAACGAGGAAGAGGTCGTCAACACTGATGAAGCCACAGGAAAGGATGAAGATGAAAGCAGGGCGGAGGCCACCGTGGAAGTACCCACCGAGAAGGAGGCCACTGCTACACAGAGTGGAGAGGATCACAATAAAACTTTCACCGACCAGGACCATGACGCAGACAAGGAGGAAGCTGCAGCGGCTGTCACGGAGGGTGATGACGTCAAGAGTGAATCATCTCCTGCCGAAGAGCGACCAGAGCCTGTTGACAAGCTGGCGGAGAGCTGGAAACACATGTACCCGAGTGTGATTTATTCGCTGGGTTTCATTCCGCAGGACGTTGAGGCAAACCACAAGAAGCTGAGTACGTTGCAAATCAAGTCGTTCATTCAGGCCGTGGCGGAGGCTTCCTGGGATGTAATCAAGGATGAGACCAAGGAGCTGAGTCAAGTGGAATTCCAGGCGCTATGCGAGACGCTGGGCGGAGAAAAGAGAGAGCAGCTGACTGATCGCGCTGTGGAAGCGGAGAAGTCGCTGTATGTCCTGAAGCATTTCCTTACCCGCTCCCTGAAAACCGACGACTCGCTTGCTGACAAGCTGGCGGGTGTCCGTGAAGCTGTGCTGGACGGCGACATTCGCCGACGATCGGGACGAACCCAAGTTGCTCTCGCTGCATACTCGAAGGCCTTCGAATACCTTCCGCTTTACCACAAAGATTTGGAGAACGCGGTGGTAGGCCGGGCGAGATGTTTCATCGAGATGAACGAGTTGGGTCGTGCCAAGACTGAAGTACAACTTGCGCTGAAGCTGAACCCGTACAGTGTTGGCGCATACGAGTGTTTGGGAACTGTCGAGGAGAAGACCGAAAATCCTGAAGCAGCGATGCAGCACTACGTGACTTCCTTCATCCTTGACGGCTCCCGCTCGCCGGAACATGCTGAGTCTATCGATCGTGCATCCCGCCTTGTGGGTCGTCGGGTGGCAAAGGCTCTCTTCGCGGATATGGAGAAGGTGCACGAGCTTCCGTCTTCTTGGCTGGTGGATAGCTACTTCGAGTCCTTCGAGCATGACGCCGACTATGCCGCGCGTGTGCCGTTCGACATCGCGAAGAAGGAAGACGTGGAGCAGTCAGACTTGGACGCACTCACTCTTCTGCACCGCGCGATTCACTTTAAGCGCAAGAAGAACTACGGCGAAGCACAGCGTGACGTTTGGACGCTGATGGGCAGGGACATGGAGGCCGAGGGACTCACAGTGGAGGATCGTGCCTTGGCGCTCAACCTGCACGCGTCGTTGCTGTACGTGGCGGGCGACGTCCACACGGCTGTGGAGGTCATCAACAAGAGCCTGGAGCTTCAGCCGACACTGATCAACTCGTTGGTGAAAAAGGGTGGATTCCTCGCTGAAATCGGCGAAAGGGACGAAGCCACTTCGTGCTTCTCAGAAGCTATGGAACTGGACTCGAACGAGGCCGATGTACACCTACACTTAGGACAGATGGAGCTTCTCGATGGAAACTACTACAAGGCTGCGCAGTGTCTCCGCCGCTGCATCTCCAGGTCCGACGCGCTTCCAGTCACGCACATTACGTATGGCATGGCGCTGTACAAGAGCGGCTCCACGTATCAAGCCAAGGACGTGTTCGAGGAGGCCTCGAAGAAGTTCCCCGAGTCCGCCGAGGTGCACCTGTTCCACGGCGAGGTGCTGGCTGACCAGGGCAACTACGCCGAGGCCATGCGCCACTTCCTGTCCGCCTGGGAGCTGTCTCCGCAGTGCCCGCTGCCGTTCCTGAACGCTGGTCGCGTGTATGTGGGCACGAACGACCCCATGCGCGCCATCGCGCACTTCAAGCAGGCGCTGGAGGTGGACCCGCGCTGCAGTTCGGCGCACCTGGATATCGCCCAAGTTCTCTTCGCGCAGGGTCGCACGAGCGAGGCGTTCGAGCACTTTGAAGTGGCGGCGTCCTGCTGCCGCTTCCTGCCCGAGGTCGAGGAGGTCTGCGCCTGCCAGGAGATGGCCAAGATGCAGCTCAAGGTCACGGAGATCCTCGGCGTCGAGCTGCGCCACATCATGCGCTCCAAGTAAGGTCTTAGACAATTGTTTTCGTAAGTATTGCCCAGATACCCAGTTGAACATACTGTATGCACATCAACCGATGCCAATACTCTAACAACATATACTAATTGTGAAAGGCCTTTCCTCCTGGTCAGGCACACCCAGAGTCTCACTTGGCAAGATAAGAAGCGGAAGCAGAGCCTGACTGTTCGATTTATAACTCAACATGGCCGGAGGAAAGCACCAAGCGTTCACGTACGCCACGATGGTCGCGCTGGCAGGCGGCGCGGGCTACGCGCTCAAGCGGCACGTGCCGTCACTCGTGGGCGGCATGCTGATGAGCGTGGGGTTCCTGGGCGCCGGCCTGTTGGTGCTCACGGATACCATCACGGACCACCACTTCGAGCACGGCACGTCGCTGGCCATGTCGGGCGTCATCGCGAGTGTCATGGGGCGACGCGCCGTTCTCACAGGGCTGCGTGCTCCGGCGCTGATCGCCACGGCGGGGGCCATGTCGGCCGGCTACCACGTTCACCAGCTCAGCAACCCTCCGCGCAAGATGCGATACATCCCCGGGGCGCCGCCTGTGCCCAGCAGCTACGACTAAAGAAGCGACTGCAGCTTTTCTTCGTGTAGCATGCCTGGAAGACATCTCCTTGCAGCTAAAAACTGAACAAGCAAGAACATGTACTGCGTCCTCATTATCTTGGGCATTTCAGCGTTGAAGTCTACCAGCGGAATACTGTACACAGTTTTCTATATTTCTGGGATAGCAGTAACCCCGGAGGGAGTGCTGTGGCCAGCTAAACACAGATTAATTAGGCGGCACCTCGGTAACTGAAGCCGGTATTACTGAAGTCGAAAAACTGGCCTCGGTAACTGAAGTTAACTGAATATCGCCTATGCTCTCCATCAATCTCAAGTCCGAGACAAGCTCGAGAGTGATGGAGAGCATTTCGAAAATTCCGTATTCGTCGCATTTGGACACGAGTGCTGCGAGGAATCGTTGCCGAGATCAGCGCTGCTCGCCGGTCTTCGGCACCACGTCGCTGATGAGCGATGTTCTTAGCTTACGCTTGTTGCCGTAGCTCACCGATATGTGCCCCAGCAGCTGCGAGCCGACCCCGGAACTAGTGCCGACGCTGACATCGTCAACTCAAGGAAGTCAGCTAATCGTGTAGCCGTTCGGCCTCTCAAACGACAGCATTATATGAAAACTATTTGCCGATCTGGTGTGGCAGCGTGTGGCAGCTCGTCCATCTACAGTACCAGAGCAAGTAATTTAAACTACTATATTACCTTGAAAATACTATATTACCTTGAAAACACAGACATGCTCTCTGACGTCCTGAGCTCAAGGAGCGAAGCGAAAGTATCGGATGACATCGTCCGGTTCCTGATTGATCCATAACGGTGCGTGTTTGAAATACTATCTGCTCATAGCTGCTTCATCTAGCTAGAGCATGTATCCTGGGAGACCAGCTTGCTGGCTTACAAGTACCAGCCTCACAACCCTTAGTTCGTCACGAAATGTATTCCCTGTTACAGGTAACGCTTAGGAGACATCGAAATCGCAATTAGCGAGCGTGCAAAAAACTTCTGAAGAGCAAAATAACTGTTTGCAAATTTTTAAAAGTAAACAGGACTGCATCATTTCTCACTGAACTATCCTGTATTACCGGCCAGATGCTGCGGCTGCGAAGCAGGCGCAGTAGATGGCCGTAGTTATCGTCCACTAATCGCGCTTCTTGACTCGAATATCAAACCTTGTGCTGGCAAAACCGCTATCCGCAGGCATCTTCTGCGCCTGCTTTGCAGCCGCAGCATCTGCCTGCATTCGACTATTAGAAGCGTCCATAGAGTTGTGGCTTAACCCCCAACGCGCAGTTGCACAAGTAGTCGCCAACTACTGTACCGGACACTAAAGTATAAAACGGGTTTTATACTAACGCCAACTAGAAGCACACGCGTTCACTTTACTTACTTCGAACGAAGTATAGTTTTCGATTGTGTCACATTGGCATACCGCATCTGAGAGTCTTTCTTCTAAACTATCTGTCTGAGAACAACCAATGCAGAACTTGCACTTTCAGGATAAAACAAATACTAGTAGAAAAATGGTCTCCCAGACAATGCGCAGCAACCTTGTGAAAACATAGACCTTGTCTACAACGCGCTGAATTCTCGCTGGCGTTACCGGTCAGTGCCTAAATTGCACGAGCTCGGCCAGGACGTTAACGCTTCGTTTTTTTTACAGCACGCTGCCGCCCTATCACTATCGCCAGACCCTAAAATAAATATATTACGAGGATTGAACGCACCCACAGCTACGAAAATTGTTGTTTTTCCTTATTTTCCCAGAATTATCGCGTGGCTTTACCTCACACAAAATCCTTTAGCTATCCCAGCCTACGCATAGCTCTCGTATGAAATATGAGAGGTTTCTGGAGTCAACACAGCTGGTACAGTGTACCGATCCTGGGAGTAAACTTCGCTTGTCAAGCTCGTTCCGAGCCTCACTTTCCAAAGACCTCGATTGCTTGTCGATTGCTACGATGGCGCACCACCCGACGTACACAATGGGCGGCCTGCTGGCGGCGGGCGGCGTCTTCGGCTACCTCAAGACCAAGAGCGTCCCGTCGCTGGTAGCGGGCGTGACGCTGGGCGCCGGCTTCGGTGTGGCGGGCTTCCTGCTGCAGAAGGGCGAGATGACCAACGGCCACGGCGTGGCGCTGCTCATGTCCTCCATCACCATGGGCGCTATGGGCGTGCGCGCCGTGCGCACCAAGAAGCCGCTTCCGGTGTCAGTGGCGTCGCTCGGAGCGCTGTCCGCTGCCTACCACGCGCAGCGCTTTACCGAGTGGATCGGCCAGGAGTAAACCGCGGACGCACATGCCAGCCAAACCCCAGACACCTTCGCTAATGAAGATGTGAATGAGATTTTGTGTTTTGCTGTTAAAATGATCCATTTCTATTGTCTCGGATGTAAGATGTGCTAGGTTCTGTCCACTTAGACGGAGCTGCTCTGGACCGACGACACACAAGCCGCCAGCATATCTTCGAACATGACGCCCGTCATGTTCTTGGTGAGGTAGATCGTTTCTTCAACGCCGTCGGCGCCATCCGGAGAGTCGACGAGACCGTCCTTCACGCCAGGGGAGAACGAGATCTCAACGCGGAAGCGGTCCTCGCTGTCTTCCGGTAGAGACGGGGTTTCAAAGACCCGAATAACGATGTGCGCGAGGTAATTGATCTCAGCAACCCGGTCCAGCGCGCGGCGACTGCTGTCCGAGATGAGTTTGGACTCGCGGAAGACGTATTTGCGCTGGGTCATGTGGTCGTTGACGCTGATACCCATACGCTTAAGAATCTCATTGCTGAACTTCTCCTGCTCGAGCGAAATATCGTACTCGTCATCCTCGCCGCCGTCCTGGTGCCGCGCGCGCCACGATGGACACTGGAAGCGCAGCACATTGAGCAGTGTGTGCAGGTGACTTTCACTTGTGAAGTATAGTCGCGTTCGGACTTGGGTGCCTGGGCTTTTGATACGCAATTCCTTTGCGTAGGACGGATCCAAGCGGTATCCGTGGTGTTCGATGTCCTGGTCAGCAAGATCAACGGCGCCGTCCTCAGTGGCGTCACCATTTCCGTACAAGCTCCTCGATGACGATGATGATTGCTCCTGTTCCGCTGAAGCCGACATGACGGTCACGATGTCAGCCCGAATCTTCGCACAAAGCGCCTGCGAAACGCGGTTGCCGATTGATTGCTTCTCGGTAATGTCCATGCCGTATTCCTGAGAGACGTAGCAACGTGCGAGGGCCTCTGCGAGCTTGAAGAGCTCGAGGCCGCACTTCCAGCTGACGCTCGAGTTGTGGAGCAAGTCGTACTTGATACAGTCGTGAATGTCTGGAATCTTGCTCAGGTCGAACGTATCCGTCTTAGTTGAGAAGAAGTCGCGGCAGATCTTGTCCCAGCGCTCAAACATGAGCGAGAATGTTTCTCCCATGTACAGTGGCGTAGCTTCATCAGATTCTGGACACGAAACAACGGATGTCAGATAGGGCAAAGAATATACCCGGTATCCAAAGGAGCTGCCAACTTACGCTTATCTTGAACACGCTCCGCGATTTCAGCTCTAAATTTGCGGACGAGCTCAAGCAAACGAACCAGAGCATCCTTCGGATTCTTTATGATATCCAATGCCTGGATGATGGACTCGGTCTTCAACGGTGCAATGGCTGCCTTCATCTCCTCGACGGAGGAGTAGTCGCGCTGAAGCAAGTTCCTTAGCTTTGTCTTCGTGATCTGCATCTCTTCTGTAGCGTCTGCTTGTCCTGAGTGATCCAGCATCTTATTGGCATCTGTACGAAATAAATAGAGGCAAGTGAGCAACACTGCACATTAGAATGGGTAAACCATCATGATCGTACCTCTCCCCAACGTCGTCACGAGACTCACAAGGATAGGCGTCAGGTCTCCTTCCAACTCGAGGAACCCCTTAGCGAAAGCAGCAGCAGTCATTTGCACACGACCCTCGTCCGACGTAAAGATTTTCAAATCGTGGCGGAATGTTGAGTGCAAGCGCAGCAAACCGCCCTCTTCCACTTCAACTGGGTACAGACTGTTTCGGAAGGACTGGCCCAGCTCTTCTCCCTGTTGCTTACCGCGTTCCGTGAGATCACCTCCCCACTTCAAAATCATGAGGACCTTCGGTTTTTCAGACCCATCTGGGCCTTCCGCGTAGGCAGCGGCAGCAGCAGCATAGCTCTTGTGAGGCTTGAACTGCACCTTTCGGTTGATACCAGCGAATTTCCATCTCTCTAGCACTCGTTTCATCTGCAGTAACTTCTCGAAGCTGTCGCCACCCTCGACCTCCCACACAGCTTCCTTGGAGCCGACCCCTGGAGCGTATGCCTTGATGAGGCTGCGTACTAAGTCCAGCAGCTCCTGCAGATCAGCGACAGCCTTCACCTTCACCTCGTCGTACTTGCCTTCGCTTCGGCGCTTCTCGTAGAAGTCAACCAGATCTCTCTCCCAAACGAGCGTTTTGAGCTTTTGTTTGGGTGTGCGATCACCGTGGCGTACCACAGCAATAACGCACCGTAGCTCCTCGCGGTTTTCGTCATCCAGCAGCAGTCCTGCGCTACTGGCGCTTGCCACACTCGATTCCGACGCATCTGAGCCAGAGCTTGGGCGAGTGTGTTCACGCCAGTCGTGCCCTCCGTTGCTCATCGCACTGGCCTCTGTGGCATACTGCGGACACATCTGGGTACCCATAGATGTTAGTGAATTGGCACGACGTTGACGAAAGTACCTCGAGCGCAGGGCCGACACCAAATAATTGTGCAATATCAGCCCGCAATCATCGTAATATTTCTTCGAGTTCTTGACGAAACTCCAACCGTTCACGTCGCACACGTATGAACTGCCTCGCACACGCAGGAGGTCGAAGCCGCACACCGTCTGATGGAAGGCCAGACACACTTTCCTGGCCATCTCCTTCTCCGTCGAGTTTAGGATGACAGGATAGCGCACCTCCTTGCCCGCCGAGTCGCGCACCACGCGGCCATCAAGCACGGGTGACTTGCGCGCTTCCGCGTGGCCGTAACTCGAGCCCACAGTGTACACCTTCACGTCTGTTCCTTGAGTATTCAGGAACTCCTCGTAGATGTACGACCCGTCGCGCCGCACACGGTTCACATCCGGGTAGAACTCGCTGGAGCGGTCCCCCACCTTTCGGAAGAGCCGTTTGCTGCCTCCACCCGCACTCGTCGGGTAGTAAATGTAGACGTTGTGGTCCTCGGCGTCCGCCGGTTTCTCCACGAACGGCTTGTTGATGCGCACGCCATTGATCTCGACGTAGTTGTCGTGCTCAATGAGCTCGTCCTGCACGTCGCCAGGCAGGTCTCGGTTCACGATGACGTGGCGAGGCACCTGGATCCCATGCCGCGTGAGCAGCGCGTACACCTTGCGGCGGTCAAAGAGCACGTGCTGCATGCCCAGCTCGTTGACCAGCACGGGGCGCACGCGGCGCACGTACTCCTCGGCCTTCTCGAGCGGGAAGCCCGTCGAGTAGAACGAGATGAGCGCGTCGCAGGCCGGCCACGCCTCCACGGGGCGGTTGAGGATCGTGTCGTCGTCGAACACGAACACGTCGAACTGCCGCTTCTTCTCGAGGCGGCGCAGGATCTCGCGCATGGGCTTGGAGCGCGTCTTCTTTTCCATGGCGCACACGCCCACCACGTACTTGGACACGCCGGGCGGCGGCGAGCACGGCGGCGACCCGGGCGCGGACAGCATGGGCGGCGGCGTGACGGGGAGCGAGTGCGTGCGCTCCATTGCGGACCAAAAGTCGGAGTGATGGTCGGTCTCCTGCCGAAGTTACTGTGGACGAGGAGCAGCCGAGCGCCGTTACCATCGACTGGCACTAGCGGATCAAAAGCGTGAGTGCTGAAGTTGGGACAAGAAATCCATCCACAGATGGGAGGATTTGCTCCAATTGGAGGCCGCCGCTAAAGATAGCGCGGCTATTCGTGGCGCCGCCGGATTGAAGTTGTGGACCGACCACCCCAAGCACCAAGCCATTATTGATGGCTGCGACGACGCGAGGTCACCTCGCGCCAGTATACTACGCGGCGATGTGATGCACATGCGCTGCCAAAATGCAGTGCAAGTGTATGAGGGCATTGTTACAACTGAGAACTGTGGCTGCAGGTGCATGTTGTTGCAGTCACTGACGGTTGGCTGGCTGGCAGCCGATGTTGACGATTTCGTTCGCGTTGCCGCGGCGAATCTAGGCTGAATCTCGGGCGGTTGATGCGCGTGACACGAGACTGGAGACGCCTCGTTTGCAAATCGCTGGCTGCACTTACTGCAACTGCTGTACCCGCAGTCAAGTGACTTGCCTCAAGTCCGACATGTAGTTAGTAGGGCGGTTGGCCGCGAAGAGACGCGATGGACAGCGACGATGAAGCGCGCGTGGAGCTGGAGTTGGCAGCCGAGGTGCGTGCTCTTCGAGCCAAGCTGCGCGCCCGAGACGAGGAGCTTTCGGCGCTGCAGGACCAGGTGGCGGCGGTGACAACACAGCTCAGCGAGACGTCGGACGAGCTCGAGTGCCGCATGAGCTTCGTGTCCGACGCCATGACGCAGATCGAGAGCCTCGAGGCGCAGGTCGCCGAAGCCAAACGCAGCATCTTGACGCGCGAAATGCAGCTGCACGACGGCGAGCAGCGTGAAAAGACCCTGGAAGCTGCACTACGCGGGAAGGAGAAGCAGTGCGAGCACTGGGAGGGTGAATTTCACCGTGCAGACCAGGAACTTTCAGCGCAAAAGGCTGCGGAGCGCGAGCTTGAACGGGAACTTCAGGCGAAAGCCGACGACGCACGTGCGTGGAAGACCAAGTGTCAAGCAGCCATAACGTCAGCGGATGAGCTGAAGCTGCAGAACGCCAGCTTACGCAAAAAGGAGCGCGAGCTGGTGGCAACTTTGCGGCGGCATGTGGAGGCGGCGGAGTCGAACCAGTCTTCGTTGAAAGCCCGACTGGCGAAACGCGAGTTGAAGATTGAAGCGCTTCGGAGACAGTGTCAAGACCGTCAGGAAGAGCTGGAACGGATTGAGCGGGACCGCATTCAGGAGACTGAAGAGCGCGAACGGGAGAAGATCGACGTAACCGAGCAGCAGCTGGACAAGCAGAAGCTGCTCGTCGAGCTACGCGAAAAAGTGGCGAAGCTAACCGCAACAGTGGAAAAGGCGCAGGTCAAGGAACAGCTATTCCGACGAGAGATCTTCCGATTGCGCGAAGAATTGTTACTAAGTGAATCCCAGCGGGAGACCGAGCACCGGCGCCAACAGCAGCTCATCGAGGGGAAGGAGAAGGAGGTGGCCTTCATTTGGCAAAAATACGTCGAGGTCATGCCTCTTGCCGAAGGTAACAACAGCTTCTAGGTGACGGGGCAAGCCTAATTAAACGAGTCTGTTAGTATCCTTGCAACGCTGCCTCTTGTCAGCGTCATAGTCTGCATTCGTGCTAAGATAAGGACTCGTAGCCGTTATAGGATGTTGCTTGAAGCAAGTTAGCTTGAAGCTTATCGAGACTGTATGGAGGGGTTTCGAGAATGAGCAGGTTCTCAAAAATAGCTGCGGCAAGAGCAAATTGCCATGACTGACGGCGTGCAGAGCTATCTAGGGAGCGGGCGCTTCTAAATACGAGCGCGCGAGCGTGAACGCGGCGTGGGGCCATTAGAACGCAGCGGAAGAGACCCGCCGAGTTGGCGTGTGGGGATTTCGCGCTCCGGGGGATGAAGTGGGAGGTTCTACGAGTGTTCCAGTCCGCCACTTCATTCGACGTCATTCAAAATGGAAGAGCTGAGTTTCTTTAACGAGCGTGAAGCGGAATGCTTCGAACGCGAGGACACATTGGTACGATTAAGCTGGCAGTGCATTCGTATGGTGGTAACCATGCTAACCTTTTGCTGTGTTGCATCTACAGTCGCAATCGGACCTTGAAAAGCTCAATGTCGACGAGAACATGCCGGAGATGGAGAGGACAGAAAAGTTACTCAAGACAGGGCTCGACAAGCAGAAGATCAGCATCTTGAACTCGCTGCCAAAGATTCTGGCGAGCAACAACTCGAAGACAAATCTGAGCGTCATGCTTGACTGCATGAAGGTGAGTTCAACCATATCTCTTTTCATGTGATTACCAAGCCAGTCATTGACTCTGATGTTGTCTAGGGAGTTTGGCAAAAGTATGAATCCGAGATGAATGCGGACCCTGCGGTTCTCCTCGAGCTATTCAAGGGCCTAGCGAGCTTAGCATGCGCGACTGTGGATGGCAAAGTGCTGAGCTATCCGGTGGTCACGTTCCATGAAGAGTACGCTGAGCAACTTGAAGCCTGTCGAACGGAGAAGAAGAACGCGGTGTTTCTTCTCTCAGACGAGCAGGTTGCCAAGTTGCTGGTGCCTTTCGCTCTCGATATTATCACAGAAATTCAACAGAAGGACTACGCAGAGGAGGCAAGCCTGGCTGTCATTGCATTGCTGCCACGCCTAGGAGCGTCACTGAAGAAGACGCAGGTACGCGAGTACGATACGGCACCTCAGTAGCGTCACCGCAGTACTAACATCACCGTTATTCAGATTCTTCGAGTGGCCATTGAGAAGGGTGATGTATCTCAAACTCCCGGCTCTAGATTAATATGCTGCTTTGTATTGGGCGCTATTACTGCTTTGAACTTATTGTCTGCTCCGGACATTGAAGGACTTTACTTTCAAAAGGTACGATATCTACATACGCGGTATATGTCGCAGGAACAATCTTTCATACTTATGCTAATTTGCTCATCGTTTTCACTATCCTCAGATGATGGCGCTTTGTCAAGACACTGATGCTGAAGTTCGCAAATGCATGTGCATTCAGTTAGACGGATTAGCACGAGCTGTCGGGTACGAGCTTGGCAATGCTCGTTCTTACGTACTGGAGGCAATGTGATCTGCTAACTTCTTATTACTGGTTTTGCTACGTTACAGAGAAGAACACGCTTGTTCAGAGTTACTCCCGGAGCTATTAGAGCTACTACAGGATGAAGAAGAACAGGTTTGACATCCCTCAACGTTTTCACTCTTGTGTGAATTGCTACTAACGTTCTTACTTGGTTCCTTCTGCAGGTCAAGCAAACAGCGTTTCTTACTCTGGTGTCACTTATCGACTTTTTCCCGGCAAAGGACCGTGTCAAGCTGATCATCCCAGAATTTGTCAGTATGGCGGAATCTTTACCCGATTACCTGGTACCATCCCTTGCAGAACGGTATGGACACCTCGTCACAAAGCTGTCCACCCTGAACCACCTTGGAAACGATATCGGACAATCTTTGCTCCAGAGCTATGCCAAACTTTGTTCTCATGAAGAGCTCGAAATTCGGCAGTTCTGTGCGTACAACTTCCCCGCTATCGTAAAAGCCTTCGGTACAACGTATGCGTCAACTTTGATGGACGATCTCCTGGCAAAGTTGGCCAGTGACCCAAACGAGGAGGTAAGTATTTTCTGGGTCTCTTCAATAGCTTGGTTGTACCTAGAACTAACGGCTTCCTGTTATTTATTCTAGGTTCGACATTCCATAGCTGCTGGAATCCACGAGGTTGCGTTATTGCTTGGTCAGCAGCGAGCGTTGCGCTATCTCAGGACATTGGTCTTGAACTTGATGAACGATGAGTCACCAGTAGTCCAGGGTACGGCAATTTCTCGAGCGCCGCAGTTGCTAGCGGCGATGATCAATCCAAACGACGAGGAGCAGAAGGTAATCGTCAGTGAGTTAGGCCATCATCGGATTATCGGAATCTAATTTGCTGTTATTTATCTGCAACCAGGGGGTGATTCTCGACGCGATCATCAAGTCTGTCATTGAATACCACGAAATTCTGCCTCCAAGTCGAAATCGAGACCAAATCGTTTTTCTCGAAACGATGCAGCAATTTCCGTCGTGGTTTTCATCCGCACAGATGTACGAGATGGTGATTCCGATCATCTTTGATTTTATCGAGGATGGCGCGCGCCCCGTTCAGCTGCTTGCCATGCAAGTGGTGCTCAAGTGCATCCGGTATAATGACACCGCAAGCCATCGTTATTCCTTACTCAGCAGACTTCGAAGCGAGTATGGCCACTCGAAAAGCTACTGGCGGCGGATTCTCTACCTTGACGCATGTGTCTACGCGCTCAGTTTAAACAGTCGACTGTACTTCCAGCGAAACTTTCTGGAGGTTGCGATCGATCTTCTTGACGACCCCATACCCAACGTTCGTCTCAAGGCGATCTCGCTCGTGCCACTGTGGAAGAATGCACTATCTTATTTATCGGACGAGAAGTCCCTCGATCGAATCCGGCAATTCTTGGATGAATCGACTATTGATAGTGATCGGGACGTGGCGAATGCTCTTCACGAAACCCGACAAGTTGTGGAAGCAAGTAATGTGGGTCAGCCACGTCGACCGCAAGACGATTCCGAAGACAAGAAGAAGTTGACTGAGGAGGAGAATCTAGGGCTGATGACCGACCACGAAGATTCCTCCGCAGACTCCAAGTGGTCGAGCATGCTTGAGTACACTTTAGTTGTAGGGAAGGACGGACAAGTCGTGCGGAGGGCTCGAGTAAAGTCGTTCGATCTCGTGAACAAGATAGCGAGGGTGCCTGGAAAAGAAGGCGGACGAGGGAATGGGATGAGCGTCGGTGGGGGTATGGCGAGTGGACTGGGCTTGGGAACAGGAAGCAGCTCGATGGCCTTAGCCATGGGAATTGGATCGAAGCCCGACCCAAACAAAATGAAGGCGGCGCCTAAAACTCCGAGTAAACCTGCACCGCCACTTACTACGCTACCGAATTGCGCGACCGCGCGACCTGGTCATGCGAAGATGCCTCAGGCAGTCAAGGTAGCCAATTCTACGGGGAAAATCGTAGCGGCTGGGAGCAAAGGTTCTTTGGGGCCTACAAGAACTGGAACGGGTTTGCCCAAGGACACAGGCGTGATCACGAAGATACCGATTATCAGGCCGTCAGCTCCAGCCAAGCGAGAAGCAAGCCCGTCAAGTAGCACAAAGCCCAGCAGTGCGACCCTAGCGTTGGCCCCTGGACCATCCGGCAGGTTAGGGACAATAGACAACAACGGAGTAGGGGCCCTCAAACCGCAGAAAGCCTCCGGTACACCAGGAACGCCCAAACGCTAGCAAGATCCAGTCCCCCTAAAGTAACTTACCAGTCCATCTAGCCACGCTGAGTGAATTGACCAAACTATTTGAAATCGCATTACAACTTGTTCAACTCGAATATGAATATTAACACCATTTGCCTCCTAGCGGTAGCGTACCACACAGCATTTTTTCCGGCGTTGGTGACCGGCCAACAAACACATCAAGCCGTTCTGGCACACAACTCGCGGTACTTGTCCATGAAGTTGGCGTGGAACTTGACCGTCTTCTCGATCACCTCGTCCACAGCTTCCTCGGGAGGGAGGATCGTCGAGCGGAAGTGCCACGTGCCCTCCTTCTGGCCGAAACCCGAGCCAGGCACCACCACAATTCCCGTCTCGTCCAGCATCTGCATGCAGTAGAAGGCGTCGGGCGCCATGCCCGCAGCCTTCGCGGCCTCAACGGCCTTGGCCGGAATCGTGATCTTCGGAAACGTGTACATCGCGCCCTCAGTCTCGTTGCACGTGACGCCCTCCAGCTCGTTGAAAGCCTTGACCAGCTTCACAGCGCGACGCTTGAGCGCCTCGAGCGTGCCGTCACGCTGCTCGATATAGCGCTCGTACGAGGCATCGCCGGGCTGCGGCGGGTTGGTCATCATTCCCACCATCAGCTGGCCCTCCACGTTCGAGCACAGATTCACCGACATGAGCTTGTAGAACTGGTCCTTGGCGCCGTCGTCAATGTTGACCAGCTCCATGTAGCCACCGCGGCGACCGCACTCGCCCGTGAAGCCCTTGGACGTCGAGTGGAACGAGATCAGCTCCACGTCGTCGTACGCCTTGCCCATGTCGCGCAGCACCTTCTTGAACGACACGAACTTCTTGCCCTCGGCGTACACGTTCTCCTGGTACACCTCGTCGGCCAGGATCAGGATGTTCTCGTCCTTGCAGAACTTGATGATCGCCTCGATGTTCTCCACCGACAGGCACTGACCCGTGGGGTTGCCAGGGTTGATCACAGCCATGGCCCGCACCGTCTTGCCCGCGTCGCGAGCCTCCTTCACAGCACGCGCCAGCTCCTTCACGTCCAGACCCCACGCCTTTTCCTCATCCAGGTAGTAGCCCACCAGGGAGCCGCCGTTGATGGCGATGGCCGCCGAGTACAGCGGGTACTGCGGGATGGGGGCCAGGATCGCGTCGTTTTCGTCACGGATCAGCGCCAGCAGCGAGTTCTGCACGGCCGGACTGGCGCCGTCTGTGAGGTAGATGTCCTCCGGGTCGGCCGGGTGGTTGTCGCGACGCTGCAGGAAGCGCGCGACCTCCTCACGGACGACGTTCGTGCCCTTGCTGTGGCCATAGGCGCCAGTGCCGCCCACGATGTTGTTGATGTAGAACTTGGCACGCTCAATGGCGTCCTCCCGGAAGAGCCTATTGGCCTCCGGTTGGTCCACGAGGCCGGGCACGTTGACGAGCGCCAGCACCTGGCGGTGGAACTCGATGGGCGCCTGCTTGAGCACCTGCGGGTTGCCGATGTTGCACGGGATGACCTTGTCGAAGGGCAGCGACTTGTCCCCGCGGGCCAGGCGCTCCGTGTACTGGACGGAGCGCAAAACGAGTGCACCGCGCACGGCGTACTCGGCCTTGACGATGTTGGGGTTCACCGTGGCGGTTGTGAGCACCTTTCTGCGGCGACTGTCGGGCATTGCTGGGTGCGGGGGGGGGCTGAAGGAGGGTGGGTGAGCTCTAGGGTCGAAATACAAGAATGAGCGATCCCTCTTAGCTGGCTGTAAGCGGCGGGCGGCGCATGCTGGCAGGTGACGGTGGCGACAGCTTTACGGCGATCCAGACTGCGTGCTGCTATCACACTTCAAGGTGTTTGGCGCGCTCTGATTGGCGGAGAGGGTTGCACGGCTTTGCGGCTAGCACCGGAAGTAAATGAGATGCGGCGAGTGTTGTTGAACGACACTTTAATTACCAAGTATGAGGGAGAGTCGGTGGTCATAGAGCTCGAAGGAGGATGCCTTCCGGCTTATTCATTCTTTCGACTCCCTAAAGGGGTTGCTGATGGCTTCGGCATGTCGCTCGAGAAGTTCGACAGTCCTTCTTGTTCTTGAGCAATAAAAAAAATATGAGTCTTGCAATGAAGAACAGTACCCCGTAGTTCGTATACTTGTAGTACTTCGCTACATAAGAGCAATCGCGACGATGATGTTTGTTTGATCTTCGTCGGATCGCTGGGTTCGTCTGCAGCGCACGGAGCTAGCTGTCTCATGAAGCACACGGAGCAATAACCGCACCACTTGCTGCTGCGTTGTCGACAGTTCGTCAAATTTCCGCTTCGCCAGTTTCCGTCTTCAACGCAATTGCAACCCATGAAACACGAAACAAAAGGCCTAGTTTTATCTTCACGCGGTTACGGTGGTGGACTACGGTGCGATCACTTCACTTCGTGACCTGAGTTCGCTCGCTTTCGTCCGTCCTATACTTCCCTCGCCGCCATCCTGCCTCGACTGCTTATCTAAAACGCTTCATGGAGATGTGGATGAGCGACTTGAGACCGCGCAGCCAGTCCTTGTGCTGCGCCCAGTCCGAGGCCGTGAGCGCAACGTAGATCCCCTGTGCGCTGGCAAAATCGCGCTGTCCGAAGCACGCCACCATCTCGTGCAGTCGGGACACAACCTCCGGCGACAGGTCGCCGATGTTGAGCTTAGTGAACATGATCTCCTTGCCCTTCTGGATCTCCTGCAGCTGCTTCTGCTCCATCTGCACAATAACGAAGAACCCAGTAAGTGCCAACATCTAACTAGTATCCACCCTGACTTCAACGTACCATGGTAAGCGGAAGACCCTGGAGCTGACTAACGAGGTCGTTAAACGCGTTCACAATGGGAAGATCCTGAGGACCGACGTTCTCCGTGCTGCCGGGCACAACATCGGGCGGGAAGCCACCGGCCTTGGGGGCAGCACTCGCGAGGGGCGAGAGAGAGGCTGTCGTAGCATTCCCATATTTGAGTGTCAGTTCCTTGTTGCCCACACTGCTCACAAACCCGTCGCGCTGGTGCGAGTTCATATCAACAGAGGGCTTCGCGATACGAGACGACCCCATCGCAGCAGTAAGCGGATTTACCCCCGTACCTTGAGGGATAGCTGGCGAAGCCGAAGTAGCAGCGGGGGGAGCGAATCCTGTTCCGGGGCGTTGAGCCCCACCGTACGCAGGGGACGGCATGCCAGGCATGTGAGCAGTGCCACCCGTCGATGGAGGGCCGGAGTACATCTGCGGGTGCGACCGGTTACCTGACGACGACGGAGGTCCCGACGGGAAGCCTGGCTGGGGCGGGGCCTGCTGGCCAGGGAAGCCCGGTTGCTGCGGACGACCGTAGCCAGGCTGCTGCGGAGGCTGTTGCGGCTGTCCAGGGAACGGAGGAGCACCAGACTGCCCCGGGAACGGCGTGGGGGCCGGGTTGCTCGGGTACGGCGACGGCGCAGCCTGGCCTGGGTATCCCGGTTGCTGCTGGCTCTGGTAGCCTCCAGGCTGCTGAGGCTGCGGGGGCATACCAGCAGCTCCAGGGTATCCTGGCTGCTGCGGAGCTGACTGGTAGCCGCCAGGGCGGCCGGGGTAAGCAGGCGCGGGAGTCGGCGTCCGCTGTTGGGCCTGGTAGCCCGAGTTTTGCGCTCCGAAGCCACCAGGCGTAGGCATGGGGGCGGCAGCAGGGGCCGGAGTTGGCGCAGCAGGAGCACCGTACTGGTTTCTTGCTGCGCCATAAGAAGGCTTGTTGCCGTAGCCGCCTCTCGGTTGCTGCTGCTGAGCCGCAGCCTGGCGTTGCTGTTGCTGCTGTTGTTGTTGTTGCTGCTGCTGCTGAATTTGAGCCTGGGTCTGAATCTGGACGACGTCGAACGGGAACGGAGGCGGCTGGTACCCCTGCATGGGGTAAGCGTTGTAAATGCGGTCCTTCAAGATCGCACAGCTGAGATCGGGGAACCGTGCATACTTCGCGGCAATATCCAATCGGCCCTCCGCAGCCATCTAGAATGCATTCCACACCACAGAGAAGTCAGACTAAGTGAATTCACAACCCTCAGGAATCCCAGCACATTAATGTTGCGTACCAAAGAAGCGTATTCAGCAAAGCGCTGTGCCACCTCGGGGCCCATGGACTGGTCGGGTTGGTCCACAGCCATGGCAAACACGGAAACCTTCTCCACAAGCCGGTGGAGGGCAAATGTGTGACCGTGCGTGCGAGCTTCAACCTCGCTTTCCTTGCACCACGCGTTAACAGTCTTCTCAACGTTCACAGCACACATGAAGCACAGCGTCGCGGAGTGCAGGTCACCAGCAGCTTCCAGTCGCGTAGCCAACTTGTCACAAAGCGAGGGGAATTCTTCGCTCTTAGCGTAGGTGCTCAAGATCGCAAGCGTCTCACGCCATTCCGCGAGATCCGAGACCTCTACGAGCTCGGTTAGCTCGTTCTTAATGATAGCCGAAACTACTCGCATCACAGGGCGCTGCTGGTGGGCAAAGAATGCGCGCTGGGTCTTCTCCCAAAGCTCGGGGCCACCGCAAGAGGCAAGCAACAATGCGTCCGCAAGCTGGTTGTAAGCCAAACAGCAGTTGACGGCCACTTCGAAGTTGCCCACCAAAAGCGCCTGCATCAGTGTGCTTTCGGACTCCTCGGTGTACACAGGCGCAGGGACAGCATCCAAGCGCTTGCTCTTGTCTTCCTCCAGCGGGGAAGGCAGTGCAGCAGCCAGAGCGGACACATCTGACAACGGGGACGCTGGAGATGCAGCAGACGTCTGATCGCCACCGTTCGGGTGGAAACCCGACGAGAAAACGTCTTCAGCTCCCATGCCAGACTAAACAATCAGGACAACGACACATACAGATCAGTCACATGGGTCAAACGCGTGAGATTGCCGAAAAGAAGTACGTACGTCAATGCGATCACTGAGGAGTGCTCCGGTCACAGGGTCCACCTGCGGTCCAGGTGCCTGAGACGGATCAGCAGCAGGCTGGGCAGCAGCAGCATTCTGCGCAGCAGCGGCTTCGGGGTTGAACTTGGCGTTCAGTTCGTTAATCTTTTCCGCGTCCAAACCAAGGTGAAGCAGCAGGTGCTGACGGGCATCCTTCTCGAAAAGAATTTTCATGAAGCTCCACACGCTGCGCTCTTCGGCAGTTGCGGCTGACGCAATCTTCTGCTCGCAGTGTCCCTTGAAATCCTTCGTTTCCAACGATCGGTCCAAAGCCTCCGCCTCAGCCACGAGTCCGGTGTCACTGATCACGCGCTGCATGTGAATAAGGCGACGGTGGTCGCCGTTCGGAGCTGCGGGCTCCTGCGGGTTGGCAATCGTCACCAACTTGCCTCCAAATCCAAAAGACGCACCAGCCGGGCGACGCATCCACTTGGGAGGGCGGCAAGCCGGATTACCCCCACCAGAAAGACCCCAAATCTGCAGCTTGCCATCCAGCGAGCACGTTGAAGCGACAGCGGGAACCTGCGGGGACCACTGAACATTCCATCGGCGCTGTCCAGCAAGACCACCACCGAAGAACTGGTCCGAGCCCATCTGAGGGGCATTGGGGGCGTCGGACGGGAGCTCCGCCATCGTCTTGCGCGAGAAGAGGTCCCAGAGCAGTGTCCGGTTGTCCTTGCCACACGACAGCAGAAGACCGGGGTCATTGGGGCACCACGACATGGACAGAACGCCAGCCGTGTGGTCGTGGAACTCGGCCAGCGGCGTGCTGGTGGAGTTGCGCAGGTCCCAGAGCTTCACCGCGGGGTGCTGGTCGTCGCCCGAGGCGGTAGCAATCTGCAGTCCCTCGTTGGGGTTCCACGCAATGGCGGTGGCAGCTCCACGCGCGGGGTCGCGCAGTTCGCACCAAGGCTTCTTCTGCTTGAGGTCCCAGACTACGACCGTGCCGTTCTGCGAGCCCGTGGCCAGGATGTAGTTCACCTGGGTGTTCCAAGCCACGCTGGTGATCTCGTTGGCCTGCGCCTGGGGCGTGGTGGGGCCTCCGGGCGTGAACACGCCGGGGCTGGCCAGCTTCTCCAGCGACATAATGTACACTTCGCCGTCGCTGCCACCCGAGGCGAGCAGGTGCGCGCTGTCCTCGTGCGGGTTGAACTGCAGCGCATTGACTGCGCCCTTGTGGCGCGTGATGCGACCGATCTCGCAGGACGCGGGTGCTTCGGTGCCCGGTTCGCGGTCCAGCATGAGCGCCGGGTTCCAGAGCGACACGGAGCCGTCCGCCATGCCGCCGGCGATGATGCCGTACGGACACGTGTCATGGTGGCGCGGGACGTCGCGCCAGGCCAGCGACGTGAAGCGCGACGCCGTCTTGACGGAGCCCAGCGTGACCATGCCGCGGCCCGGGTCGCTGAGGTCCATCGCAACGAGCTTGAACTCGCCGCCGTTGTTCTCGAAGCCGACGCCGCCGTCGCCCTTGGAGCCGAGCGCCAAGAGCTCCGCGCGCCGCTTCACGGGGCTCCACGCCACCGCCGCGTTCGCTTGGATCTCCTTCAGCAGCGACATGCTTGTCTTCTAGTGCGCGCCCCCTTGAATCTCTCGACTTGCTGGCGGCCGCTCACAGCGCAGGTCTTGGTCGATCCGGCCGAGCTGCTAAACTGACTGTAAGTTTGGTATGATCTCGGGATCGCGCGAAGGGGGAAGCTGAGCTTCAAAATGCGGCAGACTTTTGGCCAATGGGCGGAGGACACACGCCGCCCGATCCGCGCGATCCGGCTAAGTGCGCCTGTACGATTGGTCGAAAAAAGGGACATCCGTTTGCTCCATTGGCCAAAAAGAGCTGAGGTCGGATGAAGCCATCTTGGTGAATTCATGATTTCGACAACATGGCGCGCGTCGTACTCGGAGCTTGGTGTCTTCATGGACAAAGTCCTTCACACGACTGCAAGAGGCTGCAGGAAGACCGCAACATGGTCATACTGGGATAATTGACGCACGGACGGTTGGCCTCGCGTGATCTTCGTTTCTGCGGGTCGTGCTGGATCAGTAGGATGGGTGTGTGCAGCACAAACAGACACTGCTTCACCTTGCTACGCCGCTACGTACCTGTGAGCTATCTAGTCGGTCTTGTAACCTGAAGTCGACGTGTGCGGATTGCGCTGTAGTCTCAACTGAGTTGAATGCATCGTATCGCGAATCCAGAACAGTCACGCCCACAACAGTCTGGCAAAACCTACGGTACCGAAGTGCCAGCGGCGACAAGTGCCGGACAGCATGTCGGCATGCGCAGAGCTCGTGGCATAAACTTGCTGGAGTCTAGAACTAAATACAGTGAAATCACAAACCTGGAATGAGCACTGATGCTTAGCTCCTCGTTTTACTATGCCGACGTTGACAGAGATTTAGGAGCGCAGATCAGTTGTCTTCGCTGCTTCATTTCAGCGAGGAACAGTTAAGCTTGGACGGATGCCAGAACGACCCGCAGCCAACGGTAGATCGTGTCGCCGCCTATCCAATATGTAATGGAGTATCAACAAGTTGCCAGCCACAACGGCGTCCAACGGCCGAAAAAGATCACGGGTTCCGCTGTAGATTCCCATCAAGCATATAAGGTTGGTGCTATTTTCTCTCCCAAATGACAGATCGTGCATAAATTCAGCTCTGCAAATCCCCTATATACTCCCACTATGTCAGCTGATAATCAGAGTCCGTTGTCTAACAATAGCGGGTCGCGGAGTTCTTTTTTCGACAGTCCTCATTTCTCGTCCAAGAAGGCAGAGCTCTCGTCGTGTCAAGCAAGAATGGTGCGGGTCATCCAACTCGCGTCCACGCTGCTGCTCGCAGTGCTCGCCACGGGAGCCGTCTCCGCCGATGAAGCTGCCCCGAGGTACGTACCACGCATCATGACGCCACGACGGACGCGTCGGTACTGACGGATTGTTTTCTTGTGTTTGTACAGTGAGTTGCGCCGCCTGGTGACGCTGTCTCGCCACGGCAGTCGCGCGCCCAACGACGTGGTGAAGGTCACCTGCCCGCGCAACAAGGCCAACCTGGACGCGTACAAGGTGCCGCTGACGCAGCTGACGGAGATCGGCATGAACCAGCTGCAGGCCGTGGGCGAGCACGTCCGCCACACGTACGTGGTGGACGAGCCGCACCACGAGGAGGCTTTCCTTTCGCGCTCGCTCAACGGCGTGAACCACTCGCACTTCGAGACGTACTTCCGCGCCGACGCTGCAACGCGCTGCTCGCAAAGCGCGACCGCGCTGGGCTACGGGCTCTACCCTGATGGAACCGGCCCGCCCGGCTTCCCGCACCAACCTGTGCCTATTACCATGCAGTTGGTGGAGAACGAGCATGCATTTGCTGCGCCCAAGGGCCCGTGCAGGAGCACGATGGACGCTGACGTTGCCGTGTACGCTGAGACCCGTGCACCGGAGCTTTTCGGGCAATACCGCGACGTTCTCGACCTGCTTGGTGAAGTTTGCGGCGTGGCTGTTGACGATATCCCCAATGTGCCTGGCGGTGAGGATGTTGTGCTGGGCGTGAAGGACCTGGCTGACATGTTTATCTTCGATCGCGACGAGGGTCTCCCGCTCCCCGATGGAATGACGGTTGATGCGCGTGAAAAGCTGGAGCAATTGGCTTTCACGAACCTCATGGAGCGCTATTACTCGACGGACCGCGAAATTACTTACTGGGTGGGAGGTTTTGCAGACTTGCTTATGAACACCCTGCAAGGCGGGGCTGTGCCGACGGCGCCGTCTCGTGCTGAATACCGCTACTTTTCGTTCCACGGCCACCGCGAGTTGCTGCATGGTCTGGGAATGATGCTGGGCTGGGAGTTCCACTTCGAGGGACTGCCTGTAGCTCTTAACGTGAGTTCCCTTCACCCTGGAACGACAATGTTCTTCGAGCTGCGTGCGCGTGAGCTCACCGCTGAAGAAGCTCAAAAGCAACCGGATGCTAAGGAGGCCTACTTTGTGCGAACGTACATGTGGTCGCCTTTCACCGAGCGTGAGCAAATCAAGCTAACTAAGTGCTCGGTTGCGGACTGCCCGCTGGACGAGTTCTACAAGATCATGACGAACCACATCGCTAGAACGGGCACGTGGGAGGCCATTTGCGACTACCACAAGCCCGTGCAGGGTCAGGGCCAAGCGACGCTTTCACACGCTGTTGAGGACAACCATGGTTTCGGGCGTCCATCCTTCTTGACTGTCATCGGTGTTGCCATGGTGGTGGGATTGGCATTCACGGCGTTCAAGGTTTACACCGCTCGTCGCCGCGGATACACCATGGTGGTGTAAACCGCTGGCTGAAAATGTGCGCAGGGGTGCCAATGGCACCGTGCCACGCAAGGATCAGAGATAACTACATCATAGGGCTAGTAAGGCTCGGCATTACACTTTAGACGAAATACACGTCCGCACCACCTAGCGTTGGTTGCATATCAGAGCTTCTGGCTTTGCTGCAAGTTGCAAAACGAGTAGTTTCACCTCCCTCCTACGAGCCCTCACTGTTGCAGACGGAGTTCCTGAAGCTTTGCCACAAGGCTGTCAACCTTAGCTAGCCCCTTAGCTTTACCTTGGATGATGCCGTTCTTGCCACCACCACCCTTTCCGTCAATGAGCGGCAGCACCGACCTCCCGTGGGCCATTATGAACTCGGGAGATCCAGCAATGAGGAACAAACCCTCGCCGCGCAGCTCTCCAGCCGTGAGAACGAACACCGCGTCATTTTTTGCGTCGCCCAGAAGACCCAGCAGCGTTTGCAGGAAACCGAGATCCCCTTCCTCGCGGTGATAAGTTACGACACCTTCACTAGTGCGTGCCACCAGGTCACGCGCAATTGAGGCGGCAAGCTCCTTCTGGAGATTTTTCAGCTCCTTAGCTGCGGTTTTCTGAAACTGAAGCAATTTTTCCACGCGAGAGGCGTGGTCATCCGGCGCACTGCTTAGCAGCTTGGTCATGGCGTGTTCGTTCTTCAGCCTGCATCATGTCAAAAAGCAAAAGTTGGCTAACAGCTTCTATGGACCTCAAGCTCGTCAAAATGACACGTACATTCGTGAGAACTCGCGGTTCACACGCTCACCAGCGACGAACCAAACGCGACTAGCTCCTCGTGCGAACTCGATGCTGAGTACGCGCAGGGATCGGAGTTGCGCCAGATTCTGAACGTGTGTACCACAGCACGGATTCACATCCAGACCATCGATCGTGACGATGCGCATGGCCTTTGGCATCTGCCCAGGTTCAAACTTCGCAGCGATCTTCTCCCATTCCTTCGTGCCAGGCTGAGCAAATGATGGCGTCATGGCTAGGCCTGCCACGATGACATCGTTCACTTCCGCCTCGATCTTCTGCAGCAGGTCAGCAGGAATCACGTACTTCTCCTTGCTCTTCTTCTTGCCATCCTCGGCGTTGGTGGGATCCACGCTGCCCATCGGCACAAGCTCCACGTTGCAGCGCTCTTCGCCCAGCGACCACGTGGTCGTATCGTAGCCGTACTTCTCTGCGATCGCGCTAAAGAGGTGCTGCGCCGAGTGCTGCTGCATGTGGTCGAGGCGGCGATCCCAGTCCACACTGGCCAGCACTTCCTGGCCCTCCACGAACGGCGCCTGCTCCCCCTCCTCCACAGGGATGCGGTGCACGCAGCGACCGTCCTTCACGTACACTTGGTCGACCGGCACGCCATCGATATTGCCGGTATCCCAAGGCTGGCCTCCGCCCTCGGGGAAGAGCACTGCACGCCATAATCATCGGAATAAAAAATCAGGATACCGCCCTCTCCAGTGCTGCCGCAAGCGGCCCAATTGCAATACGATGCAATCCACAGCCGACCGCCGTTTACGCACCCGTGTCCTCCAGCTCCAGCTCTAAGAAGCGCTGGGCCTTGGTCTTCTTCGTGGCTGGCACCACGTGCTCACGGCAGGCGTGCACGGCTGTGCGCAGAGAGCGCAGTGACGAGTCTCGCTGGCAGGCGAGCGCACCTGGGGGCGCCACAGAGCCCAGCGCCGCGCGAGTCGCGCGCGAGGCGACAGAGGCCGCCGTCGCGGCGGCCACCGCAGCTCCGGTCGGGGACATCGTGAGCAAGCTGATCAAGCAGTGACGAGTGGCAAGCAGATGTCTCAGATGCTAAAAATACGCGAAAGAGACTGCGATTTATGTAGTATAGGGTCAATAATTCGCTGCGTTAAACAGGGCTACTCAGTTATTATTTAAAGTAGTTAAGGCTACTTTGTTACTCGATTGTAAAGAATTACCTCGACTGTAATCGTAATTTGGAGTTCTTTGGTGCTTGGGGCGGCGCGTTTTTTTACGCTCGGTCCGCTCGCTGCCCAATCAGCGGGGGAGCAATCAAGATCGGCCGTTTCGAATCTTTGCTGCGCTTGATCCCTCCGTGACCATCGACGCGGGGCTCACAACGAGAAGAGCAAGCTAGAGCGCGCGTCACTCACTTCCTTTCCACCCGCAACACCTCCCGCCATGAGCAGCTTCACCCGCCGCGAGTCCGTCGACTCCTCGGCCGCCGCCTTCCAGGCCGCCCACAAGGCCGCGCCGTTCGCCAGCAAGCACCCCAAGGGCTTCGGCGAGATGGTGCTCGTCGACGGCGTCAGCATCGAGAAGACGTTCCTGCTGCCCGTGCCCAACCTGCGTCAGTGGCTGCCCGAGGAGGACAACCAGGTGTGCAACCGCCGCAAGCTGGACACGCAGGCCGAGGACTCGGTCGAGCGCAAGAGCACCTACAACAAGATCATGGGCGAGTCCGACGTGATCCTCGGCGACATCCGCCGCAACGACTCGCAGGAGGCCGTCTCGCGCGCCTACGTGCGCGCCGGCCCGCGCGAGAACACGTACTTCGACCCCGCCAAGGTCAAGGCCGCCATCGTGACCTGCGGTGGCCTGTGCCCCGGCCTCAACAACGTCGTGCGCGACGTCACCCTCGCCCTGTGGAACCTGTACGGCGTGCGCGAGATTTACGGTATCCGCATGGGCTTCGCCGGCTTCTACAACTGGACCTCGATGGACCAGAAGGAGGCCCCGATCATGCTGACCCCCAAGACGGTGGCCAACATTCACCACTACGGCGGCACCATCCTCGGCTCGAACCGTGGTGGCTTCGACGTGGACAAGATTATCAACTTCCTGACGACGAACGGCGTCTCGCAGGTATACGTGATCGGCGGTGACGGCACCCACCGTGCCGCCAACAAGATCTCGGAGGAGTGCCGTCGCCGCAAGCTGGCCGTCGCTGTCGCCGGTGTGCCCAAGACCATCGATAACGACGTGGACCTTCTGGACCGCAGCTTCGGCTTCAACACGGCCGTCGAGGAGGCCCAGCGTGCCATTCGCTCGGCTAGCACGGAGGCTCGCTGCGTACCCAACGGTATTGGTGTTGTTAAGCTTATGGGCCGCAGCGCCGGTTTCATTGCCGCCCACGCGTCGCTTTCCAGCGGTGATGTCAACCTGTGTCTGATCCCGGAGATCCCGATCGAGCTCGACGGCCCGCGCAGCTGCCTGGACCACCTTGAGCGCGTTGTGGAGGAGCAGGGCCACGGTGTGGTCGTTGTTGCTGAGGGCGCCGGCGAGGAGCTGCTGGGCACGTCGGTGGAGGCCGACGCCGGCGGCAACAAGAAGCTGCCGCCCATCGGTGCCTTCATGAAGGACCGCATCCAGGAGCACTTTGCCAAGAAGGGCAAGGAGTGCACCGTCAAGTACATTGACCCGTCGTACATGATCCGCTCGGTGCCGGCCAACGCCGCCGACAGTCTGTACTGCATGCTGCTGGGCCAGAACGCTGTGCACGGCGCCATGGCCGGTTACACCGGCTTCACCGTGGGCCTGAGCGCCAACCGCGTCGTGTACTTCCCGATCGAGGCCATCACGCGCAACTCGCCGCGCTGCATGGACCCCTTCGGCCGCACGTGGGAGCGTGTGCTGTGCCTGACGCGCCAGCCCAACACTGCCCACGAGGGCGGCATCAAGGGCGCCAAGTCCTCCGACTAAACCCACGGCGTAATGAGGCGAGTAGCGCCTACAGCCGAGTTAGTAGTGAAACGCGTTGTGCGGCGTCAATGTATCAACAAAACGTGAACGAATTTTCTCTCCAACTCGTTGTTGACGTTGAGGAGCCCTCTCTTCCTGGTTTGCCCACATCTTGACGAAGGTCAACGATAAGTTTGGCTGCTATGTACAGCAGGCACGTTGCCGGCTCGAAGTCTGGCGGCTGGAGTTCAGCCGGGATGCCGTACAGCGCCACACACGCACGCACCAGAATTGATGAGACCGCTCTAAACATTTTGTTGAGTGCCGGCCCTGCGCCCAGGAGGCTCATCAATTGATGTTGCCGTCCGAACACGCACGCGTCCAGATGGGATGCTTGTCAAAACATATTGCAGTCGCAGTTGCAGCGCGCGTAACCGGATATTGGCCAATGAAAATGTTGCACGAGTGAACCCATTTCTTTGCTCCTCGTCGCGCCCTCTGATTGGATGCGGATCGACCCTTTTATTGGACAATACTCAGATTTTCATGTGGGGGGGGATGCTCTCTCTAGGTTAGGTGAAACATTTTTGGCGTCGCCATGTACCTTAAGGGAAACACGCTAGGGAAAGCGCCTTATCGAAAAGCTCCAAATAATGGAGGAGTGACAATACACGACGGCAGCACTGCCGTAAGGCGCGGTGACTCAGGCGGCCTTGGCAGCGTGCTCAACTCGAAGCGATCACACTCTTCAACTGCCCCACTTTACGTGGAAGATGGACTCGAAACGTCACAACGAGATTTGTTTCCCACTCGTGTAAACATCCTCTAATCAGAGCGTTTGGGTTGCAGTTTGACTCAAAGAATTATCGTGATCCAGTAGAAATCACCGAAGGGTGTCATATGCGAGTTTTCAACTATAACGACATCGACATGCGCTCTACCATTTAAAATGAAAGCTACCGTCTTGTTCGTATACTTCTCTCCTGTACCAACTCAACAGAATTAATGTACTGTAACTAGTGGGTGCACTTATGGAGCACGCGCACGAGGGTACTTTGAAGTATTAGATGCTACACTGTCCCGTACCTGTACACACAGATCTATCGCTTGCAATAAATGCGGTTGAGCTTAGTACTGGATCATGGTAATTATTTGCTCGGCCTAAAACTGCAAATTGTTTTGCACGCTGGATTCCAGCCTGGAGCGAGCCGGTTGTGGCCTGTCTGGCAGGCCAGCATGTCTTCAACGGGGTAACGTGCCAGGAACAGTGTAAGGTGCCTCCAATCGAGATTTGGCCTCGAAAACTTTGCATACCAAAGGGGCCGCGATTGTTATTTACATCCAAGTTGGCACAGTGACTGTATGGAGGTGGATGATCCAACTCCACACAGTCACTCGCGTACATACAAGGAGCCCAAATGGCACGTCAATCCTGCTCTACTGCTCGCAGTTTGGACGAACACATAACGTGACTATCCTCCTTATTGAGGCATTTCGGGGTAGCTGTATGAGGTAGTTTCGGTTTTGTACCTCAATTAGGATCCACGCCAAAGCACCGGATTGGTCAATAGTCCTTTTTATAGATTGCGTGCTATAGGATACGCTTTTGCCCAGGATCGCCCATCATCGATCGCTCCGGCCAGCTCCGCACCATTAAAGCTCATTCTTCAAGTCTCCGCCGGGCCCCCAAGCGAGCCAGCCACCCAGCAAGTAAGTCTCTCCTCCACACAACAAGATGCTCGCTCGCCAGGCCTTCAAGCAGCTGCGCAGCGCGTCCTTCCTGGCCAGCCGCGGCTTCGCCGTGCTCACGGCCGACACGATCAACCCCAACATCGTCAAGGCCGAGTACGCCGTGCGCGGCGCGATCGTGCTGCGCTCCAACGAGTACGAGGACCGTCTCGCCCGGGGCGACGCGTCGCTGCCCTTCGACAAGGTCATCCCGTGCAACATCGGCAACCCGCTGGTGCTCAAGCAGGAGCCCATCGAGTTCCACCGCCAGGTGCTGGCGCTCGTCAACGTGCCCGGCCTCGTGGACCGGCCGGAGATCAAGCAGCTCTTCCCCGAGGATGCCATTGAGCGTGCCAAGTTCTACATCAACAACATCGTGGGCGGCACTGGCGCCTATGGCCACAGCAAGGGCACGAACGTCGTCCGTGAGGAGGTCGCGCGCTTCCTGCAGCGTCGCGACAACCACCCGGCCGACCCGGAGGACATCTACCTCACAGACGGCGCCAGTCCGGCCGTGCAGAACTCGCTGCTGACGCTGATCCGTGACGAAAACGACGCGATCCTGGCCCCCATCCCGCAGTACCCGCTGTACTCGGCGGCCATCGCCATCAACGGCGGCTCCCTGGTGGGCTACTACCTGGATGAGGAGAAGGCGTGGGGTCTGGACGTGAAGGAGCTGGCGCGTGCTGTGAAGGAGGCTCGCGACGCGGGCAAGACGGTGCGGGCCATGGCTGTGATCAACCCTGGCAACCCCACGGGTCAGTGCCTGTCGGTGGAGAACATCGAGGCGATCATCAAGTTCTGCAAGGACGAGAACATCCTGATCCTGGCCGACGAGGTGTACCAGGAGAACGTGTACGCCGAGGGCAAGAAGTTCGTGTCGTTCAAGAAGGTGCTGCGCGACATGGGCAAGGCGTACGACGACGTGGAGCTGATCTCGTTCCACTCGACGTCCAAGGGCTTCACGGGCGAGTGCGGTCGCCGCGGTGGCTACATGGAGCTGGTCAACATTGACGACGGCGCCAAGGACCAGTTCTACAAGCTCATGTCGGTGAATCTGTGCTCGAACGTGGAGGGCCAGCTGATGGTGGGACTGATGACCAACCCGCCGCAGCCTGGCGATGCCTCTTACAAGCGCTACATCGAGCAGCGTGACGGCACGCTCGAGGCGCTCAAGCGTCGCGCTGTGAAGCTGGTCAAGGCTTGCAACGAGCTGGAGGGCGTCACGTGCAACGAGACTGAGGGCGCGATGTACACGTTTCCGAAGATCACGATTCCGGCCAAGGCCGTTGAGGCCGCGAAGGCTGCGGGCATGGCGCCCGATGCCTTCTACTGCATGCAGATGCTGGACGAGACGGGAATTGTGGTGGTGCCTGGCTCGGGTTTCGGCCAGAAGGAGGGCACGTGGCACTTCCGCTCGACGATCCTCCCTCCCGAGGAAGCTGTGGACGAGGTGATCGAGAAGACGGTCAAGTTCCACGCCAACTTCATGGACAAGTACCGGTAGATTGTTAGTAGGTTTGAGAGGACGTAGTGATGGACGGCGCCAGTAGAAAGCCCAACTGTAGAGATAGTGGCAAGCCTACTGCTGCTGAGCCATCGCTCTTAAATATCCACGCTCGTGTTGAGCTTCTTGCAGCATATCCCTGTTCATGTATGTCGTTGAAGTTGTCTTCGACGACGAAACTACCGTAAATCGCAGTCAATTAGCGTAAATATGCAGTTTTAGCAATAAATTTAAAAAGCGCGCGTGCAAGCCTAGCCGAGTGGCGGGAAGCATGCTGTTCCTGCCGCTGGAGGAGGACTCGTGGCTCTTCCGCCTGTGCCTGTACTACGGCTTGCTAGTGCTGCTGCTAGAGCTGCTGGTGCCGCTCGTCTTCCATCGCCGCGTGCGCGTAGAGATCCCCCGTGTGGCGCTGCGTGGGCCTGCAGTTCCGCTGTCCACTCGCGAGTTCGTGCAACGCCGACGAGCTCTACAGCAGCAGCTGGCGGCACTGCAACGAGCGCTCGCGGAGACGCCGCGCCGCTCTCCGCAGAAAAGGAAGCAGTTGTTGATAGACGCGAGTGCAGTAAGAGACCGACCAGACGCGTCTCCGTCACCGTCTCCGTCTCCGTTGGCATCCCCAACGTCTTCAGTCAAGGTCTCGAGGCTGGAATCTTCACGGGAAACCAGTGGAAACAAGCGACGGGTTGAGAGGTCGGAGCGAAAAGGTGATGGAGAGGAGCAGAGAGATCGAGATGAAGCTGGACAGCGAAGAGAGGACACGGTGGTGGATGGTGAACAGGTGCAGGTGTCAAGGCAAGATCCCGTGGCGTTGAACAATTCGTCGGCGACACGTCCAGCTCGAAGTGGTGGGTTTTCGTTCGACGAAGTTGATCGTGAAGAAGAGGAGGGGGAGGAGAACCAGGCGTCTCGGAACGAGTCTGTTGGTTGGGAGCAAGTTGCGAGAAGGAGGGAGTCCCCGACGTTTTCAGGGCGAAGACCTGTGCGATTAGTAGCAGACGATGTGGGTCCTGTGAGGTACAACGGGCCCAGCGAAGCTGCATCACGGCTAGAAGCGCTCATTCGAGCGCGAAGGAGGAGAGCGAGCACTACGCCAGTATACGCGCCGCCACCAACAACAACAGCTGCAGTGTCGTCGCCATCGTCATCGCCACCACTCAACGATGTTCGTGTGACTGAAGTTGAAGAATCATCATTAGAGCACGGTGGTTCTACTACACCCAACCCGGTACCAGAGGCAATTCCATCGCTGTATGGACACCAAGACGAAGGGCAGGCAGTGGAAGATGACGAAGAAACTAAGGACTCGGAACCGCTCACAGATTTCCAAGCGTTTTGCGCTTCTTTCGCAACTGGCGGCTCAGCTGCAGCCCAGAAAGCTTTAGCGAAGCGAAAACACCACGAAGCGTTTGGATCAGAAGATGAGCAGGCGACTAGCACTGCTGGAGTAGCCCAGCAATCCGTCGAGACAAGAAAACATCCGCGAGTGTTTGAAGAGGAGGAGGAGCAAGTAGCTGACGAAGTTACTCCTGTTGAACCCCACAGCGCTGAAAAGCGGACACACCACGAAGCGTTTGGCTCGGATGGCGACGGTGCAGTCGACGATGCTGTAGGTGCTGAGCAAGTCCTAGAAAAGCGCACACGTGACGAAGCCTTCGGAGCGGAGGAGAAGCTGGAGTGGCCACAGGAGAAGTAAGTGTTTTGCGTATCTGGAGGGCATGTCTTGGGAAGTTCAAAGCTAACCACTCAATTGCTGTTCATTCTGCAGGACGCCTCGGATAGCCAGACGAATTTCATTCACCGACGAGGTCGACGCGCTAGCTGCTGCATCCCCGAAGGAAGTGCCCGGTCAACGCTCAAACTCGAAACGTAAACATCAGCAAGCATTCGGTATGATTGATGAAGAGGATGAGGATGCCGAATGGCGTGAGTCTTTGGCGTTCCGCCCGCACCGTTCAGGTTAGCAGGCCATAGTAATATTAACCTTTTGGATGCCGATGCTGTATGAGGAGAAAATAGCGTGCATGACTTACAGAAACTTACTGGTGCTCTTCTTTTCCAGTCTTGACGATGTAGAAGAGCGCGTGAATATTGTTGTTTTTGATGGCCTTGCGGCAAGCCGCAATGACCGTGGATTTGGCGTTGCCGAAGCGCAGCCGCGCCGCAAGCTGGATCATGCTGTTTACCTCTTTGAGAGCATCCAGAAGTGCCTGGTGGTTAGTGCTTCGCTTGGTGTACTCGCCTAGAAGCTGATTGTTGAGAGAGAACAGCTCGGAGTAGAAGCGCCGCATGCGTGACCTGCGATTCGACACAAGAAGTATTGTCAGTAATGGCAGCATGCAGGTATGTGCTGCAGTAGACCCACTTACATGTCGTTGAGGATTCGCGAGTCTTCAACTCGGATGATGAGATTCTTCACCTGGTTAGAATCGTCCGCCATTTCGCCGGTGAGCTTGAGTCGGATGGCGTTGCTCTCATCCACGCGCACGAGCAAGTTGCGGAATTCCTCCATTTGTTGTGGGAACTCGGCCACCGATTCGAGCTCACGCCATTCGAGAAATGCGCACATGTGCTGAACAAGCTCGGCTGCTAGCTCCATATTGTCCGTTCGGAACACGGTTTCCTGCGGTGTAATGGAGATGTTCAGCCGCGAGTTGTCACGAAGCGAGCGGAACATCAGTTGCGCTTGCGAGCTTTCCGGGATCGCTTCGGCCAACACGAAGGCGTTGTCTATCCACGAATACATTTGCTGTGGCTTGACAGGTGTGATAAATCGCACGTAGCCTTCCGGGGTCGTCTGCGGGCCCGCGCTTTCGCCGGTGATGTGGTGAAATGCTGCGAACTTTGGCAACTTGAAGGTGCATTCAAATACGTGGAAGGAGGTGTGGTGGCCGCGTGAGCCTACCAGTACCTTGAAGTCGAGACGCGCTGCGGCGTGCTTGTTCAAATTCAACGGGATTCGAACCGTCGGACTCATGGTCGCTGGACGAACTACCAGAGACTCGCCCTCGAAGATCCCCGCCTCCGATTCAAACACCACCACCATCTTGATAACAGCGTCATTCTCCGTACATAGTTCAAGCTCGAAGTTCGTGGCAGTCTTGCTAGCCAGAGATCTAACCTTGATGTTCGTGTCGGCGCGGATGCGTAGTCCTTTTCCTGCTGTCGCTCCACTCGCACCAGCTTGGTTTGCTTCCAAAGCTTTGATCTCAAGTTGAAGAGCTGCACGGTGTTTGGATAGCTTCGCAACCTCCTTCTCTTCTTGGCTAGCTTTGTCAGTGGCAGCGGTACTGGACGATCCAGGCGCAGGGAAATCGCCCGTAGCTGTGAAGTAGCCACAGATCTCACCGTCCGCTGAACAGCAGATAATCTCTTCCTTGCCGTCCATGCGGTAATCTGCCGTCACGAGTGCCGCCACGGGCGACGAAAGTACCTCTTTGTGCACAGCCTCGCCATTCGTCAATCTACGCGACTCAAACTTGCCGTTACTCCAGCCCATGACGATTTCCTTCTCACCGTCTCCGTCGATATCAAAGCTATGGATAGCGGTTGGCATGTTCTTGCTCTTGACACGCCACGCCCGGTGTTTGCCTTTGTAGACACCTACAGTTCCGTTCTGAAGCGCGTACCCGAACATTTGCTTCTTGATCGCCGTGAGGGCGAGCACTCGACTTGTTTCTGTGCACTCAAACACAACCTCTTCATTCTGGAAAGCCCGGATCTCGAAGTCATCCGACCCGGCAACGAGTTCGTCTCGGCCGTGACCGGTCACGTCGTTCACAGTCAGCGCTCGGACATTGTCTCCCGTGACCGTCCAGAAGAGCTCTCCGCCGTCACGGCCGAAGCCTTGCAGCGAACAATTGCCGCCCACCACAACCATTTGCGACGGTGAATTCACTGACGATGCAGCCCTGGGTGCTGGAGCGAAAAGCATGGCACTCACTCCATCGGGAACGTCCTTGTAGAAGATGTCTGAGTTTTTCTCCACGTCGTAGGCCAGCAGACTGGACTGCGTGCCCACCACGAGCGTGTCCCCCTGGTCCGCCGCCTCGAACTTGCCTGCAGCCAGTGCAGTGACCTTGCGGTTGATCTTGAGGAAGCGCACGCTGTTCTGCTCGCTCTCGTCGCTCTCCGAGTTGTCGCGGAAGGTGTTTTCGTTGGGCGAGTGGATGAACACTTTGCCGGCGGTGGTGCCGCACGCTAGTGCGGGGTGGCGACCATCGAATTTCCCCACCTGCGCCACGCGCTCAAGAATGGGCTGGTGCAGGTGCACCTGGAAGGCAGGCAGCATGGCGGACGGAGGCTTTTGCTGGTAGATCCTCTTATGCTATTGCGTCGCTTCAAGATCGGGTACCTTCAAGCAACATTCACTACAAGTTGAAGTGTTTACCTTGGCTGTTGCGCTCAGGTGAGCTGCTACATGCAGTCCCACTTCTTAGTCTACGAATTTTAGACTGAGTTCTGTGTGTCTTGCTGCTCATTGTGCCTGCCGATCCCTTGCCCTGCACATATCCCTCACAGCAGTCAATTCCAAGTGAGTTGTTGTGTCCAGGTCGTCGAAGTTCAACGGTTGAACTCATCGAAGTTGAAAACGGAGACGTGAGCTTGGGTACACGCAGCATAACAAGTCAATTCTCAGTTGTAAACACCTGTAGCGCATCCAAGCAGACGGAAGAGCTTTGCTGAGGAGCTCGAGACTGGCACTTCAACTTGTATTTTGTGTAGCAGTACACCTCGTGCAACATTCCATGCACATCGGAGCTTGATAGCAGCCAGTGGATCAATTGACCGACCCTGAGACCATGTCGACCAAGCCCGTGCTGACGTTCGTGACCGGCAACGCCAACAAGCTCAAGGAGGTGGTGGCCATCCTGGGCGCCGACTTCCCCTTCGAGCTGCGCAACCAGGCCGTGGACCTGCCGGAGCTGCAGGGCGAGCCGGCCGACATCGCCAAGGAGAAGTGCCGCCTGGCCGCCAAGCAGGTGCAGGGCGCCGTGCTGGTGGAGGACACGTCGCTGTGCTTCAACGCGCTCAAGGGGCTGCCCGGCCCGTACATCAAGTGGTTCCTCGAGAAGACGGGCCACGATGGCCTGAACAACATGCTGGCCGCCTACGAGGACAAGTCCGCGTACGCGCAGTGCATCTTCGCCTACGCGCCGGCGGGTGCCGAGCCGCAGGTGTTCATCGGCCAGACGCACGGCAAGATCGTGCCGGCCCGTGGCCCCACGACGTTCGGGTGGGACCCGGTCTTCCAGCCCGACGGATACGACCAGACGTACGCCGAGATGGAGAAGGCCACCAAGAACCAGATCTCGCACCGCTACAAGGCTCTGGAGGCGCTCAAGGCCCACCTGGTCAAGCCCACCGAGAAGTAAATACAGTAGTTGATTTGCAATTGGATAGGTGATCGTGACTCCATCGTAGAGCTCTCGCAGATGAATACGACACGCATCCGTTGAGTATTGTTGGTGACCAAGTGTCTGCATTATCGTGTCATACTATACATCATCAAGCCTCTCATATTTCCATATTGATCTACTGTAGTTTCTATGATATATCATACATCTTCATTTTCATTCCGAAAGCATTCCTCCAAAGAGCTACTACGTCGCACAATGGCGCTTCCGATCGGGTACATGGAGCCTCCGCGCTACATCCAGCCTTCCGCTCTCGCCGAGATCCTGCGCGACCCTAACACGTCCAGTAAGCGCCCCCTCATCATCGACGTGCGCGATACGGACTATGCCGGCGGCCACATCCGCTCGGCGATCAACATCCCGGAGGACAATTTCATGGACGACGACGACGTGGACGCCCTCGTGGAGAAGTATAAGGACGAGGACGCCATCGTCTTCCACTGCATGATGAGCCAGGTGCGCGGTCCTTCCTGCGCCAAGAGATTCAAGGCCCGGATGGAGATCGTGCTGGAAGGATTTAACCACAAGCCCCGCGTGCTGATCCTGCACGGAGGCTACGAGCGCTTCGGACAAGTGAGTGCTAACTAAGTCCACAACTGTGATGATTGTTCATTATCAACGAGCACACTGCTAAATATTTCTGCATCTGTGTTGTTCGTGGACAGATCTACAAGGGCGAGGCCGATCTTATCGAAATGGACGACTAGCACAGTGTCCTTCTGGCGCGCCATCTTCTGCTTCCACACAGGCTTGACAAGTCACTCGCTCAGCAGGATACCTAGAGTCTAGAATGTGTAGTCTTCAAGCTTGACAGGCGGTGCCTGCTTTTTCGTGATGTAGTCAATGAGGAAGTTGGCCTTGATGCACTCGATATCATGTGTCTTCAGCTTCTTCAGCCACAGGTCTCGTGTTGGCACCTCGGGCGGAAACAGCGCCACTACAGGGGCCTCGGGTGTTGACTCCTTCGCTAGAGTGTCGAAGTTGGCGGACTTGGTAAGCGGGATCACAGAGCCATCACCGGCTAGCACGATACGCTCACACATGTCTCGCGGAGGAATGCACTTTGCGTGGATGAAAAACTTCCAGCCCGCGAATGCACCAGGGTTTCCTCTAGCGCGCTCCTTACGCCAGTATGCGGACACCTCCGGCCAGATACGTTCATCGATATCCTTCTTGTCCGATTTGTGGCTTCCCCACTCATGCGCAGCCTCGTCGATGAACTTCCCGGCGGCAGAGCAAGCTTCCAGGTATGAAGGCTTCAATATCCACTGTTTTTCGACAACGCAAGAAAAAATATCTGGTTAGTGTGAGCGATGACTTGTGTTGGTAAATATCGCAATGCCCGTACCTTGCCAGCTGCGCATCCAGCAATGAACTTTTCTGTGCGTTTGAGCTCGCTGCAGATGATGTGTGTGCAATTACTGTCAAACACGCGTCCAAACTTGCTGACGGTTCCGCCCAACGACGAAATTATCGAGGTGTGCACTGCAGCTTGGTCTCGATCGCCGGTTAGGAGGAAAACACGGTTGTCTTTCGGTGGTGAAGCTGTGCGTGACTTTTTGGCAGCTGGTGCTTCCTTCTTTGGCTTCTTTGACGAGGTTTTGCTTGACTTCGACGCTTCTGGTTCTTCCAAGTCAGCGCCCTTGCGCTTCTTAGTCTTTGTTTTCTTGGCAGGAGCTTTGGTCTTCTTCGCTGGTTCCTGGTCCCCAGCGCCAGCATTCGCTTCTTCCACGGTACCCGATTCATCTGCGTCGCTGCTGATGCTAATAACTACGGGCGGCTCTTTCGCGACTTTGGCATTAGTTTTTGTCACTTTAGTCGCTGGTTCCTTCTCGACTTCTTCAACATCTGCCGAAGTTTCATCAAGTGCCATCGGTTCATCCGTATCAGCTTTTCGGGAGATCCGCTTGTTTGAAGGTGCGGTCGTGTTTGTCGGAGTATCGAACAGCGTACATGCAACATCCTTCGCACGACCAGGTGTCGCTTTCGATGTTTTAGCGGAAGTCGCCGGGGTTGTAGTTTCCAGGTCAGTCGGGATCTTCTTATCCGCAGGAGTGGGCACCTTGTCGATTTCAGTGAGAATTCCGTCCACATCAAACCTACCCTGGCCGCCCTTTGCCGACTTCTTCGCGCTTCTTACGCTGGGCGTGATAGCAAGCTTTGTTTTACTCACGATTTCTTCATCGGGTTTGATGTCGCCGCTATCCTTCTTCTTCGAGCTATGGTCGGACGCCGTACTGTCAGTATCCCCCGAGAAATCTTTCATTGCCGTGTACCGGAACGCGTCTTCTGGAACATATTCCCACTTAGATAGGCATGCGAAGACCCACTAATCCACGTCAACCGGGGTTAGATACGGAGCACAACATGGAGCGCAGCACAACGCATAAACGTACCTCGTGACTCAGCACGTTGTCAAATCTCCAGCTCAGCGCTTTCTTGTACTTCTCCCCTGATGCTTCATAACACAGCAAATGGGTCGAATGCGTTCGTGAAAGCACCGGAAGTAAGCATGCACCAGTGGCGTGGATAGCGATCTGGAGCTCCTCACGAGTTGGGCTTGACCGGCTTGAATACCCGGATAGCGTAATAACGAAAGACTGCATCCCCGGAATACTTCCGAACGATCGCACTGGCCGCTGAATCGCTTCGTTAAACGGTGACGGCTTGGAGACCTGTGATAGTCCTGCCAGCACCCAATAGATACTGACCACCTTTTTACCTTGACGTGTAGCTTCGTCGTACTCGAACCCACCGCGGTAGCGGCATATGACGAATGATGCATTCGTGACCACCTTGCCAACAATATCTTGATAGGAATCGCCAAAGGGTACATTCGCCACCTTGGCATCTACGGTCTTCAGCATCTCTGACAGTTTTTCTCGAAGAAGCGGGGCTATGTGCTGCGCCAGTAATACGATGGATCCATGCATCGTTTTCTTCATCGCTTCCAGTTTCTGCGCAACAAGAAGGAAGCCAAATGTCACGGTCAATACCGAATCCAAACAATCGCACGCACAACTCTTTGCAGATTGATCGTACTCACCTCGTTCGACAACTTGCGCACCACTGACAGTTCCGTACCAAGTTCCGTCCTTCCCAGCTTGTAAACCTGTGCGCATTTGCTGAGGTTTAAATCTTCCAAGTGCAGCTCCGGTTGCGTCTTCCAGTTGCGCGCCTTCTGCTCCGACTTCGTGGGGGCAGGCCCAGTTGGTTGATGAGCGAACGGGCCTTCGGGTACGCGGCAATGACGCAGGACGCACTCTTCAATCCACGCGAACTTGACATGATGCTGCGTGTCCAGCCCCGCCTGCTGCCCTAAATACGCTAAAACGCAGCTCGGCAGTGCGAACGTCGTGCTTGCCGAGTCCAAATCAAAGTGTCGTCTCCACTTGGTCACGTTGCGAGTCAGATCCGCCTTCGTGTAGCTGAGTTGCAGCAGCTTCTGGTGTTCCTGTTGCTCTGGAACAATGCCTGCGTCCTTTCCGCCCTCTTCTTGGTACAGAATGTGCGTGGCGCCAGCGTACACCTCCTTCTGGTCGACGATCTGGCCGCCGAAGTGGGTGATGAGTCCGTTGATGACCTTCCTCGGGTCCTTGGCCATCGTCCCGGCCGAGATGGCCAGCGTCGAGAAGATGAGCGCCGGGTTGGGGCTGAAGCGGTCCACGGGCAGCAGCTTCTGCAGCAGAAACGTGCGGAAGACCCACTCGGGACGCACCAGCGCCACGAAGCGCTCGTTGCGCTGCGCCACGAAGCTCTGGTAGGCCTTGGGGTGGCACACGATGTGCGTTACGGCGCTGCCACTGGCGGCGTCCGCGTCCTCCAGCAGTGTGGCGCCGCCATCGCGCAGACATGCGTCAAGCGCCTGCAGCTCCACCGCGTCCAGCTCCGCCGGGTGCACGACGCACTGCAGCGACGCGTACAGAGAGTGCTGGCGCATCGGAAGAGGGGCCTTCCTTCCTTCCTTCCTGCTCTCAAGTCGCAAAGATAAAGTATGGCGCGCTGTTGATGAGCAATTTTAGTGGAACCAGATAAGAAACGTTTCTAACGAAATTCGAATGCGAAATTTCACATTTCGCGCCAACTTGAAATTCGAATCATGGCGCCCAGGCAGACGGTGGACCTGGTGATCTACGCTGCGCACGTGATCCCCGTGGCTCCTCGCGACCTGGTGCTGCGCGACGCTGCGGTCGTTATCCATGACACTAGAATCGTGGCGTTGCTGCCTAAGTTGGAGGCCCAGGATCGCTTTGTCGGCCTGCAGGAGCAGCATCTGGACCGCCACATCGGCCTCCCTGGACTCATCAACCTGCACACCCACGCGCCCATGACGCTGTTCCGCGGCCTTGGAGACGACAAAGTGCTGCTGGACTGGCTGGCAGAAGACATTTGGCCCATGGAGAAAAAGTTCGTCAGCCCGAGTTCGTCCGGGCGGGCATGACGCACGCCGTCGCCGAGATGATCCGCAGCGGGACAACGTGCTTCAACAACATGTACTTCTTCCCTGACGAGATCTGCGGCGTGCTGGAGAGCACGGGTATGCGAGGAGCTGTGGGTCAGGGTATTATGGACTCGGCGTCGCCCTATGGGTCGGGTCCGGAGGAGTTCCTGGCCAAAGCATAGCCTAATCTGAAGAAGTACGGTCCTGGATGCCACGACCTCATCACGGTGACCGTGGCGCCGCACTCGCCGTATACGGTCGGGGAGGAGACACTATTGAAGGTTGACGCTCTGGTGAAGAAGTACGATGCACGGATCCATATCCACCTGCACGAGACGGAGGCGGAATGCAACGACAGTGAACAGTTGAACCGGGCGTCGATGTGCTGCCACAAGAGCGACCAGAAGCTCCACCCCCTTGCGAATTTCAAGAGACTGGGGCTGTTGTCGGAGCGACTAGTGTGCGCTCACATGACGCACCTGACGGATGAAGAGATCGACGATGTCGCTCATGCTGGAGCCCACGTGGTTCACTGCCCGTCGTCCAACCTCAAATTGGCGTCGGGGATCGCTCGAGTCACTGAAATGCTGCGTCGAGGCGTGAACGTGACTCTCGGTACGGATGGAGCTGCGAGTAATAACTCGCTGGACATGCTAGCAGAGATGAAGCCAGCGGCGCTCTTAGCCAAAGCTGAGTCGTGCCAGAGCACTACATGTAGTGTCTCGGCTGCTGAGGCTTTGCAGATGGCGACGCTCAATAGCGCTCGAGCGCTTGGACTCGATCAAGAGATCGGATCCATTGAGGTGGGCAAGCGCGCAGACATTATCGCGATCGAGTGCGATAGCATCGAGATGCTCCCCATGTACAACGCAGTGAGTCATGTGGTATACGCCGCAGGACGAAAGCACGTTTCAGATGTATGGGAAGCAAGTGCTTCGCAATCGTCAGCTTACAACTGTTGATGAAGCCGAAGTAATGAGCGAAGTGCACGAGTGGAGGAAACGCATTTGCCAGTGGATACCACAACGAGCTGAAGGCGAAGCAAAATACATGAACATGACACGATGTTATGCGTGTTGTGGCCTTATTTCAGAACCAGCTTATTGATCGCAGCATCAGCAAACTCCACACGACGCGAAAGCACTTCTTTCACGCGAGCTGCCGGCAGTGTCCAGGCGACACCACGGCGTCTGCGTCCATATACGTCCTGCACATCCTGCGGTGTGTCCACATTCAGCACCTCGGACAGTTGGGTCAGAGCAGCGAATGCCTCACGGACTTCGTCACCTGCACCTCCTTCGCCGCTAAGGAATGTGCTGATCACTCGCACATCCTTGTCAAATTGCAACGCGCCGAGCTGGTTAATGCGAGTGGCCCGAGAGAGGAACCATGACTCGAGCTGGGTAGCAGAGCAGACTGCGACCCCCTGCACGATAGCACGGTAGTTGCTGCGTGACAGGTTACCACGAAAAGCTGCTAGCAGCGAACGCAGGCCACGCACAAACGCGTGGGCAAATGGATCATTCGCCTCATTGAAGGTGAACATAGCCTCCGTCAGCTCGTACTGCACGCCACTGCGTCTCGAAGAAGCGGATCCAGATGACGACAATGCGTTTGCAGACGCAGCCAGAGCCGACGCTGCAGAAGACGCCGACGACGACGGAGACAACAAACTGCTGAGGTAACTGGCAATCTTGGGCTCCAGCAGCTTGAGGAGCTTTTTGCGTGACGCGAGAAGGAGCTGCTTGAGCTCGGCTGAAGCGTCTTCAAGCGCATTCAGGCAGGTCATAATGTGCTGCGGCACCTCCGGAAAAGCTTCAGGCAGCTCATGTTCGAACTCCCCCTTTAGCTGTGCGATATATCCAGAAGTAACTTCTAGGCTGTTCAGCACAACATCGGGGGCGTGCTCCTTGCGCTGCTCTGGTGTCTGCCCGGCAGTTTCGCCGGCGTTGACACCACCAACAGGCCCAACGGTTTTACTTAGCTTAGCGAATTGTTGTTGCATTTGATCACGCAGCTGCGCTGAAGACGCTGCCAACAAGCTCGCCGCGTCACCTGAGGCCGAGCTGTCCAACTTGGCGGATGTGGTCATGTGACGGATGCGGCTACGCATAGTGTCGCCCACAACATCGCGTAGCACCGTGGTGATCATGTTCAAGACACCGGCAGCGCAGTCTGTGTGACCTGTAGCCAGCGCACGGAGACCAGAATTACGCGCGACGTAGAATACCTCATCAATGGCCGATGAGATCGGAAAGCACACGAGCCCGTCATCACCATCTGCACCGCCCATTGTAAAGTCACCCGAGCTGCCATCGCCGGACGAGAAATGAAGTTCTTCCCACTGAAACGCCTTGCGAGCAGCTTGGTTCAGCAGTGCGTTTTCGAAGAAGCAATAGTAGCCCGCAAGCTCTTGGACACTTTTCCCCATCTCACTCTCTTGGATCGAAGGAAGAACAGGGGACTTTTCGTCATCATGTCCAGCTTTGCTGTTAGTCTCTTTATCGCCTTCTCCATCTTCTTCTTCGTCTTCTAGCACCACTCGTGAACGCATGAAGCGTTCGTACGTCTGCGTGTGCTGGATCACAAGCGCCATCTCATTCAACTGTTCGTTCATGACTGCCACGCCATCGTCTCGGGGACTTCCCGGTGCAGACTGCATCCCACGGTTACTAGCACTGCGATTCGAAGGCGACAGTGGAGCGGTTGAAGTAGGCGAGCCTGGTTGCTCTCCGTTGGCAATTCGATCATGAAACTTGCGTTGCGTCATGTACGCGTTTAACACCGCAACCGCCGACTGTTCTCCGAGCGTATACAGCTTCGCCACAAATCGATTGGGGCCATGGACTCTCTCAAAGCACTGCGACATCAGCCCCGCATGCTGCTGAGCTTCTTGGGCAACCTGGTTGAACACCTCAGCGAGATGCGTGATCAGCTCTTGGGTACTAAACACCCCAACGCGTGGATCTCGGTTCCTCTTCAAAGACTCCTCCAATGCCTTCTGCACATGTTCCAGCAACATGACCAGCCCATGCTCCTCGTAGTCTTTCCCCACTGCCTTGAACAGCGGCGCGTACGTCTGCACCTTGCGGTTGTCGCCAGCACGGAGCCCTTCGTCAAACGCGCCTTCAATGACCCCCTTGAGATCGTTCTCGATTGTATCCACTCGAAGCTTATCCGCAACATCCAGCGGCATCTGCTGCTCGATGTTCTTGAGCGTCTGGAGAAACGTGGCGGCCTCTGGGTACCTCTGCTGCTGCATGGCCCGCCGGATCCCGGCCAGGGCGTTGCGCAGCGTCAGCAGCTGCGCCGACTGCTCCAGCGCCACGCCGAGACGCGACTGGATCACATCCAGCCGTCGCACTTCCCGCGTCATCTTCTCCGCGACGTCGTTGGCATTGGCCACGCGCTCGACGACGGCTCCGGTCTGTGCGCACAGCACTGTCACCTCCGGTGTCAACTGCCGGAGGGAGCGCAGCACGCGTTGCGCCGCCGCCTTCTCAGGGGCCGCCGGCGCCTTGGCGAACGCCAGCATATCCTCGCGGAGCGACTGCTGCTGCTGCTTGACGGCCGCGAGCTGGGCCACGAGCGCCGCGTGCTGCTCCAGCTGCTGCTTCCGACGACGAGGAGCTCCCATGCTCTCGAGACAGATACAAAGCTGAAGTGGGCGGTGACCCCATATGATTGTGACGTGGTCGTGTGCACCACATGATATGCACACCAACGTACACAAATCACAGCAAGATGACAAGCATGGCGGTGGCGACGTACGTGGAGCTGTGCACGCGTCTGTCGCGCTTCGTGCAGCTACGGCCGAGTGATGCTCAGTGCAAGGAGTTGCTGAGTGTTCTGGATGAGCTGGTAGCGCTCTATGATCGTGTAGATCGCTCCTCTCCGCCTCAGAAACTTGCAGTGGACGCGCCACTTGTGGGACTCGCGGCCATGGACGATTTGGTGTTGCTCTCGATGCACAAGCTGCTAGGATCATTCGTGCTCAATTCATCCTCTCCTGCGCTACAAGAGCGCTCGTTCGTGGTGTTTGCGCGCGTTCTACGCCGTTGCAAGCCTCGGATGCGAGGAAATAACGCCGGACAGGTGCAACGGCGACTTGGCTTCGTGCAGAGCTGCGTGCTGTATCTGCCGCCCCCTCCAGAGGCCAGCGACGGCGGTGAAGATGTTCCAGGTAGTATGAAGCTTGCTGCTCAGCCGGAGGAGCTGAGACTAGCTATTCTGCACAGTCTTCGGGAATTGTTGGATGAGGAAGACCCAGATGAGCCGAAGAAAGAAATGCAGCTTCAAGTGGACCAACAGCACTTCTTCGCGTACGTGGTGGCGTCGCTGCTGCATGTGGCGCAAAAGGATCGCTGCCGTGAAGCTGCGCTGCAAGCTGTTGAAGTGCTGAGGAGTGTGTTGTTCTTCGTTCGTGACCCGCTCACGCTACGACAGTACTTGCCTGGTGTCGCTGCTGGCTTGTGGAAAAGTGCAAACGCGCCGCAACAGGCGTCGAAGGTAATTGTCGCTGCGTTGCAATGTCTTGAAACAGCGTTAAAGCTTTGTATTGGTGACGAGAATCTGCCTGGGGGTCAGTATGGAGAAGTGAAGAAAGACCAACAGCGATTCACGCTCGAAGCAATTCGACGGTCGGTCGAATCCAATGCCGTCAACGCGTCAGATGCTTTGGAAGTCGATGAAGTGGCGTCAAGTGGAAGCGACAAGTGGTTGGAAACCACGGCTATTAACCTTGATCTACTACTCTCGCGGATGTTTGCAGCGAGCGTATCAGCCGTTGCTGCGGGGACTAGTACGGGTTTGCCGCGGTCTTCTTGGCGAGTCCGTTGTGCACTTGCAAACCTTTGCGGTACAGTGATGTTGCAGTGTCGGCGTTCGCTGCGTGTATCATTTTTTCGGTGCTATGATGAACTTTTAGTCCTTCGCGGCGACGCTATTGCCGAGGTTGCGAAGGAAGCAGATGATGTACTGCAAAAACTCCAAATGTCAGCGCTGTCTCCGGAGGAACGCTTACGGCTACTACCAGAGATGGCTGATCGCTTCCAAATGCTTCTATCGACACTTGTCCTCAAGGTTGCTACGGAGCATGAGGCAACCAAGGTGCATTTAGTGCGCACGCTTCGAGGTTACTTGGGATTTCTTGGATCCAATCTGACCCCCTACCTGGACGCGTCCATGGAAACGATTTACACCTCGCTCTGTCGCGTGGTGTCATTTGCTGCACTAGACATCGCGTTAGTGGTTCATCAAACGCTTCCCAGCTCAGCCGAGTCCAGTCAAAGTGATGATAAACCCGAAGGCAGCGTCGTGGTATCGCAATTTCAAAAACGATTGCGCTATTTCAACGAGGAAGCCTCTGTTCACGAGGTATTGATGATGGTGCGTGATGTCGGCGCAGTCTCTACCCCTGCTGGGTTTATCGACTGCGCTTTCACGTTATTGTCCGAGACCGACACCACAGAATCTGGCAGCGCTGAAGTCGTTCTGGTCTTAAACGAGTTTTTGCGAGCCTATTGCCCCACTAAGGAGAGCTCAACTATCCCGATTCACGAACTGGAGTGTGTTGATGTCCACCTAATTGGACGCATTCTGGAAGATTTATTGGCTCTGGAGGCATGGGAGGAGCACAACTCGCCGTCCAAGCGTGGTTCCAGCAGAGCATTAGTGTCTCAACGCGCGCTTATGGTGGAATGCGTTGGTGTGTGTGCAGAAATTCTTGGGTCCGAGTTCAAGATGTTTTTACTTCATGTGCTGTACCCGTTAGTTGAGCAATTAGGTGCTCACGATGTCGAAGTGGAGCGCGCAGCGTTGGCTGCATTGGAGAAGGTCTACTATTTCGCTGGATACGAGTCCCTCGAGGCTCTCTTTCAGGCTAACATGGACTACTTCGTGGACGCCTTGTGTGCACGACTGGAGCAATTAGATTCGTATCCGATGACTGCATTTGTCGTTGAGGCGCTGCTCAGGCACACTCGGCTTGCATCATTACCTCTGGTGGATGAAGTGGCTTCATCGTTGCTTCGAAGTGTGGACTTGTATCAGGACTCGCCTTACGTTGATGGTCTGCTGCGTGCACTGAAAAATCTGCTGAACAGTATCGCTCGTGACGCCCAAGAAGCTGAGGGTAAACAAAAAGTATCAAGCTTTGCAACGGAGAAACCATCGGCTTCTCGGTCGCTCTTGAACGAATTCATTCACGAGATGAAGGTTCTGGCAAGTGGAGGCATTGACGCCCTTGAAATTGAACCTGACGACGAAGAAAAACCCTCTACCCCTGAAGACACTGACCATCCAAGTGTTAACGGCGCTCTGCCCGTGGAGTATGATGAAATCCAGCCTGACGAGCAGAACGATGAAGACAAGGACGAAGACCCTACAGCATCAGGATATCGTACGCTGGTCATTGACATCATGGATAGATGCGGTTACTTCATTGTGGAATCCGACCCCATTGCGTGCTGCTTGGTTCTATCCTTGATCGACGAGGGCGTACGATTCCTTTCTCAGTACCGCAAGCAATTGTTGCCACTCGTGGCGCGCATGTGGCAGGAGTTGTTGCCTCGATTGCGCGTAGATAATCGTGCTATCGTCACCGGAACAGTCCGTGTCATCACCACCCTCGCAGAAACTGCAGGTGACTTCGTTGGAGATCGTTTTGTTGAGACTGTGTGGCCAATCCTCCGGTCTCAAATGCAAGCCATCCACTTTGATGCTGACAACAAGTCGTCGCAGCTCACACGCTCCATGCTGCTGGTCACAACGCCTTCGGCTGAAAACTCAAGCGCTGGGTTGGGTGAAGATTCGGGAACACCCAGTAATGCTGATCTCAATGCTGTGAGCGGAACTCGGAAGACGCAGGAGGTTCGTCAACTGCTTGCGATTCTATCGTGCCTGACTGTGGTGTGTCGGCAATCGGAGTCAGTGGCACAGCTCGTGCCCGATATTACGCGTACATGCAGCAAGTATTTGAGCCGCACAGCACCGCGGGAGGTTGTGGAGCAAACATCAGAGCTCTTTGCAGCATTGGTGCAGCTCAACGGTGACGAAGTGTTCTGCACTGTTGCAGCTCTAGCCGAATGGATGCCTCCTGCACCGCCGACGCCACGATTCTTTAAGTATGAACCTGAATCTGTTCGTCGCTTCCACAGAGGGCATTTGTCCAGTATCAATGGGCATCAGTCTTGCCGAGAGAACGCTATCGTTCTAATCAATCGTTTATTCGGTTGAAGATGCAGGGACATCACTATCGTTTATTGAGCGAGATATACGAACGCACTGCTGAATTCCTTCCTATGATACTCGCTTTTCACCTATCGACACCTGCCTACTAAACTCGCGTTAGTCTAGCCAAACATTCCGCCCATGTTACCAGCGTATGCCATCGGTCGAATCGGCGGGTGCTCCTAATAAAGAGGAAGATAAGTGAATGTAATGAGTCCCGTATTCAGTCATAGTCCTCATTAGAAGTCATGACAAAATTACGTACCACTGCAACAAATTGCGTGAACCGGGGCTGCATGTCCTTCTCAAAGCGAATGAACGCGCCCTTGTTGCCCATTTGGTCGCAGTAATTCGGTGCACTGAAGACCGTGATGCACTTTCCATCGTGCTCTACCAAGTAACCCTCGTCCTTGACCTCGTGCGAGCGCACCAACAAGTCTGCAACAACGGCATGTTAGATCAATGACAAATTAGACACCGCACAGTTCCTGCATCTAAATGAAACAACAACTTACCGAGGTTATTCTTCTCCAAGAAGGCCTTCGTGATATCGGGGCCGAACGAAAGGCCGATGCCGCGCTTGCTAGGGCCACGGCCCTGGAACGGTTGCGGGTCACTCCACATCAAGTCGCTCATGAGTCCACTCTCAGGCGGCTCGCGGTTGCGGTCGATCTTCTCGATATCAGCAAGAGTCACGTTCTCTTCGCTGAACAGACCACCGTGCACAACAAGCACCTTGTCCTCGATAGAAGCCGCGAGAGGCAGCCAGTTGAACACCTCCGTGAAGAGCTGCATCACCGTCTCGTCGTACTTGTGCTTCACCTCGCCCTCGAAGCCGTAAATCTTGTTCATGTTCTTCGACTCGTGGTTGCCACGCAGCAGGTGCACGTGCTGCGGGTACACAAGTTTCATGGCGAAGAGCGTCATGACCACCTCGAACGAGAACGACCCTCGGTCGACGAAGTCACCATTGAATAAATACGGGTTGGTTTCGCTCGGAAGCCCGTTCAGCGAGAAGATGTTGCACACGTCGTAGAACTGGCCGTGGGTGTCACCGCACACAGTGAAGTGCGCGTCCGGGTCGTCGGCCGGCAGCGAGATGCGCAGCAGCGACGGCAGCGCGCACAGCATCTCCTTCAGCTTCAGCAAGATCTGGATCACGAACTTGCGGTGCAGCAGCTTGCCGCGCTTGAAGCGGTCCATGAGCGCGACGATGAAGTCGGGCTTCGTCTGCGTCAAGTCCTCCGGGAGGCGCGGACCGTCGTACGACGGGTCCACCACTGCAAGCAGCACACCATCACTCAAGTCGTTAGAAAACCAACACCTCATCTACACACAAGACACACTAGAAAATTTACCGAGCGAGTTGACGTCGATGGTCTCGGAGAGCGGCAGGTTGCGCTCGGACTGGATGGCGGCTGCGAAGGCCGCCTCCTTGATGATCTTCTCGCACAGCTTGAGCTTGGCGCGCGCGTCGCGGTCCTGCGGCTTCATGCGCACCACGAGACGGAAGTCCTTCACCGCCTTCTTGTGGTGGCCGAGCGCTAGCTGCGCCGAGCCGCGGCGGTAGTAGGCTGCAGCAGCCATAAATTAAAGCACACACTCGTCAGTCCTCAACGCCCTTCCGCCGGTAAACACACACAGAAAGACACCGACCGCCACCGACCTTTGATGTAGCTGGGCTCGAGCTCAATGGCCGCCGACGCGTCGTCGATGGCCAGTCCGTAGCTCTCGCTCTTGACGTGCGCGGCGGCGCGGTTGGCGTAAAAGATCGCGGTGGGCACGAGCTCGATGGCCTTGGTGTAGAACTCGACGGCCGTGGCGAACTTGAAGTGCGCCAGCGCCTCGTTGCCCTGCGCCTTGAGCTCGTCGGCGCGTGCGCGCGTCTCGTCCGACACGGCGTGCGGCGCGCCCTCCGTCACGGTAGTGTTCGCCATCTCCTCCGCCCTGCCTGGTGCTGCTTGTTCGAGAAATGGCTGCAGGGCAAGCGCAGCCCTTGCCAGTCACCTCTGTAACGTCATAAATGGCAACCCATCATCCGTCATGAAATCAGAACAATCACTCCTCGGATCGCGACTCAAACGCGATAAAATCCGGTGGGCGGAAGGACGGACGATGGAGGCGCCGCTGTCGGTGACGGTGTCCATGGCGCCGTCGCCCGCCAAGCCCAAGCGCTCGCTGGACCTGCGCGACATGATGGACGAGCTGCCGATGCTGGCCTCGCTCAAGGACCAGAAGTGGATGGCCAGGCTGCCGCGCAACATGTTCCCGGCGCTCAAGAAGAGTCCGCGCCACAACGCCGGCGACAGCTCGCCCACGAGCGGCTCCGAGACGGACACGACGCTCCTCTCGCCGGGTTTTCTGCCCACTCCACGGGTATGCTGCAATAATTGCTGTCTGGTATTAAATATTGCTCTTAAAACTTTGGCTGACATTATTATTTTCTTTCTTTTGACAGACGGCGAGGGCTATGTCGGTGCTGGTTCCGTCGACGGACGAGGAGGTTCTGGACGCGCTGGACCCTCGCTTCTTCACGGAAAGCTTCGACCCAGTTGCACACATGCTGGTGAGTGGTGAAATGTGTGTGGGTTTATGAGCTTGAGGTCGGAAACGAAGCTGATGTTGGGATGTTTTGATTTTCGTAGGAAAACATTCCGGAGAATAAAACGGAGTTGAACGTGTTCTTGCGCACGGAGATCAGCGCCGTGGATGTGGCGAAGGACGTGATTCTGACAAGGTTGCAGGACGACGTGCGCGCCAATTACAACTCGCTCATTCAAGGCATGAAGGTGGTGCAGGAGGTGGACTTGGATTTGGTGCGAGCGCAGATCCACGTCAAGAATGGACGGCGTCTTCTTGCTACAGCGAAGAATGATCTGATTTTAAGGTAAAGTCGCTCTACGTCAAGCAATTTTGTGTTTTTCGTCGATGCTGATGTTATCTACCGGTCGTTGCTGTGAAGCTCTTTAGAAATTGTGAAGACGAAGCGAAACCGTGATCGCGTTAGCGAGGTAAGCATTGCCGTTCTACACGTTTTTTTACAAGTATTTGTTGCTAACGCTCATTCCGTTGCATTGTACAATACTTCAATTATAGATTGTTTCCTTTGGATCTCAAATCGTCAATTTCTTTGATGACGAAGAGAAGATGAACGAGGCTCTGCAAGAACACCAATTCATCACAGCGGTGGGTACTACGTGCGGTAAACTACGAAGCATGGAAATAGTATGTATATTTACCGAGTTCGCTGTGTCAATAGGTGGACATCTGTGTTGGTCTCCGGAAGGGCTTGTCACGCGAAGAGTTGAAGGCTTTAACAATTCTGGATGAAATTCGAGTTCGAATGCAGGATTTTATCCCGAGATTGCGTAAACAGTTCGACCAGGTGGGTGATCTATCTGCTCCATGTCGTTGCCGACGTTATATTTATACCTTCCTCTTGTGATGCAGTCTTTGCGAAAAGTGGCGGGGCATTTTGACCCTCTCGAGTACAATGAGTTGCTGCAAGCGTACATCACTCTGGCGGATCACTCCGAAAACCTTGGGTTTGAGTTCTCGTCGTACACACTGAACGAAGTCCTGTCGAATATTCCCGAAATTATTGTGCGCTCCATCGACGACATGACGAGTGAATTTATGCGCCAAGTTTTCGAAGCCGTGTCACCGAAAAAACTGAAGGCTGGAATTAAAACCAGTCAGCTCAAAGACAACAACGCAAGTAAAGCAGGGGACCCAGTAACACCGGCCTCTCAAACAGTCGAGAATGTCAAGCGATGCTACGAGCACCTCACCGACCTAATGCACACATACTACCTCTTAGTCCAATGGCATCGCGATCCATTCAATCCGCTGAATGACGATGTCGCCTACCTTCATCGCTGTGGCATTGATGACGATGACGATGATGATGATGATACCGACGAAGATGATGACCACGATGATAGAAGATTTCACCATTCGCACTCAAAACATGGACATGGTAGTGGCAGAGCAAAGGGGGCCGAATCTCCATCCAATCGCTCGAGAAATGGATCCGTTTTGAAACGAACACTATACGACCAAGTGCTGTGCGATACGGGAATGACGTTGCTGAGGTACCGCAAAATCGTTTGGGAAAGCATTCAACAGAATGTGCTGGAGATGATTGAAAAGCTGGACATGGCTTACGGTACGAATGTCAAGTTCCGGCTGTGTAGTTACTCGTTTCTCATTTTAACATCACTTCGGTTTGTTTATTGTTGGTGGGTAAATTTTAGGCTACAAGATGGAGCATATCATTGCGCTTTCACTTGCTACGACAACATTTACCGAAATTGGAGAGGAATTTACGGGAGCGCCTTCATCAAAGTGAGTCTCGTTGTAACGTGGCCTCGTATCCACAAACTGACCATTTAATCTGTACTTAACAGAATCCGCTCCGTTCTTCGGGTTAAATGCGAGCAGTATCTGCACGCATTTCATGACGATAACATCGAGTTGGCACGGATGCTCCTGGATACGGAAAATTGGCTTCGTGTTACCGCGTCAACCACGGATGGCGATGATAATGCTGGTCTTCTTCGCCTGATCGAGAAGCGCAGTGGATACTTTTTTGAGCAGAAGGTTCGTGAAGACCTCGCGATCAATCCTATTTATTCGAGGAGGGTATTTCCCTCGTTCCATTCGGATGGGAATCCGTTTAGCGCTGCCAACTCGATGGAGTGGCTCTCAATGAAGCAAGGCATCCGCTTCCATCATGAAGCTATGAAAACAGGAAATCCCGCCGATAAAGATCATTCTCAAGTCGATAACCAAGCGCTTCCGGTCATGGATCCAAACGAGTCAGAGTTTGTGTTAACCTCGTCAAGCCTTGCAGGTTTTGTTCGGTAAGTATTTCTGGCAGGAATGGTTTTGATTTACGACGATGACTAACGTGCAAATTATGGTTGTTAGACTCTGTGGTGTCTACTTGAAAATGATGGAACATCTTCCACACATCGGCTGGGATGTTTTCCGCTCGCTAAACAACTTATTCGAGTTCAACCTGTACGCTGTTTTCACAAACTTCATCGCCGCAGATGACATCACTCAATTTCTTCGGGGTAAAGGTGGAAATGCAATCAGCAGCGATGCAACGCGATGGAACGGGCTTCGAACTGGCATTTGTCGCATTGCTGATGAAATCAATGCTGGCGAAATGCTTCTTCAGTCATCTGCGCTGATCTACCCGTCATCAGCTGACACCGGAAACTTGCTGCAGCAGAATTCACCAATGTCGAGGAAGGTGACACTACGCAAGGTGTCTCGGACACCAGCCGCTGTGGAGGATGCTGACGAAAGTAATTTGTATGCGTTGGCTGAACGATCGATTGCGTGCGAGGCAATCGTTGGTCAGTGCAGACTGATGAATGCCATCGAAGATTTAGCTCGGTCATATCTTCCTGATCGATACCTCTGCCTCATGGATGAGGTCTACGAACGGAACCGCACGATGGCACGGGAGCTACGCAACTTCATGTACAATAGCATCGCAACGAAGCTCGTGGATGTCCCGGTACTTCTGGATTCCGTTTCTGCTGTATCGTGGGATATCCCATACATCAGCGATCAACACAACGAGTACATTGTACATTTAGTGCAAAAGTGCGGTGAGGCCTGGGGAGGCCTGCAGATCCTCGCTGATGGATCTATTCCTCTGGATGCCCGGGAAGATATTTGGGCGGCGATGGTTCAAACCATCATGGATACGTTGCTGCAAGCTTTTTCGACGGTGCCCAAGCCCACTCCGCAAGGCCGTGCTCTCATGCTGCTGGACTTGCACGCGCTCCAGAATGGACTTGACCTGATCAATCATATCAGCTCCCGAACGGTGCCTCGCGGTCGCGAATACGTGGGGAGCTACATCAAGGCCTTCTACTACGACGAGGACGAGCTTCTTGAGTGGGCCAAAGCTAACAAGGTAAGTCGTAGTTTATGCCTTCAACTGCTCGTTGTACTCACCTTCTACTTGCGCGGTGCAGACGTTGTACACGAAAGTCCAATTCGCCAATCTACTCAAAAACGGCATAGGCTCGACCCTCGATATCAAGACGCTCCGCGAGCTAGTCTTGAAAATTGATGCGCTTATCAGCTGATCAAATGCAGACACATCTTTGGACAAAGTTCTTGGGAATATTTGTACACTTGTTAAAAATTCTGCGGCAGCTTCTATCGCCACCTTCTGCGTTCAGGTTGAGCTCGTGGTGCCTGGTACGCATTGGGCTGCTGCACACGATTGCGTTTCCGCCGCGATCCAGCGCAGAAACTTTCGCTCTAAGGTCCACGGAGTGCTGCTACACGAGCGCTCTCGTCACTCGATTTCATCGGGTAGCGGCGTTTTGTACAGTTCGTTTACCGCGCCAAAGCTACACGCAGTTCCTGCTGCACCTGCGGTTGCGGGATCACCTCGACGACCAGAACAAGCAGCTCCTCGGCCTCCTTCTTGCCAAAAGTCGAACGCAGGTAATCGACAAACGCCTGGCCGCTCATCTCTTGGTTTCCGAGAGCCTTGGCTGCCTGCTTGAATTCGTCCACGGTACGCGCGTCGCCATTCGAGAGCGTATTTACCCGCTCCAGAATTTGGCGGTTGGCCTTCTTTCTGGACACGCGTCCAGGAACTGCAGGGTCGCTGGCACGGCCAACCGAGCTCCGCTGACTGCTTGAAAAGCTCTGCAGCTTCTGCTCTGCTGGTAGAAATTCCGCAAAACAAAAGGCAAGAGAGGTTAGAACCTCTGCATTCCCAACGGCAAAGTCATGACTCTCGTCCACGTACCATATTTCTTGGATCGACGATCCTCCTCTTCCTCCTCCTGCACACTCAGGCGATGGTGCTGGCGCTGCGACCTGCTCTCATCCAAGTCCTCAGCGTCGATAGACGCCATTGAAATGCCACCAGCGGCACACAGCGCCTTCCGCTTCTCAGCACTCTTGATCGATCGTACGAAGCGTCTCAGAATCCAAAGAGCAAAGTCCGGCTCGAACTCCTTGTGCAAGAACTCCACAAACGGGTCCGCAGCCGCGACGGGGTCATTTTCCTTTCGGAAGACGCGCGCGCGCTTCTTAAACCGCTTCAGCTGATGAGCTCCGCCACGCAGAGCCAGCTCCTCCTCGATCTCCAGTCTGCACATCTTCCGGCGCGAGTTCACTTTGTCCCCCGCGCCATTGACACTCACGCACGACGTGCGGGTGTCCGAGTCCGACGAGTCGCGCAGCATTCCCCTCGACGAGGAGAACTCCCCGGACACGTTCAGGCTGGGGCCCAGCAGTCCGCTGCAGTCCATGTGCTGCTCCGCGCCAATGAAGTCCGCGAGCACCCTGCACCCTCCCTGCTTGGAGAACTCCACGACATCCGGAAACAGCATGACGCGCTGCATGTAAAAGTCCAGCTCAGCGCGGCGTTTCTCGAGGAAGCTAGGCGTCTGGTCCTGGTGGAAGAAGGCGCGCACGCGGTGGCCCGGCGCGAAGGCGACAGTGACCATCATCTTGGCGAACGGGGACTTGCGCGCGGCGCGCATCTGGTTGTCGAAGGCCTGGAACTCCTCGTACGTCTTCCATAGGCTCCACTGCACCACCTCCACGGGCTCGTCCTGCTTCTCCCGCGACTTGTTGAGGCGGCAGAACAGCTCGTACTGCGTAGCAACAGCAAACCAGTGACGCCTGTGGTTAGTGCGGTGCTGAGGGGCTCGTGGGTTTGTGCGGTTATTGGTTTCGACTAAGGAGAAGGGAGCGCGAGCAAACGTACCACGGCTGGCTCGCCGTTGGTCTGGGTGGCGTTGCGCACGTGCAGCTTGAGCGGCGGCACACGCAGCAGGAAGTCGGGCGGCGTCATGGTGGCGAGGGCGAAGCGTGGGGCTCTCGAGTGCGCCGGGGGAGTCGCTCTATGGGAGGGAGATCGCGGAGTGCCGCGGAGACGGACGCGAGCCTGAGCTGAGCGACGAGATGGCGACGCTGATTTGGCGCTCGCGGTGAATAATTGAGAGTCAGAGCGGCGCCGCGACGACGGGGATAAAGTATAGGGATCCGATTTGTGCGGAAATTCAACCGGGCACTTTCTATGGGGTTTTGCCAGCCGGAGCCCAAAGATCCCGACTTTTGGTCGGGCTTTATTGCGGCAGGGTCGATCTCTTTGTCTCAATAATGCGATGGAGGCACCCCGCCAGCCAGCATCGTCCCAAGTTAAAAAAGTTATAAAAGTTTACAGCGGCGCCAAGGTAGGAGAATCCGAGTGTCGCGCGGTGGATAATATGCATGGGCTCAATTTCTGTGGCGGCCGTGCGGACACTTTGAGCTTTTGGGCTCGTTGCCAGCCGCTCCCTGACGAGCATCCATCTGCTTGGGGGCTGCTCGCTGTCGACCAGAAACCGAAGAGCTCGCTTCGCCTGCGCAGGCATGAAAACAGACCGCGCGCTTGAAGACGTGCGTGGGCATCACTCGGCACGAGTCGTCCATCATTTGCCACGCGTGACTGCAGACTGCAGTACACACCAGCGTCAATGTCAATGTGGACAGACAAGCCGCAGCGGAATCTTCGCGTCGGCCTCCCGACCATTTCCGGGCTCGTGAGTAACCTGCACTTTTGGTGATCGAGGATCCTTTCGTCGCTGCAAATACCGCCGGTAGCAAGCGTCAAGGCCTTGCCGCGACTTGCTGGCGGCGATGCGGCTCGATGGATTCACCCCCAAGTACATGTAATATTTCCTACGGCGTACGGTGCCGAGCGCGAGTGTGTCGGGTTGGATAGGCACCGATGCGGTAAGATGAGGCAACCTCCACAGCAGACATACCGCTCCTCTGCAAGACAACATTGTCACGGCATGAAGGAGACCACTTACAGTAGACGAGTAGTTACATACAGTGCCTAGTGAATGTGACCACAGATACTCCACCTGATAACACACTATCAGCCTGATCATTTGACTTGAAGCATCGGATACTAGAACTTCTACCAGCATTACATTTCAACTTAGCCACCGAGTGCTCGTTAAATATCTTTTGCAAAAGGGTGGTGTTTAAAAACACCAGAATGAAAAGAGTGCGATCCATCACATGTCTTCAATCGAAGAACAGCGCGAAAAGACCGACTGGGTTGTGTCGTCTACACTGTGGCAAACGACGAAGAGTACTTCAGACGCCTGGAACAGTCGCCCTAAAGCCTGCTCGAGAAGATGCTTAAGCCGAGGTGAACTTGGTCACGGCCTTCGTGCCCTCCGACACGGCGTGCTTGGCGAGCTCACCCGGGAGCATGAGGCGCACGGCCGTCTGGATCTCGCGGCTGGACAGAGTCGACTTCTTGTTGTAGCGCGACAGCTTGCCGGCCTCCGAGGCGATGCGCTCGAAGATGTCGTTGATGAACGAGTTCATGATCGACATGCCGCGCTTGCTGATGCCCGTCTCGGGGTGCACCTGGCGCAGCACCTTGTAGATGTAGGTCGAGTACGACTCGACGCGCTTCTTGCCCTTGCCCTTGCCCTTGCCGGTCTTGGCGACCGTCTTCGCGGCCTTCTTCGAGGGAGTCTTCGCCATTGCTGCTGTTTGGGGGGTTGCAATTACTCGGTGAATTGAGGAATGAGGCTCTAGGAGGCCGCCATAGTATCCGCCGCGCTCTGACCGGTTCCTGTCCATCCCACGCAATAAGCGCGGTTTCTCCCGCGGCTCGCTCTGACGTATGTGATTGGCGGAATTCTCGGTGCAACGACCTCATTGGCTTAGGAGCTATAATAATGCGTATGATTGGCGAATTCATACGGCGGGGTAGGGCCTTTTTTGGCGCGTAAAACTTGAGTCGGAGCTCCTCGCCCCAGATGTCCAAGTCGAAGCGCAGCATTTGGTACGTGGGGGACATCCATCAGGCAGGTAGATCTAAGCCAAGCCAGGCCGCTGCGCGCGTGGAGCTATTTAATGGGAAAAGGGTCAATGTATATAAAATGTTCTACGCACTCCTTCCTGTCCGAGTGTCCTCCCCACCCGCCCTCGCACTACCTACGACTACATAGGGAGAGGTGGGGAGAAGCGCTGGGGGGTAGGCTGGGGCTGGCGCTCATAAGCTTATCTCGCTCCACGCGCTCCTCGACCTACTGGCAAGCCGTCCGTCGGTGCTGGTCGGCGTGCGCTTCCATTGTCGTACATGCTTCGCCGTCTGTGTGTGTGCCCTGGCCGCGCCTACATGAAGCCGGAGCCCTTGATATTCTGCTTTAAAATAATGTCTTTGCAGGCGTTGAATACGACTTGCACGTTCTGCGAGTCGGTGGCACACGTCACGTGGTGGTAGATCTCCTTCTCGGGCTGGCGGTTCATCTCCATGAACTTGCCGAGGAAGTACTGCACGCCCAGCTCGTAGTCGCCGATGCCGCCGGGGAAGTCCTTGAACACCTCCACCGTCTTGGGGTCCACCTTCTTGATCTTGTCCTGGAACAAGTCCTTCTTGTTCAGGAACAGGATCATGGCCGAGTTGAGGAAGAACTTGTTGTTCACGATCTCGTCGAACAGCGTGATGGCCTCGATCATGCGGTTCGTGGACGCGTCCTCATACAAAGACTGATCGTACTCGCTCAGCGCTGCCACGAAAATTACTGCCGTCACGTCCTCGAAGCAGTGGATCCACTTCTTGCGCTCGTTACGCTGGCCGCCGACGTCGTACATGACGAAGGTGGCGCCGTCGATCTGGTACCGCTCTTCTACGATACCCGACGTACGCACACGGGCGTAGAGCATATCCTGCTGCGTTGCTGCGTAGTCGTCGCGCATGATGCGATCCAGGTCGTTGAAGTAGTACTTGACCGACTCGATGATCTGGAACTCGGCTCGCCGGTTCCAGGTGGCCACAATGCCAGGGTCCGTCCACAGGTTCTTGATCTTCTGGCCTATCACGGGGTTCACTTCTGCCTCATCGCTGAGCGTCCTGATGTCCTCGAAGTCTTGTGCGCACACCACTTCCCCCTTGAGCTTCATCTCCGTACACTGTTCGATCAGCATCTTCATGGACGTCACCACGTTGTTATAGATAATTGGTGTGCAGTGCCGCTTCTCCTCATCTGTCAGCGGTGCGCCATACAAAATCTGCAGCGCCAAGCCATAACAAAATTAGTATTTGCAACTCCGGTCACACCACGAGACAGCAAGTCAACAACCGCCGGCGCACCTTCATCTGCTTGAAGACCGTGCTCTTGCCTGACTCGCCAGCTCCAAGCAGCAGCAGCTTGACCTTCTCCTGCTCCACGCGGTGAGCCTCCTCGTTCTTGGCTTCAATCTCGCGTGACTTGGCCATGGCCTGCCGATCGGCATCGCTCATCTGGGACGCACAGAGTCCCATCTTGGCTCCGTTATCTGTTCCGGGGCTGTCGAGAGCAATCGATCGAAGCGCTGGAGCTTCGACGGTCGCAGACGGAGTGGGGCGCAGGCGCTAGCTGGCGGCTCTGTTTCTGCTGCGCGGGAGGGCTCTACTGTCGGAGTGGGAAGCTGCACACGTTTCGGCAAATAGGCAGCGGAAGTTTAAAAATGAAACCCCGCCACCACCTTCCTTCCTCGGTCACTGTCGCGGGCTCAGCACTGCAGGCGCCGCCTTCTCCGGCACAGAAATAACTCGCGTCCGCGCCAAAATGCAACGACGCCTGCCTCGCAGTCTCGTCGCTATTAATACAGCTTCAGCACGTCCAATTGGGCCATCCCGCGCCGCAAAAGACTTGAGGAGCCTGCTCAGGACCCTCGGAAACCACTGAAAGAGGGCCTCGCTCGGGCCTCGCTTTAGCTTCGTCGCCCGGTCTCATGGGCATCAATTTCTGACCACAGGCCGATGGAAATAGCCGGGAATCGTGGCGTCCTTCATGCGCGCACAGAGAGGCTCGGCGTCCGTCGTCCACGCATGCACGCTCACTCTCGCTCACGCCCTTGCCGAAAGATAGCAAAATGTAGCCATTCCTTTGAGGTCATTTCTTTGCGCCAAATAGGTGATGTGCGGCCATGCAAAGCCGCGTCAGGCGCAATAAGTGCGCTCATTGGTCGAAAATGATGATGATTCTATGGGAGGATTACTATTCAAACGGAGCTCGCAAGGCAGTCAAGGAGGGTGTCACCTGGGCAGCTCTGCGCGATAGTCGATGGCCATACGCCAAATCGCCCGTGTGAGAGCAACCTGCCGAGCCGCCATGTCGCCCAGCAACGTCAAAGTAGACGAGAGCACCATCAAGGAGTGGCACTTCCACACGTGCTTCTTCGCCACCAACGAGGCTTCCAAGAAGGAGGCGCAGGCGCTGCGCGACGCGCTGGTGGACCAGGTCACGGCCGACCCCAAGAACTTCGTCGCCGTGTGCAATGGCGTGACGGACAAGGAGCTGCCGGGGCTGGAGGGAAAGCCGCCTCCGTTCAACCTCGGGTCCGTGGGCCCGCACCTCAGTGGCAGCTTCGAGACCTGGGTGCCGGCCGAGTCCTTCGCGCAGGTGCTGTCGTGGTTCACGCTGCACCGCGGATCGCTTAGCATCCTGGTGCACCCGCTGACACGCTACGAGCGCGAGGACCACTCGACGCACGCCATGTGGCTGGGCCAGCCCTTCATCATCGACTTGAATAAGCTGTGTGGGGACTTGATCACGCCCCCGCTGCAGTATCCGGAGCTGGGATTAGGATACAGCGCGACCGCGGACGAACAGTGAGAAGGGTACTTGGAAGTCATCAACGTCGAGTGCTATTCGGAGCGTTAGGGAAAAGCAGAGTAACCGTCCTCAATATGAAGCATGCAGTTGAAGTGAGATCGGGTGAGCAGCAGCAGCGCCTTCAACGTTCTTAGTGCAGAAGGTGACGCAACACCGTGCGCACGTTCAGCTTCTTCAGGTGCGTGTACTTCTGACCCGTGCCCACGAACATGACCGGCTGGCCGGTCTTGTATACCATCGACACCGCGGCACCAACTGCAAGGAAACCAAAGAGTAAGGCGAATGGTCAGCCAACATGCCACGCAAGAAGCTAGGTATCACAATGGAACCGTCAAACTCACCCTTGTCATCGATCGTGTCAAACTTGGTGATGACGATGCCATCAATGCGGTGCGGCACGCGACGGTCGGAGTAGTCCGCAAGCGCCTAGATGGAAAGAACAGCGCAAACCAGAGGTCAAACCACGTGTACAAGTACCAAAAGAGCGCGAGGCGTCAACGTACCCGGTCGAACATCGACAGTTGGTCGATGCCGTCGTTGCCCACCAGCGCTTCTCCGACGAAGAGAACCAGGTCAGGCTCGTTGTTAGACACCAGCTTGGCGAGTGCACGCATCAGCGGCTCATTGTTTTGCATGCGCCCGGCAGTGTCGATCAGCACGCAGTCGTAGCCATTCTCAGTGCCGTACTTGATCGCCTCCTTGGCCACCGAGGCCGGGTCCTTGGCGTAACCCTTCTGGAACAACTCCACGTCCAGCACCTTGGCGTGCTGGTTCAGCTGCTCAACAGCGCCGGAACGGAAGGTATCGCACGCAGCGATCATAACGTTCACGCCCTTGGACTTCAGGTAGTAGCAAACCTTGGACAAGCTGGTGGACTTGCCAACTCCGTTCACACCCACGAAGACGATGCTGTACGCACGACCCTCGGCCTTGGCCTGCAAGATCTCGCGAAGCACGTCAGTGGACTTCTTCGGCGTCAGGATACGCAGCAGTGCGGCTTCCAGAGCCTTGCGCACGACAGTGGAAATGCGCGTGAAGCTCTCGAGTCTCTGACCGACCACAGTGGTGACGACAGACTCGCACAGCTCATCCGCGACCTCCGAGGCCACATTCTTGCTGATCAGCTGCAACGAAATACACACCTGTCAGTATGAATACGGCAACATACAGTACACGTACGCAACGAGGCCTACCATTTGGTGCATGGGCGTGATAACGGGCTCCAAGTCTTCGCGCTCGAGAATCTTGTTGCCGGACACAGTGCTGAGGAAGTTGCCGAGGCGCGTCTTGGAAAAGCTCCACCCGCTGTTGCTCGCATCAGACTCCGCGCCAGAGGAAGCGGCGGACTCGTCGTCAGTATCCGAAAACTCTTCCGAGTCGCTATCTTCCATTTCCTACACGATAACAGCGCGAGCGCAATGAAATACTGTTAGCTTCTGCATAATTCGCTGTGTAATGATAAAGAATAGAAAACATACTCCAATGTAAGCTTCACGCTTCTCGCGGAGCTGAGCCTCCTCCTCCTCAGCAGTAATCTGGCAACGTCAACATTTAGTTAGTAAGGCATTCAATCAAATAAACACTCCGCAGCATGCACTGTATGACCCTTACCATCTTGGAGCGGTCCAACGCCTCAGCCTCCTTCTTGGTCACCTTGGTGTCGTCCCATTTCGTCATCTTCTTGCCGCTCTTCTTGGACTCCTTCGCGGCCTTGTCCTTGCACTTACGACGCGGACCCGTGCGCATCTTGCGCACCTTCGACGAGCGCAGGGCTGCCTCGTTCTCCAGCTCTTCCAGGTCCTTGTCCTTCCCATCCGACGTATGGCTATCACTGCCATCTTCACTCGACTACTCAACCAATACACAGCAATCGCTCCAACACATCAGCCAACACCGTAATTCTCCCAATACCAACAAGCAGCAACGTACATCTGCAGTCGCCGCAGACCGCGCTGACGACGCCGTCTTGCCCGCTGTATTGGACGTGACGCCCTTGGCCTTGGCCTTCTTTGACGCATTGAAGGCGCGCGGGCCCTTGCGCGTCTGTTTCTCCGTGAACTTGAGCTCCGTGGCCTTGAGGATCTTGGTGAACTTGTCCTCGTACTTGACGGGCGTCTTGTTGGCGATCTGCTGCGGGAAGAGCGCGATGAAGTCCTTCTTGACGATCTCCAGCAGCTCTTCGATGTACAGCAGCTGCAGGATCTTCTGGTAGACCACCACGAAGACCAGGTCCAGCTTGTTCTCGAACACCCACTGCATGGCGTACGTGTCGTCGATGAACTTCTTCTCGCCGGCGCGGTCCTCCATGAGCACGCGGTTGATGAGGTTGTCCACGGGGTCGCCACCCAGCTTGCACAGCGTGCGCGACCACAGCACCATGCCCGTCTTGGAGAAGATGACGAAGTGGTCGATCATGGATGGCTACAGTACTGTACTAACTACAGCGGCTTAAGGCTCTGGAGTCCTCGGGTGGGTTCGGTTGTGGCGTGGGGCAGCAGCAACGTGGTTTGCTGTCGTCACGTCTTTGAAAAAGTGACCGCGGCAACTGAAGAGAGACCGCACACCACGCGTACACACCAGGATGTGGGGCACATCATTTTGCCATGATGGACGTGCTGGGGCCCGCGCTTGCGGCGTACTGCCGAGCGCTGCCTAAGGTGGAGCTGCACGCGCACATCCACGGGTCGATCCGGCCGTCGACGCTCGCGCAGGTTCTTCAGGATGAAGCGCAGCGCAACGGCACGCAGCCGCTGCAGCTGCCCAGGAACCGCAGCCTCGAGGAGTGCTTCGAGATGTTCGGGCTGATCCACCAAGTGGTCGTGAGTCGACGCGTGCTGCGCAGGATCGTCATCGAAGCGGTGGAGGACTTTGCGGCCGAGAACGTCAAGTACCTGGAGCTGCGGTCGACCCCCAGAGACCTGCCGCAGGATGGAGCTACGCGCGCAGACTACGTGGACGAAGTGGTGTCGGCGCTCGATGAGTGCCGTGCGCGGAAGGATCTGGACATTGAAGTGCGACTGCTGCTGAGTATTAATCGCAACCAGTCGCTGCTCTTGGCGGAAGACACGGTGGACATGGCGCTTGAGCGCAAGAACAAGCAGAACTGTCCGTTCATCGTGGGCATCGACCTCAGCGGCAACTCAGAGCGCCCCGAATCCGAGTTTTTCCGCTTCGAGCACGTGCTGGAGCGAGCACGAGCTGGCGGCCTCAAGCTGGCAGTGCACTTCGCCGAGCACTTCGACGACGACGAGTCCGACCGGATCCTCAGCTTCCGGCCGGACCGCCTGGGCCATGCCTGCTGCTTACCAGAGCCGCTGTACGCCAAGATGCTGGCGCTGCGGATCCCCGTGGAGGTCTGTCTGACCTCCAACGTGCACACATTGGCCAGATACCGCAATGACGGAGACTGCACATGCTCAGCGGAGGAGAAGCACGAGGCCTCGGGACTGTGCGTGTGCGGCTTCACCTCGCACCCGCACGGCAAGCTGCTCGCGAACGAGCGCGGTGAAGAGCAGCAGGAAGTCTACCCCATGTGTATCTGCACGGACGACTACGGCGTGCTGGACACGACCCTGTCGACCGAGTACGTGCGCGCCGCTCAGGCATTCGCGCTTAGCGAGGAGCGAATTCTAGATATCGCGCGAGCATCCATCGACTCCATCTTCGACCAGAGCCAGGTGCCTAGGCTGAGGGCTCTGTTCGCCCGGAACGCATTGCAGTAGGCTTCTTGGGTCACATTTGCGTCATCAGCGGGACTAAATCGAATCGCGGACAAATAGAGACTCGTCACAATTTCTTCGGCGCCTACGATGCGATCGCACCTGTTGTTCTTCTTCGTCCTCGCTCTTGCTGCTGCTGTGAATGCTGCCACCGCGAGTGAGTCAACCAACGCGACCGACGCCGCGGCTGCGCTAGTCTACGACATCCCGGAGTGCACTACCAACCAGCTGAATATTGGTGAAGCCATCTTAACCACCGAGCCCAACACACTGCGCTGCGAGGACAAGTTCGACATCAAGTCCGGCATGCTGCTGCAGTCCGCCGACGTGGCCGACGAGCTGTGCAGCCAGCAGAGCTGCCTCAACGCGCTGCGCACGCTGTACGCAATGCTGCCCAACTGCCGCTACGAGCTCTGGGGGCTCAAGTACTCGGCCTCCAAGTTCCTCAACCACTGCGGCATCGCCACGAACGCCTCGACCACCACATAGCGCAGCTTCAAGCCACGGCACCGCAACAAGACTTTGCTCGCTCCTCGTCTCATTGGCATCCCCGACCGCTCCGCAGCTGTCCATGTCCCTGCCGATTGCCCTTCAAATAGTCGCGACCATTTTTTAAGTGTGGGTAAAAAGCGTGCCGACTCTTTCATTTGGCCTTTGCCCAACGCCTGCCCGCGTCTCCCTCGCTCCACAGTAACAGCGATGCGAACCTTCACGCCCGTGCTGCTGCTCGCCGCCGCCGCCGCCGTTGCCTCGGCGCAGTCCAGCTCGACGTCCGCGCTATCGTCCGCGTCCGCGTCGCGCTCGTCCTCCCTCTCGGCGGACCTCGAGGCCATCCCGGAGTGCAACTCGACGCAGCTGAACGACGCCGAGGCCATCCTGACCTCCAACGAGCGCGAGGCGCAGTGCGAGTCGGCGCTGGGCCTCCAGTCCGGCACGATGCTGCAGGTGACGACGGCGCAGGCCGACGAGATGTGCGACACGACGTCCTGCAAGGCCGCGCTGCAGGAGCTGTACAACGAGCTGCCCAACTGCCGCTACAACCTCTGGGGCCTGCAGTACTCGGCCAAGAAGCTCCTCAACTACTGCGGCATCACGGCCACCAACACGACCGAGTCGAGCTCGGAGTCCTCTGGATCCGTCGGCTGGAGCGTCACCTCGAGCTCCGCCTCATTCGCGGCGGCGGGGGCGACGGACGCCCCCTCGACTGCCAGCAGCACGACCACCGACAGCTCCGCCGGCTCAAGCGCTGCGTCTACTACCGCCACGGTTTCCGCCGCGTTGGCGGCTACTGCGGGTCTTGTCGCCGCTTTCTTGGCTTAAGCCAGTCATAGGGGAAAGTTGTGACTGACAAAGTGCAGTGAAGTCGCTGCTTCGTTTCACATCAAGCCGCTTCATGTCGGCGACGAACGCGCTGCTGAGTTTTTGGGGTTTTCTAAACATGATTCACTTTTATTGAAGTCTTTGGGGTACTTGGTTGCCAAGAAGCTGTGGCTGTATTTGAAACTTGTTTGATGCAGAAAAGAAGTGGATAAACACCTACCGGTACCTGGAAAGGTCTGGTCTTATCGCTGCATCTCGTCGCTCAGTAGCTCCTCCGTAAACTCGAGCGCGTCCAGGACCGACGGCCGCTCCTCCGGGTTTGTGTGCAGCATATCGCGGATGAAGTCACAGAACTCGGCCGTGAACTGTGTGCCACGGTGGTGCACCACGCCGCCTTGCTCTATGAACGATAACAAAAAGATCGTTAGTATGGTCGAACCGACATTGGCTCGCTCGCTGCATGCTTTGTCAATTGCTGCGAGACTCACCTGGAGGGAAAGACACCCGTCCGTTCATGCAAGCCAGCTTCATGAAACCCTGTATTGTGAAGAAAGAATTAGTTTTGGATGGAACCGGCAAACGTTAGCGTGTTCAACATAAACGCTCCAACTTACCTCGCGCGGGTGCTCGAACGGACTTGTTCCAAATGCCATGGTGTACCTGGATGGGAAGCAAAGGGTCAGCGGATCAACTTACCAAAGATGTGCGGGAAATTATCGCGCGATACTTACAACACGCAGCCTAAAGACCACACGTCCGACTGGCCATCCAGAGCGACGTCAACGGTGGGCTCGAAAAGTTCTGGTGCCCGGTAGGGAGCTGAGCTTTTGCGGTTCGCTTCGTCTTGCAGCTCCAGTGAATTCCGCCGGGAGCCCACTTCCACGCGGATTGGAGCGCAGCTTCCAAAGTCTGTCACCACTGGGATATATGCAAGGAAATCCTCACCCGTGGATGAAGAGGACAGCAAGATGTTGTGCGGCTTGATATCCCGGTGGCAGAAACCTGCACGGTGCAGTGCCAGCACACCTGAGCAAATGCCGTGGAAGAGATGGAGCGCTGTTCGTTGTGTGAACGGCCACAGAGGTGACGACGACTGGCATGCAGCGTTGATCGCATCCCACAAGCTACCGCGCTCGAAATACGGGACCAAAAAGTAGAACTAATGTGCGGGATGCAGGGAGAATGCGTTAGTTCACAGCTAGCATTACTCTTCGATCCAAGAAAACTGGCCGTACCTCCATCCCTTGTTGGACTCGTGCTTCAGAAAACTCTACCAGCGGCATAATATTGAGATGCTTGACAGACTAGGTTCATCACACGAATACACGCGTTAGTCAAGACGATGAAAATTGGCATGTTACAATAGAGCAAGATAGGCCTTACGCGGAAAACTTGCAGCTCCATTTGTACGTCGTTTTCAACCTCTTGTGATTGGCAAAGAATCCGCTTGAGCGCGAAGGTTTCGTTGGTAGCCGATGATCGGACCAAAAGCACTTGCGCGTAAGCACCCTCAGCCAGCAGCCGCACCACTTGCACGCTGACGCCTCCAACTTGAATCGTTTCGCTCTGTCATCCATTCAAACAAAATATTAGCCCGCGAAACTCACATCTGCAATCACTACGTGCACCCACCTTCGAAACATTGGCACTAGCGCTGGAAATCGTCGCGCTAATCGACGACAACAAGGAGCCACCCCACTTCTTGGCTTTCTTCGCGGTTTCCGACGCTCCCTTCTTCGCATCCTCAATCGAGATTTTCTTTGCAAAGTCATACGCCTGTTCTGTCTGTTTCCGCAAGTAGGCCTGTGCGTCCTTGCCTGCCTCAGCCCATTCCGACGTATTCCGTCCACCTGAACTCCCGCTCGAGTCGTATCGATCATCACGGTCAAACCTCGAGCCACGGTCTCCTACGTTCTGGTACCCACTCCCGCCGCTCTGATAGCTGCTACGGTTCCAGTCGCTCTCGGCCTGCTGTTCCTTGCGCATCTTCTCACGCGATGGCGAGCGCACAACCGGCGCCGGCGGCTCTTCATCTAAATCAACACCCCAGCACAGAAGCAATACAATCAGCTCCCCACTCCTACAGTCCTCTCCATCTTCAACGTTCCAGTCAAGCAGTACCTTGCGACTCGTACGTCGTCGACTCGAACTCCTCGTAGTCATCGGGGCGATGGGTGCGTCGCTCCGCCGTGCTGCTCCCATAGCTCTCCGTGCGCAGCTTGGTGACCGCAGGGTTTTGCGCCGGAGCGGGCGGGGCCACCGCCTGCCGGGGCTCCTCGTAGTGCACGTACTCGACGCTCGGCTCCTGGTCCAGCGGCGTGATGCGCGCCAGGATCTTGCGGCCGCAGAAGGGCACGGCCGACTCCGGGTTCGTCAGGTCCAGAAACGCGCCGTCCTCGCAGCGGAAGGCGAAGTGGAAGCTGCTGCCCAGAGGAAACGCCTTCTGCACGTCCGCGAGGCGCACGCGGCCCCCGGCGGGCGGCAGCGGCAGCACGAAGGCGTTCCAGTTGGTGTCGGGTCCGCGCTGCGGCTTGCTCTCCTGCACGGGCTCGAGCTGCTCGCCCACCAGCTGGTACAGCACGAAGGTCGTCTTGCGTTGCGGCGCCGCCATCGTCGTCCCGCTCACCGGATGCACCACTTCCGACGCGCGCATTCGCCCGCAAGAGGTTTCGGCGGCGTTTTGCACTGGGCAACGGCATGCGGTGGCTCGCTTTAGGCTATATATAAGTTTTGTATGCCAATCGGGAGAGTTGAAGTGAGAATGCTTAATTGGAGGTCCGTACAAGGTTCTTGATCAGTTAATCAGAAGTGCGACCGATTCACTCGCGAGCAACATGAAGCAAGCTTGGGCCGCCGTCGCGGCTATCATGGATATCCGCCATTGGTGTTGACACGATCCGACGCAAGCGCCGATGGCCGACACGTGCGAAACGATGCCGTTCGCGCAGCGGAATGAGGGATAACTGGGTCGAACGGACAAATTGATGCGCCCTACATTGAACGCCACTTCACGAAGACGCTACATTCATAGGAGTATGTTGTGCGTCGTGCATCCAAAAGCACAACTAGATAGTTCCTTGTTGGTAAGTTTCTCAATGATCTCCATTACACTGAGTTACTCACATTCTCGCATTGCCTAAAGCACCTCCTTTCTGATCAAAGAGCTCACGGCGTGGCATGCACGTACGGAGCCGTCAGCTCTGACAGCTTCAGCGTCTGCTGGCCATCTTCATTGAAGTTGCTCGGCGCTAGCCAACGCTCAAACGCACCCTTTAGGCCCCTGTTCCAGTCCCCGTCAATTATCGAGAACCACGACGTATCGCGGTTGCGCCCCTTGTACACGATCAATTGGCGGAACGTGCCCTCGTACGTGAACCCGAGGCGAACAGCAGCACCGCGTGACGGCATGTTGTAGCTGTCGCACTTCCACTCGTAGCGACGATAGCCGAGTCGGAACGCGTTGGCGGCGAGCAGGTACATGGCTTCGGTAGCCGCGCGGGTCTTCGCCAATCGAGGCGAGTAGAAGATGTGGCCAACTTCAACGATGCCATGGCTTGGCACGATGCGCAGGTAGGAGGTGAAACCTACAGCGCTGTCATCTACGATGATGGCGTAGAATTGCGGATCGTTGGCGCGTTCTCCCTCCATAATCCACGTCTCGAACTCGTCCAACGTCGCAAATGGGCCGTAGGGCATGTAGGTCCAGCGGGCGCCGCTGGGGTCCTCAGCCTGGGCACTCCAGAGGTCTTTAGCGTGGGGCGAAGCCTTGAGTGGCTCAAGACTGCAATATTGCCCCGTTAGTGTCGCGTGCGGTGGGAACGGGGGAGGAATCCAGTTCTCCACAGCGAACCCGACTGGCTGGCCAAACTCATTAGTTGTAGTCGCGTTGGTCATCTGCACGAAGCACAGGGTTCCAAAAACGGTTGTGAGGAAGTAGGCGATTCGAAGTGTACCGATGAAGCTGACCCTGGCGAGTGATCTTGTTGGAGCTACCGGGAAATATGACAAGTGAGGTGAGCTGCTTAGAGCGTTTGAGCAAGAGGGGCGACATGCGGCAATGAGCAAGACCTTCATTCAGTGTGCACACTGACGCAATGATTCAGAGAGACTGGCTGCAGTAGACAAGATCATCAGAGGTTGAAGAAGATATTACGTCTCACGAAGCTCACACAGCAACTTGACATTAACGTTACAGGAAAGCTTCCCGTTCCCCTGGGGAAACCCTTCTCCCAGTCGCTACGGAGCAGACCGCCCCGTAGCTGCTCCGAGCAGTGAGGGCACGTACGCCCTGTTGAAGACCCAGAACACATCCGACCACCCCAGCGTACCGTAGTGTTGCTGTTCATGGCACCCTTCGAGTGCCAACTTGGCACTTCCTATCGTAGAGGGAGTCCGCAGTCACGTTATTAGCTACCACGCAGCCCGACAACGTACTACGTATAGTATAGTCGTGGCTTCTATATCGTGCTTGCGCTCACAATTTTGTTTTTCACTACACCTTTGTGCGGCCTACTTCGTACCAACGTGCAATCAAATCCGAAAGTCGCAAAATTCATATTGCAAATTTCTAGTTAGCAACTTCAATTACGCATTCAAAGATAGAATTACGGCAATCAAAGTTGGACCAGAGGTCCAAGATCTCCATGGCTACGTAAGCTGGCGTGCTGTGCTCACGCCAAAACGGAAGACGGAGCTGCGCTCGCGCCAAAAGCAAGGGCGCGCGGTTTGGCGCGCACTATAGCCGACGCCGACCGAGGGGAGCTCACTTCGCAATTCGCCTTCTTCTTCGCAGATGTCCCTCCAAGGCCACGTTACTCGCCACACCGTCCTCGAGAAGCAGCGTTCTAAAATCCCGCATTAAGCGAGACTTGGCTCTGGATCGCCACGCAATCTACGATCGCTCGCGTGAGCCAGACAGCAACGGTGAGATCCTCTCCATTTCGGAACGCCAGATGCACATCCTGGAGCGCGCCGCGACCGCTAACATGAACGTGATGACCCCAGCGCTGGTGGCCAGCATGTAGCTGCACTGTCGCGACTTCGTCACCAAGGCGAACAACGAGGACATAGTGTACGGCATGTAGCAGGGCTCGTCGGACCAGTAGTAGTACCCTACTTTACTGTACGAATTTGATTGCCGTAATTCCATCTTTGAATGCGTAATTGAAGTTGCTAACTAGAAATTTGCAATATGAATTTTGCGACTTTCGGATTTGATTGCACAAGTAGGCCGCACAAAGGTGTTAGCGTACTGTACTCACGCTACATCATGAGTATATTTATTGAGTATACTTAGTACTTAAGTAAATATGTTTCATGAGTAAGGCTTGTTATTATAACTTCAGAATGTTAGCCTGTGCAAACGGGAAAGTGCGAAAGAAGCGCTAGGGAACATTGTATGGAAGGCCATTTCGCGTGCGGTACGACCCAGTAGTGAAGGAGCTAGATCATAGTGATAAAGTGAGTGGGATAAAAAGTCGAAGTAAAGATCTTTTCGTGGACGAGCGAGCAGCTCTTGCTGTCAGTTATTCACTCGTAGCAATCCATAGCTAGCTTTAGTACGTGGTTTAATTCTATACATGCTCATAGAGATATGCACAGCGCTGGAGTGCTCATACTCAACTTGTCAGGTTGCGAACTAGAACTCTCGAGTCTGACGATCTTGTGTTTTGGTCGTTTGTGCAGCACAGAGAAGTCATCATGGCATCTAACACTTCAGCACAGCCGAAGATGTGAATAAAGCACAAATTGTGCGACAGAATTGAGTAGAGCATGCCTCACAACTTGATGGGTAGTCACGGTATGATATATGAGAGAGTTGAAGTGGAAATTCCTATTTAGAGGTTGAAGTTGTGGCACTAAATGCCATAGTTCATGGGGCTTAGCGCTGCATCCTCGGGCGATCGCACGGAGCATACTTTGCTAGACCCACTAGAGATGTCGCTGACCGACAGGGACTTCGTCAGGCGGTATGATGCTGGAGCGGGGGGTGGAGAGACAGCCGAGGGCTTCTCATCCAGTGCCGCGAGCACTCGGGACGTGAGCTCCGCGTCTTCCAGGAGCTGCGAGCTTGAGGAGCTCCTCGACATGTTTCCTGCTCCATCGTCAAGTTGAGCTTCATCGGCGGTTGCTGCAGTGTAGAACCTGCTGCGCTCGTTGCTCTCGAGAGCCTCAATGGGACGCACATAAGGCCTCGCATTCGACAGCGCCGTCTGGAGCGGGGTAGGAGGTGGACACAATGCTCCGGCGTGTCGGTAGGACGCGGACGCCGACGACACGGATGCAGTAGCTCCCCAAGGCACAGCCCTACCCGAGTCTTCGCTGTTACCCATTCGGATCTTATCGTAGAAAGCAGTGGCTGCAGGCTCGCGCTGATGCGCCTTCGTGACCAACGTCGGGTGGAATGGGTGTGACTTCCTAAAGTCACGCTGCTGCTGCTTGCGGAGCTGCTCCTTCCGCTCCAGGTAGTGGTCGTAGTATTGGTTGAGCGCTTGGAAGACCTTGGAGCTCGACACGCGACCGTGCTTGGTAGCAATCTCACGGGAGTTCTTGTCAATCACTGGGTGGAAAGTCAGCTCCTTCTCCTCGGCTGCTGCAAGGGCTGATTCTCTTTCGAGGTCCGAATGGTGAAGCTGGTGGCGGTGTCGACCACCTCTGTCCGTGTGGAGATACTCAGCCAGAAAGATGATCTGCGAGTAGGTAATTCCAGGCACTTCGCGCACGAGGCGATCCATATACTTCGAGAAAGAGTCGCGTGAGATCGGAGCATGGTTGGCATACTCGAACACAATCGCAACCACGCGCGAGATTTCCGCTGGAAATGCTGAGAGATCGACCCGGCTTGGTAGAACTTCTTCGCAGGTTTCCTCCTGTTGGGTGTCATGCTGCCCTTCATCCTTTGAGAGCTCCGGACGCGAAGAATTTGACTCAGGTGGAGCTGATGCTGATGTCTTGGGTTGACGAGATAACTCGAGGAGAGCATCAAAAATTCGCGTACACGTACCAGCTTTTCGCCGCTCAAGCGCCTGTCGCGATGCCTCCGACACGAAAGTTTGCTGCGACTTCTTCTTGATCTCGCGCTGGTCCTTTTCCAGTAGCTGGCGGTGGTACTCTTGCTGCTCACGGTGAGCAGCGTGCAAAAAGTTTCCAATTGGTAGACCTTGTTTGTTGCGTGCAAACGCGGGTGCACGGCCAATCTCTGGCTTGAAGAGCTCTTTACCAGTGTGAGGATCACGGTCTGGGGTGTACTTGTCATAGAGCGCAACACGCTTACGCTCCAGCTCGTGGTATTTGTCAACCGCTAGACGCTCGACAAAGTCACTTTGGGACTTGTCAGGGGCCACCCAGAGCGCATTGACACCAATATCCGGCTTGAATGGGAACTGCTTGAAGTATTCCTCCTCGCGCTCCTCTCGCAGCGCTCGAGCTTGGAATGAATTCTCGTAGAGTTCATGGTGTGGATTTCGCGGCCGTGGTGCTTCGCCATGCAGAGCAGCTGCAGCAGCGGCAGTCTCGAGCTTTTCACGCACGATCTCCTCCGACACGATATTGATCTTCGGGCGAAATGGACACGTTTGCTGGAACTCTTCTTCAATTGCGCTTCGGTGACGCTCGCGACGCAAACTTGCCACGCGCGTCGAGTTGTCCTTGTTGGCGCTAACCGCCTTCATGACACCAGCTGAAGTTGTGAGCAGCGTTGGCTGGAAAAGCCGTTCGGGTTTCGGCTGACCGCAAAGTACCTCGGGGTGTGACTCCAGAAAGCCAAACGAACTGTTGGAGCTAGTAGTTGCAGTCCCCCGACGCCCGGTGTTTGATGAGGTAGGGGACCTACCGCGGTGGGGCTTCGACGTTTGGCGTGCTAATGCCACAATGTTCTGGCATCGAGAATCGGTATACTGGTTCACATATGCACACTTCGGACACATCCAGTCTTGTTGCTCCTCACGCTCAGCCACACGACGTTCATGACGCTGCACCTTCTTGGCCATATCTGATAGTGCTTCGTCATGGAGCCGCTCGCCGATATGCGCGTAGCCTCCGTTGGTACGATTCGCTACCATCTCGCGAGACTTTGCCGCCATCAGCTCGACACGATGCAATCTTTCCTCGTCACGAGCCTTCTCGATCTCCTTCGCTTTCTGGGCGCGCTGGATCCATTTGTCTTTTGACTCTGCCAGAGCGTACAAGCGCTCATACGCAGGAGCATCCGCAAGGTTCGTCTTCTTTTTTGAGTTGCTACTTCGACTGCTATGAATCATCGTCGTAAAAGCTGGAGCTGACGACGATGCCGACAGCCGCTCAACAGAACGAGTATACTCCACTGCCTGTGAGTTGTAAGCTACAGCAGGCTCACTTGATACCGACCGACGCGCACTGCTCCCTTCAGGGTCAACCTTGTCACTATGCTGCGAGTAGTGACCGTATCTGGCCATGAGGTTATTGTAGCTGTACTCGCGGTGGTTTTCCCGTTCGTGTGTTTGCTGCGGTGCAACAGCATTCTCGGGCTGTAAAATCGACGGCGAATTCGCCTGGATGGGCACAATACTAGCTTCTGGAGCTACAAACGCGGCTGTCGAAGGACTTACGAAGGACTCTTCGCTCCAGTCGTTTGCCCAGTCGTCTGCAGCGCTTTGCTCTGGTTGCAGTGTCTCTTCCTGCTCAGTCTCGGCTAATGCATCTAGTTGGTCTTGGATTAGTCCTCGCAATTTTGGCACCGCGTCGGGTTTCAACGCGTGCTTTTGCGCAAAAGTCGAGGCTAACGCATCTGGACTATCACCTTCGTGGATCTCAATGGTCTCGGTACGGCCATCGCCAATGACAACCTCCATCAGCAGCAAGAGTTCACCTTGAATCTTATCATTTACAATGACATCATTGCTTGGAAGAGGCTGTGTGTCCTTTTCATCGACCGCATCAAACGAACCATCCGATAGTTTGAAGTCATTCCCATCATCACCCGGAAACAGTTTCGAGATAGCCGACTGGTTGTCTCCATTCATTGGCGTCCCTGGGTAAGCCGCAGCTGACTGCAACGCACTTTGGAACTGCTCGCGACGCCCAAGTTCTTGCTGCACTCGGGCGGCTGCTGAATCGACGGCAAAACGGATCTCATCCTCGATCTGCTGTGGTGACCGCGCTGGCGTTTTAATCGTCGAGGCAGGCGGAGAGAGTACGGTACGCTCTCGAAGCCAGTCAGGTAGGTCGTCATCACTGTCTACGGCACTATCGTCTCTCACCCGCAGCTTGTTTGGACTCAGCTTTGGAGATAAATGCTTTTCCATGGACATGTCCAAGCTCAATCTCGGCTTTGGTCTCTCGTCCTTCGCTGAGGTTGGCCCTTCCAAAGCTTTTTCTTGGCGAGGTATGCTGTCGATGGACGAGTGTTCGCTTGCTTCACTGTGCAGCGTCTGGAATCCACCACCAGAAGGCGCACGACGCAACAAAGGTGAACTCGAGGTGACCGACGACGAAGCAGAAGGTGTGGGAGAGTTTTCTTCATCGGAGCAGACCGAAGAGTACGACGAACCATCGCTATCGTCATCACTGAAGCGTCCCGACCCGGATCGTCCCTTGATATCCAGCATCAAAGACACATCGTCGGCTTGACTAACGGTAGCTGGTAACACATCCTCAACTTTTGCTGCGGAAGTTGCCTGCTTGCTTTCTTGCTGGTGTACCCGAAGCTCGCCCCAATACTCCGCTGATTCATGTATCCCAGTCATCGAGGGGAATGAAAACGCTTTCCGCGGTGATTTCTCGGGGCTTCCATGCCCGCTTGCTTGAAGTTTCCCCTATATCGCACACGTTCGTAAGCATGAGATGAGATGGCCCGTGACAAGCTAGCATTGCGTACCTGTCCTATTGCCTCGCTTGCTTCACGTGAAAACGAGTAGCGCCGCTTCATATTGGGAGCGGTGTTGCCGTACGGGTGCTGCCGTGACGGAGCCTTCTGCGTCTCCTCCATGATCGAGACCGCCCTTCGATTCGCTCGAGTTCAGCAATCTGGTTGAGTCCCGAGAACTGTGGCCGTTTAGCGCAACCAGTGTGAGAAATAGCCTTGAAACGACCTTGCTTCATGCCCAACGAGCTTAGCGCGTTGCATTTCCCACATGCGATTGTGCTCGGGGGGGGGGGCAGCAAATAGTGGTGTGTGTAAATGGCAGTCTCCTTCAATCTTCAAATACGTCGATGCCTGAATTTGTTAATGGGCATCTTAATGCCTTGCTCTCACTACTTCGCCGCGTTCGCCAGCTTTTATTGTACAGATATCGCGCTCAGCTGCTTCTTCCAGATCAAAGTGCACTTATCCAGGAAACTCTGCATAGCCTCCCGCTCCGTCCGCGCCTCCTCGCGTTGCGCTGAGAAATCAACGACGGTGCCGTCGTCTAGCTCCAAATGGCGAAACAGGGGCAGCTCCTTGGGAGGTGACGTTTTCTTCTTCTCCTTTCCTGAACGAGACTTTCCTGACGTTGGGGCGGCTGCTGTAGGTTGTTGCGGCACCTCACGCTTCTGTCGCTTGGTGCTTCGAGATGGTTCTTGATTCTCCGCTTGGTTTTCTTTTCCCTTCGGTACTGCTGCTGCTGAACGTTTGACAGTAGTTGGAGCGGGCTTCGTCGCTCCAGGCGTGCTCTTCGAGTTGGTCTTCTCACCAGTAATCGCAGTTGCCTTGCGCTTTGCTGCAGACCTTTCAGGCTGGCGAGCAGTGGCAACTTTTCCGCCGGATATCCTCTTGTCACTGGGAGGTTCCTGGGCCTTCTTCTCACCGGATACCTGCTTCTCCGTAGCAGTCTTCTTCTCGATTGGAGCCTTCTTCTTTCCATCGGTTTTCTTCTTAGCAGGGTTCCGTGCTGAAGTGGCTTGCGGCTTTTCCTCTGCTAGAACTGGTACGGGAGTGAACATGGACTCCTCGATCGTCCCGAGCATGTCTTCAAACAGGTGCATGTCGCCATCCCAGCTCTTCAGGCTTTTGTCAACGGTGCGGGCTGCAATGCAGAAAAACAAAGTGCAACCACAGCAAGATATTAGTATCCCGATCTCTACTACCCAGGTTTAGGACGCAGTTGGCCAACTTACGGGCGTAGCGACCGTGCGCCGTAATGGACATGGGATCCGTCCAAAGGTCGTAGTTCTTGCTCCAGCCCACAAAGTGCACCTTGATCTTCTGAGTGGTCAGATTGCACTGGATGATGCGAGCCTCCCCCCACAGCATCTTCTTGTCCAGGGCGTCGATGTAGTAGCCCACGCATTGGGCCGAGTCCCTCTTCTTCGGCTTGGGCTTGGGCTTCGACTTCCTGTTGCGATCGCGACGTCTCTTGCTCGACGCAGGCTTCTCAGCAGCCGGCTCAATTACAGGTGCTTTCTGCTTCTCCGGCGGTGCTAACGAGCCAGCTTTCGCTGGAGAAGCAGGCGCAGAAGCCCCAGTGGACGGCGCCATGCTCGGCAGAGCTTCAGTCTCGGGGTTCGAGCCACTGTGCGCCACACAACAAGGTACAGGGAGTGAGCGTTGGGCAACTACAACAGAAGGAAGTCGTCGAGGCAGTGGTGTCTACCTGGGAGTCGCTGGCGTCGAGGAGGTGGCGGGCGGGAGGCTCACAGCCATGACAGGCATGGACCTCTTCACTACTTGGCGCGAATTTATTTGTCAGTGAGCTCGCTAAAAACAGGGCCAAAATCGGACCTATCGAAAAGGATATGGAGATGAAGTAAGAAAGTTTCTTGCAAGTTGAAGTTGTTTTGATTGGCATGAGCTTCGAATCTAAGCTACTCGGCATCATATCTCTATGGCTCCACAGCGTCGTCTTGAGCCTGCTCCAGTGGCATTGGCGTATCGGCCTTCACTTCCTCAACTGCAGAAATCTCAATGCGCGCGGCGTCGATGCCGCTGACGCCGTCCGGTTGTGGCAGCAAGGCAAACCGGTACTGGACTCGGACGTTGTCGACGATCTGGTAGTTCACGTAGTCCGGGGATGTCCACCGACGAGTCTGATACTTGCTGCGGACGTCCACCTGCAACACTTCTTTGATGGCGGCAACGAAAGTGTCGGGTGCACCGCGATAGTGCACGGACTTTTCGGACAGCTTGTGGATTGTCGAAACCAAGGCGTCGGATTCCCATTCGATTCTGAGGATGATGAGCATTATCGTGAGTTCGAGTACAGACTTAATAAATGCATCTTTCTTCAGTAAAATACGTACTCAATAGGTGGCTGCGGAGTTGACACCCAGTTTGCTGCTAGCGCATCCGGTAGGCTATCATAAGCTGTAAAGCAAAGTCAGAGACGCTTTTTTGTCTGGCAAAGAGGTGCTTTCCTTCGTACCTGCAATATACGGCTTGATATCCAGCACAGGAGTTTCATCTAGCAAGTCAACCCCGGAGAGAAACACTGTGCGCTTGCGCATGTCGACGCGCTCAATCTTCGCCAGCGTGATTCCAATGGGGTTCGGGCGGTGCGGCGACCGAGTGCAAAAGATGCCGACCCGCTCCTTCAGCATAGGTGGCGAAATCTTAGCCTGTTTCACAATCTTTTCGTCAGCAGTTGCTGCACATCGCTATTGGCGGGTATGGTCGTCAACGTACCCGGAATGTATGACGATGACTGTCCGACCGAAGGCCTTCATGCGCTCGGGTGTTCTTGCCGTTCGTGTTTTGATGGAACACGAAGACAATCCAGACGTGACTGAAATCCTCCAGCCCAATCAGCGTATCCGGCGAAATACTCCGCTGAAAAGTAATCTTTGCTCTCGTCGACGGTGCCAGCGAGCCTTGACGGGGTGTACCTGCAACCCACGTGCCGCATTGCAAAGAACCACTTAGCCTTCAGCAGAAACGCTATCAAAAACTAGCTAACAAGAACAGTACCTAAGCAGACCTTGAAGCAAGAGTGAACAGTCCCCACAGGCTGTACGAAGCAGCCCTTGCTGGTGTCCAGCTTCTCCTCCATCACGCGTCGCAGCTCCTAGAATCCCATCGTACGCACCAGTCAGCATCGTGCCCTGGTAATAAATCAACAAAGTCACCATGTTGACCAACCTTTTCTGCGGCGACGCGGCCTCGTCGCTCATCAACTCGCGCTTTCTCCTTCTTGGCTGCATCACTCTCCAGCTCCTGCATCAGCAACAAAATAAAAGGCAACATGTCAACACCACACCGTATTCGCACGAGCTATGGGAGAAGTTAACTCCAACCTGAATCTTCTGGAGTTGGTCGGATGTTGGTCCCGATTGCCCCCACCAGAGCCACACCAACGCCGCCGTCTGCAGCGCTAGCGCCAGCGTCTCGAGTCCCAACAACGTCATTGCTCAACTGCCGACCGAATTAATGGCGACCGTCTTGCAATCCTCGCCCATTGGTCATTATTCCGATTTTCGTGATAAGCTTGTGCGATTGGACAGAGCACAATAAAATCTTTTAGGCGACCTTCAAGCGTTGTTGAAGTGGCCAAGCACCAGGGACGATGAGGAAGAACTCGGGCGATCGCTCCATGTCTGCCGCGCTGCAGCACCGCAGGGTAGGCCACACTTAGCTCTGCATAGCTATACATATCAATACCAGCATAGTTAACCCCATAATTCGCCGCAGGTGTCCGGGTCGTTCGAGAAGCTGCAGGCGGAAAAGCTGCACTCGAACGTGGTGAACCGCCGCAGTCCCGTGATGGCTCGACGCCCGCGCGAGCACCAGGCTGCGGCTGTTGCCAACGCCGTGGAAGCTGACAAGAGCATGGGGCTGCTGCCATCACTTGGGGTCGGCGTCGCTGTCGCCGGCTCCATGTTCGTCGTGAGCTATGCGGCGGTGCTGTCGGCGATGGCCGACGCGGCCTGAAAAGGTGGCACGTCCAGCGGGCAGCTACCAACAAGAACAAGGAAAAAAAGAATGTCTGTTCGCCAGTCAATTTACGTTTAATACCAACACGAAGCTGTGATGCATGACGGTTGTTGCGTTTTTGTCGATTTTAGTCGTGTTTCTTCTTCTGATCCTTGGTCTTGGACGTCTCCTTGAACGCGAAGTGTTCGCGAACGAGATCCAACGACGCAAGCTGCACGTACGTACAGCAAACTCCGGTTGCTGCTGCCACCATGAGCAGCCACTCGAGGGACTTGCGGTCAAGGTCGTGAAGAGTGCGCAAAAGAACCATGAGGCAGATGATAGCAGGAACAAGACGCGCTGTCCAGAAGGCACCGCGGACGAAGAACAGCACGGAAATGGCACCGAGGGCATAGCCAACGAGTGTTGGGTATACGCCTCCTGCTCCGTAGGACAGTTCCAGAACCTGGCGGAATGACATCTGCACCATTACTGGGATCAGTATTTGCCAGCATAGCTACCGGGACACAAAATGCAGAAACTTACGTGCTCCATTACGTATCTGCTTCCGAGCTGCGCCGCGCGAGCCAGCTCATCCATGGTAAGTGGTGTTGGATCCATCCTTCGGCCTCCTTAGCGTTCTGGGGATGAAGAAGTGAGGTTCCAGCTACATCGTTCTCGAGTGCGTTGGTTTCATTCGCTATTTGCAACAAAACGGAAATGAGACCAGTAAGATTTCTCTGAAATACAAGCAACGGCGCGTGTTACAACGTGTACATACCCTACATACCCGATCCTACTACTGCTCGATCACTATAGCAGCAGCTGCGATAAAGAGCACCGCGACAAGCGAATGAATTGAATCCAACGAGGCGGCGGCATTCGTCGTCGGGGTGGGTGTTGAGCTGTTGGAAGAGTCACTGGCTCCAGCGCTGGGCGAGTCTTCAATTGTCAGGTCTTCGGTCGGGGTGGGCGTCGGGGCTGCTGTTGTATCAATCTCAAGATCGCTGGACGAGGAACCAACGTTCCCGCCAACGCTTGCCATGCTTCCGACTGTAGAGCTGTCACTGGAGCCATTGCGTGAGTCCGTCGTGTTGAGGTCTCGATCTTCACTCATAGTTTCAAGACTACCGCTGCTGGTCTTGTTGAGTAAATCTGCTGAGGTTTCACTCCCACTAGAGCTCAAGCTCAACGATAGACTTCCACTTGAGCTTCCGCTGGCGCTTTCACTCGACCCGCCGGTGCAGGCCGCACTCTTGGCAGCGTACGCCGTCGCGTAGTTGGTGCTGTCGTAGTAGCAGTCCGGGGCGTTTGCCGCCATATACTCGAGCCAAGCCACGCACTCTGGCAGCGGACACAGGCGAGTCGTAGTGAGGGTCGTGATGTCGCCGTTGGCAGTTCGATAGCACGACTTGGCCGGGTCCTCGTTCTGTTCGTGCAGCTTGTTCGCGAGTTGCTTTTGGTCCTGCGTGCAGAACTGCGTGTTGGCAGCAGCAGTCCCAGCGACAAACAGCGAAACAGCGGCGATGATGGTATAGAGGAATCGCATAGCTGGACGCAGGTATCGCGCTTGACTATGGCGGCGTAAGGAGGCTTGACGGAGCTGCGTCGAGTTGGGAAATGAGCTCAAATCGAGACTCCTAGTGTCCCTGTCGGTGACATTGAGTCAAGCTAGCATTCCACTTGAAGCCTGGTTGGCACTCACGGGAGTACTCACGCTAGCTATCGAAAACCTCGCCGAAATCGCCTCAACTCGGCCATGTCCTCGGTCTGACCACCTAGCACGACGCGAACGGCGAAACGAGACCAACGGGAAAGCAACTTCGCTTTTGTGGTCGCCGCCATAAGCTCAAGCTGAAACTTTCCTTACATCGTGCTCCTCAAACTAATGCCCACGGCAACGCCTTCAACAGGCCTCACACGCCATGGTTTCCATAACTATTCGAGTCTTGGGCCTCCTTATCCAGGACACGCAAACCACATGAACATTCCGCCGGTTTCTTTAGCAAAATGTATGGGCCCGTTTATCCACAACCAATTTGTGCAATCACGCCTCCCAGCCGACCGATTGACCACAATCGCTTCCGACACCGAAGATGGACAAGCAGAGTGCGATCGCGCTTGGTGTGACCGCCGGCCTGGGCGTCGGCTACTTGTTGGGCAAGGCGCAGCCTGCCGTTCTGCGCGCCAGCGCCAAGAAGGCGCCGGAGGAGCCGGCGAAGGACCTGGATGAGGTGGAGCGTCTCATCCGCCCCAACATCCTGGCGCTCACGCCCTACCGCTGCGCCCGCGACGACTACGACCAAGGCAAGCCAGCGATCGACACTACAGTACTTGATGTCTACAGAGCTATCTAACTCTTTGCATTGCTGTGATGTTGCAGGAATCCTGCTGGATGCCAATGAGAACAGCTTGGGCCCGCCCCTGCAGGGCCACGAGACGCTCCAGGCCATGGAGCTGGAGCGCTACCCGTGCCCGTACCAGCCTGAGCTGAAGAAAGTCATTACGGACTACAGGTGAGTTGGTTGGCTGCTGTGGAGAGGTGGTGATGGTGGCAGCTCATTCATTGCTACAACGATGCTGCAGAAACAAGAACTCGACGGAGAAGATCGGCCAGGCGAACACGTTCCTGGGCGTCGGTAGTGACGAGGCAATCGACTTGATCATCCGAGTGGCCTGCACGCCTCGCGTGGACAACATCCTGATTACGCCGCCGACCTACGGCATGTACAGCGTCTGCGCCAACATCCACGACGTGGGCATTGTCTCCGTGCCGCTCCAGATCGAGGCGCCGGCCGAGAACCTCAAGGGACTGAAGCCGGACCTCCCGCTGCCGTCGTTCCACATTGACCCCCAGGAGGTGCGCGCTCAAGTTTCAACCGATCTGGGGTCTTGCTGGGCTTAACTAAACTGCTACGTCTTGTGTGTTTCGGGCAGATTCTGAACGCTGCTACAGCCACCACGAAGGTGATCTTCCTGTGCAGCCCTGGCAACCCCACGGCCAACTTGCTGCGTCTTCAGGATATTGAGACCATTTTGAACTCGAAGGTTGGTAGCTGCCTTGCAGCGTGGTTGTGATGATCATCTAACGGTATCCTATATTTTTCATGAGTAGAAGTACAAGGGCTTTGTAGTGGTTGATGAGGCCTACATCGACTTCGCAGACACCCCGAGCCTGTGCACGCTTGTGAACAAGCACAAGAGGCTTATTGTCCTGCAAACGCTCTCGAAGGGCTTCGGCCTTGCTGGCATCCGTCTAGGTATTGCGTTCGGTGACCCGAAGCTGATCCAGGTCCTCAACAACGTGAAGGCGCCGTACAACATAAGCAAGCTGACTTCCGACGTCGCTCGCAAGGCCTTCTCGAACCTGGGTGAGTTGCGCAAGAACGTGAACGTTATCAAGGAGGTACGATTTCGTTGGTGCTCTGCTGCATCGTTCAGGTTGCTCACTTCAAGTTGGCTTGTGTTTGCGTAACACAGGAAAAGTACAGAGTGATCAAGGAGTTGCAAAAGCTGTCCTTCGTGCGCCGCATCTACGCGTCAGACTCGAACTTCGTGCTCTTCGAGGTAGGTTCCAGCCGAACCTTCCAAGGTGACTTGATGGTGTATAATATTGGTGTTAATTTCGATTCTTCTGTCCGTGTCATCAGATTCCGCACGCGTTGACTGTATACCGGCAAATGGCAAGCCGCGGCGTGGTGATTCGCTTCCGTGGCAACCAGCACCTGCTCACGGATTGCCTCCGTGCAACGATCGGCTCGCGCGAGGAAAACGACCGTATGCTCGAGCTTCTTGTGGAAGTCTCGGGGGAGCAATAGACTGTATCTAGACTCATCTTGTGGAGATATGAAGTCTTCCTAGCAGCTTCGTGGAAACATGAAAAGTCAAATACACTTGGCCCGCACCGCATTAAATGTGCCGCGCGCTGGTTCGCAAATTGTCGCGACAGCAAGGTCTCCAAAATCTTAACGGAACTGGCCTACATTACAAAAGAGCTGAGTTGTAGCGAGGGCTTCTGGAGGGCGGCAGTCTGCGGTGACTTTGAATCCATGCCGTTTTCTGTCGACGATCCGCCTGTAGCGCTCGAATCGTGCGCCCGATATCGACTTGGTGTCGACCGGTTCCATGCCTACGATTATGTTTCTTCCCCCGCGGCGAAGAGCGCCATTTCCCACGTTGACCTTCGTATTCACTGCTGTTGCTCGCATCATGTTGTAACAGGTGCTCCCCACGAATGGATGGGGCTCTTCGAGTGTAAGCCAAAGGAGACGGTAGCGGCGATCGTTTCTTTGCGTGCCCATTTCGTTTGGGTTCTTGGTGGGTATTGGAAATCACCGATTGTCTGTCTTCGTCGCTGTCACAGCCATCGCTACTTTCTCCTTCACTTTCGCTAACATCTCTTGAGATCTTCACCCGTTGTCCCGATGTTTGCCGTGGTCTCGAAACTTGTGTCCGCTGCTTAAAACTTGTGCCATGCTGGCTTTCAGACGCTTCATTATTTCTGTGCCCATGACGATCGAGAAATTCCTCTTCAACAAAACTTCCCGCCAGGTTTTGAGCTGGCATCACACTTGTTAGATAATCGAACTGACGCAGGGCCTCCTCTTGATTACGGTGCATCGTTCTCATGAACGATGAGGAGTCCTCAGTGTTCTGTGCGTTCATGTGGTTCTCCAACGAGTCTAGCAACCGATTCAGAGTACGATCATGGTCAAATTTATCATGAAGTTGGCGTCCTTCCTCGACCCAACCTTCGACATCGTCCAGCGACGTGAGTCCCATGACACGGCGCCTCGCATTCTCGGCGTCTTCCAGCTCTTGTTGCTTCCGCTCGTCTTCAAGCTGCTGTTGTGCTAATTGTTTCGCCCGCTCTTCCTCCTCACGCTTCTGCTTTGCCTGTATCTCGGCAGATACTTTTGCATCAATGGCAAGCACGTGTTTGAGCTTCAGCATCGTGAGGTCGAGCTTCTCTAGCACATGCCGCTGGAGAACCTCTTGAAGAGGCCCTTCTTCCTCTGTGGTTGTAGTATAAACATCAGAACTCACTGTGGTTTTAATCTGTTGGTTGTCGCCTCTGCTCGCTGGGATCGTCTGGCTCATTTGAAAGTTGTCTTGCACCCAGTCGACGGTTCGCCGCGAAATCCCGCTACTCCGGTCATCCTGTGCTTTGGTTGAAGTTGATCCTGCCATTCGTGCCTCGATCGCTTCAATTTTACGCTGAGTGTGGTTTCTCAATGTCTTTAACTCGTCCTCCATTGACAATGCGCCGCCTGCCGGTTCATTTACAGTCGACGCGTCCATGGTCTCGAGTTGCACCAACACATTTTCTATATCGGCAGAGCATGTGAGAAGCTTGCCTTGCATGGGGATCAGCCGTAGTATCTCCATTTCGCGCTGTTTGGCTTCTTTCTCGTCCGCCTTCTTCTTCTCCTCGACAGCCTCTTTCTCCTTCTTTTCAGCATCTTTCGCGGCCGCAGCGGCATCCGCTTCGGCCTTCAAGTCAGCCTTTCGACGCTCAGCCATATCCGCAAACGTGAGATCCAATTGAGACACGATTGTCTGAGTTGCAGTCTGTAGCTCTGCCTGAGCAGCTTTCCGAATCGCTGAATCCCCTCCAGCGTTCTTCTCTTCAAGCGCCTGAGACTCATCCTCTTCGCGCTTTCTGTCCTCGAAGGGCTTCAGGGCCTCAAGCAATAAACCGTTGATGGCGTTCGAAGCATTGCGGACCTTCAACGCCGCTGTGGCACAAATCTCGGAGCTTGTCGGTTCCACCTCGTCCTTTTGCTCCTCCTTTTCAGGTGCCTTGACCGGCAACGAATTGAGTCGACGGCTCTCTCGCAACTTCCGGATCTCTTCCGCGAACGAGTCCTCTTCGTCTTCGTCACTTTCATCATCTGGAGGTGGTGGCGGGGGAGGCGACTCGGGTACCGCTGATCTCGATTTACTATCTCTAGTCATCTGAAGTTGTAGTCGTGGACGCAAGCTCTTAGCCCCCTTCGTCCCAAACCGTGTATTTTGACGAAGTACCTGCGTGATCTCGTCCGAGGATGGCGACTTTGCTGCGCGGGTACCTTTCTGACTGCCGCGACTGCTTGCTGCGATCAGCTTGTTGAGCTCGCGAATGTCTTTCCCGATCAAGGCATCGATGGAGTCTTCGTCAGGAGTGAGGGTCGCATCTGGCATGGATAAAGATGATGCGGCAGATGAACTAGTAACTGGAGACAGCGATGCAGGAGACAACGACGGTGATGACAATACAGGTGATGGAGGTGGGGGCTTGCGCGATTGTCTTGATGCTGTCTTCAAGCGAGCAGATGCCGCGACAGGAGGAACACGGCGCTTTGGTAAGAGGGACGGCTTGTTCCTGAGAACCTGTTCCAGACGCGGCATTGGCATAACTGCACCGTCATCGTCACTGGAGTCGTCACCCCGAGCGTCTTTGTGAGCAGTTCTCCCGACTGACCTTCTCGCCACAGCATCTCGTTGAGCGACACGCGCACGATCGGCGAAACTCCGGTTCTTCTTGCCACTCTCTTTCGCTTTCGAGTGCTTCGGAGGCGACGCCACTTGCAGCGGTGAAGCTTGCGAGTGAGATACGCTCTCATCCAGCTTGGATCGACGACTCGTGGCACTCTGACGGAAGTCCGAGATGAGTTCGTCGAGGGACATTTCTTGCTGGTCGTCGTTGTCGTATCTCCAAGCTTTCGAGGTAGACACCTCCTTGTCCCCCGTCCGTGAGTCGAAGGACAGCTCAAGGAACATGATACTCGTGTTGCAACGAGTTAGCAGCAATCCGAGTTCCCAACCGCTACGAAGAGCTGGCAGCCGACGCCGCAACGGACAACGGGACCCGTTTCAGCCGGACTAAATAAGCCGGCCCCGTTACTCCTGTACATGCAGATACATCGCCTTTATAGTGCACGGGTTTCGACGGTTGTTCTCAAATTCTCAAAAACCTTGTTTTTTGTTTCCCAATAGCCTTATTCGCTATCATATTCCACTATCAACATTTTAGTTATCCGCGAAGTAGACTCTTTCTCAACGGATCACCCCCGTCCGAGGTACTGTCGGCACCCATGCCCTTACCAAAGAAGAGCCTTCCGCCCCGAATGGGGCTTGAAGTCCCCGAGAGTCTTCCTGGTCGACGACGTGGCGGAAGGCGGCGGTTGAAGTACAATACTGACAACGCCGGCACGATTTCCAGAAGAGCGTAGTGCACCACCACGACAAACCACGTACTGCGGTCGTGCAGTTGTTTCTTCTCTGTAGACAGGTAGATCTGTAGCCCGCAACGTGACATGAAGCAGGATGTGCCGACTGTCGTCATGATCGCGAGCTCCTTCAGCTTTCTCGACCGGATTCCCAGTTCCACTGGAACGGATCTGAATGCGTTGTCAACACCACGTGAAGCACGAAGATACACGTTAGTCTTGCAGATCCAAAACAGAAAGAATAACTCAACAAGACCAGCAGCTTACCGGAGCTCAACATAAGCCTTTCTGCCGAAGTAAATGAACCCGGTAGCGATAATTAGAAAGAGTTCCATGTTCAAAATTGCCTGGGTTCTGGTAAAGAAGGCACCTGCACCAACCCAATAACACAAATCAATAACACAAAGAAAAACAAATAGTTCAGCTCATAAAAACTTACGCTCGTTGCGCCATACTGAGGCGTAGAAAACCCAGAACAGCCCTTGAATCAGCAGCACGATCTGCAGAAACCACCACCAGTTTGTCAGTCAGTACAGCCGCCCCCAGAACACTCGACACTATACAAGGCTGCAATATTCACCGCAATAAACCAACGAATCGCAGGCTTCACAACATCCGTCAGCGTGGGCAGCTTGTCCACTGCATTGTAGTAGACCTCCGCCCAGAACTGCACCAGCAGCGCGTAGATCGCGAAGAAGGCCAGGATCGGCACTTGGTCCAAGATGTAGAACAGATCTCGCTCGCCAACGGAGCACTTGGACTCGTTCACTTTCCCCGACAACACGTCGCACCAATCCGAGCCCACCAGCGCCAGGAAAGCCGACCGAACTGCAATGCAAACAATGCACAGCACCACATAATTTAAGTCATATTACTAAAATAATCAAGCAATACAATTGCCGCAGCGTATCTTACCCAGTGTGGCGAAGAACATGAGCAGGTGGATCATCTTCTGCACGGTCCAGGGGCGATAGCGGCAGCAGTTGCGCACCAACTGGACGCCAGCTGCGCCCCCCACCAGCGCGTACACAATGCCGTCGACGAGGAAGGCTGCTCCCACGCCCAGTTGCTCGTCTCTCGAGCCGCTGCCGTCGTCGCTGCCGCCCGCGAGCAGCGAGACCCACGCCGCTTCCATCGCTGTTGAAGAATGACCCGGTGGTCACTATTATCCAACTGTCTTACCTCGTTTCAGTGACAGTTGCAATTAAAATTTGCCGCAATAAACCATGGCGGCAACCGATGCGAGCGCGGAGCTGCGCGCCGAGGACGTGCGGCAGCTCTGGAGCCTCGCGTGTCTGCTGGCTCAGCGGCAGTTGATGGCGCAGACTGCGCAGTGTCTGGAGGTAAAGAGGACAGCGCTGGAGTCACCCCAGAAGCTCCAGTAATCAGCTGGCTGACGTTGTGGCGCCTGTCAGCCTCTGTGTGCGCTTGACTGCCGCTCTCGCAGCGCCGAAGAGCAGCAGATTTTAGTGCAGGCGAACGTTCTACTCGCCGAGATCTGCAGCGTGGCGTGTGGCAACAGCAGGAAGGCGGACGACCGAGATCTGTGGACCCGTCGAGTGATTCAAGTGGAGAAGTGCATCTTCTCGGCCGACGCCGCCATCGGACAGGGCGTGCCTTGCAGTGTAAGGGGCTATAACCCCAGAAGATACCTAGGTTGAGTGGGTGTGGATTAATGTAAGCTTGGTTGTTGTCGTGTGATGATTGCAGCATGAGAACAAGTTGCGGCTGTTGAAGGCCAAGTTCCTGTTGCAGCAGCAGCTGAAGGCTGAGCGGGCAGCCAAGAATCGGAGGCTGCTGGTGATTCTATGTGAAGGACTGAAGAGCTGCGCGGAAGCGGAGGATGCTGATGGTGAATTTGTCGCTGAGTTTCGAGAGTATTTCGGTGTCAAGTTGAAGGCCTGCTTAGTGAAGATGCACGCTGCGACTGCCATGGCGAAAAACGCGAAGGACAGCGACAGCATCAACACTTTTGCTGACAACCTGAAGTACCTGCGAACCACGTTGCCCAATTATATCGACAAGAGTTTTCTGGTAGGATTGAGGCCGAGATTTTGGCTTTGCGGAATTGATGTTGTGCTCACTGTGGCGTTGTGGCTGTTTTGCGGTGCTTGCTTTGACAGTTGTGGCTCGTGGAAGTGACTTGCCACACTGCAATTTCGTCGTTTCAGCCGGGCAGCACTGCGGAGATGCGACAGCTTGTCGACTTTGGACAAGATTTCTTTGACAAAGTGTCACAGGAGCAACCAGTCTCGCCAGATTTCCGTTTGCATCATCTCATCATCACCGGGTTTTACTATCTCAGGTAAGGAATTCTTGCATTGGTTGCTATGGGGCATGCCAGATTTACCCTCGCGCCGCTTTTGTTGAGCAGGACGGGGAAAATGAACAAGGTGGCACCATTGCTCGAAACAATCCAAGCACTATCCAAAGCCACGGAGAGTGGTGGCGATCAAACCCGTGCAGGCGTCATGAAGGAATCATACCTGAAAGCAATTGTGGATTCGATGCGGGTGAGCGTCGTTGCGAGCTCGGAGCCCAAACAGGCGTTGGACCTGGCAATGAATACTATCCTCGCAGCTCAGGCCAACTTGCAGACATTCGCTCAGCATCCTGGAGTACGGCTCATGTTCACAGCTACCTTGTTCGACATGCTTCACGTCTACTGCCAATTGCTGGCGCAGCAGTGCCGATATGCTGACATGGGAGCTAGTATAGTACAAATGACCACGCTATTCGGAGCATACAAGGCTGACTTGGAACGAACCATATTTTACCGCTTTTTCCTCGCGCGCTGTCACCTGCTGATCGCAAAGGTACTGTGGCTGTCTTTCAGCGAACACATAGTCCGTCTATTCACTAAACCAATCGTGTTGATGTGTTCAGTATGCCACAGCCATCGGGAGGGTCAAAGATGCCTGCGCTCATTTAAATTTGGTGGTAGACAAGCTGCTTCCAAGCCCTACCGACGACAACACTTCCTATCCAGATGCGTATCTGGCCGTGTGGGTTGAAGTGCTGGAAGTTGCGATGTATTGCTGCGGGGTGACAACCACGCAGACAGATTCCGTGAGCGGCGGTGGTCCAACAAACGTGCAGATCAAGCAGATCTACCCGAGTCGCAAGTTGCTCGAATGGGTAACTCGTGTCCTCACGATGGACAGCCTAAAGCACCATATTTATCAATGTTGTAGTGTGGAGCTGCGAGCAAAGGTGCGTGGACGTATGCTAGTTGTTATCCAAGCTGCTGCTCTAACTGCACTTCGTTTTCATATCCTAGTACGACCTTGCGCTCGCAAAGTGGCTGTGGGCGACTGAGGGTCTATCCAGAGGAGCAATAGAGGAGGCTGCTGACCCTCCGCGCTTCACGCAGCATACGGCGCTGGAGAACCTTCGACCAAGGGCGTTCACACTGCTAGATGAGGCCATACAACGCATTAACGCGAGCATGAACGGTGGGGAGACCATGTCCGAGATCATGGCGCTGTTCGGGTCGCAGCTTGTGAGCTTCGGTAAAGTCGAGCAAGGCGAGGAGATGCTGACGAATGCCGTCCGCACCACTCTCCACAGCAAGAACGTGCTGCTGCAGACGCGTCTGCTCGCTGACGTGTTCGAGCTCTACAAGAACAAGGGCCTGGTGGAGGCGCAAGCAACAGCAGCAGCCAAGTACAATAAGAAGGTGGCCGTGCTGCACCAACGAGTTGCCGCAGCCCAGGCCGAAGAAGCCACGGTCTCCGCGCTGCTGCGATGGACTGCCGGCCGAGCGACGGCGTCGACGCCCTCGCGTGGATAAGGCGTTTGGCTCTGACGTGACGTGGCAGGAAATAAGGAAGACCGACGTGTGTGTGCGTGTGTGGGATGGTATCCCCTGATGTATTGGCGTTGCCGTTTGCTCCCTAGTAGTAGTACATTATTCAGCGATTCGCGAGGTTTATCTTGCTTGTGTGCGCCCGCTTCGGGCAGAGTCCGTCATGTGTCTGCTTGGACTCGAGTATCATAGGCGTGCCACCGCACCCGCCGTGTGCTTGACCGCTTGCGCCATGGGCACGCCCTGCGCCTTCATGGCGGTGGCGCACGAAGATCCCGCCGCCTCGGCCTACGCAAGACGCAGCGGCCGTCAGCTTCAATGTCTCTACTTGAGACTCAACAGATCCCCCCTTACTCACCATGAAGCGCAGCTCGTTCTGGAACGAGACCGTGAAGTTGCCCACCAGCATGTCGGCGACGCGCTGCAGCGCCCGCAGCATTTCCTCCTTCATCTTCGGCGACTTCTTGTTTAGCAATTAATTGATGTCAAGTCGACACAGTGTTGCAGAGGCACGTGCTATCGAACCGTAATGGGTACAGTGTACCACCATCTGTCTCTGCCGTGGCTCATCTGCGAGCCTAACTGGCACCCATCCACCACGCCTTGGACCAGGCTTTGCGGCTTGCATCTTGAAGAACGCGCTCGTCTCGCGTCTGCGTCTGCGTCTGCGCCGGGGCTTCCCCATTCTCCGCCGCGCCAGTCTTCCCCAGCGTGTTGATTGACCTTTAGCTGGCCGATAGCGTCTCTATCTGTTCATGCGTCCCCAGTACGTCGGCGCCTGAGGGCCATGAAGACGCATCTCTCTTGGTTTTTGTATACCGGGTCCCTTATTTATAGTCTGGCGTGCGTTCCGGTGTCTTCCACTCTTGTGATGGATAGGAAGCGACTGTGCGTGGAGGTGGTGGGCGCCAGGAACCTCGAGAGTCCCCAGTCCGTGGACGCCTACTGCGTCGTGGGGCTCTGCGACGTCAAGCCCAGGAAGGGGGCGCGCAGCCGGCTCGCGGCCTACCCGAGCTTCCGGTCGTCCACGGTCACGGACTCCAGCAGCCCCACGTGGGCCCATGTGGCGGAGTTCGTGGTGCCCGCTCGGCCCTCGAGCGTGCGCCTGCGGGTGCAGCTCTTCAGCGAGAAGAACTTCTTCTTCGACATGTTCCCGTCCAGCAGCACCGGCAGTTTATCCGATGAAGAAGGTGGCGAGAAGGGGGCGGACCTAGCAGGGAACGCAGGCAAGGAGCAGAAGAAGGCGGCGGTGGTGGTGAAGCCCAAGCTCGTGGTGACTGGGTGGAAAGGGATCCACGACAGTGATAGCGACGATGTCGTCACGCTCTCGGAGGAGGAAGACGAGGAGGAAGAAGAAGAGTTCGTGGAGGACGAGGCTTGGTCTGCTATTGAGGAGAACTCGGCTGTTGCAGAGGAGAGCATTGACGACCAGATGCTGGGCGTCGTGGAGATCAACTCGAGCTTGCTGTGCAAGCCGTCGAGGGTCGTGACCGACGCGTGGTATAGTCTGGGCGGCACGAGGACCGGGGAAGTGCGGATTCGAACGGCTTGGTATGAACGCAGCAAAAGAGCGCTCACGGCGCAGGATCGAGAAATGCTGTTTGAGCAGCATGTGAATCAAGCTGTGACGAAGCCCATGAACGATTTTTACGGGTTTGCCATCCCGGAGGCTGCCAGAGAGGATTGGCTGCATTTGCGCTCGTACCAGGACTGTCGAGAAGAGAGGCGCGTTGAGGATTGGACCAAATTGTACGGTACGCAGTTCCCGGAGCGTCTACGGCGTTGCTCGTACAAGGAGAAGGACACGGAGGAGAAGACACTCCTTATGCAGCTGGCTCGTGCTGGGATCCCGCGTCACTTGCGAGAACGCGCGTACATGAACCTATCCGGTGCGAGTGAGAAACAAGCAAATGCAGGCCCGGATTATTACGCGAATCTTGTCAAGGAAGCGGAGACGATGGAGACGGAGACGTTCCGCCAAATTGAACTTGATATCGACCGCACATTTGGACACTCGGGAACGACGATCTGCTCCGAGGCCGGGCGCGGCCAGCTTCGACGCATTCTTCGAGCCTACTCTCTCCGTAACCCGTCCGTCGGCTACTGCCAGGGGTTGAACTTTATTGTGGCGTTTTTCCTGCTGATGGCGGACGAGGAAGTTGTGTTCTGGCTTCTGAGCGTCTTCTGCGAGGACCTCTACCCGGGTTATTACTCTCCAGCGATGGCTGACATTCAGAGGGACATGCGCGTGCTGAAGCAGCTGATCGCTGAAGAGCTTCCTCAGCTCGACGACTTTACGGCTGAAGTGGGGCTGCCGTTGGAGCTTCTGGGCTCGCAGTGGTTGCTGTGCTTGTTCACGACAACGTTTCCCAGCGAGACGGTGTTCCGCATTTTTGACTGCATCTTCACGGAAGGGTCATACTTTGTGTTCCCAGTCATCATGACGCACCTGCGGAAGCTGGAGCCGACGTTGCTGGATCTCGATGAATTTCATCGTGTGCTGTCTTCGATTAAGGATGCTGAAAGCGTGTGCATTGACGGCGACTTGTTCATGGCGGCTGTTTGCAAGGAGGCCGAGAGCATTACGCCCAGTCGTATTCAGCAGCTACGCGAGGAACAGTGTGGGTCCGTGCGCAGTGAGATGGAGCGAGCCGAACGTGCCCGTGCGTTCAACCAGCAGCTCGCAGTCGTGTACCAGATTCCTGCGTTCTCCAACTATGCAGCAGGACTCCTGCGCTTTTTCCACGAGGAAGCGGAAGTGTCGTCACGCTCGGATGTGGCGTTCGTGTTGACGATGCTCTGTCATGGCCTAGTGTGGCTGGCCGAACACTCCAAGCGTTGGCAACGCTGAGGAAGGGCCCGATTTTGACGAGAGGCCTGCTGTTGAGCTGTCGATTTTTATTGTATAAGCCGTGCCGATATCTATTTAATTTCCCGCAGTAGGAGTAACAAAGCGGGGCTGCTACGGTGTCGAAACAGTCCCAGATGAATGTATAAGGCAAGGCATCGCTGTTAATCGTGCCCATGGAAACAAAGTGAGCATTTTGTAATTGAGGTGTTAGCTGCAACGTGCTGCTTTGTCGAGGACGAGGTTGTTCAAGATCAAGAAAATGTTTACTTTAAGCGCGTCGTTGTCTGTTCAGCTTCCTAATAGTACTATGGACTCGCGCTCGGCGTGATCCCTTTATTTCTTGCCCTTCTTCGTCGTGGCGGCCTTCTTGCCGCCCTTAGCTACGGGCGCCTTGCGCTTCTTAGCACTACCTCCAGCGCTCGGCAGCACCGTGAAGAAGCTGTCGAGTCGCTTCTGGGACTGCGTGCTCTTGGACTTTTTCAGCCTCGTGATGGCCGAGAGCACGCGGTCCTCCTGGAAGCCGTGCTTCTTGCACAGGAAGTCCAGCAGCTCCGTCTCCTGCGGGTCGCGCCACTTGAGTTCCGCCTCCTTCGCATTGACAACCTCGGGCTTGATGAACATCTCGCGCGCGCTCTTGTAGATGGGGTTCTCCCCGAGCCACTCGTCAGGAATGACGACACCCTTGCTCTTGTTCTTCTGCAGGGCCTCCAGGAAGTTCTCAATGTTCTTGTGCTCCTTGATACCGGCAAAGGCCTTCTTCGGCCCCACGCCGCGGATCGAGTCGCAGTAGTCGCAGCCGCAGAGGATGCACAAGTCCACGAACTGCTCCTGCGTGAGCTCCAGCTCCTGCAGGGCGCGCTCCAGCCGAATCTCCAGAATAGGGATCTTCTTGGCGGGCGACACCGTCAAACGACGGTACAACACGGGCACTCCGAACGTCAGGGCGTCCATATCTTCCGTGCCAGCGGCGTAGACACGTCCGCCCTTGGCGAGCTCCGCGCACGAAGCCTCAGCCTCGCACGGAGCCGTGATGTGGGGCACGCCCATGAGCCTCAGCAGCTCCTTGCAGTCCTCGTTGTGCTGCGGTGTGGCGCGCACCAGGCGCTTGTTGAAGCGGTCGATGTCCTCGGCGTTGCCCTTCTCCGTGGCCTCCTCGAGCGCCTTCTGGGCCTCCTGGCGGCGGTCGCTGCGCTTGGCCAGCTCGCCACTCTTCATGACGGGCGGCTTGCCGTCGAACACGTACACGGGCTTGAGGCCGTTTTCCATCATGCGGATGGTGCGGCTGAACATGCCCTGCAGGTGCGACGTCACCTCTCCGTCGGCGTTGGTCAGGGCCTGGGAGGGACCGCCGCCGTCCGCCGATCGGATGGCGATGAGGAACTGGTACAGCGCCATACTGGCGTCGATGGCCACGGCGTGGCCCGCCAGCGCCGACATCTTCTCCACCTCCTTGATGCAGGACGGAGCCTCCTCCTGCAGCAGCTTCATCAACCCCTTAATTCCCATGCTGGCGGCGCTATCAACTCGACTCGGAGCTCTTCACTTCACTGGCAGGAATAGCTTTTGAAGCCCATCCACTTTTTGGCGCCAAAAGCGACATAATAAAATGTACCATGGCTGGTTTATGGACCACAATGTGGCGTTATAGATCGTCGTTGAAGTGAAGCATGCCTTATAAACTGACGTCCATGCGATCTTTCGAAGGCGGAGCCTCACAATTTGATCTGCGCGTTGACAAGCATCCAGCCTCGACTCCTCCTCCACCCCCAGCAGCGACCATGACCGACCCGATCCCGACCCTCAAGGAGCTCTTCATCGACGGCAAGTGGGTCGCGCCCGTCGACAAGAAGTACATCGACGTGGTGAACCCCGCGACCGAGGAGGTGATCCAGCAGGTGGCCGCCGCGTCGGCCGCGGACGTGGATCTGGCCGTGCAGGCGGCCAAGCGCGCGTTCGAGACGTGGGGAGCCACCACCGGGGCCGAGCGCGCCGAGTACCTCCGCAAGATGAGCAAGCTGGTGGCCAAGCGAATTGACGCGATCAGTCGCCTCGAGACGCTGGACAACGGCAAGCCGCTGGCCGAGGCCGTGTGGGACATCGAGGACGTCTCCGGCTGCTTCGACTACTACGCGGACGCTGCGGAGGCGCTGGACAAGCGCCAGTATGAGAAGGTGGACCTGCCTCTCGAGGACTTTTTGGGCGCGCTGCGCTACGAGCCTGTGGGCGTCGTGGCCGCCATCATCCCGTGGAACTACCCGGCTCTGATGGCCTTGTGGAAGCTGGCACCTGCCCTCGCTGCTGGATGCACCGTGGTGCTCAAGCCCTCTGAGATCACGCCTCTGAGTGCGCTGCAGTTGGCCCAGATCGCGGCCGATGTCGGCCTGCCCGCTGGCGTCCTCAACGTCGTCAATGGACTTGGCGCTGAGGCGGGAGGCCCTCTGGTGTCTCACCCGGACGTGCACAAGGTGGCGTTCACCGGCAGTGTGCCGACCGGACGCCACATCATGACGGAGGCTGCTAAGGAGATCAAGAAGATCTCGCTGGAGCTGGGAGGAAAGTCGCCGGCCATCGTTCTCGACAAGGCCAACATTGAACGCACAGTCGAGTGGGTCATGTTCGGCTGCTTCTGGACCAACGGCCAGATCTGCAGCGCGACGTCGCGATTGTTGGTGCACGAAGACTTCGCGGGCGAGTTCCTGGACTTGCTCACGAAGGAGACGAAGAAGCTCGTGCTGGGCGACCCGCTGGATAGCAAGGTGCAGATGGGCCCGCTGGTCTCCAAAGTACAGCAGCAAAAGGTGCTGGGCTACATTCAGAGCGCCAAGGACGAAGGAGCGACCGTGACCCAGGGGACGTTGCCCACTGGGGGAAAGGGCTACTTCGTGCCGCCCACGATCATCACCAAGGTCACCAATAAGATGCGAGTTTGGAAGGAGGAGATCTTCGGCCCTGTGCTGTCTGTAATGACGTTCAAGACGGAAGAAGAGGCTATCGCGCTTTCGAACGACTCGGAGTTTGGCCTTGGAGCGGCTGTGTTCACTTCAGACGACGTGCAGCTCAAGCGAGTGACGAAGGCTTTGCGCGCAGGAATTGTCTGGAACAACTGCTCGCAGCCGTGCTTCGTGCAGCTGCCGTGGGGCGGCGTCAAGAAGAGCGGCATCGGTCGTGAGCTCGGCCCGTTCGGCTTGAACGCCTACCTTGAGCCCAAGCAGATCTGCACGTACGTCGCGGACAAGCCATTTGCCTGGTATCTCAAGGCATAAGGCCATATCCGTGCTCTGGAGGTTCTTGGGAAGTAGCTGCCATCCAGCAACAATCTCGAGCTGTAATTCCATTAGTGCTGTTCGCTACATTCGACGCAATAACACGTTGACACTTCATCTGCTTGCTGTGCCATCCAGGTCATCAATAGTTCCGCTTTACATGCCTTGCAGACACAAACGCGATAGCTGTACTCACACGTTCTCCACCATAAGCATCCGGCTCTGATGCGAGCAAGCCGACTGAAAGTACAGCTTCAGGGCAGTGAGGCTTCCCTCGAATCGACTGGACGTGGCCGTTTCCAAATACAGTGTATACAGGATCGTTAATGCAGAAGCCACCACTCAGCAACTCGCGACGCACTTCTTCTTGGTTGGATGAAGTCTCCAGCATCAACTCCTCAACGCGGATCTTGCCGTAGCCAAAGGAAAAGCGAACGTCGCAAAAGCCCACATCGTAGCAGGTCTCACGGATGATACCAACTCCCCACTGACGGCAGCGAACGAGAGACCCAACAGATAAAATGGATGAGGGGGCTAAATAGGCCTCCCTGCTCCAGGGAAATTTCACTTCAATGCGCTTGTCGCTCACTCGTAGAGCTGTGATCACCCCCGAACCGAACTTGGTCGCAACAATGCTTCCCACGTCTTCAGATGTCAACAGCGTCACATCAAGTTAGACCTAATTCAGGAAACCAAGGGAAAATTTAAGTTGTAGACTTACATGCATGTGGAAGAAGTGCGTTTGCCTCGTTGGCAAAACTGAGGCCTTTCCGGAATAGCAGCGTCTTCGCAACTTTGACGTCGAGCAAGAACCTGTTCAGAAGGCCGAAGACATACTCAGACGACGACCCCGCCGGATCTTCCGCCAAATATCGCGCTGCTCCATCCCAGACGGAATGCAACGTCTCCAGTTCCATCTCGACGTCTTCAAACACGGTCTTGATGTTCATGAGTCGATCCCTCATGACGGAGATGAACTTGCTCTCGATTTTGTACTGGCGCGGCTCGAACTTCTGATCATCTGTGTCGGCGCTATCAGTACAGCTCAGAGCTTGAATCCCTGGTTTGGGTTTTCTCGCTTGCTGCCGGATCGCCGCCAATAACGCTGCCTGCGAACCACTCCGCATTGAGGAATCACCGTCTTCATCATCTTCTAGTTTATGATTGCTCTCATCGTGACGGCGTAACTGGATAGATGCTAGTAAAGCAGCACGACTATCATTTGATACGCTCGCTGAAGCGGATGTCGACTGCCCACGCTGCCTGATAGCAGATAGAAGTGAGGATCTAGCTGCATCTGCGTTGACTTGAACTTCTCCAGAAATTTCATCCGGTTGATTCTGAATAACACGTATTGGTGAAGTCGAAACAGGACTGGTATCATTCCGCCCCATTTTCGTGCTTGTATCGCTTGAGTTATCCAAGGTTTTCGTAGAGTGCTCAGCAGAGGGAGGTGATGTTTCTGCGCCATCTTCATCAGTACTTGTATCAGCAGCACGACTACGGATGGCAGCTAGCATGGCAGCGTGCGGATTTGAAGCCACAGATCCAGCTTCACTTTGCTCTGCAGGACCACCACCGCGCTGCCGAATCGCATTAAGGACCGCATTGCGGGACCCTGCAGTACCAGTGGTCTTCCCACCCGGCATCCCGTCATTCCTTGACAGCCCTGGCTGCTTGAAGACTGGTGCTGGGCGAAGTTTACACTCTTCAAACTGACGCTTTCGGAGAGCTTCGGCTGTGTTAAACCGCTTCAGGTCCTCCACCATATCCTCTTTGATTTCTTGCTCGAGTTTGGCAATTTCTTGCTGCAACGCTCGAGCTTGGGAATCGCAAATCACATTCGAAAATCGCTTCGCCTCGGACAGGCTGCTGAGGTCGTTAATGAACAATAATACATCGCCTTCACCTCGATCCTGAATCCGCCCATATCATAATGCTACTTATTAAGATCAACCGCCATATACGTGAGAGGAGAGTGCACACTTACGTGGATGAGCTTGATAATGAACTGCAAGAGCGTCATACTTTGGTCAACGGCCTTGGTCTCAGAAAGCTGGGTGGACACATAAAAAATCAATCCTTTTTGTTAATCACCGTTCCGAATTAAACTTCAACGCTGGCGTGTAAATAAATACCTTCAATAGGGATGCCAGCGTAATTCCCTGAGCGCCTTCTAGTTCAGAGCCTGTGTTCAAGAGGTTTCCAATAGCCAGCACCAATTCAAAGCACCGAGCAAGGCGTTCACTGCGCAATACTTCGTAGCAAGCTTGGGTGATCACACTGATCCGAGTACGCAGCTCTTTTTGCTGGTGCTCAAACTGCGAGGCAAACAACATAGCATTGATCTGCGTTCGTAGAAACGCAGCCGTTATTTACACAATCCATATTCCACAAGCAGAACCATTCAGCCTCCCCCACCTTTTCCGTCACCCGAGAAATCTCGCACATTTCCACTAGAAAGTTTTCCGAAGGCTCCAGTCGTGAACGAGACCCTCGGAAGTTGGTGTAGCGCTTGACTTCCACACTGTTTGGAGCTATATCCTGCAAACTAGTCAAACGATCGACTGTGAGGAACTCATAGTCGCAGTTTTTCAAAGCCGTCAAAATGGCCTCAGCTCCTCCGACTGCCTTGAATTGGCTAAGCCCAATCGAAATGTTGTTGGATCTTCGTGAATCTAGAGCTGAAAACTTGGCCTTCTTGGCTGCCCTCTCCTTGGATTGCGAAGGAGATGCAGCTGTTCGGTTTCCAAATAAAAACTCCAGCTCTTGGAAATCCTGGGGTGATAGCGTAATTGGAGCAGTCTTCCGCCTTGATGTCACCCGCGCCCAAATGGTTTCGTTCGCCTTCTTTGTTTCCAGGCTAGTCCAGTAGACTTTACGAAACGTACTGTCGCGGCGATTTAGCCCTCGACTACCTGCACGCTCCCTCTTTCTGCTCAGGCATCAACGATGTAGTATACCTAAGCATTAGCACCCAAATAACAACTTTGTGGCATAGTAAGCCTGTAATCTTCACTATACACACCTTGTTGACGCATCGTAGGTCGAAGCATTGCTTACGTCGGGACCAGCAACAAAAATGGCGACCTTTTTGGGTGACATTTCATCTTGGGCCATTTTCTGAGCCACCCCGCTGGATGGAACGCCGAAGCTGAGCATTTTGAAATACTTGTCCATGGAGGGATCGTTTCGAAGTGCGGTATACTCCGGTCGCTCGCCACCTTCACCAGCACCTTTACCCTTCCTACTAGCAACACGTTTTCGCTTGAATAAATGTTAAATCCAAATGAGCAAAGAGTGAAGTTAAAACGCATCGGATCCTCTCTCACCTCCTTTTCCTTTTCTTTGATGAAGCATCCGTCACACACTTTCAGTTGAGGGCCCTTTCCATCGACGTGGACATGATGCCGAGAGCATTGAACGCATACAATCCTCTTACAGCAGGGACAATCGTGCTGGCGACTGAAAAATGAAAATGGGCTTAAGCACTGGTCACAAGCTTCAACGCCACCTTCAGCTGAGAGTAGACCGCCGACAAAGTACGATACAGGGTTTGAGAGCAGAGAGGATCGAAGCCCCACGACCCCGTCATCTTGACTGCCCCCATCCGAAGCTCCACCGTCTTGGTTTCGCTGGAGTATCACCTCCGTTTCCTCTTGATGATGCAGTGACGCCATGTATTCAGCGCAACGCTCACTCCCAGCTTTTGACGCGTGGTTCCACGTGATCGACTGTGCCATTTCCAGACAGCCTTCCCATGCGGCCGTATATGCTACTGGGCCTACAGATTCAAAGCGAATCTGGATGTGTTTTGATCGGATCATTGAGTACGAGTTGTCCAGCTTCAATCTCAAACTCTGTGCCCGGTTAGACCTAAGCCGAATGATCAGCTCTGTCCACTCATCCGTAGCTGATAAACGATATGGTTCCGTCAGGTCTTCATTGTCACCGGTCGCAAGTGATACGAGAATGTCCTGTGTGTGGACCCTCAACTGCGCCAGCAAGATTGGGACACTCCCGTTACTAGGAATGGAAAGTACTTCAATCGATGAGCGCCTATCATAACGAAACACATTCACAGAGAAGTCAGACACCATGCATAAGGAGATAACCCTGAAGGTTAAACCTACCCGACCAAAATGTCTTGGAATGGGTGGCCATGAAGAATATACCGTGGCACAGTACAATTCTCCAGATCCTTGACTTTGTCAGGGTTCCCCTCGATGTTTCTCACCACAGAGCTGTCACCTTCTACACCGGCTTGAAAAGATATCTCATTGCCCAGAAGAGGAGCCTCTGGAGCACACTGCTCCAGGTTCCTCGGAAACTGCCCGTGCTCCTTCGATCCACACTCATCGTGAGGATATGCGGCCAGTAAAAACTTGACGCCGTTCAAAGCACTCAAGAATGAGGCGATCTTTCGGGCATCTTCGTACTTGTACAAAAGTGCTCTGGGCTCGTAAAACTTCTCCACTAATGTCCTCCTCTTGCTCAAATTCTGAAGAAAACAAACAGTTTACCAAACTTTGTCAGAGGAGTGGCTACCCGTCAACGCCTGAACAGAAGTGACGCATACCTCGAAGGCACGGTGGAATATCCCCTTGTTCAGCGCTAACAAGATGAACGATCGAGCATGATTCCACCCCAGGTGCTGCAAGTTTGGTGGAGCTTCGCCTACTTGCACCTCCGCCACGATGCCCAAATCATCACGCAGCACCTGCCGTGTCTCCAACAAGAACTCGTAGAATGGTGCCTCTGGCCACTCATCCAAAAACTCTTCCTACAATTGAGAAACATAATACCAGCTTACTCATTAGCCCTCGCGATACACGGCATACTGGTTCGTTTAGTTTACCTTTACGCCGTTGCAAAGCACCGCTTCCATGGCCAAGATAAAGGGCCGAACAGCTCCCTCATGAAGTGGACTGTCTGGTTTTGCAATGAAAATCGCGACAATATCCATCACGGCCTGCTCCAAACGAGCCACCACTCGCTCGTTCTCGGCTTTCCTCTCTTCATCCGTCATCGCACGCTCCTTCGCCAACGTCTTGGCCAAGTAGGGCAATGGCAGTCCTGCCACCGCTCTTCTCGCTCTTCTTTGGGATCGCGACTGCGACTCCTGCACGGCCAGTTCCGCCGCTTCAACAGTATTTCTCGACGTCACTAAGAATCGATAACGCACCTGCTTGTGCCGTACCAAAGAATACGTATTGTCCCAACGCAGGGTGTATACCGTCCCCGGCTTGACGTCGTCGAATCTGCCCCCCATCGTCGGCTCCAACGCTTCAAACTGCAGTGATGACGGCGAACTCACTGCAACCCCATTTGCACCGCCATCACGGTCCTCTATAGCTTTGAACCGACCCAAATCTTGCACTACCTCCCCATTTTCCAGCAGCTGGAAGCCCACGTCGAACTCCTCGAGCACGAACTGCCACACCAAACACTGCTGCAGGTCGTCGCGACCCTGCTCTGTGGCTGCCGAAATAGGTATCGAAATGTCCGCCACGCTGCCTCGCCGCACATCCAGCGAGATCCACGGAGCCGCTTGCAGCAGGAAGGACGCGGCCGTCAAAGACATCGGAACTTCCTCCCTCCCTTTCTCCACTATCGACGCGAAATATTTTTTTTGAAATGCGACTTGTGAAACGGTGGACTTTTGACGAATGAAAACAGTCTAAGTTGTTATCAGATATTTCTTATCGTAGCTGCTCGAAGTTACAACGACTGGTACCCACGACGGGCCATGTAGCGCTGGTACGTGGTGGCGCCGACTGCGCCCAGAGCGACCAGCCCACCGGCCGTGAGAATGGACCAGAGAGAGCTGGCGCTCTCAGGCTGCGCCTCTTTCTTGGGCTCGACGATGGTCGCGTCGTTCACCACCACGTTCATGGACTTGGTGGCGGCCTTGGCGGCGGGGACGTTCACTGGGTGGTAGTCGCAGATGTCCTGCCACGGGCCGGTCGACTGGATGTGGTTCTCGATGATCGCCGTGAACTCATTCAGAGGACACTTGAGCGCGCAGTTGTCGAGCTTCACCGCCGTGCGGGGACTCATCGGCGACCAGACGAAGAGCTGGATGAAGTGCTCGGGCGTCTGGCCGCCCGTGCGGTGGAGCTCGAAGAAGAGCGTCGAGGCCGGGTGCAGTGGCGTTGAGCCGTTGTACTGGGGCAGGCCTTCGAAGTTGAACTTCATGCCCATCATGAATCCCAGGCCGTGCATGAGCTCACGGTGGCCGTGGTAAGACAGGTACTTGGGGCTCTCAGGGTTCCGGTTCGGGACAGCGCCCTCGCGCAAGTTACGCACGAGCAGTTGGGGGAACCCTCCGATCGCGACGGTGATCTGCGTTTGCGTGGAGTAGAGACGTTCGATTAGGTGCTGAAAGGCAAGCTGGGAGATGTCCTCCACAAGCTCGGGCGTCAAACCGGGGGTGGGGTCAAGACCCTCGTCTTGGTCGAAGAGGAACATGTCCCCGACATCCTTGATAGCGGTGACCGGATCGTTGCCCTTGTAGAATTCGTGGCCGCAGATTTTGGCGACAGCCTCCAGAGTCTCCTTGTGATTTTCAATCGCCTCCGCTGCTCGCCCTTTGGTGTACACCTTGTTATTCGCCGATATGACCGGCCAGCAAGGACCGTTGGCCGTGAAGTCATGCTCGTTCTCGAAGAGCTGCATGTACACAGGGATAGGCTGTCTCGGGTAGCCGTCGGGGCCTGTGCCCTCGGGATACAAGCCGTAGCCCATTGAAACGGCACTTTGGCCGCACCGATTGGCAGCGTCAGCTCGGAAGTATCCCTCGAAGTGCGGCTCGTCTTGCGGGCCATTGAACGACGGCGACAGGAAGCCCTTGTCGTTCACGTACACCTCGCGGACATGGTCTCCCACCGCCTCCATCTGCTCCATGCCGCGCTCGGTGAGCTGCTCGAGCGGCACCGAGTAAGACTCGAGGTTGGGCAGGTTGTTCGGGCAGTGGGTCTTGACCGTCGGGTTCGGTGCGCGACTTCCGTGACGTGACAATGAAATCAGCATCACCAGCTCCGAGTCAGTGGCTGCGTCAGTGTTCGACTGATCCGCAGCACTAATCGACTGGATCAATGCCAGCGAGGCAATAGCAGCGAGGATGGCAGGGATCCGCATCTTGGTAACGTTGCTCGGGGTCGAGGGCGGCGACTCGGTGATCTGCTTGGTGGCAGCCTCGCGAATTCGGGAATGAGCCTCCAACGCCCAAGCAGCAGCGGAAAAGGAACCTCAGCTCTGCTGGAAACCCCCAAATAACGGACGCACTTCAACAGTCGAGCAACGTACATGTACATGGCTACATCGAGTGACCTTTCAAGTCCCATCTTTTTCCACCAATCAAGATGCGCGCAGTTCAACGGATTGGTCACCAGTAGCCCCGAGCCAATTGACATGGACGCATCGGGCGTCTACCCGAACGCGGAGCCGCTGCTGGCGGCCCTCGGACTCGGCGGCACGCTAGCAGGCAACGACCCAGACCATGTGCCTCTCGAGCCTGACCTGATCAATGACCCACGCAGACGCTTCGCCCCGGGCGGCCGTGCAGTGGACGCGAGCGGCGCGATGCGGCTGCATGTGCGCAATGCGCTGGGCTATGCGTTCCTGCGGCCGCATCATAGCGAGAAGCTGCGGCTTCCGCACCGATATTGTGATGCACTTGGGCCCACGTTCTACCGGAGTAATTACCGCGACTTTGTGCCACATGACCTGCTGGTGGACTTCATTTTGAACGAAAGCCCGTACGCTGCGCTTCGTCGTGCTTGCTTTACGCAATGCTATAACCGCTGCTAACTTGTTGAATGCTTACCCAATTGCCTGTGTGCTGTGGCTATTGCAGACCGCAGGAAGACAGCAGCAAAGTGGTGAAATGGCAGGGCAATGCCATCGCGGGAGTGGACTGCGGTCAGGATGGCCACGTGGTGTTTTATCCTACAGGCCACGTGCTGCAGCAGGCGTGTGCATGGCACAGCAAAGGAGAGTCAGAGGAAGACCCGGCGTGCTCAAGCACCGTGATTGAGACGGGTGCTAGAATTCGACAGTTTGTGGTGATGGGCAGCAAGGACGCGTACCGCTCGACTAGTGCCTCCCAGATATATGCTGCCGCGCGTGGTAGCACGAACTGCACTATTGTTGCTGCCCCATCTCGTGTTACTCCGCAAAATGTGCGCAAGATGCAGGCCAAGACGAAGATTTCTTTTCCCGAAATGATCAACCATATCGCAGGGAGCCCGCATGCAGAAGCGGAGTTGGCCTTTGTCACGGATGGTGTCGTTCGTTGCTGGGATCCAGAGAGTGGAATTCGAACGGTGAACAAACATTGTATGAATTTGGCGGATCGAGTTCAGCGCTGCGAATACTCAAGGTACGACGTCAACGATCAATATGGAAAACAAGGTATTGGACGATCTGACGCGTTTTGGTGAGATGCACACAGCCACCCGCGCGTTATTTGGACAGCGAATCGTGTGAAGGTTTCTACACTGGACCTTCGGGAGCCACCGCAGCACCCCAGCACATTATTTGATTTGACTGGTGCGGGTGCCTATGTTACCATTTACGACGTGAAGCGCCGCGCAAGGTATGTATTCAGTACTGTCCCGTTGACTCTGCCTGCTTACTCTTTGCTTACACGGGATGAATTTTGTATCAAACATCATAGAAATCCTTTCCAATTTGTAGTTGGTACTGGCGTCTCAGTTGAGCTCGTGGATAGCAGGATGGCAAAGCAGCCTCTGATTTCGTGGGCCCAACCGGAGAGTTACTCCCCCGAATCCGAGACCAAATGTTCAATTGGAGCAATCGATGAAGTGGATCTATCAGCAAGCGCCAATGGCGAACGAGGTTATATCGTGTCTAGCTCGAAGCGACCAAAGGTTACTACACTGTTCCCGTTCGAGCGAAACCGGAAGCGAAAGCGTGGCAAGGTCATGTCACTAGTTTCACTCCGCTCTAACGGAGATGACGACTATTCTATGACCCCTCGCATCTCCACCGAACAGCTCATCGCTTCGGACGCACCGTTGGACCTGCACATGGAGGACGGTGGTGAATTTACACATTTAACGGGCTTTTGCGCACTGCGTGACGAAGATTCGGCGTCCGCAAGCATTTACCAATTCAGTTCCGCGGGAGACCTATATTCTCATAGGGTTTCATTCGGCCGATCACAGACATACCACGCCGCTGTTCAACCGGAGTACGTTGTATCGGACTACCGAGTGCTGATATCTGCTTGTCTAACTCATTTCTTGTAGACTTCCATGCGGTGTAGTAGCACAGGCAGATCCAGCGGACAATTCACTCCCACGAACACTCCCGATACCGGTAGATTCTCTTCTTCCGGAACATGATACCGAGTCACTGCAAACGTTTTTGGCACTTGCTGTCAAAGCTTTTCGCCGGCATTTCCCTCGGCTACCCCGTAATGAATACGAGGCTAGACCAGTGAGCACCGACAACAATCCAGAAAGCCAGACCGAGAGCGCTGCAGTAGCCGTGAACGTTGGCGAGGACGATCGAGGAAGCGATGAACGGACCAGTGAATATACAACTGAAGAGGCAGCTACTACCTATCGTACACGACGACGAAGCTTCGACGAGGACGAGCTGACTGAAGAGCTACTCCGCATCTGCGAGCCATCAGCGTCGCTGTTTCAGCTGCATCGCTATGCGTTTGACAAGCTGAAGATCGAGATCTCCTCGTCCGAATTGCTCCGACTTCTGCGCGCATCCAGTCAGTTCCGCATCCGAACGGTGCACCAAGCGTTCCCAGCAGATACGCTTCGCGTGATTAACCCGTCCGCTCCGCGGGCTGGCGACGTACACCTCAGGAATGGCGACCCTCGTATAGCGACGTGTACGTGTCGTCCAGGGTCGTTCCGCTCCCAAGCTCCGTGCGAATCCTATTCGTGCGTCATGCCACACGCGATTGTCATGTCCAGCACTTCAACAGAGTTGCACCTGGATGACTCGGCTCCATCGTCGGCCGTTCTTCAAAAAATCCCGGACGACTTGACCGACATCATTACAGCAGCACGCGCAGTGTACGACCGAGTCGACGAATCGGGGTCGGAATCGGGATCGGACTCGGAATAGCGAGCTAAATGTAAAGAGTGATGACCACTTTGTTGCCCACTTTGTTGCCCAGATTTGTAAATAATTTACCACTAATTCGCGAGTTAGCCCCCACTAAAAATGAGCAAGAAGGTGGTGCTGGAAGAGGAGGAGTATGTGGACGCGCTAGGCCAGATCATCGAGCGCGACTTCTTCCCGGACCTGCCCAAGCTCAAGCGGCAGACAGAGGTGCGTTCTAGCATCGACCCACCATTATAAACACCCTCATAACGCCAATATAAACCCCGTTTTAGCTGCTGCGAGAGGAAGAAGGAGGAGTCCCATGGACGGACACGACGCTACGCGCTGCGAACACTCGAGGCAATGCGTCAGTACGCAGCAGCGCAAGCGGCACGGGATGGGACCAGCCCACTCCTCAGTCGGGAGAGTCTGCTGTTGACGCTACGCAAGAGAGTGATGCTGCTGAAGCTGATGCCAAGGCTTCCATGACGCTGAACCACTTTGTGGCGACGCACACGTCTGAGGACAATGAATCGTTCGCGGAGCTACAAGAGAAGGCGGTGATAGACCACCAACGACGCTACCATTGGGCTTTCGATGACGACAAGAAGAGAGGCGACCCGAAGCTGCACTTGCTGACGAACGGAACTTGGATCTCAAAGGAGCAGCGACGAATTGCAGATGAAGCGTGCGCACCAAAAGGTCTGATTGCAGTTCATTTAAACAGGTTCGGCTTAATTTGCTCGCAAGGGACTGAACGGTTTGGTGAAATGCAGGACCGAAGGATGACAGACCGAGTGCTCCTGAAACGTGGAGGTTTCGTGCAAGAAATCCTCTGCTCTTTCCACCTGAACTGGAAGCTACGCGAGATATTTGTCAGGTGCGTTTTTCCTGTGCTTAGCAATGAGGTCAGCGTTTGTATTGGAGTCTCACGATTGTTTTAGGTTGAGCCAGGCTCTGGGAACCAACTTCTGCTTGAAAATGGTGTGAAGTCACGCTCAGGGCGTCCCCCGCGGGCCGGAAAGAAGACTGTCTACGCTAACTCCAGATTTTCATCCCAAGAAACAGAAGTACGTATCTGTGCTGCATGTACTGGTCTGCTAGGATTCTAATATGTGGAATGCAATTGCTCTACGACTGCGTTTAGCTAAGTGAACCCGGTAGCCGCGATGTCTTATCGTCGACACGAAAGGATTACTCTTTAGTTCCAATGACGCCAGTCATTGCTCCGGGTGTGGATGCGAGTCCGCTGATGACATGGGGAGATATTGAAGGAACCCCGAGAATTTTAGGATCACGAGCGACACCAGGTGCGTGGAGGAGTGTTGTTTGCGCCTAAACAGCGTTTAACCTCCTGTCGTTGTTTCATTGTTTTTGTGTAGAACGCATTTTGAGTACTCCTAGTTTTGAGATGCGCGATACTTCAAGTCGAGAGAAGCTAGCGGGTCGGCTGGAATCGGAAGCTGTACGTGTGGCGTATTGAGGTTTTGCTCTTGAATTGGAATGAGTTTTCAGCATTGGTCTAATCTCGTTTACTTGCTGCGGCTTGCTCATTACTTAGCGCCGTCGTAGCTCGAGCTCCCGGATGTCCGGTATCAAGACGCCCTCACGAAAGAGGCCGAAAAACGACCAAACCCCGGTATGTCAGAGCATTCGTGCCAGAATGCCTAGTGTTCGATCGGTACTACGTACTCCCGTAGGCTCAGACGCGCAGTTGCGAGCCAGCTATTCTACGCCTCTACGACCACCGCGCCATTCGAAGTCCAGGTCCAAGACAAGGAAGACGAGTTGATATATTTGTACGGAAACAGGAGGTGACTGAGCAAAACCTCATTATAGATCCATCAGTATCTATGAATACGCTTGGATCGACGTGGTGCTGGAAAACGATACAATGTTTTCCTGTGTACTTTGGCACAGGAAGCCAACCGAGCTGTCTACACCGTCGATAGAATCCCAAGACACGAACGCGATGGCTATCATCGAAGAGGTTTACAAGGCTGTAGTGGTAGGCGGGGGTCCTGCTGGAATCGGCGTGTTTGTTCGAGCAGCTCGCGCAGGCTTAATGCCTCGATTGATGAATCCTGAAATGGTGGGCACCGCTAAAGACATCGAGATCAGCACTCAACTTGGATACAAGCAGATGGGCGTGGCTGTTCTTCATGCCGGTGACGCCAAAACCTTCGGTGGTGGCAATTTGGGGGAGTACATCATCAACTCGAATACATTCGCGTGCAGTCTGCTAGCCAGTGTTTTGGACGAGAAACCCGACCTGGACCCACCCGAGAGTATCAAGAACACGTTTCTGGAGAAAGCGCGCGTGCACGAAAGTGCCAAACGACTTGAAGAGATTGGTGCCGCGCCCGGAAACCTGACGGAGATCGGACACTTCCTTCGTCATGTTGGAGCCTGTCTGATCGAAGAGATCAACGACAAAGCTCCTGACACAAGTAAGGTTCTGCTGACCACGATTGCTACCAAGTATGAAGCTCTGGAGAACGGGATTATTCGTATTGAGGCTCGCAACACCAATGGCAGTGATGACACTGTAATACTTCACACTGAGCACCTCGTGTTGGCCATGGGAGGTACTCAAGAACTGCCATCACTCGACAACCCCGCTTACCACTCAAAGTTATTCGCTTCAGATGTGTGTCTCCGTGAAGATGGCTTTGCAAGACTCAAGGAGCATCTTCTCGCGCAGCCAACAGGCGAACGGAAAGTGTGCATTGTAGGTGGATCCCACAGCTCCTTCTCGGTTGCTTGGCTGCTTCTGAACAGGTTCACGGACCCAAAGCCAATCACCACAAGAAAACCTTCAACAAGCTCATCCAGTCCGAAGAAACTCGCTTCATCGGACCCAAAGAAGGCTAAAGAGGAGGGTGAGACCGCTTTAGTCATGCCGCACCTCGCGTCGATCGGTGCCCCCGTGACAGCCACCGCACTCGTTTCCCCGCTCACCATCACGAAATGCGAGACTACAGGTACTCCCGTCAAGGTGAAACGCACATCGCTTACTAGTACCAGCGGTGACAACCCAGCTCCGAAGTCGACCATTTTCAACGCCAAGGACATCATGATACTGCATCGATCTCCGATTCGGTGCTACTATGGGACGAAGAAAGAAGCCGAAGCTGATGGAGCGGACGCCAGTCGCGTCGATCGCTCCGGGTGCGTGAACACCTTCACGGGGCTACGCGAGGACGCGAAGAGGCTATTCAAAAGCGTGACAGCTGGGCGCGAGATGCGCGTGAGGCTCTTCCAGGTGAATCAACAGGGCTCACAGGCTATCACCGACAAAGCGTACGCAGCCGCCGGCGCCATCGTTTGGGGTGCCGGCTACAAGACAAACCTGCTCCCGGGATTCGACGAAGCGGGGAACTCTCTCACTTTCCGCCAAGAGAACGGGGTCGTGAAGCTCGACAATAAGGCGCGACTGCAGCTTCTCGCCCCATTCAAGGGCAAGAGCCCCAGTGTTCTAGGTGTCGGACTGGGTTTCAGTCTGCGTTCAGCAGTGGACGAAATGGGCACGGAGACGCGTGTGGACGGTGTGACAGTCTACCACCGTCGAGGCGCATTGCTGGTGTTAGAAGCTCTCTTCGGCCCTGAAGTCTTTGGCACCAGCTCCAGCTTCGAAGAGATGGTGGAGAAGGTGAGCGCTTAGCATCAGATGCATCCGGTGGCTCAACGCGCTGATCTTTACTTATTCTCTGGGGATGTGTGCGTGATTGCAGAACGAGAAGAAGAAGCGCGAGGCACAGGCGCTCAGGGCCGAGAGGTCCGAAAAGTGAGTTCCCTGTCTTCGGTTTGCAATTCATGCGGTACACTTACAGACTGACCGACCGCCAGAGGATTGGTGTCTTCCTTGGTTTCGTTTCTGCGGCTGTAGAGCGCGACTTGCTGCGGCGACTTCCGACGGAGAGCAAACTCCGACATCCCCGGTGAAGAGCCATCTCCCTCGTAGCAGCAGCGTGACAACCGTGCACTCCCCAGCCAAATTGGCGTCCTCGGTACGGCCCACGTTCTTGCGCCACGAACGCATTGTCAATGCCTCTGATTAGTATTCCTCGTCCCATTTTGCTAGACGGCAACGACAACGGCTGGCCGCAACGCGTCACCGGCAATCGCCCGACGAAGCCCGTCGAAACCTGCAGCTGCGGCGGACAAGAAGTCGCCCAAGAAGAAGGACTCGGCGCCGACCAACCCACCGGTGAAGCTGTTGCTGCTCCGGCGCCGCGCCTCCGCCGACGAGGCCGCAGCCGCACATTCGACAGCTACGGCGGATTCGGCAGAGCCTGTCGAACTCTCTTCCACTGCCGATCCGGCAGCCATTGCGGCGCACTGCGCCGCAATGGCCGTCGAGACTAGTTATTTTGACCCCACCACTCACTGCAAGTAGTTGGCGCACCTTTCTCCACAAAACCCTGCGTCCCTTCCGCATCTTCAACCCAGAGACATACATTTATCAAGTGTATATGGCAGTTGAGCCCACGCACGCCAAGACTTTTGCGGTTGCTAAGTCGAAAAACAGAAAGTTTGAAGTTGATCTATGGAACGTGCCAGTAAAACTCAGATCCATCCAAGGCAACTTGCTACCTCATGCCCAGACTGAAATCTGCGGGGTCGTTCACGCGCCGTCCATCCACCCGCTAGAGAGCGCCGAGTCCGCGGCGACCCATGGAGCTCGCGATGCGCCGCCGAACCTTCTGCGGCAGGTCGCACCTGCACCGCCTCAAGGCAGAGCGCTCGAGCATGTCCAAGCTGGACGACGAGCACCAGCACCACCAGCAGCTCCACACCAAGCCGTCGCTGCCCAGCCCGCGACCCATCCGGCTGCTGCACGAGAGCGCCATGGCCGAGCTCTTCCAGGAGCAGCTGAGCCATCAGTCGCGCTCTGGTCGCCGACGTCCCGCGTGCTCCTTCTCCTCCTCGCACTCGTCGTCCGAGTCGTCGACGGCCTCGCTGCGGCGACTGCTCGAAGAGTCCGAGGAGCAACTCGCGCGCGCCCTCGCCCAAGCAGAGGACGCCACGGTTGACGCCGCCCAGCTGGACGAGCTCGGCGCCCGAGTTGCCGCCTTCTCCGCCGCGTCGTCCTTGCTCCGAGCGAGCATCTCCAGCAGCGTGTTGCTTGGAGGTGGCCCCGACTCCGACCGAGACGGCTTCGAACCGGAGCGGCCGGACCTGCCCATCATGAGCTCGTCCGCTCCTGCGGCTACGGGCACCAGCGTCACCGCCGTGGACGCAGTCGACGGCTTCGACACGGCCAGACGGCGCGAGTGCCAGATCTGCTTCGAGAAGCTGGACGCACTGCAGGCGCACGTGTGCGTGGCATGCTGCGGATCTTTCTGCGCCAACTGCACGCGCTGGTACATCGAATACAAGGTGCTGGAAGGCGAGGTCTCGCCCAAGAAGATGGTGTGTCCTGCCCCACAATGCACGCGACCCTTGTCCGAGGACCTCATTGAAGCGATGGTGTCCCCTGACACGTTCTCCAAGTACAAGAAGTTCCTCAAGAACCAGAAGGTTGGCATCCGCTTCTGCCCCCGCGCTGGATGCTGCGCCGTCTTGGACGAGCCGCTCAACTCGTCGTCGCGCAGAGTCAAGTGCCAAGCCTGCAGGGAGGAGTCGTGCATGCGGTGCGGTGGGGATTTCCACAAGATCCCGACGTGCCGTCGCGTGGAGAAGCGTTTCGGCCGCTGGAAGAAGCGGCACAACGTCCGAGCATGCCCCAGCTGCAAGGCTGTCATCGAAAAGCAGGGAGGCTGCTCGCACATGAAGTGCTTCCAGTGCGACCAAGAGTTCTGCTGGTCCTGCCTGCGCCCGTGGGACAACCACAACGAAACGTTGTGTCTGCCGCTGAGCTTCCTGCGCTCCAACAGCCGCAAGTACGGTTGCTGGGCCCCGATGCGTGTTGTCACCAAAACGACAATCGTCGGCGTGGCGACGGTAGCCGTTGTCGCCGGAGCAGGACTCGCCGTCGTCGTACTGCCGCCAGTGCTGGGCTTCCAGTACGCCAAGGACGCGTATCGGCGCCACAAGTACATGCGCGCCTCGTATCTCCGCATGACGAACGGAGACGCCTATCTTCGTTATCACTAACGATCTCGCTCGCTTCGAAGAGCGCAGATCAGCCCAGCGAGCCTTGTTCGTGCTTCGTTGTGTCGTTCCTTGGATCCGTCTTCAACTGGTGCTGTGTCTCACTTCAACTCGCCGCTGCCGCGGCATCTTTTGGTCCAAAAGCTTATGTATCTGCTGCATGTTGCTGCCTAACTTAATCAAAATACACGTCCACATCCACTTCACATCCACCACCACAGAAGCACGAACTCGGGAAGCAACAACATCTTGGGACGTCGGAAACATATCGGGCCACAAAGAGCCGTTCAAAGCATTTAGTTAACCGTCAAAAACAAAGGAAGGGCCAGAGTGGGTTCTCTCACTCTCCGCTCCTCCTTCTCACTCCATTGACGCTATGCGTTTTTCCTTGGGAATCTTGGGGCTGGTCAACGTCGACCAACGTCCTCGCTATCGACAGCAGACGCTTACGCCTTCTTGAAGGCCTCGGCGATCGTCTTGATCGAGTCGATGTCCACTGCAGAACCACAATAGATATCATCAATACATATAAACTACCAACAGTATTGCATGAATTGCTGAAGGTTACGCACCGCGCTCGCCACGCTCGCCGTTGGCCCACTTGAAGCCGGCGAACTCGACGTTGGAGCGGGCCTCGACCGTGCTCTTGACGGGCTCCTTGAGGGCCGCGCGCAGCACACCAGCCGACTTGTTCACGTACTGCAGGTACGACACACCCGCCATGCGCCAGAGCGACGTTCCCTTGCTGGCCATTGTCTCTTGAGGTCTGTCTGTCTGCTAGAGGATCTGAAGCGCTTGTTAGACGGTTGTGCCGAGGGGGGCAGCACAGCCACAGGTGGTGTCGGCGGTCTGCAATTCATTTTTGAATCGACGGACCTTTTTCTCCAATATAGTCCGTCCACTCACATTTTTAGGTGCGTCACAAATTGGCGCTAAGCAATTTTGTGTTCTGGTGGTGGGCGAGCTCACTTCGACCAGTGACCAGCCAGCCAGACCGATGCTGTCGCCGTCCGCCAGCGCCGGCGTGAGCCTGCTGCTCGTGGCCGTGGGCGTGCTGCTCTACCTGTCGTCGCACCCGCGCACGCTGCCCCGAAATGCTGCACCAGCCATCGACTCGCCCAAGCGCAAGGCCAAGAAGAGCCCGCGCAAGCCTCAGGACAAGCCCAGCGAGCCCAAGCCCATGACCGTCCGCATCCTCTACGGCACGCAGACCGGCGCCTCCAAGAGTAAGCTGCTGGTGCTGGTAAAACTGCACGATAATTATGATATTTCCTTACTAATTGCACGCTAATTTGCTGCAGCCATGGCCGAGACGCTGGAGAAGACGCTGTTCGCGCTCAACATCTCCGGCTTCCACTTCCAGACGAGTGTGGTCAACATGAAGGACTACGATCAGGACAACCTGGAGCAGGAGGCCATCGTAGTGGCCATCCTGTCCACCTGGACGCACGGCAAGCCGCCCGAGGACGCGCGCGTGTTCTGCAACTGGATCACGGATATGACGCAGGACTTCCGCGTGTCCAAGTCGTGGCTCAACGGGGTGCAGCACGCTGTGTTCGGCCTGGGCAACGCCGAGTACGACGAGGACTATGGCACGGCGGCGAAGAACCTGGACCGCGAGCTGTCCGAGCTGGGCTCGCCGTCCCTCGTGCAGTTGGGTCTGGGTGATGACAATGTCGACCAGTTCCAGCAGTTCGACGTGTGGATGGACAACCTGGTCGCCGCCATGTGTGAGTACAGCTCGGAGAAGGCTGTAGCGGCGCTGAAGAAGAGCCGCAGCCCTGTGAAGACCGAGAAGGCTGGGAAGAAGGAGTGGCTGTCCCAGAAGGAGTTCCGTCGTCAGAAGAGGGCGAAGAAGGCCGAGGCCGCTGCCGCCAATGGAGAGGCGGTGGAGCTCAATGAGGAGGATCTGATGAACGAGCAGTTTCTGGTGGATGACTTCTCCGACGATGAAGAGCAGAACCAGCAGAAGACCAACGATGACGACGGCATGGTGGACGTGGAAGACATTGGAAAGTCGATGAAGGAGTCGGAGGCCGCCAGTAAGTCGCGTGAGATGGTGACGCCGATGCAGCGTAAGGCGCTCACGAAGGAGGGCTACAAGATCATTGGCACGCACAGCGCCGTGAAGCTCTGCCGATGGACGAAACACCAGCTGCGTGGACGTGGTGGCTGCTACAAGCACGCCTTCTACGGAATTACAAGCTACCAGTGCATGGAGACGACACCTAGTTTGGCTTGTGCCAACAAGTGTGTGTTCTGCTGGCGCCACCACAAGAACCCGGTTGGCCGCGTGTGGCGCTGGAAGACGGACGACGCCGAGACGCTCGTCAAGGGCTCCATTGAGCGCCACCAAAGCATGATCAAGGAGCTGAAGGGACTTCCCGGACTGATTCCTGCGCGCTGGGATGAGGCCTTCACTGTGCGCCATTGCGCTTTGTCGCTCGTAGGCGAGGCCATCATGTACCCGCAGATCAACGAGTTCTGCAAGCAGCTCCACAACCGTCACATCTCGTCCTTCTTGGTTACCAACGCCCAGTTCCCGGAGAAGATCGCGGCGCTCAACCCGATTACGCAGCTGTACGTTAGTGTGGACGCCGCAACGAAGGAATCGCTGCGCGCTGTCGACCGCCCGCTGTTCAAGGATTTCTGGGAGCGGTTCCTCGCCTGCTTGAGGGAGCTCAAGCACAAGGGCCAGCGCACGGTGTACCGCTTGACGCTGGTCAAGTCGTACAACATGGAGGAGCTCGACAACTACGCGGAGCTCATCAACATTGGCCAGCCCGACTTCATTGAGGTGAAGGCCGTGACGTACTGTGGAAAATCGGACGGTTCCGACTTGACCATGAAGAACGTGCCTTGGCATGAGGAAGTGCGCGGATTCTGCTCGGCTCTGTGCGACCGTGTGAGCGGCGAGTACGCCTTGGCGTCGGAGCACGCGCACTCGAACTGCGTGCTGATTGCCAAGAAGAAGTTCTGCCGCGATGGTGTGTGGCACACGTGGATCGACTACGAGCGTTTCCACGAGCTCGTTGCCAAGTACTACGAGGATGGCACTCCGTTCACTGCTGACGATTACACGGCCCCCACGCCGCACTGGGCTGTGTACGACTCGAAGGAGCAGGGCTTTGACCCTGTCGAAACCCGCTTCCGTCGTACGAAGGACGGCAAGGTTGTCGAGTTTGCGTACCAGTCGACTGAGTCGGGCTGCGGTTAAGCTTACGAGTGGGTTAGAGACTACATCATCTATCCGCGCGAAACTATTGAATCCAATCGACCGCTTTTCAACACGCCTCCCTTCATCTTCGTTTATTCGTGCGTTATTGTGGTAGCTGATGAGTCTACGAGAGCGACCTGAAGACAAACTGGCACTCGAGCACTCCGTCTTCCGGGCAGTCTGTACAATGCAGAGCGTTGTAGATATTGGTACGACCGAACTTCGCACGAAGGCTGTCTGGCCGTAGCGTTTTGGCTACTTGGACGTCGAAAGGACCGCAGAGCTCACGGAATCGCCTCACAATGTCTTCGCCCCGAACTTCGAGCGCTAGACACGGCGATGAACACATGTACTTGAGCATTTCCTGTCGTGTTTGGCACAAGACACTGGTCAGCGGCACCCTAATGCACTCCACAGAGTAACGCGATACGTACGTGGTATTGGCGCACAACACCTTTGTAGATCTGGAAGAGCTCGTCCGCCTCGTTCATCTGCAGATGAACGAGCTTCATCGCTGATACCTCAAAACCCGCTGCCACGATCGCGTCCAGTACCTCACCCACACGAGCTTCGCGGATCAGTCGAGGGCGCACTAGACACAGCGTGCAATTGTCCAGTACGGCTGTTGTTGGGAAGGCATTGCTTGGAGTCGTTCCAGGGCAGAGACTGTCGAGCCCCCTGCTAGCAATTAGCACTACGTCAGCAAGTCCAGCCCCTGCCAGCTTCACTTGGGCGTCTTGAAGCTCTTTTGGGGTAGGAAGCCTCACTTCAATCAGTACGCAAACATCGCTGAGTAGTGCTTGTTGCTGGTTGTTGTCAGTGATGGCCCCCAGAGACTGTAGTGTCATTAGGTGAGGCTTCTGTAGCTGTACCATCCGCAGATCTCGGACCAGCAGACCGCTCTGTTCGATGAGCTGAATGATGCGACCCATTTGGGAGTACCCGCTAGGTGTGACGATGAAAGTGGCTTTGTCTTCTCGCTGTCGAAGCATCTGCCGAGTGAACTCGTTGGCAGGCTCTATGATCGTGAGCTGGCGCGAGTACCTGCGTCGTGAAGCAGTGTCAAAAGATGAGTACAAAAGCGATACCAGCCAAGACTTTTCCCTTTGTTCAGGCTTACACGGTGACAGAGCCTCCAACGTAGAGGTCGTCGAGGTTGACGGTGGGGATCCGGATGCGCTTCAAGAAGATTTTTCTCGTTTTCCGCTCCACCTACAAGAACCAGAACGGGAACCACACAAGAGACCATGAAATTATCTTCTTAGTGCCGAACTCGAAAACTCTGATGGACGTACGAGCTCGACAGTGTTATCTCCGTGGTAGTGCATGATGTAGCCCTTCTTCAGGCCCGACTGCGGGTCATACCATTCCAGGAAGAATGCCAGCTCCTGCTCTTCATCCATAGCTGCTCCAACTACCGAGTAAAGTGGCGCCGGCTAACGCCTTCAAAAGTCGACTATTTCCGTCGGGGTATAACTCCTGCAGTCTTCCACGGCGCGACGCTTTTCATGCGGCGGATCTTCCAGAATCTTTCATGAAAAGGCACACCTCAGTCTCCATTTTGCGTTTAAGAGCTAACGCGCAAGGTTCCGAACGAAATTTACAGTCGCCGAAAGCTACGGAGGTGAACTATGAGGTGAGCTCATGCGAGTTTGCAGTACTATGTCATTGTTGGGGCTAACGCAGCTACGTTTGTGTATGGCGCAGTGACGTGCTCGGGGCGCAGTACCTGGTGCTGCCCACTGAGGCGGAGCAGATCGTGGAACGACTGCAAGAGCAAACGCCCGAGCAGATTGGACGGTCTACCCAATGGCTCGAGCACCACCATGCAATGGAGAAGCTGAACCTGCAGGCGCACCAGTCGGCGCAACGCAAGCAAGACAACTTCGTGGTGGAGAGTTTGCTGACCTTCGACAAGTTCCCGACTGTCATCAGCAATTTGCTGTCTCTGGAGCTGTGGAAGGCGAACGTGCTGCCGTTGCTGCGCTGTCAAGACAAGGACGCTGCGTCCTTGCGACTCTATTTCGTGGTATATCACGAGGCCACGTTAACCAACTTGCTCGAGGTCGCGTTCTTCCATGAGCATGTAGTGGAGAGCCTCTCAGACGACCTACTGCTGGAACTTGTCGACTACTGCATGCGGAAGCTTTCGTGGCTGGTTGGTCTCCCGCGCGAGCGCATTACCGAAGGTACGATCTTCCATAAGACTGGGTCGGAATTGGTGCAAATGGTGCAAGCCCAAAGCCCCCGCGAAGAGCTTGAGCGCCAACGGATGGAGATCGAGTTCCGCGTTGCGGTGCAGACTGTCACCATCTTGCGCTACGTGGCCGAGAGACTTCAAGCACTCCCACTGAGTGTTGTGTCGCGTCTTCTGGACAAGCACGACGCCTTGCTCACGCTCGTGGCACTTGTTGAAAACCCGCCATGGACGCATAAGGCTGTCGTCAAGCTACCAGCGAAGAAAGACGACGCTAGTGATCTGAGCCCGAGGGCTGAAGTCAAGTGGAAGAAGTTCGTGGACCAGAAGTGGATCACAGTGGAGCCTAGTGACCTCCTCGCTCTCACGACGACCGAGGCACAAGTCTGGCTGGCTATTTACTATCTGCTATGCACCAAGTCAGCGCGTGAGCACTATGAGGTGACCCAGTATCGGAAGGACCAGCTACTACGCATCCGCAAGTACCTGAATGAGCTGCTGGTGGACCAACTCCCTCTACTAGCTGACGTTCAGAGGTACTTGGATGAGCTGGCCATCGTACAGGTGGGAAGCACGTCTGTATTGGGGAAGAATGGTCTGGTGATGGAGGCTGTGCCCTATCTGCGTGATCGCATTGTGCGGACTTTCCGTCCAAAGTACCAAGAACTCGCTCAGGAGTTTGACGAACTCAGTGTAAGCTTCAGTCGTGGGGAAGATCTCAAGGCACTGGCGGAGCTGTACCAAATGGATGGGATTGAAGAGCTTCTCGAAGGCGGAAGCGGAGCAGGCAATAACAACGCAGAAAGCGGTGATGAAGAGGAAGAAGAAGCAAATGGTAACGAGAACAACTTGGCACAGCTCACGCCGACGCGCGTCAGGCTCAAATTCTTAAACTTTCCGCTTCAGCAGCGCATGGGTTCGACCAAGAAGCCACTGATTGTGGAGCTGGATGACGATGAGGAGCCAATACAGAGCAACCAAGCTGACCTCGTGGAAGTCGAGTATGAGGTGGATCTGAAGAGCCAAAAGACGATGGAGGGCAAAGCGCTGCAGTATCACCGCTTCCGTCTGCACAAGAGTAAGAAAGCAACAGACGTGGGGTTGATTCAGAGCCACGCCTCGGTGAGCGCGCAGGTTTGGTTTTCAGGAGTGGAAACTTCTCGTGAACATGACCTGAAGTTGTCCTGCGACGATCTTCAACTCCCTGAAATCGAGAAAGCTGATGCTGGTCGATCGAGGTTGTGGAAGCAGATCGGATCACTCGAAGAAGCGAGCCTCGTTGTTGTGCAGTGCCAATTCATCGAGGATGCAGACCAAACTGTAGATGAGTGTATTTCCTACGGATACCGCCTCGGCGCACTCTACCTAGCAGTCCCATTCTAAAGACACTGTATAACTTTTCCTCACTCATCGAAAAATGCACACGTGCCTCACTGTTGTTCAAACCGGAAAGCGTGCAGCATGTCCACGACTGCATCGAGGCTGATGCGCTTGCTGGGCTCGTAGCAACACATATGCTGGATCAGGCTCCACTGTAGATTAGTAAATTTCTTGGAGCGAGGTGGCAGCGCTTTTCGCTTAGTCACGTGAAACTTCACCGCTGCCTCGGGTAGACCAGCCCAGGGTAAGTCGCCACTGATAAGCTCAAGAATACACATTCCAAAACTATAGACGTCCGACATCACCGTGGGCTCTTCGCCCTTGAGGTATTCGGGGAATGGTCTCCACATTGGCATGGGCGGGGTGTTGGTCGTGTCCGGATTGCGCCAGCACACTCTTACCAAAGTCGCCAAGTTTAATGGCTTCAGTGCCTATCATGAACGTATTCCCCTTCAGATCGCAGTGGATTAGTCCTCGCTCGTGCAGATACTTCAGTCCGATTCCTGCTTGGTTCAGGCATTGCATAATGTCAGCAGGATCGCCACCGTTCTTGTCGTAGTTGTCGCCCCGAAAGTTCAGAGAAGTCGATTTGGCTGGCTCGCATAGGAAGAAGGGTGTCCCGATGTGGCAAGCTCCGTATAATTGAACCACGTTCTGGTGGTTTAGCATGAACCAATGGTCCGCCTCCCGCTGGAACAACTTTATCGCGTTGCTTGTTGGCGGCAAACCTCTCCCAACCTCCAGAACCTTTACCGCAACGTCTGTATCAAACCATTTGCCATAATACACGTCGCCAAAGCCAATGCGTTTATCCAGAACTACCTCGTAAGGTGGGATGAACCAGCTCGGGATGGCTTCAGCGCCTTCCCCTATCGTATCCAGCACTGAGAGCGCCTGCGACATTGCCTCCAGAACAGAGTTGGGGTAGGAGCTGCGGCGCTTGTGAAGCTCAAACTGAAGCAGCACTTGCGCTTCCATCCTGGACTTGGGATCACTTAGCTGTCGCTTCAACTCCTCCGTGTTTTCCAGGTATGCTTGAAAAGCACGGAGCTGCTCTCGACGATCCTTGTTCCGTCTGAGCTGCCAGTCATGAACATCTTGAGCATCATGAATGCCACCGCGTGGTGCAGGAGTCGGAGATGACGCCGATGTAGGGGGTATTTCAGGTAGAACCAGAAGACGATCAATCTCGCGGTGGAGGATAACGATGTTCTGGCCTGCTGCGCGAGATGCGCAGTAGCTGGCAACCACGTTGCTGCTCAACTGTTCTGTTCCAGCATTTTGCCGAATAAGTCGATCGTAGAAAAGATCTAAGACGTATACGAATCCATTCGTAGCGCTGGTAGCTTCCTCACGTGATTGGATTTGCGCGCGAAGGACTGTCAGACGGTCAAATACGTCCTGGGGCATTGATCCAATGGTCTCGAGCATCTCCCTGCACCTGCGTTCCAGGAAGGGTATCGCCCTCGCAACTGTTAGGTTCATTTTTCGCACGATGCAACCGTCAACACTGGTTGGAAGGACTTCGTGTGCTTCGCTTGGTAGGGGGTCCAAGCTTTCTCTCGAATCTACAGCGTAAGACCTAGCTGGAGCTCTGACAAATTGTTGCAGTTGATGTACAACATACCATATGGTCACTCTCCTTTCAGGAATCCTCACGCACATTCTATTTACCAAGTCCCACTCGCATTCGCTTAAAAAATCTGGACGTTCCTGTGGCAACACAAGAAGCTTTTCATCACCGCTTGAGGACTTCCATTGGCGAGTGTTGTAAATGGCCAGCCCAAAAGCGAAAATATCGTTCGGCACACTCCACGTGGGGGAATTCAGCTTTAGCACATTATCATCTGCGCTGGCTCGTGGAAGTAAAGCTGTTAATGCATCCATGCTAAATGTGTTCACCGCGCGACGGATTAACAAAGCTGAGGTTTGCCTTTCGATTGGGACCAGCCCTAGTCCAGTCAGCACACCATTAACCGTAACGTGGGGACGAGTCAGTAGTCTGGTGTTTTCGAAGTTCTTGTATCCAAGCTCGCGTTCATGCAGATACTGAAGCCCAAGGGCCCATCCAAGCAATGGCTCCCACGACTGCGCGTTTACATGGTTGGGAACCAAAGGCTCCGCGAGCTCATGCACGACGAATGGATTCTTGCCGATATGGCAGGCGCCTAACATCTTAGCCACATGGGGGTGATTGAGATCTGCCCACACAGTTGCCTGGCGCAGACACGCTTCTTCTTCCTCCTCCCAGGTCGCAAGATCTCCCGATCCTGTCTGCAAGGCCTCTCCAGTCATACACTTGCTCACTCGAACATCATGCAGATAGCAAACCCCGTTCTCAGACAGCAGGTCATTCGGGGACAAGAACCAGCTTGGAGGATCTTCTACAAGTGTGATCCCAGAGTGACGCACCACCTCATCGTATACGTCCGACATGACATCGAGCTCCTCGGGTGTGAGGATATTGTGGTACGCAGCAGTGTCATGCTTCAGAACCGTTAGCAGCTCCATTTGCTGCGCCTCATCACCCATGAGCTCCAGCAGACGCTCCTTGTCGCCAAGAATTTCCTGGAACCAGGACACCCCTCAAGCCCCATAACCTCCACGTAAGACTCCACCACCCTCCCAAATCGAAGCAAAATGCCCACGACGTGTCCGGTCATCGCCAGCTTGAGCAGCACCCTCGTCTCAGATTCGTAGGCGATTAACTGACCGCTGAGATTCAAGCCCCGACGGCAAACTGGGTGATTGAGCACGAAGTCATTACGCAGAGCCACCAAGTAGTCCCCCAGTCGGTCTTGTGTCCAGATGACTTTATCTGGGCGGTTGCTTCGGTCCCACCGATTCGGTCGAGCTGGTCTACAGGTCGCCGGCGAAATCGAACTAGTTTGATCTATCTGATACCTGCTTCTGGTGCTCCCGTCCAATTGCAGTGGAGTTCCGCCTTCGAATGCGCCGTTACTCAGCATGTTTACAACCGCGCTTGCGTTGATGCGGTTGTGAGGATCAAAACAACACATTCTCGTCACTAAGTCCCACAGAGAATCAGTTAGCCCTTTTGGGCGTGATGGAAGCACTTTTCTCACTGTAACATTTTCGCGCACGACACTGTCTGGAATCTTTCCCCAAGGATATGCCCCTGTAGCAGCTTCAAGAAAACACATACCGAGCGAAAATATCCGACGCGCAAGTTGGGGCGTGGCCAAGCAAGCACTCCGGGGATTTCCACTGAAACGCACCCAACGCTCCCTCGTAAAAGCTCGAGCTAACTCCGTCCACGAAAATGCTTAATCCAAAGTCGGCAAGTTTCGTTACCGCGCTGTCTAGGTCTGTTTCGTGGGCCAATCAAACCAAAATGTTGTTCCCCTTCAAGTCTCCATGGACAATACCCCGGCCATGAAGGTTTTCCAGTCCCAAAGCAGCATGCAAAATGCAGTCATGCAAGCGTTCTCCACGCTCTCGCTTCAAGAATTCCGGTAGCGTTTTGCCAATCGCATGTTCACAGACGAAGAACGGGTGATTAATGTGGTTCGCGCCGTACAACCGCAGTAGATTTTTATGGCTCAGCGTAAACCATAAATCGGCTTCTTGATAAAACTGATCACGGTACATTTGCTTCGTTTGATCCGTCAAAACTTGCTTCACCACAACATTTGCGCCCAGCCATGTAGCAGCATAGACAGCGCCAAATGCCCCGCTGTCTATTGCAGCCTTACGACTAACTTCCTCCACTGGTATAAACCATGTTGGTAGCGAGAGCAAGGAAGCATCAGTATCAGCTTTATCGTCCTCTTCCTCATCATTTTCCTTGTCACTTGAGCACTCCGTGGTACCTTCAGTCAACGATGCTAATGTTTTCTGTTTTGTGTACCGAAGTAGTTTGTGTGGAGATATCCACTGATGCAATTCAGAAGAACTCAGTATGCCCGAACCACTTGCCATCAATTTGTCGATATCCTGCTGCAAACTGTAGTTGCGATTCGCAATCGTACGCGAGGGACACATTGACGATGCAGAGCAAAATGGATCACATCGCTTTTCCAGTTTCCGGTAAAAGTCCCAAACAATTAGAGAATAGTCTTTCACTAACTGTGCCGGTAAAGGGCGAGCGTGGCCCACGAGCTGTTTGTACAGGTCAAGCAGTCGGTCGTACACACAGCGGTTGACTTGGGCGAATTCCTCGATTTGATCGCACAATTCGTCTGCGTCTTGTAGCAAATCAGCGATCGTTCTCCTAGCACTACGGAATATGAACGATGTGATGTCATCAACTGGCACCTCCAAACTTTGAACAGATTCGTCCTCGAAATATTCTTGCTGAAGGTGTTCTTCGATTCTTTGGGTTTTGTCAAGATCCCGCATTCTCTTTACTAGATCACTCGGAGAGTTAACGGTGCCAAAGCTCAGCAGAATACTCCACTCCTCCTCACTTACAAAGGCCGGTTTATCATACGGGAGGTCTGAGCCGCGTGCAAGGCGACTGTACCCACGAGAACGAGCCAAAGCGGAAAAAATCACCATGCCAAATGACGCCACATCAGCTTGAAGTGCTTGGTAAGAATCATTCTCGTTTTTCCGGTCATGTAACTTCATCAACTCCATGCCACTCAGCATACCTCGCTTTGCTTCTTTATTGTAGCGCAATGTTTCATCCTTCCATTCCTTGTGAACAAACCCACGTTGATGTATGTAATCCAGACCAAGAGCGCAGTCACTGAAAAAAGACCACTTAAATAGCCCCGGCTGGTCTACTTCGTGCAAGACAAATGGGGAGCCAACGTGGCACCCTCCATAGAACTTTCGTACGTGGGGGTTGTGCAGCGTTGACAGCGCTGCTGCCTGTCTTAGACAAGCTTCCTCGCCGTCGTAAACACGTGACCTCCGCGCCCCGTCCGGCGGGCGTACGACAAACCATGTCGGTAGTCGTCCGATTATCAAGTTGCTTCGCAACACTAACGCGTCGAAAGCCGCAGAAATGGTATCAAGCTCTCGTGGTGTCAACACCGACCCAAATTCGCGTATTCCATGCTTCAGCAGGGTCAAAACTTCAAGTTGCTGGTCTTCATCCTCCATCTCCACCATAAAATCTTCTTCATTTGCCAGCAGTCGATCGTAAAAGTCCATGCGCATCTCGCGCTCATTCTCAAAACACCATACCACTCGTCCCTTGTCTTAGTACTGTAGATATCGAGAATATGGAGCGAGGTGTCGATCCCGCGCCTGAGCAGCTGGATGACTCGCCCAGTATCGGCCAGCTTAACAAGCAGTCGTGACTCGATTTCGTAGTCCCCAAGGCGATCGAGCAGTTTCTTACTCCACGTAGCAACTGGTTTGTCGTCTTTTGCACGGCGCGTAGCTCCCAGCAGCGTTGATATGAGGCCATCTCCAATAAAATAGGACGAATGAATCGGATCCATCCTCAAGGAAGACCAGCGACTGTTCTCCTCGCAAAGCGGGTCGACAAGCCGGCCCCACCACAGCGGCGCTGTTGCGTTGGAGCCCATGACTCCACCGTCGCGGCGGTGACAATGGGGGCGCGCGGCACGGCTGATTTATCCCTCCGTATGATACGATCTTTGAGGTAGTGAAGCTCCGATACTGTATCTGTGATAACGTTAAATCTGGATCTACCTTCCGCTTATACCGGCATGTACGGTAGTGCAGTGTACTCTTCAATTTCTCTCCTAGCCGGCGTTGCTCCCAGGAATTGAGGCGAACAATTCATTGAAAGTAAGTACATTCATTTAGTCGTGCTGCTTTGGCAAAAGATCAGTAACACTACGAAAGGCTCGGCGTTCACCAACGTCGAGTGTGGCACGCCTTGTTGTTGTTGATGGTGGTGGTCTCAACTTAGTTGAGGGTGCCGGACACAGCGCCGACCTTGGTGGTGGGCGTTCCAGCGGCGCTCTTCAAGTAGCACACAGGCTGTCCGGGGTTGTTGTTGATGTACGTGTAGGCCTTGCATCCGGCAGTGCTGGCGCACGCATCGCAGCAGAGCGACGGGAGGCTCACGTAAACTGTCTTGATGTCGTTTCCATAGTAATCCTTGTCGGTGATCTGCTTGGTGCACTTGGTCGGGGGCTGGATGCACTGGTAGTAGTTGTCGCTCCATGGCTGGCAGTAGTATCCGCTGGGGCAGCAAGTAGCTCCGTTGCTGGAGCCACAAGGGCCGTACGCTGCCGTCGTACACGCGGATGACGTCGGCGTGGGCGTGGGCGTTGGTGTCGTCGGACCCGAAGTCGTCACAATGCCCGAGACCGCGCCAACGGAGGCCTTCTTGGTGCCCGTTCCGCTCTTCAAGTAGCACGCGGGCTGTCCCGGGTTGCTGTTGACGAACGTGTAGGCCTTGCAGCCCGCTGTCTCGCTGCATCGCGTGCAGCACTCGCCTGGTTGAATGCCGTAAATGGTTTGGATGTCGTCCCCGTAGAAGTCCGTGTTCGGGAACTGCTGCGTGCACTTGGCGGGGAGGTCGAGGCACTGGTAGTAGTTGGTGTTCCACGGCTGGCAGTACTGGTTGGTCGGGCAGCAGCTCACACCAGCAGCATCAGAGCCGCAGCTGCCGAACGAGGCGGTGGAGCACGCCGCGGACGTGACGGCAGCAAGGCCAGCGAAGACGACGGTAATGCGAGCGAGCATTGTCTTGGAAAACCCTTGGATGGAGAGAAGGAGGGGGAAGCTTGATCTGTTGCGTCGAGCGCAAATGGTGAAGTGAGAGAAAACGGATGCTAGAAAACGGATGCTAGTCCGAAGTGGTTGGCGAGGGTCAATGCCAAGCTCGCCATGACTCATGATTCCTACCTGGTTCATGACAACTTCAACTTGCCACTATCAAAATATTTTTGCTGTTTGTATCCATAACGGAATGATTGCATCGTGGCTAAGGCCACGTTATTCACAAACGGCACCGTCAAATCAATACAGCTGCATCCAGTTTCCCGCCGTTTGAATACCGGTGCTTGAAGCAGTCAACGCGAAGGCCATCATACTATGATTCATAGTTTAGGAACGGCCCTATGGGGCCCATAGGGCCCATGCAAAATCCATCACGCAATTGAGGAAGCTGCGGTCGGGCGGGCGCTTGGGACCAAGTCAGCACCTTCACTTCACGTGTCTGACCCAGCCTCTGGGCTGCGTGGTTGATTCAGTTTGCTGGGTGTGAAAAATTGGGAAGGCGAACGCAACGCGGCTGCCTCGGACATCGTGACTTTGACACGCAAGGCAGTCAGCGTTAAGGTTGACGTGGGACGCTTTCATGCGAAGTCTCCACTCGCGGCCACCCCCTGCGGCACTGGTAAGGCATGAGCTGCTCATGATGAGCATGAGTCGTGGATCCCGTGACGTGTCGCGTCACATCGTCGGCAGCTCGCAAGGAAGTCAACGCCGGAGGTAGCCGGGCAGAGGGGTCATCCGAAATACCATCTGACGGTCGATCTTTTGGTGAAACTTTGGTGTCGCGGTTCATGACTCGCGCTAGCGAGCGGATCCGGAGACTGTAAAGTAGCTCCGCAGCGTTGACAGGCCGATGGCGCAGTGCTCGCAAACCAAGGGCAGCGAGAAGTTCTAGCGTGGGGGCATCCTCATCTGTCAATGTCCTGCACCGTTGCTACATAGCCCTTGCATCTCGTCATCCACCAGGGGAAATGGCCAGGATCGCTTTTATCGCTGCGTTGTTGTTAGGAATTCTGTCTCTTGGTGCTGTTGACAAGCTTGCGTTGAGGCGACAGCTGCGGAGACTCAATCACATCGTATTGCTGCCAGGACAACCTGCACTGTATCCTGGGGCTCGAGCGACTATCAGTTGATGCCTACGGCGGCGATATTGATCAAGTCTACGACCTCCAACCAGTCGACTGTTGCGCTGCGTGTTGAGCTACCGGCGGCTGTCTTGTTAGGAGTAGTAAAAGATTATCGCCTGGAGTAGTAACGATATCGTCCCGAATAAGTGAGAAGGTTCGAAAAGACGAGTCAACCCGGTTGCAGCCGGCAACTCGATGATTCAGAGTGCATCATTCGGAGTGCATGTAGTATGAATACGCTCAATCGTACATCATGCATTAAAATTGCCGTCGCGGCTGTGCCTAGGAGAAGGTAAGAGTTTTCAGTTGGAAGACCATTGTGCATACTTGAACGACGCACCTTACGTCGTGTATCCTATACTGGGTCGTATGAAGTTCACACCGAAGAAAAGATACCACATCTAGTGATACAGTACGCTATGCAGCAGCACACTGGACCAACTCGAGGCAAAAACAGCGCGCTCGTAGAGTTCGGTCTGCCAGTTGGGGCGATGGAACTTTGCCGGTGTCATATGCAACACCATTTGTTGGCTTTCAGCTCCTCTTGTCGAGTTTTTGGCGTTCGCACGTGCCGGAAGAACCTCTTTGGTTCAATGCGATAGCCGGATTTTCGAGTCGGTGAGCCGCTGATACAGCGAGCTCACCTTCAATACATTATATTTACAACGTGGGGAGATACCCAGATGGCAAGGTGTGCCCCCTGTGCAAAAGTCCTCTCGTACCAGCTCTCCCAACGTCCGCTTGCAGGGCAGCATAGCATGTGGCGCCTACGCGTTCTAGCCTGTGCGGGCTCACTCTCGAACTTACCACATAGCCCCCAAGCGCGCTACGTCCTTACGATTCCAAGTCCATCATGCGTACTCTGAGTGTCGCCGCTGCCACCATCGCCCTCTTATCTGGACTTTCGGACGCTGCGTGCCCCAACGCTAGCCACGGCAAGTGTGGAGATGCCTCTGCGCCCGAGTGCTGCCAGGACGGAAACTACTGCATGCCCTGGGCCTCCGGCTACTACCAGTGCTTGCCTCTGCCTTCGCAGTGCGCTCGCCAGTTCACGGGCTACGACTTCTACGGCGGCGATATCAAGACGATCACCGGTTTGCAGCCGGGTGACTGCTGCGCGACGTGCTTGGCAACCAGCGGGTGCTTGGCGTACACCTTCCTCAACGAGTACCAAGGCACGACTGCTTGCTTCCTGAAGGCGGGCATGGGCCAGCCGAGAAAGGTTGCGGGAGCCATCTCGGCTGTCGTCGACGGCTACACTAGCGACCAAGATCACACCCCGAAGCGCCGTCTTCAAGGTGACGAGCCTCGCTTCGAGATCCCTGAGCTCTCCTAAGCTGCTGACCAGCTTGTGGTGATGTTAGCGCCCGCCGATCGTGACGTCCGGATCGATGATTTACAACAACTGAGTCCCCGAGTTCTCAATACAATTTGCATGCACATCAACCGGAGGCGTATGAGCATCATTATGCGTAGGAGCTCAAGCTTCTCGGGCCGGATTGGAGTTGGATAGGCGATGTTCACTGGCGTCACGTTGAGCGTACCGTATCACCAGCACATAACACCGTTGGAATTCATGGCTGTGGCGTCCGCAATACTTAAGTACATGGTTACTATAGAATCATTTTGGGGCTGTACGAAGGCACAAGATATCGCGAGTTGTACAGAAGTCTGTAGCCACACGGAACTAGTTTGGACACCAGATGTCAACATTCCTCCGCTTGGAGGAAGCCATTGTCGGCGCTATTAGTGCCCCCTGCTGTTCGTGACGACAGAAAATCTCACTCGAAACAAATACTGTCGTACGTGACATCCTCCAAGCCGCCCGGCAATATTCGCATGGGCGACTCCACCACCAACTAGAAGGCGGCAGATGCGTCGAGCCTTTCAGCATTTGCCAGCCAAAATGTAGCACACAACTCTTAAGAAGCTACCCAGCCGAGCATCACCGACGCGAGACGTCCCTCAGTGCCTGCATACCTTGGACACTAAACAGCCGCCTCACCGATATTAGTGGTTGTCAGAGTTGGATGCAAGCCGCTTTCCAAGAAGAATCTCATCATCTTATTAGACAAAATTCCCCTGCATTACAAGAAATCTTACATCTTACCCTTGCTTTTTCTTTCCAGGAGATTACTTGGAGTCCAAGGAGTGTGCGACACACAAAATAAAAGCACGAAGATCTCGTCGCGGCAAGCGAGCTAAGCGCGAAGACCAAGAAGAAGCCGGTCTTCTAAGACCACGATGCGGTCACCGACGGCAAGTCATCTCTGCAGGTCGTCCTGGATTGGCTATCCACGGAGGCAGATTACAGCAAGTGGCGGGGCAGCGAGTACGAGTTGGCATCTTTTTGAATGAGGCGAGGGTCACCTGATTGGTTAGGCGACCTTTCGCCTAACCCTTTGCCTGATTGGATCCAGCGAGCTTGGAAACGTAGTCAAAGTTCGCATCCTGTCATTGGCTAATGCTCCTACTTGCATCCAGGGCTTGCATCCAAGTCTGACAACCACCGGGAACAAAATTTCATCAGCATATCGCATCAGGCTGCAAGATTGAGATGCTAGTACGTCATGTGCGATACATCGATAGTGGCTCAATCAGCCTGAACAAACCTTGAAGCAATTCGGCATCGTGCACGCATTTTTTGGGCAAGGCTAAGAATCAAGCGTTCTGACAACCTGCTGCCACATACATTAGTGTGGATAGCAAGGGTGGCGTTGCGATGACCATTTTCGCTGGATCTTGACGCACAGGTGAGCGAGGCATCGACTTGGTTTGAATATTTGGTTTGACACGCGAAGCACCTGCACACGGAAAACCATGTTGCCTCTTGATCTTATGTTTCAACGCATACCCTGTGTAAAGCACGCATCGGACACCTTAAGTTTGAAGCTTGTTGACTGAAGGCACGTACTGAGGCATTGACGCACTCGAACGTTGGGCGCGTTGCCCAACTCAGGGATGCCGGGGTGGGTGACCAAGTGTCAGGCAGGACGACAAGCACAGGTGTGTTGGCCCTCCTCACTTCCTGTCTTGCCTCCAAAGCAGCAGACCAAGCCTCCACTCCACCCCATCCAAGAGTTCCTCCGCAGACAATGCTCGCCCGCATTACCATCGCGCTTGCCAGTCTCGCCGCCGTCGCTGCAGATGATTGCGCTACGGCTTCCTACGGCAGCTGCGGTTCCGACGCTGCCGGAGTGAGCTGCTGCCCGACCGGTCAGTACTGCCAGCCATGGGACTCGGCCTACTACCAGTGCATCGACGTCCCTGCCAAGTGCACCGAGCAGTACCCCGACGTTGACTTCAACGGTGACGACCTCGAAACAGTGTACGGAATCCAGCCTGGAGAATGCTGCACACGATGCACAGAGACCTCCGGGTGCGTCGCTTACACGTTCGCGAACAGCAACCCCGGGCAACCAGCTTGCTACCTCAAGAGCGGCACTGGCACCAGGACAACCTCCGTTGGGGCCGTCTCTGGGATATTGACAACCAACACGAACTCGACGACGCCGACACCGACGCCAACACCGACAGCTGCATCCACTTCTTCTCCAACTTCAGCTCCAACGCCGACGGCTACTTCCACCCCAACGCCAACCCCAACGTCAAGCTGCGCCACGGCGGCCTACGGATCCTGCGGCTCCAGCACCGGAACAACTTGCTGCCCGAGCAGCTACTACTGCCAACCATGGAGTGATAGCTACTATCAGTGCGTCCCACCTCCGTCGCAGTGCTCGTCGCAGCTGACGGACACGGATTACCCCGGCAACGACCTCGAGACGGTCTACGTGAGCCTTCCGTCGCTCTGCTGTGACGCCTGTGCTAGTAAGGCCGGGTGCAAGGCTTACACGTACATCAACAACAACCCCGGACAGCCCGTGTGCTACCTGAAGAGCGCTGTCGGCACCGCCAGCAACAACGTGGGCGTTGTATCTGGTATCCTCAACTAAGCTTGAGACGCAACACATGCATGCTCTTGTCCTGGATGGTACCAACCAAATCCTCGTGAATCCCTTCTTGGCGCAGTTTCCAGAGTTAACCATAGCACTAATTCATGAAGCTCGTACGACAATTCCTTGTCTGTTGCAAATGCAGCTCCCTTATATCGGGAAGGCATCACTTGGAAGCAATGACACCAGGTTAAAGGATCGTCGAGGTGCATGAACGTCACCGTGACTTGAATCTTGGTAGCTGCCACTGGGCTGGCTAGCACTGTCATGGCCCCGCACTGTAGCGCACACTAGCTGGGCCTCGAACTTTTGGGATGAATCTTCGACGAGAGCATTGAGAAGCGAAGCCACAGCAGATGGGGCGTGGAACTGAGCACTCGACAAAGTACTGGGGGAACCCTTCGTTTCACACACGTCTACCAGGTCCCGAGCCTCGATGTTCCCCAGAATTTCCACGATCGCTTGGTTCTCCAGCTCAACCTGCAAGCGCTCGTTCCGCGAGTCTCGTAAAATCATCGAGATGTGGCGGTATCTCCAGTCACATGGGGCATCAACAGAACTGCCTCGACGCGTTTTGCATTTATTTGCGCAAGCAATATAGCCATGCAACACTCTTTTCCCTTGACAAGACAGCTCAGGTAGTGCCCGATGGCATCCAGTACAATATCGTTCCGCTAAACGCGGGGCAAATGTCGCCAGCACGCTCGCTTCATTTCCAAAATGACGACCCAAGTGTATCTGCTCGACTCGAACATTTTGCAACGTACCCTGGCCCTCGAAAAGAGATACTTGCAGTTCTTCCAAGGTAGCAAATGTCACCTGGCCCCCAGGGTTCTTTACAACGGCGCGTTGTGAGGGTACTCCGACACCAGCAAATTTCTGTTCCAGTGCGATCGACTCTGGGTCATCTGCTTCCAGCAACCGAAAGCTCGTGTGCGGTGTCGTGTTCGCCAGCAAACGGTTGGATAGTGCTTGAAGACTCACCACAATGCCATCGATCTCGACAGCACCGCGGTGTTCGACCAACCGCGTCACAAAGCGCTTCTCAGCATGCTGGTCCCAAAGGTTCACCGTCATCGCGTCTCTAGCAGAATCATACATGATGAGCTCACAGAGCAGCACGCCATCCATCTCCGAGGCAAAGCCCGTGCCACCTCCAGTATCCCCAGTTCCACCTTCTTTCGGAGATTGCAGCTTGCAGACAACCGACGCGACCATGTTCTCTCTCAAGTCCTTAATCGTCGACCTGTTCTTCCTCTTGAATCCGGTCGACGTCGACAGCATTCCATCTTCCTCTCCAACAAACTCTCGGCAATGCTGCTTGTACCATTCAATCATGGGGTATAGATCCTTCAACGGGGCGTCCTGCACACTAAAGTATCGGTCCTTCCGGTACAGCAACTGCGCTGTCGAGGACGTCGCGGCCTCTTCGTTGCGCAGGATGAACTGCGCCTCCACGTTGCCCCGGTACGATTTGATGCGGCAGCAGGAAAAGAAGACAATGTCCCCCACTTTAATCACCGCGTCCGCGCTGGACAAGCGCATGGGGTCCGAGTCCCCGTCCGAGTCCGCCGTGGACGCGGACTGTATCAACGTTGGTGGGGCGTCCCCCCAGCACGTGACCTTGAAGAACTGGCGACCGGCGTCGCCCACATGCAGCACGTGGCACGACTGCACTCGCTGGCGACCTACCAACACTCTCTTGCCTGTGGCCACCTGCTGCACGGCCGCGACGAAGCGCACGCTGCGCCCGACATGCGCCGCCGCCTCGGCTAGCGCGATCGTGTCCATTGTCGATATTGCTCGTCGCCCATAGGCTGTTTATGTGCAACCTTTTCCACCAATAGAAAGTCTGATGGAAAAGATCCCGCCTTTAGCCAATCAGAGCGCACCTTGAGGTTATCCGTCTGATTCTCGTCACTCCACTTCAAGCCCCAAGACCCCCTTGATCCCAGGAGCTCCACAATGCTGACTATGTTCCGAGGCGCCAGCACCGACGCCGAAGCCACGGCTCCGCTGCAAGCGGTTGTGGACCTCGTGTACACCACGGACGCGTCGTGCCGCGCGGTCACGGAGCTGCCGAGCTCCAGTGACGCACTGGCGACGCGTCTCCTGCCGGCCGGCGCGGCCTTCCGCGGCAATATGCAGCTGTCCAAAGCCGCCAGCGGCCACGGCTGCGCGCTGTATCTGACGGTCAAGGGCGCGGTGTCGGCTTCCGCCACCGACTTCCATGACGCCTTCGATGTGGCGCGCGGCGTGCACCAGCAGCTGACGGCTCTGCTGAGCTCCAAGGGCCTGGAGAACGTCGCGCTCGCTCGCGCCGCGGTGGCGCTGGACGGCGACAAGCTGCTGTCCGTGTCGCTGCAGGGCGAGGACTCCACTACCGCTCCTGAGAGTGTACTGACTGTGCAGCAAGGAACGTGCACGGAGCTGCTGGCGGCGCTGCAGAACGCAGCAGATGTCGAGAACTTGCTGCCGAGGCAGGTGAAGACCAGTGCACTGGACGTCACCAAGCAGGCTGGTGCTGATGAAGCGGCCGACTGTGCTGTGGGCCTGGAGGTAGCGGGACTTGCCCAGCATCTTACTGCGGACGCTGACGCGTTCCAGCTGCTCAAGGCTGTGGACGAGAAGATGGAGAGATTCTTCGCTGGTCAACCGAGCGCGACGCTCGCCAGCACCAATGTGCGACTGCACGTGGCATCGGCTGAGGAGAATGCGGCCCAAACGTTGGCCGCTGAGACGGCAAGTGTGGATGCTGCTCCGTCAACCAATGTGACGTTCAACCCACCGTCGTACGAGGAGGCGTTGGGCATCTTTGCTCTCGTTGCCGTCCTCGTAGCGATGATGATGGGGGTCGTGGTTCAGAAGAAGCGCAACGATCGGCGTTGCCGTGAACGCTATGAGCGCGCGAATCGCGCCGCGCAGATCCGCCGTGTGTCCATCCGCATGAGTCAGTACGACCGAGAGGAGGACTTGGACAATGAGGGTGAAGAGGATAGTCTGCTTTGAGTGGATGCCTGCGGCAATGTCGATTGAGACTGAAGCAGGTGCAGCCAGCCACTTGCGCCAACTTTATGAACCCAGAAAACTCGCTCAAAGAGCGAATCAAGTGTCGTCAAGATGCATGTGGAGAGCAGCAACCACAGCGATATTAACCGAAATATCGGCATTTTTGTTTATTGGTGCTTTACTTGCTAGTCGTGCATTCGGAACGCACAGTTTTTCACATCGAATGAGGAAATGAGCTCATTCTTCAACGCGTGCCGAGTTGACGCTGAGGGTCACCATCTCTGCAGCTAACACTGTTTCTTGGCCTTCTTCCTCAGGGGTGAGTGAGCTGTGCTTGGTTCCCGCGTCTGCTGCTTCGGTGGTGCTTGGGCTAACGCTTGCACTGGAGTTTTCCACGTGAAATGCCTTGGTAACAACGCCAGCTTGGGACACCTCCGTGTGGTGAATGAGACTCGACGATCCTCCCCACGGAGCCTTGCATACAACAATTTCGCACTTGTACTCATCCGCCTCTTCTTCAGCAGCTTTCGTCACGACACTGGACACGGTATTGGATGTTGACCCTCCACTCACCACAAGGCACACCTGACCATTTCGAATCATATCCCAATACTTGGACCGGAGCTGGAATAAAGTGCAATCGACCGTCAATTTGATTCAGAAAGAAAATTGTTGAAACGACATGAGCGAGCACGAACCTGTTTGGGTACTTTTACGCACGAGTTACCAGCTTCGTTATTGCTGGCTGCTGTACCATTGGATGGCACAGTTGGGCTTAGCGAATGTCCAGAAATGACCACGGTGCCGCGAGCACACAGTTTTCCGTTCTCGAGTTCCTTGCTCATCCAGTCTACAAGCGCCAACATTAGGGGTATTGCAACGCCAACTTGACAAAGTTCAAGCCGTTTTACCAACCTGCCTGTGCTGCTACCTCCTCCGAAAAGTCTGTTTCGCGACAGAGTATGGTCGTGTTTGGCACGATACACTTGATCCCTCCGAACCTGCGCAAGACGAAGTTACTTCAGCTAGCACTAACACACTTTACACGATCTCATGCTCACCAAAAGCTGAATCGAGCGTCACCAAAGTTTTCTTGATACTTGGTAAGCCCATCTTGGGTTTCAAACTCGCCAGACCCAGCGGCGAAAATCTGTTGTAGGTCAAGTTAGTCAGATATAACGAGCTGATACTAGCCTGTCAATACGTACCAGCCGAACTTGGGGGATGATTCGATTAAGTAGTTCCTGGAAGGCTACAACTTGGGCGCTGTAGAACTCTTGAGAAGGCTTGGCGTTGACAAAATCTCCGCAGATCACAACGAAAGCTGGTCGCTGGGAGTTTAGAACGCCAACCGCTTCAAGGAATGCCGCTGATTCTGTTTCCCACGTAGATCCTCCCCTGTTGTCGTTTTCCACTCTAGCTGCAGCCTGACCAAGCTTGGGTCCAGATAGCTACCAGAGTTACAAGAACACATATAATTGTTAGGGTCTGTGTTACCAACGAAGTCGCTTTGACACAATTCATTGCACAAACCTGCATGAAGGAGAAGTTGTCGCTCCATTGATTTTGTAGATCGTGAGTGAAACCCACATATCCTCCGTTGCGGGCGTATAAGCACCGGCCACGGCTAACTGAGCTGAAGAAGCGAGGGTACATCCCTGGGGGCACCAGCACTTCACGTTAGCACACATCAACGCAACAAATAACCGATATGTACTCACCTGGTAAGTGCACTATTTGCTTGCGTCGAAGAATGTGCATAAGTATGCTTCTGTCGCGTGCCGAAAGAGCCTCAATTTGGTCCTGCAGTGCTTCGCCAGAGAAGTCCAGAGGGTGGTGGATGTTGCGGGCCTTTTCCACAGCGGAGAGGCTTGTTACCAGTGGTAGCAGCTCAGACCCGCAAAATTGAGATGCAGGCTGCTTTGCTTGCATGTGATGTTCGAAATCAATGCCCTTGAAGAATGGGTGTGCTACTCATTTGGACAAGACAAAACGCGTTAGAGAATTCGGCAATGCAACCAAGTCCAGCGCAACAAAGAATGTCACCTTTGACAGCACTCATGGCAGAGGCTTGCGTGCCTCCAAGACGAGCCTCTGGGTCTTTTTGCAGCAACTTGGTGATTAAATCCTTGGCTTCGTCTGAAAGATACTCCGGCACGTAGTAACTTCCATCTTGGACGCGCAGGAAGGTGAGATAGGCGCTGCCGCCACTGAACGGAGTCTCTCCTGTCAGAAGCTGGTAGACGATGCAGCCGAAGGCCCACATGTCGCTTGCGTAGGTTGGCTCCTTGTTGTCGATTGTCTCCGGGGGCATGTACTCTGGCGTGCCGACGAAGTTCGGTCCGTTCAGCGTCGTATCCGCGAAGTTCTTGGCTGTGCCGAAGTCAATGAGCTTCAGGTGCCCGCCCGAATCCTTGCAAACCACCATGTTCTCCGGCTTCAAGTCACGGTGCAGCGCCTGGTTTGCGTGCATGTACTCAACGGCATTCACGACGTCTGCCAGGTAGAAGCGTGCCAAATCTTCGTCCAGCGGAAGCTGTCGACCTTCGTGCAGCAGGTGCGTGAGCAGTTCTCCGCCGTCCAGCAGCTCCAGCAAGAAGTACAAATTGTTGTCGTCCTGGAAGGTCTGGTACAGTCGGATGATGTTCGGGTGGCGCAGTCGATTGAGCACGTCCTTCTCCATGTTGATCTCATTGAAGATGTTCTGGTGGCGCAGCCGCAGCCGCTTGATGCGCTGCTTCTCGATCACCTTGAGCGCGAACTGCTCACCCGTGGCCTTGTGCTTGGCCTCGACGATGCGCGAGAAGTTGCCCTCGCCCAGAGGCTTGCCCTGCACGAACTCGTCGATGCTCGGCTTGTCGGTCGCGTCCTTGGCTGTGTGGTACCAGCGCAACGACGCAACGACAAATTCACACACGCACGCACTGTCAGCAAATTGCAACTGGACAATATCTAAACCTCCGCGGGTATTGAGGCGCTATCATAGCTAGATACGTACCGCTCACGGTCATGGTGTCGGTAGGTAGCTCTTTGGAAACTGACCTCCTCGAAAGCTCGCTGACAGTACGACGCTTCAACCGTTTCTATCGGTGTGCGCCACGCGACACAAAGATTCTAAAGCCGCTTAGAAACGATGTGGCTATCTATAGGACCCCTTTTATATACGTTACCTCGGCTGGCCTTGTTGTTTGGGGGGAGACGGAAAATAGCTCAACAACCGACGCGCGCAGTGCGAGAACGCCGAGCCGCCGCCGCCCCGCCATCCCGCGCTTCTCTCGCCATCGCCAGGAAGCAGCAGCCCACCCCAAGCCTCCGCGCGTGCAGGTACAGCGCGCGCGTGCGCATTGCCGCGCCTCGGCAGCTCGCCCGCGATCCTCCCGCGTCCTTGGATACCTTTTTCTCTCCTGTCGACTGACTGCACGCCCGGCCACTTCCTCCGCCTTCTTTTGCGTCGTCCGAGCGCGCGTTTGGCTGTTCGACGCGCGCAATTCGGGGGTGGAATTGGCTGTGCCGGGCGGCTGGGAGGAACGCGGGACGCTGCCGTGGGCGGCTAAGCTCGGAAGGTCGATGCTCTTCAAGTGCTGACTAGTGTTTTGAATGGGTTGTGTCAGATTTGTGTAGCTCGTCACGATGGCTCGTCATGAGAACCCCTTCGACATGCAGATCAAGCTGCTGATGATCGGCGACAGCGGTGCGTGCTGCTGAGACTTTGGAGTTGGCTGCCAAAAGGATCAAAGTTCTGATGAGTTATTGCTTTTGTTATTTGATTTTGGGGGCTGCTTGGGCGCAGGTGTCGGAAAGACGTGCTTGCTGCTGCGCTACGCGAACGACTCGTTCTCCCCGACGTTTATCACGACCATCGGCATCGACTTCAAGATCAAGAACATAGAGCTGGACAACAAGAAGGTGAAGCTGCAGATCTGGGACACAGCTGGCCAGGAGCGCTTCCGCACCATTACGACGTCGTACTTCCGCGGCGCGCAGGGTATTTTATTGGTGTATGACGTCACGGACCGCGCGTCCTTCCAGAGCATCCGCAACTGGGTGGGTCAGATCCAGCAGCATGCTGACGTGCACGTGAACAAGATCCTCATCGGCAACAAGTGCGATATGACGGACGACAAGGTCGTAAGCACGGAAGAGGGCCAGGCATTAGCGGACGAGTACGGCGTCAAGTTCTTCGAGACGAGTGCGAAGAACAATATCAACGTGGAGGGCGGCTTCATCGAAATCGCGCGCGAAGTGAAGAACAGGCTCATGGAGGAGGGCGGGCCGCACAAGAAGGACAGCGTCAACCTCAACGCAAAACCGGCACCTGTGAAGAAGGGCTGTTGCTAAGTCTCACAGTCAGTTTGCTTGGGCTCGGCGGCGTCAGAGCTTGGATAGGTTCGCTCGCTGCTTCTCAACATATGCATCCTGCCTTACTATAGCTACTACTTCTACTCAACTACTTTTTTCATCGGTTATGGCTGTCTTTCTTACTATGATATGGCGAATCCGATTTCCGGGGCCTGAATGAATCAAAAGAGCTGGAAATCGAGTGCTAAACTGTTTTCGTGTTGTTTGCAGGCTATTAGTCAGCAGCTTCGCGCTTCCATACACGTACGGAATTGTCGATGGATGCCGTTATGGCAACGCAACCGTCATAGCTGAAGTTGCAATCGAAAACCTCAGCATCGTGACCGCGCAAAACTTGCAGGCACTCCCCGGAGAAAGCATTCCAGACCCGAGCCGTTCCGTCAGTGCTAGCTGTGAGCACTTGCAGTCCTTGCATGCTAAAGCAAACCTTGTTCACCGCCTTGAGATGACCATGCAGCGCACATCGTCTAGTCCCCGTGAGGGTGTCGTAGATGTACGCTTTGCCGTCGGTGCCGCAGGACACCACGAGGGCACCAGAGGCATTGAAGGCAGCGTGAGTCACCTCGTACCCACGGTGCTCCTCCCAATCATAGAGAGACTTCCCCGTGCGTGCGTCCCACAACTTGCACGTTCCATCAACAGAGGACGACAGCAATGTATTCGCTTGGTAATCGAACGAGACGCTGGAAATGTCGGCGTCGTGGTGCTCGATACAACGGAAGCAGCCACCATAGCGGGTGTCCCAAAGCCTTACGGTTGAATCGCAGGAGCCGGTGGCAACAAGCTTGGTCTCAGCAGAGTCAAACGCTAGGCACGACACCTCAGCAGAATGACCCGAAAGAGTATGTCGAATGGTCTCCGTTTCCAAGTCCCACACAATGGCAGATCCATCCACCGAGCAGCTTCCAAAGCATCGGCTGTTAGCAGCACCAGGAGCAAATACAGCACCTACAACTTCCCCAGTATGGCCGTCATACACACCAATAGCCTTTCTCGTCTGCACATTCCAGAGTCGGCAAGTTTTATCAAACGACCCAGAGAGCAACCGCGTGGCGTGTGGTGCGTTGAAGGCCAAGCTGAATACGACGCCCTCATGACCTGCCAGCGCTGCGATCTCTTTCTCGCAATGTTTGCTGCTAAGAGACGACGAGTTCACAGTGCATGGTGCATCGAACGGCCGCAATAGTCGAATGGTCTTGTCGTAGCTGCTGGTTGCTACAAGTTTCGCGCTCTTACTGCAGGCCATGTTGGTCATCGGAAGTTGGTGAGGGTACAACGCCGAGTGCATACGGAAAGCGCTACTTTGCTGCTGGCTTGCGTACACGAGGTGCTTGTCCACCAGTCGGTGAAGCAGCTCCTTCAGCTTGGTCAACGTGGCCTTGGTGAGCAAACGTTCTTGGTCGATAAGCTGCTGAGCCACTTGTGCAATATTGGATTCGGCGCTGAGGTGGGGTAGGTCGATGGTCTTGAGTCCCACTTGGCCGTCGGAGTGGACATATTCGAGCCGCAGCGCTGGTGGGAAGTACCGTAGATACAAGCGGCGAAGCTGCATGGAGTGCCCAAGCAGCTCATAAGCGTCAGCTCCACCGGGAGGCTAAGCTAATGCGTCTATGAAACGGAAGCTACCCTAAATGGGGAAAGTGTAACTTCTACCAAATGATCAACTTCAACTTGTAGCGTACAAAGAATAAGATAAAGTTGTATACAGTCATGTAGTTATAGGCAATAAACGACTAGGAGATTGAGACCTACCTTATCGCTGTGAAGCGCGTGTAGCAGCTTTGATTCCGACTAGGATGGCGAGTATTGCTCCTAGCAGCACTAGCAGTCCGTCGCAACCCAACGCGAGAGGATGGTCGGCGCAATTCACATCGTCTGCGCCGAGAGGCTGGAAAATAGTTGCCAGTCGCGCCGGAGCCATGTACGCTCGCCATACCTCCCACCCGCTTTGATCGACTGAATTCCGTGCGTCTTCTTCATCATCTTGGTGTAGTAGCGACATAGCATTTTCTTGGATGTCGACGGGGCATTGCGGTCCGCAGACTTGCCGGAGCTCGCGGACAATCCACTCCGCAGGAATCTCCCGCGCGTCGATGACCGCCATAATTCCCCCGAGGCTTATTTTTCGTTGTTGCCCGCTACAAGAATAGCTATGCTGCATGTACCTCTCCTACTCGATATGGCTTCACTCAGCGGGCTACTGCGTACCCGTAACCGTCCCCTTGATTACGCCAGCTGTATGAACCTTTCAAATCACATACATAGTATAAGCCCCAAAAGGTTTTTGACTCACACAACCCCCCTCCAGCATTCGGATGAGCGAGGCGTCATCTTCCCCGCGCTCCGTGAGCTCCAGCGCGCCCACATCGGCCTCAGGCCCGCGCAGTGGCGGCCACCATGGCCACCCGACATTCACCAACATATCGGCGATGGATTTGCTGCAAAGTACGCGCTGCGCTTCTCCTATTTGTCCCTAGAATTGCAACCAGAGCTAACTAACGTCGCCTCGTGCTCCCAGCGCTGCCGCTGACGGCCGCCGGTCGCCCCGCGCTCTTCGGCAACGAGGTGGAGATCTACAGCGAGGAGCACATCGGCCTGTACGATCGAACCTTGAAGACGCCGCACCTGCACGGACGCTGCTCGGTCACCACGCACCGCCTTTTCTACATGGACGAGACGAGCTCTCCGCCCGTGGCGCTCTTCGTGCCGCTGGAGTGGATCACTCGCATCACCAAGGAGGCGGGCTTCTTGCAGCGCTCCGCTAAAGTGCGGGTGGACATCACCACGCGCACGCCGCCGTTCGCCACGTCCTTCTTGAAGTTGTCCTTCAAAGACGGAGGCCGCGACGACTTCTTCAATCCTCTCGAAGCTTCGCTTAAGCGCAAGGCCTGGAAGGACACACAACCCAGCCACTTGGCCGACCGACGACTCGTGAAGCGGCAGTTCAATGCTGCTGATGCAGGCATTGCGGGGATCATGAGGCGACAGCAGGAAGCGCAAAAAGAGACCACGGAACTGGCGGCCACCGCCTTCTCCGACTTGGCGAACCTGATGCTGAAGGCCAGGGATATGGTTAGCTTGATCGAACGCTACGTGGATACGCAGAAGGCGGCGGAAGATGACGGCTCCTCGGCATCTAGGGAGGAAGATATCAATAAGCTCAGCTCGTTGATGCTGGATATGGGTATTACCAGTCCGGTGACACGAGAGAACTCGGGTGCAGCGTACTATGAACAACTTGCGCGGCAGCTCGCAGAGTATCTCAGTGATCACATGCCACGAAACGGGGGGATCATGACTCTCTCGGATATCTACTGTATGTTTAATCGTGCGCGCGGTGTGGAATTGGTATCACCGGACGATCTGTATCACGCAGCGCTGCTGCAGAAGAAGCTGAAGCTTGGATACAGTGTGCGCAAGTTTCCTGGCGGGCTCATTGTGCTGCAAACAGATTCACATCGCGAGGACAAGGTAGCTGAGCGTTTGGCCAAGATGGCGCAGAAGTCCAGCTCCGGCTACATCACTTCAACGGACGTGTCGGTGGAGATGCACACTTCGTTCCCGCTGGCCTGGGAATATTTGAAGGTATGTCGATCAGAAGTAGTAATTTTCTTCGCTCGATGAACAATTTCTGATTCCCTGACTTTGTGTTTTGTTGCGCGTACAGGTAGCAGAAGAGCTTGGAGAATTGTGCCGGGATGAGACATTCGAAGGAACCAACTTCTATCCCAACAAATTTAAGGAATTCGTGCAAGATAATGAGGTAGAGAACTAGGATTTTGTTTTAGGGAGGGTGTTGTGGATAGAGAGGAGGAACTTGCAGTACGACAATGTGAAAGATAGACGCAGTCAAGTATGCGGACTCAACCTTGCTTAAGCTTGGTGCTGGGGCAGCTTTGGCCTCCGATAATCCGTTAATGCTCCGCTTGGTTCTCTTGCTGCACAAACTCAATCGTCCGCTGCCTGTGGATATAGCGCACAGTCTTCAACACACCACCAACCTGGAATTCTGAGCTCCTGGACACGGCGGGCTCCTCCTCAACCATCTTGACCATCTTCGACACGCAAACCAGTTCCTCCTCCTCCTGTTCGTCTTGCTCGTCTCCAGTGTGCTGCTCTTCTTGCTCCTGATTACCTAAATCTGCGGATCGCCGACCAATTTCAGTGCTACGTGGGCGATCTTGCTGCAAACTTCGATCAAGCACTTCCAGCATTCTTGACTCGGTGAGCTGGTTGTGTAATCGTCGCTGGAACACTTTCTTCCTCCTCGGGTCCTTTGTAGTGCAGGGAGGACCGAGATCGTTCGACTTGGAGTTCATCACGATGTGGCTGGAATTGTGGAGTGTGTGTTGGCACTGGAGATTCCAATGGCAAAAAATAGTGAAGCGCGGTCTCCAAGGGGAGCAGACAAAAATAAAGGGCCAAAAATGCTCACTGAAGGATATCTGCCTGGCAGCACCAAGTGCAAGTGGGATGCCAAAGAAGGAAGCTCGAACACACTATTGGGCTATGCCAAAATGCATCGGACGAACTGTGCCGCCCCCACAGCATGCATTCATAGGTTATGAAGCAACAGCTTAGCTCTTTGACTACTTGGATTGCAATTCAAAGCCTGGTCGCCTCGGTGACTACCTGCATCCCTTTAAATTGTTCAGGCTTAGCTGTGGGGCTAGCGACCACGGAAGCTGCACTGGCAGGCAGACTTCGCACGCCGGCACTTCCGGCATTGTTGTACGCGCGGGCGCTTAGGACTTCTCTCCTCGCGTTCTTTCTCATCGCGGCGGTACCCTCTATCCGAACTACCGCCGTAGCCGCGGTCACGGCGATCGTAGTCTCGACTGCGGTCGCGATCACGGTCCCGGTCACGGTCGCGGTCGCGGTCACGGCTACGATCGCGGCCTCGGTCGCGGCCATAATTGTTGTACGAGTAGCTTCCACGGCCCCGGTCGTTGTCTCGTGACGACTCCCTCTCGCGGTCGCGCTTTGCTCGCGCTTCTTCGTCGTCATCTTTCATTTCGAGGCACCTCTTACAATACCGCGCGCTTGCACCGCCGACACACATTCCACGCGAACGGCCAAGATCGGGCTTCTTCATAGACTCAACGCCCTCTGGACGCTTGTACCAAGTAGGCGTCGTCTGGAAGCGCTGTGCGACTCGGTTGCAGATAATCTCCATGTAGTCGTGGATGGCCTCTTTCGACACGAACTGCTCGTACAACTCGTTGGCACGGGCCGCAATCTGTCGGCATTTCTCGTCATTGTCACGGCACCATTGAATTTTCTCTGCCAGGTCTGAAAGGTCCTCCTTGACCGGCACATGGTCTTCGAATGGTTTCAGAATGGGGTAATACCACATCTCGTCCGCAACGCAGCGAGACTTGACCTTGAGAATCACGCTGCCCAAACGCATCAGGAATGCATAACGGTTGGCTGCGCAGTGGCCTTCCACGTACAAGATGTACTTGAACTTGGACTGCTCATAGATCGGGATGAAATGCTGGCGCCCACCCTCAAAAATAAAATCTTCGTGACGCAGGAATGTCATTGGCTTGCCAGCAATCTTCTTGTCGCGAAGGTTCCAGGTTGTCACTTCCGCATTGAGCAGCGGCACCAACTCTGCGTCTCCATCACCCGCAGCATCTCTCTCGGCCTCACCGTTCATCGTAGGGTCGTTCTTCCAAGTGTTGGAGAGGTGTGCCAAGTGAAGGCGCTGGTTGATTTCGATAGTTGTTCCACCGCCTGTAGCACTGCCTCGGAAAAACGCAGTGTTAACCTTATCTTCCCACGGCTTGTAAAACTTTCGGAAGTTGTTCGCTGTGAACAGGTCGCGAGCGCCTTCAATGCCATGCCTCTTGCGGCCGTTGGCGCCCACATCGCAAAAACACTCCCAGTCGTTGTCGCAGTGCGTCGGGTTACGGCACGGACACTGGTCGCAATGAGTATGCCGGAAGGACTGTGGGAACACAAGGCCTGTAGCAGCCTCCCAGTCCTCCGAACAAGGGAACGGAATGTCTGCAAAGCGCTTCGACACGTAAAAGCTCATGATCGGCGCATACGTCGCGTACAGGTGCTCGGTAAGCGGGATATCATCGTCCGGGTTGCGGTCGTCCTTGTCGAACAAGAATCCGTACGGCTCGCTCAGGTTTTCCTGCATCACAAGTACAATATAGACGAAGAAGGGTTAATATCACACTTGCTAACATAGCAATCACGGAGCATTTCCGGCCCACCTTCAAGTGCGGGTAGTCGCGCTTGTTGATGAAGAACTCGCAGTCTGCGATGTTCCGGTACTTGCACGCATCCTCGAGCATGTCACGGAGCTGGGTGAGGAACTGGTCTCCCCAGTACTGCGTCTCGTCCTCCTTGTTGCGGTACCTGCAGTGCTCGTTGCAAATGATGTTGCCGTTGGCCCACCACTTGTTCACGTCCGGGATGATGTTCTCGCGGCGATAGTAGCGCTGCTTCTCGCGGTAGTAGGCGAACATGCTGCCGTCCGAGCTGTCGAAGGTCACATTCTCGCCCCAGTTGTTCTCGTAGTCCTTGTTGGCGAACGGCGCGAAGATGACGACGCGGCGGCGGCGGATCATCACGAAGATACCGCAGCGCATGTGGAAGAACAGGTAGCGCAGCGTGTTGAACGTGGACTCGCGGTTCGTGCGCTGGTGGAACGGCATGTTGACGCGGTAGTCGACGTCCTCGGCGATGGGCACACCTTCGCCCTGCGCGAAGCGGTTGCCGTGGCTGACCTCGGGCACCGGTTCCAGCGGATACCTTTGGTCGTACTCCTGGATCTTGGGGATCAGGACCTCCGTGATCTGCTGCCAGTCCACGAGCATGGAGAAGACGTGCTGCAGCTTGGGGAAGTCCGGGTTCGAGCCGCGCCAGCAGTGCTTGCGGATGAAGTCCTCGCACTCCGCCTTGGTGGCGAACTTGGGCACGCCGCCGGACGTCTCGGACATGACCACGCGCCGCCATTCGGGCGTCTCCTCGTCCTCGAAGGCGAAGATGCCGCGCAGCATCGGGCGCTCGTCCATGGTGGCGGGCGAACGAGCGGTGACTGCAATGGACACTGCCTGCCGGGGGGCAGGTGTGGTCCACACTGATATTGTGATTTTTGGAGTTTCCTTGTGTTGTGTGGAATTTCGCCGAGCAACTATCATGAAAAGTATAAGAATTTCATAAAAAGTACACTTTCGTGTTGGAGCTGAAGACTAACGGCGAAGCAGAAGCTAACGGCAAAGCGATGCTGCATGCTCCTGTGTGGCTGGTTGCCAGCAAGGATGACGGGAAACCAAGATACCGGCATCCCTTTGTCATCACATACTGCTTGTTATGACATAGAGGCTAATATTAGCCAATCAATGGCATTTTCACCTGAGCACTTGTTATGGCATACAGGCACTACTACCAATTACGCTCAGTTGTGGACTGACTCGGGCGGCCTCGCCTGCTGGGAGAAAAGAGGAGGAAGCATTAAGGTACTCGGTGACATCGTCACCGGCTGCAGAGAAGGTTGAAGTTTTTGACCACCTCGTAAGCACGGCAACATCCGTACCACCATCACCCTACACTACACAACCGAACGTTCACCCAGAGCTGGAAGCGCGGACGCGCCAGCACCGAGCTGCTGTACGCAGCGCCAAGCGGAGCAGACAAGCGAAAAGCCCTGACGATGGTATTGCCACCGCTCGGTAAGGACAGATCCTCGCTAAAATTGCTGCGGAGTTTGAGGAAGAAGTGTAGCTAAGGGCAATAGAGCTCGGATACAACGCCAGTCAAACAGGCGACTGAGCTTATTGTCTACTTGCCATTATTAAGGCAGTAGGCCAAGCTGACGACAACGACGACGAGTTTTACTAGTAGTTAAATAGATGCACAGGCTTGCCTTACATTGCTCCAAGTGTAGATCGAGTTTCAGCTTGTTTGTGAGGTTAGGGTAAATAGGTGTAGGTGGGTTGTATGTGATGACAAAGGGATGCCGGTATGCGCGCAATTTAGTCCCGTCGTTAATAAATCGGAACCCCTTGTCGAGTACCAACGGAACACTTTCCCGCTGACTTGTAGCCACTGGGATGAATATCCAGTCATGCGCGAGTCCTTGGCCAAGCGTCTCCGATAACTTGGCATGCCGTGCCAGATTATTGGAGACGCCCGAGCACAACTGCTTAGTCGGATTAATTTCTCTGTCCGAGTCTATCATCAAGTATTTTCTTATTCATGCTCGTGGTTGGTAGATCTCTAAAGGTCTTCAGTGGATGAGGAGACATAACGTGCATCGGTGATAGCTTACTTGGCGCTCCTGCAACGCCACATTTGTTGGCAAGCGCAAAAGTAGATAGCGAGATTGTTTCTCAATCACCGCGGTGCCGCCAGCAGCCAGCACTTGTTGTTGGACTCGTTGGAGCAAGTCGCTGTTGTTTATCGCACTTTGGCGGACCATTTTGCACCCATAGTTGGCGCCTTTCTCCAGGTTGAAACGGAGGCTGGCCAATCGCATCGCGCGCTATCACGCGACAGTTTGCGACTGGGAAGCCAGCAGCAGACGGCAACTGCGTTACTAAGCCTGGTTCACTTCCATTTCGGCCTCGCAGGGTGCGAGTCGCAGCGACCGCGCCGCCTGCTATGAGCCCCACGGAGCAGGACGCGTCGGCGTCGCCCAGCGTCGCGGACGTGGTGTCCGCCGCGCAGCAGCAGCAGCAAGAACAGCAGCAACAACCGCAACAACAACACCAGCCACCCTCGCACGCGGGCTCGTCCGTTTTCGACACGACAGCCGGCGTCGGCCGCGGGTCCACCGCCCCAGGCGGACGACCGCGACAGGACTCCGCCGACTACTTCGGCTTCCTGCACCACAACCCGGACGAGGACATCTACGTGTTCGAGGAGCCGCCGGAGGTCCACGTGCTCGGCGGACGCTTCGAGGAGTCGTGGCCCACGCGCTACGTCGAGTACGACGTTGAGGTACGACGACCACCTCAACTGCAACGGCCATGGAGATTTAGCTAGAGCGGTAGAACTAACCTCATTGATGCTTCTGTTGTGTGTGTCGGGGCAATTGCAGCTAAAGTACAAGAACTTTAAGTGGAAGGTGGAGATCCCCAAGTCGTCCATCTCGAGTCTATGGTTCTACATCAAGAGTCGACCTCACCTCAGGCACGCGCCGTCCGCTGCTGCCGCTCAGCTGGCAGCGGATGAGCGCGCCGAGCATGGCGCTGGGTTTTCTGGCGTGCCGGAGCCTACGCCTGCAGCCAGCGAGTCGAGGTGGCCGCAGCTGCGTAAGCTCTTCTTGACGTCTGCCGACAAGTCGGTTGGCCCTGAGATGATTGCGCTCGTGCAGCAGCTGCTGGACACGGTGGTGAAGATCCCCAGGTTGCTACGATCGCCCTTTGTTGCGGCGCTGTTCCAGGTCAGCAACTCGACTTTCGATGACGAGATGGGACGCACATCGGTGCGTGAAGGCTGGCTCAAGACCCGCTTTTGGCTCAAGGGCAACCGCGAGAACGTCCGTATCAATCGCGCCTCTGTCTCGTGGGATAACGAGTGCTTCAACTGCATGTGTGTGGTGAAGCGCGTGAACTTCCGGGCGAAGCGCCTGCGCTGGGTGTCGCTGAAGACGTCGAGTATTGCCATCTTCGACTCGATTGAAGACACAATCGCTCGCAAGGCCTTCCTCTTCGACAGCAAGTTTAACATCGAACGCGGCCTTGCTACCACGGGCTCAAGTACCACTTTGCTGGTCTCAAACGCCACGTACGTTCTTCAGATGGAGGCGAAGTCGAAGCAAGCGCTTCTCAAATGGGCAAACGATATCCGTCGGGTTGCAGAGGCTTCCAACTGGTCGCAGGCGCATCGTGATGGATCGTTCGCCATCCCGCGTAACCCCGTGCATATGACGTCGTTCGCGCAATGGTATGTTGATGGAAGCGGTGCATACGAAGCTATTTACCACGCCATTCAGTCGGCCAAGAAGGAGATTTTTATTGCTGGTTGGTGGGTGTGCCCGACTATCCATCTACTGCGTCCTGCGGAGCAGTACCCCGAGTCCCGGCTCGACCTTGCGCTGCAGAAGAAGGCGGAGGAAGGAGTTCAAGTCTACGTGCTCATGTACAAGGAAGTGTCCGTGGCGCTGACCCTGAACAGTATGTTCTCAAAGCAAGTGCTAAGCAAACTGCACAAGAACGTCCACGTGCTCCGCGACCCCGACTTTTTGATGAAGCAGCTTGGTCTGTGGTCCCACCACGAAAAGATCGTGAGTGTTGACCAAAGAGTGAGTTTCGTGGGTGGCCTCGACCTGTGCTTCGGACGTTGGGACACGCATAGCCACGAGCTGTTTGACGAGCCTGGGAAACCAACGGATTTCGTCGGCAAGGACTTTTCCAACCCTCGCGTGAAGGACTTCATTGAAGTCGACCGCCCTGAGGAGGATATGATCGACCGCAATGTTGTGCCTCGCATGCCGTGGCACGACTGCCACTGCCGTCTTGAGGGCCAGCCAGCTCGCGATGTGGCACGCCACTTTGTCCAGCGCTGGAACTACTCCGTGTCTACTCGCAAGAAATCGAGGAAGCTGCATCACCTCGTGCCCATGAAAGATTACCCGGTAACGATCATCGACAAGCACGGTCCCCAGAAATTGACCAAGCGACTTCAGAAGGCCGTGCATGCTGTGCGTGCGATGCGTGGACTGTCGAGAGCTCGTGCCAACACCGACAACCGTGGGTTCAACAGCGACCGTCGGATGGCTCGCATGCTGAGCAGCCAGAATGAGTCAGGCAATGTGCCTATCCTTCAAGATGATCACGCCGATGTGATGCTAGACTTACCTGATGGGGATGAAGAAGGCGACGAAGCCTTTGAGAAACACAAGCAAGAAGTTGCTGCCCGCGGATACCGCGTGAACACGCAGATTCTACGCAGTTTGTCCCTGTGGTCGGGCGGCGTGGCCACTGAGCGCAGTATCCAGAACGCGTACATCCGTCTCATCGGGTCTGCGCAGCACTTCGTCTACATTGAGAATCAGTTCTTCGTGTCTGGCCTCGAGGGAGACCACGGCTGTTCGAACCGCATTGCCAATGCACTTGTGGAGCGAATTCGCCGCGCGTCGGACAACAACGAGAAATTCCGCGTGATTGTAGTCATGCCGCTCTTGCCAGCCTTCCCTGGTAAACCGGACGACAAGGATGCCAGTAGTCTGCGCGGTGTGATGCATTGGCAGTATCGCACGATCTGCCGTGGCGAGCACTCCATATACCAGCGACTGTACCAAGAGCTGGAGGACGACGACCCGTTCAAGTACATTGCCTTCTATGGGCTGCGCAACCACAGCAACCGCGAGGGTGCCCAGGCTCAGACTGAGGAGGTGTACATCCACAGCAAGGTGATGATCGTCGACGATCGAGCGTGCATCATCGGTTCCGCCAACATCAACGAACGCAGTATGTGTGGCGATCGCGACTCGGAGATCGCTGTTCTGGTCGAGGACCACGAGATGGAGGAGGAGATCACCATCGCTGACGGCGCGTACAGCGTGGGCAAGTTTGGACACTCTTTCCGCATGAAGCTGTTCGAGGAGCACTTCGGTATTGAGCCAGGCACTCCGCTGTACCACAAGTACCAAGACCCGGTGAGCAAGGACGCGTGGTTCTCGATGCAGGAGCAGGCGATGAACAACCACCAGATCTACGATTCAGTGTTCGGGTGCCTGCCCTCGGACAGCGTCACGAGTTTTGCCCAGATCGACTCGCACATTCAGTCCGCGCAGGGCCTCGACACGTCGGGCCGCGGCGCGGACGAGGCGGTCGCCGCAGCGTTGGGAAGCGGCATTACGGATGCGACCAGCAACAACGATGAGCACGTCCGCTCGTCGTCGGTGAGCGAGCGAACCCTGTCGCCCCGGGGCGGTAGCTCAAGAGGGCGCAAGTCGGTGTTCAGCGGCGCAATGAACGTGAACATGAAGGAGAGCTCGCACATCGCCGAGAAGAAGCACGAGCTGAGCAACGTGAAGGGCCACATCGTGTACTTCCCGCTCAAGTTCCTCGTGGACGAGGATCTCGAGCCGAAGCTGTTCCCGGCCACCCTCTTCCAGTGAGCGACAACGACCCTTATTTTTCTTCTTCTTATGGACAGCTCAAACTTTTTTCAGTACATGCATGAACTTGCTTGCGCGCAAGTAGTTGACTTTTAACGATTGAAGATACGTACGTAGCAGAGGGTGATTGAATCGAACGACCATTTTGCGATCGACATCGTTGTTATTGCTTGAGAGCTCCATACACTTCGGTGATTGCAGACGCCTTGGATTTGCACCCGGAAAGCAGCCTCGGGACTTCCACGCCCCGACGCTCTCGACCACTGAGGCGGCTGCAGGCACACCCGCAGTGCGGGGCTGACATGTTGATTACTGGCGCCGCCAATAAGTCGCAAACGCGATGCCGACAGAGTGTGACACAGTGCCACCCATATCACCGCCGATGTTTGACCGCTGCGCGACTGCTTGAGGTCGTGATAGCCTAGCAAACTTTGCTGTGTGGTGGTGTCGCTGCCATGCCCAGGCCCAAGGCGTTTGAGCATCTTGGTCATTGACGACATCGACGACACGGCACACAGCAGGATTCCGTGGTCCACCCGCCGGGTGGCACCCGGACAAATATCAAAGCCGATTTTTCTGGGGCCAAAATTTCAACACGGAACTGCTATAGAGCGTTCACCTGATACAACTTATCTCTGACAAACACCTTAGAACACCACGTCAAAGGCTGTTCTGTATCAGACTCCTTCTAAGTGCGACCTAGAATAAAGAGTATCCCTTCGATTTCGAATGATGTACCTTTTCGGAAACATGGCGAGCGTCAGCCATGGCGTCTGCAACTCCCATCGCTCCTATACGCTTCCAGGCGTCAGTACTGAATCCGACCTAGGCCACGCACCTCGCGCTTGTTCAACGCCACTACGCACAGACACCTCGCGCGGTATTCGCCTGCAGCTTGCAGTCCAACCTACCGGTACACTTGCCATTTCTACCTCGCTCTAAGTCGCAATGGGTCTGAAAAAGTGGCTGGGACTCGACGTCTCGGCGTCGCAACCCGCGGGACACAACGCCAAGGGCGACGAGGTGGAGGAGCCGCTCGTCTTCGGCATCCCACAGCGACAGCAACAACAGCACCCGCAGCAGCAGCGGCGGGAGCAGATACGCCAACAGCGAGCGGAGAACCACCGCCGCCACACGGCGTGGGAGGCGCAGCAGCGTCAACAAAGCCGCTCCCCCACGTTCGCACCGACGCGCCGCAGTGCGCCGCTGCAGAGCCGGCCTGATGCCTACGCGCCCACCGTCTACAGCCAACAGGAGCGCCGCTTCTCCACCGCGTCGACTGACCGCTATGTGGACGCGCGATACGACAACGACACGATGTCCACGATGGTGACGGCCATGCAGTCTCCGCCGCCGCCTCAGCTGCTTGACTCGGACTCGGAGGACTCGGACGTCTCCATCGGAGCAGACGACGACGACGATTTTGCAGCGGATATGCCGTCCCCAGCGCTGACGACCAGGTCGGCTCGCTCGAAGACCACGACCGCTGCGTCGCCGATGGGCTCGCTGGCGTCCACGCCGCAGCGCAACAGTGTCAAGGACAGCTTCCGCTTCTCGTGGATGAACGTGCTCGGCCAGTCGACGAACTCGGAGATGGGGCAGAACGCCATGGCTCAAGTTGCTGAGGAAGAGGAAGCGGCTGAAGCGGCGGGACGCAGCAACAGAGCGGAAGGACAACCGCCTCGCAACACTGCGCACAACCCCGATGTGGCCTTGCGGCCCCAAGACGACGAGATGGGCGTGGTGATGCAAGGCTGGCTGGAGAAGTGTGGCCAGCAGTTCAAGACGTGGAACTGGCGCTTCTTCGTGCTGCGGAACGACGGCGTGTTGTCCTATTACGCCGATGAGACTCTCAAGAAGCTGAAGGGTTCGATGGACATCGGATACGGCTCCAAGGCGGACGTGTCAGTGCAAGCCAACGCCATGGAGAAGAAGTTTGTGTTTATGATCTCTACGCCGCAGCGCAACCTCATGATCTCGGCGCCGTCGGAGCGCATGATGACCAAGTGGATCGCTCGCCTGCATGCGGCTGGGGCCGTGCCTACCCAGCCGTGGGACCCATTGCGCAAGACGGTGAAGTTCTACGTGCGCGACACGGAGTGCAACCACGAGTGGAAGCGCTACGACGACCCAACGTCCTACATTCACATGGAGGGCTGTCTGTTGAAACGCGGCCATGTCAACAAGAACTGGAAGAACCGCTTCTTCCGGATTGAAAAGGGCGAGCTGAGGTACTACACGGAGAACCAGAGCGAGCTGAAGGGCTCGGTGCCGCTGAAGGACACGATCGTGAGTCCGGGCATGGCGCAGTGCCCCGACGGCCGGAAATACTACTTCGTGCTGACGTCCAAGGACGGCAAGTTCGAGATGCACTTGAACGCGCTGAACGAGTCATCCATGCATCTCTGGATCGAGGCTCTGCAAGAAGCGCAGACGGCACTCGGCAGAATGGCGGGCAAGAAGGGTACGGTGGCGGGCTTGGCACTCGTGGTCAAGCGCGCCGAGGAGATCCCACTGGGCAAGATTGGCGTGCTCTTCAGGCGCCCGGAGGACATTGACATCGAGATGCAGAAGCGCACCGAGGCGCTCATCGTGGCGTCAAGCCCGAGAAACCGCGGCGTTTCCGTAGGTAGCCAGCTTATCTCCGTCGAAGGCCGCAGTATTCTTCGCGAGACGTACGCCGAGGCGCGCAAGATCCTGCGTGCGTCGTCGTTCCCGCTGCGGCTCGAGTTCCTGCTGCCGCCGTACAAGCGCGGCGTCCTGATCAAGAAGTCCCGCTCGGGCTTCGAAAACTGGAAGAGGCGCGTGGTCATCGTGACGAACGGTGAGATCCACTACTACAAGGAGGTATCGTCGTTCAGCAACGGCAAACGAGCCCCGGCCGAGCTCAAGCACCGCAAGTCCTTCTCGCTTTACGGCTGCTACCTGAACTTGGTGCATTTCCCCGGGCGCGACCTGTGCATCGTGGTGGCGCGCTCGCCCTCGGACAAGCTGGTGCTGCAGACGCGCACGGACGAGGAGCGCATGGAGTGGGCCAGCGTCATCTACTGCAGCATCCGCATGGTGTCGCAGGGCATCACGTCGGGCCACATCGAGAACCTGCAGCTGGAGCAATCGCGGCTGCCGTCCAAGCAGACGTCGTCCGACCTGAAAGGCAGCTTCAAGGACTCCGACCAACTCGAATTCTAAGTCAACCACGACAACGTGTAGCGGCACTGATCATGAACATGACCGAAGTGCCTGCATACACACGTAAAACGCAAATGAAGCAACGCAATTTATTTAAAAAGGATGGATCGGCTGGCCGTGACTCATGCGGATATCTTTTCGTCATCAAGCCGAGATACAAGAAGTTTCCTTTTACAGGGCCCCTTTCTGATACAAGGAGTTTCCTTGCAAGGCCTATTTCTGAAGCTGCCGGTCTTCAAGAGATGAACCGACATCAGTTTCCCTTCAGCTCGATGCCCTTGAGGATGAAGCACAACGGCAACAGCCTTCATGCACTATTCCATCGCAGCTTCCTTCCAGCACTCGAAAGCTTTTTTTTTTCTTTTTCCACTAATTTAAGCGCCAACCAATCGCTGATTTTCGCCTCCTCAATTCCGATTTCGGATTGGCCAAAACTGTCTCTCGCGCACTGCGATCCTTTGGCCTCTCCCTGCTCCGGGCACACACCCAAAAAGTCGTCGGCGAGACAGAGTGGCGAGCGCGCGCGTCGGGCGAGTCCCCCCTTGCTTCCTCCCGCCCCCTTTGCGCCTGCTTCTGCGTACCCCCGAGCCAGGTGCGTCGTCTGCCTGCAGCCTGCGACCGCGCTCCGTTGGGCTGGCGGGCTGTTGACATACGCAGTTGGTTTTAAATTAACGTAACAGATCGGACAAATGGCGGCGGCAGCGGCTGGTACGTCTACGTCTGCGAGGCTAATATTATTCCCGGAGAGAAGAGTCCGCGTGTGTTTGAGCCTCCTTTAATATGTCATATTTTTCTATTATTTATTACGAGCAGAAGACAACAGCCTGTACCCGATCGCGATCCTCGTGGACGAGCTCAAGCATGAAGACGTGCAGCTGCGCCTGAACTCGATCCGCCAGATCCGCATCATCGGTACATACTTCGCCAATGTATTCTTGCTGATACTGCACCCAATTAAGTTTTATAACGGGCTGCTTCGATGTATGGCACATTTCTCTTTCCAGCGGAGGCGCTGGGTCCCGAGCGCACGCAGAACGAGCTACTGCCCTTTATGAACGGTAAGCAGTTTCAGTCTTTAGCCTCCGGTACCTATCAACTTCTGACAATTACCTTTTTTATCCTGATATTGTAGACTCGCTGGATGACGAGGATGAGGTGCTGCTCGTGATGGCCGAGGAGCTCGGCGACTTCGTGGACGTGGTGGGCGGTCCGGCTCACGCGTACTTGCTGCTGAAGCCGTTAGAGTCGCTGGCGACAGTGGACGAGGCCTCGGTTCGTGACATGGCAGTGCGCTCGATCTGCAAGGTGGTGGAGGCAATGGAGCCTGATCACGTGGCGGAACACTTTGTGCCGGTGCTCCGGCGTCTTGTCACGCGCGACTGGTTTACGTCGCGCATTGCGTCGTGCAGCCTCTTCCAGGTCGGCTACGCGAGACTTTCGGCGGAGATTCAGGCTGAAATGCGCGGCATGTTCGGGCAGCTTTGCCGCGACGACACGCCTATGGTGAGGAAGGCTGCGTCCGCTGCACTTGGTGGCTTCGCTTCCGTTATGGACGGTCCTAGCGCCAGCGCTGAGATGCTGCCGCTGTACCTGGCGCTGGCTACGGACCGCCAGGACTCGGTCCGGATACACACGATCGACAACGCTGTCGCGCTGGCACGCTTGGTCCCCGCTGAAGTTCTCCCGACGCAGGTGTTGCCGACCATCTTTGAAACGGCGCGTGATGGCTCGTGGCGCGTGCGGTGGTCCGTGGCCAACCGCTTCCCGGAAATTTGCGAGGCCTTGAATGCAGAGACCATCAATTCGACGTTCTGTGACTCGGTGGTTTCGCTGCTGGAGGATAATGAGGCTGAGGTACGCACTGCGGCTACATCAAAGATCCTCGGCGTTGCGCGCCTCCTGCAACCGCAGCGAATTGTGGAGAAAATCGTACCTTGCTTTCAGCGTCTTGCGCGCGACATGTCGGATCACGTGCGCTCCGCTCTGGCTGCTGTGGTGATGAAGGTCGCCCCATTCCTTGGACGCGACCTTACAATTGAGCACCTCTTGCCCCTCTTCTTGCTTGTAAGTGATACCTGTTTTCATGGACTGGATTGGAATTGATTCACTAACCCGGTCGGGTGTGGTACAGCTACTGAATGACCAGAACTCGGAAGTGCGCTTAAACGTCATTTCAAATCTGGAAGAGGGCAACAAGGTAAACAAATTGCTCTATGGGCATCACGCGGATAACTGCGTACTTGGAACTGATGCATCTGCCATTGTCTAGGTTATTGGGATCGAGCTTCTCTCGCAATCGCTCCTGCCTGCTATTGTGCATCTTGCGGAAGATCGCCAGTGGCGTATCCGTCTGGCGATCATAGAGTACATTCCGTTGCTAGCGGCACAGCTGGGACGCGACTACTTCGAAGAGCAGCTGGCGGAGCTCTGCATGTCGTGGCTTGTGGACAATGTATTTTCGATCCGCGAGGCAGCCACGATCAATCTGAAGAATCTGACGGAGCACTTCGGCGTGGACTGGGCACGGACGAGCGTGGTGCCGCGGATCTTGGCCATGCACTCAAACGCCAACTATCTGCACCGCCTAACCTCTCTGCACGCAGTTAAGGTGCTTTGTGAAGCGATGACTCCCGAGACGATTCAAACACTCCTTATCCCTTTGGTGGTGGAGCTGGCTCAGGTATGGATGAACCTCTCTTTGCTGCTTAAGAAACCGGCAGTCGTTTGTGCTTACCGCTGCTGTTTTTTGTTGTTTTTGTAGGACCCCGTTCCGAACATCCGCTTTAACGTTGCAAAAACATTGGAGGTGCTCGGCCCTAAAGTAGACGCGGAGGCGTGTGCGAGCACCGTGACCCCATGCCTCACGGCTCTGCTGCAGGATGGCGATGCCGACGTTGTCTTCTTTGCGCAGCGGGCGCTCGCTACGCTCGGCTAGTTTTAGGTAGATATTGCCTGTATCTCATTCCCGAAGAAAAGACAAAAGACCACTGCGCAATAAACTCAACATATACATCGAAGCAAAGCACTTGCTATTGCTGTGTATTTAGTGCAACATGCATTTGACTCGGTTGCTCGTTTCCTTCGATCAAAGCTGGTGACTCATGTGGTCGTACACGGCGTTAGATACCCACCATCTCCAGAAGGTCTCAAACGAAATCTCGCTTGATATCTGAGCGTCATCTTGTCTGCTCGCGTTCTTGACATGCTGCTGCATCTGCATCCACATCTTGTCGATTTCACTTGCGGTTAAAGCCACTTGCATGCCCAACTCTTCCGACAACACTTGAAGCTGGGCCTTCACCAGAAATCCGTTGGCATCAGCAACCTTCTCAAATGCTGCTTTCAGCTTACTTCGCTCGCTCTCAGCATTGTTATCGCCATCCGAAGCACGTTTGACCACGAGCGCCTCCCCGCGAACTGCAGCGTCTGCATGGCGCTGAAGCTTCCGCAATTTCGACGTCTGTATATGTTAAGTTAGGAAACAATTAGATGTGTGGGTTTCAAGGCAATCAGTCTAACTTGATACCATAATCGCCTCGGTCGCTTCGTCTTCGATATTGTAGCACAGTCGAATCCCCTCCGCATATGCAGCCATCGCATTTGCATGGTTCTACAACACAACCGAAAATTAAGTAAAAAAAGTGACTATGGCAGTCACTGAATGGACCTACCCCACAAAATGTGAACAGCTCTCCGGTTTCAATTAGCACTTGCACTTCTCCCTGCACAGACAAAACACTTCTGATCACCTCTGGAAGCTATGTTCAGCCAATACCATTAAAAAATGTTATCTAGGACGATAAACGCACAGCCAAGACATGCACGGCGTACCTGGTACAATCGTCGAGTCTTCTCTAGCATATCATGGAGTGTGGTCTGCATTGTTTCAGCCGAGTCAACGGCTTCATCTTCCATATCATCCCTACTAGGCTGGGTGGGCTGCTCTGCGTGCTGATCGATCTGCCACGCTGTTCGTTGAAGGCGAATCAAATAGAGTCGGCATTCTGCCGAGCACGAAAAGCAATCAACAACTTAAATGTAAACCCAGAATCTGTATAACGTACAGGTAATCAGCAATTGCACCTACCTGCAAGACGGAAGATGATTTGGGGTAGATCGATCGATTCGAAGTCAGGGTTCTTGGTTCGGCCGATCACGAGCAAAAGCTAGGAAACAATACAACGAGAACCGCATCAGCAAATCCGAAAGCGCTAAGGCCTAAGCTAGGTCTGAATAGGTAGAGCCCACCTCGTATTTTGTTATGACCGTCTCCAACTCGCGCTGTCTTTCACGAACACCGGGCTTCAGCACGCTGGAACCCCGTCGCAGGGTGGTCATAGCGATCTGTACGACGCCCCCTCGGAAATATGAAGCAGATCGGTTTTAGCTAAAGTATTGCTAAACATATTTTATCGCACCGAAGCACGATCAACTCTTCCATTCAAAAAATGGCCTACTACTCTATCGGTGAAAGGGACTAAAATGACTACGTGTACTGCTTGGAAAGATATGTTGCGCGCGCCTTGCTTCAGAGTGCAGCTGAGCTGATAATGCTTAATTGACTTCATCATGTCGTCGCAGATGCTGCGCGTCGTCTTTCATAGTCCGGGTCATCTGTGGGCAGCTCGAAACGACAAAGCGGGCACGAGTTGTGATCCTTCAGCCATGGCAGAATGCAGTCCGGGTGAAACGAGTGCTCGCAGGGCAGACGGTGGACCTCATCATCCACGGCAAAGAAGTCCTTGCACACGGGGCACTCAGCGCTGCCGTCAACATCGCTCTGAGTGATCTTCACCTTCGGCAACTTCTCCACAACTTCCTTAGCTGCCGGTGGTGCTCCATGCTAGAAAGTTTGTAAAACACACCTTTAAATCGTCAGCTACAACTTCACGCTTCATCATCAAAGCAGTCACGCCCTTACCCGATTGGGGTCATTCTGCATGAGCTGGTTGATCACATTAGCCATATTGCCAAATGCGTAGTCGCCTGGATTGCTTGCCAGCATAGGGAACATGCCTCCCAGGGCGTCCAAAAGGCCCAACGGATCTCCACCTTCTCCCGACTCACTGACGAAAAACTCCACGGGGTTCCCATTGCTGCTCATAAAACGCGTACTGCGTCCACCAGCGCCCGACAAAAACTGAAACAAGCTGCCCAAAACCAAAGCAAACCAACACTATCAGCATTCTACTCGTGTCTACAAGATTAACATCTACTCACTCAGGAAGCGGCGGCGGGCCATCGAGTCCTTCATCTGTATCTGCAAACCGCGTCGCTCGAACAGAAGGCCTGCCCATCGCAGAAAAGGAAGCAATAAAAACATTATCAGCAACATAACTTTTCTCGAAATATTGTTGTCGAATATGCACAATACCGCGGCAGTGGGGGAGTTCCTCCGAACTCGTTGCGGATCTCAGCACGCGTGTTATTCTCCGTAGAGGCCGCAGGGAGCTGCGTCTGGGCCTGCGTGTCCTCCACCTGCTCCACCTGGAAATCCTGCGGCGGATCGTCCTAATGCCGATAAACAAAGGATATAAACAGGTTACGTTACGAAGGACAAGTGGAGGAATTATCCTCTCTTCTTTGCCACGCAGGGCCAAGCTCACCACACCCACCTCCTCGATCTCCTCCACAAAGTTGCCGCTGCACTGCCCACAGCAGACCTCCTCGCTGGGCTCGTCCACGCGCGTGTCCACGGCGGCGGCGCACTGGTGGCACCAGAAGCGCGGCGTCTCCTGCCCGGCTGACGTCGGCGTCGGCGTCGGCGTCATCGCAATTTTTCTGACTTGATAAGAGGGCTCAGCCAATTAGGGACAGAAACGAGGAGAATATTACTAGTAGTAGATATGGGTCTGGGTTGTGTGATATCCCGTAAATAGACAGGTGATGCTGCAGTGCGCTTCAACTCACTTGGGCTCCGATCTTTGGCAAGCTATTGCTGCATGCAGCATGTATTTAACATTTTCTCGATTAATGGATGCAATGCATGGAGCTACAACTTTTTTTGTTGGTTTGTAGCGTTAATTGCTCTAGGCGTACAGCTGCTTGGAGTAGGTGAACAGGTCGTGCACGCCGCCCTCCTTCTGCGCGCTGATGGTGCGGCGCTCGAAGCGCAGCTCGCCCGAGTAAAGCGAGACGTGCAGCTGCGGGATGGAACGCACGCCCAGGTCCTGGAAGCCGTGGCGGATGCTCTGCTGGATGTACGGCAGGTACTTGTGCACGCTGCCCTGGTCCACGACGGCACCGGACACACCGACAGCAACGTGGCTCGCAGAGGCGGCAGCGTGGTCGGGGTCGCCGTGGCGGTAGTACTCGTGGCTGCCGCTGCCGTAGTAGTGCTTGAGACGCATGCCGTCCTGGAAGAAGTAGTCGCCGGGGGCCTCCGCAGTGCCAGCAAGGCTCGAGCCCATCATCACAACCGAAGCGCCCAGGGAGAGGGCCTTGATCGCAGCACCAGGGCTGCCAATGCCACCGTCGGCAATGACGGGGACACCAAAGTCCTTCGCCAGAAGGGCAGTGTTGTAGATGGCCGACAGCTGGGCACGACCCACAGCCTTCACAACTTGCGAGGTGGACACGGAGCCCACACCCATACCAACACGCACGCCGTCCACACCAGCGTCCAGCAGGTGCTGCACCTGCTTCATGGTCACAACGTTGCCACCGACAACTTCGACCGACGGGTGCGTTTGCTTGATGTACTAATAGATATGAAGGGCAAAGACCGTCAGGTTAGTTATGTAAGTCGAGGATACGCACACGAGCACAGATATCGTACCTTGACCAGCTCAATCTGAATCTCGCTGTCACCCTGGCGGGCGTCGAGCGCAATAACGTCGGCCCCAGCAGCCGCAAGCGCGTCGATACGCGGCTTCGCCTGCTCGTTAACCGACACGGAAGCGCCCACCAGAAGCTTCTGGGTCTCCGGGTCACGGACAGCGTTCGGGTAGTCGCGGTGCTTGAGCAGGTCAAGGCGAGTCATGAGCGACACGAGGTTGCCCGACGCGTCCACGATGGGAAGCGTGCCCTTCTTGGCCTCCTTCAGCACCTTGTTCGCCTCCTCAAGCGAGATCGGATACTTGCCAACTACGAGCTGCTCGAGGGGCACCATAATGCTCGACAGAGGGACCGAGCGGTCCTCCAGGAAGTCGACATCGCGGCTCGTGACCAGGCCAACGAGCTTGCCCTTGACGCTTCCATCCTCCGTGATAGGCACGCCGGACACCTTCAGCTCGTCGAGGTCAGCCACAGAGTTGGACGGGCTCAGCACCTTCGGCTCGGGGATGAAGCCGTTCTCGTAGTGCTTGACCGCGCGCACCATCTCAGCCTGCTGCTCAATTGAGTTATTGCAGTGCAGGAAGCCCAGACCGCCCTGAAGGGCAATGGCAATGGCCATGTTGGCCTCCGTCACCGTGTCCATGGGGGAGCTCACAATAGGCGCCGACAGCTTGATCTTCTTGGTCAGACGCGTCGCCACATCCACATCTTGCACACCGAAGTTGACTGCAATGCAAATGACACATTAGCCACATCAACACCAATGCATATGCATAGCACAAAGTGCAACGTACTGTGTCCAGGCTACAGTGAAGCAGGTAGAGGGGGGAAGGCGTTGACATGTATCAATAGCATCAAAGGACACGCAAAATGAGCACAACCATTTTCCAGTTAAAGAGAGGTGCGCAACGGTGCGTACCAGAGAGATGACGTCATCGAAGGTGAGACCGTTGCTGTCCTTGTTGTGGAAGAGCTGCTTGGCGCTCACACCATCGAAGAGGCTCTCGTCAACGCTGCTCATTATTTGTTGCGCTTTGCTCGTCTGGTTAGGAAATGGCAGGTCGAGGACGTCTCTTTGGCAATTGAGTGGACGGTACATTTTGACCAATCAGGCGAAAGTCGACTTTTGAAAAGTGCATGTTGAAGTTGTCTTGCTTTTCCTTTTGATTTTATCTTAGCTTTTAGAGATTTTAGAGACGGCAGAGCTGCATGAACAGGTCTTGCGCACGTTGGTCGTCCCACTCGGATGAATTGTTGTTGCTTTTGCCGCGATTGTTGTTGGGGAGGTGGTTGCTGGTTGCTGAGGCGTATGCTGGGGGGTTTGCAGGCTTCGATGGGATTTGTGGAGCCTTGGATCGGTGTTCAGGTCGCCCTGGTGGGCGCGTTACCGGGGGCTCGGACTGGGGCAGCATTTGCTTAAGCAGTTCCTGCAGCTGTTCTTCCGGCGAAAGCATCTTCGTTGGATTGTCGGCCTCTCGAGGGGGTATAAATGCTTGAACGGGTCTCGTTGGGGGTGGAAGAGAACTTGTGCGGTTGACTGGAGGTTGGATCTGCGCGCACGAAACTGTTTCAATGTCGAACAAGTCGCCATATGGAGGAGGTGGCGAGTCGGTTCGCGGGAGCACACGATGGTTTGTGGCTTGATTGGAGTAGGGTGGCTCTGGGTGCTGTACGATATACTGCAAAGACCTTTGCGGAGGTGTACGCTTGGTGACAGGTGGTAGTGTGTGCTTGCTGGGGAGTGATGTTGTCATCCGTTTTGGTCTATATCGTACAAGAAAGCAGCATTGCGTATGAGGACATCACTGGTCGTCGAGTTCAAAGCAAAGCATATGCTATGCTATGCTATAGCATAGCATACTTACATTCTCTTCTTCTTTGGTGACTTCGATCGGCGGCGTAGTTGAGGCTTTTGCTTCCTGTTCCTCCAGGAGAGATCAGCACCGTTCAATACACGCCATCATCAATGAAGGTATTTTGACTTACAGTGTTTGAAGCTCCTGCTGAACGATTTTCTTGCGTAGACTGGGATCGCTCTGCCGTAACATCGAGATTGCATCTGCCGATGGATGAAAGATTCCAATTTCGGTACGATGATGCTGTCGAAAATGCTGATCAAAATGCTCATCACTTCGATTGCTGAGTGCAGTAGAAGGATCCACCTCATGGTTTGGGTACTCCAAGAAATCTAGATGCACGCACAAGTGATGACTATTGATTAATAGATAGCAAAGTCATCTGAGAACTGGCAGCCGAACGTACATCCTGGTGTTCGAGCTCTCAGCATCATATTCTCGAGTTTTAGCAGACGAATCTGCTCCTTCAGATCCTTGATTAGTTTTTCCTGTTCAGGCAGAAGTCATGAAATAGCTGTGTTAGCTGGCTCCGAAACATGCTGAAAATGAACATGAGCCTTACATGAGGAGTAAGCAGAGCAGTCGGGCGGTTCTTGATCTTGGCGACACCCATAGCAAATTCGAGCGTACGGGTGGACTCAACCGCAAATTGGGGCGAAGAATTCACGCACGCGATCATGAGCGTCTTGCAGTTTCCTCCAAGACTATCCAGCAGTAGCATCGTGAGTTTTGAGTCGCGGTACGGAACAAACTTGCTTTTCCCCGTCCTACTACACTTGGGTGCGTTCATAGCCTGAATGACCTGGCTGAGGCAGTGAAGGCTTCGATTGATATGACACGTTTCGCGAAGTTGTGTCCCGACCGCGCCCGAGTCCGACGCGCGCTCGCTCCCAGCCAGATCGACAATGGTAATTTTTCCATAGCGCTTTCCCCCAACAGAGTCTGGTGAATCGGGCCTTAGTGGGGCAGCATCAATATATATCGTAACAAGACAGTGACTTCGATTCGAGCGTTCATTCAGCAGGTGGCTGGACTTGGCGCGGTGAGTTGCGGCTGCTTTCACCACCCGTACAATCTCTCGAGCTGTCACGCATTCCACCACGGTGGCGTTCTCAAGGAAGAACCCGTGGGTCTTTGACGATCGCACCGCTAAGGTCTCCTTTCGAGGGTCAAACACATCGCGTACCTGTTCGTTGTAAATTTCGACACAAGTTACACGAAGCGTGTACTCAACTTCTCCCTTTCGAGCTGAAATGGCATTCATGAGCTCTTGAGCCGTTCGGGGTAGAAGCCCGTCCTGCTCGTGCAAAGCTACCCTGCGCTCGGTCACACCATCTTCCTTTCCAAAAATTGTGTAGGATTTGCCAGCCCCAGTCTGACCGTACGCGAATATGGTAACCGGATAGCCGTCTAGCGCAGCTTCGACAAGCTCCTTCGCTCGCACCTGGTCGAAAACATCTTCTTGAGACGAGTTTGAGGGCAAGAATGTTTCGCATCGAAATGTGGCTGCTCGTGTACGGGTTGCATCGCTGTATACGAAGAGCTCTCCCGGGTTCTCAGGGCTGGCCGCTACACATTCTTGGTCGCTCACGGGTGTTTCCCTGCTGCTAGCGCTACCGTTGCGCTCAGAAGCAGCAACATAAGGTCGAGCACGAACCACGACACGGATCTTCTCCTCTTTCTCCATCTCCTTTTGGTTCAAGGGTACGTAGAGTGCAGATAACACGAAAGCATTTGAGTACGTATATTTAGGAAAGTTTCGTCTAGGTCTATTCATACTTGCGGTTTAAAGCGCTTGCTATGGGGTCGGGAATGGGAGAAAATGGCGCAAATGTATCGTAGCAACTACTGCTCGCTAGTTCGCTTGCCTCCCCCCCTCATGTGCAGCGTTGATTGACCTACATCTCACAGGCTGCTGATGAGTCATCAGTGATGACCACTTCAACTTGCTCTGTGCCAATTCCATTGGCAAAAAAATCAGCACTAAAACCGCATATCATTGGTCAAAATAATAACTCCCCCTTTTTGCGGTCTCCATTCAGCAAAAGCAGCAAGCAAGCAGGTAAAGCCCCACCTAAAGGTGTTGTCGTTGTGCGTCCGTAGCGGGGAGAACACTCATTAATGGCCCATGCAGTCCCGCTCAATTGAATCAACAAGTTCTTGTGCATCTAACCATGCCCATTTTCCCGCCTCTTTCGCCGTAGAACCTCGTTGAAAACAACTCCGAAATGGGTGTCCAGGAGCCCAAGAAGCGTGCTAATGTTGAGCTGGCTCGAGGCATCAACGCCATCTCCGCCAACAGCCTGGCCAAGACAAATGGCCGCGTGTTCGCCCACAGTGCCGCTAACAGCAAGACCAAGGCATCGAAGGCCCCCGCCCAGCCTGCGCACTCGACCAAGAAGTGGTATCCGGCCGACTACATCCCGAAGCCGCTGCCGTCCGCCAAGACCAAGCGCAACAGCGTCAAGACCGCCAAGCTCCGCAAGTCCATCACACCCGGCACGGTGCTCATCCTGCTGTCTGGACGCTTCCGTGGCAAGCGCGTGGTGTTCCTGAAGCAGCTGCCGTCGGGCACGCTGCTGGTCACTGGTCCGTACAAGGTGAACGGCGTGCCGCTACGTCGCGTGAACCAGTCCTTCGTCATTGCCACTTCCACGCGGATGGACTTGACGGACGTGCAGCTGCCGGAGATTGATGACGAGTACTTTACCAAGGACAAGCCGGCCAAGAATAGCAGCAAGGAGGACCGCTTCTTCGCGGCGCAGCAGATGGCGGTACGTTGATGATTTTATATGCGTTGGTGCCCTGCGTGGATGAGTCCTCCTGTGTATTGTGTGGTCCCTGTGAGAGCCGAGGGGTGTGGCTATGGGGGTTGCAAAAATGCGCTTGGGATCGCAATAAGTTCCTCCACCTGTTGAACTGACGGTGGCTTTTTGTGCAATGCAGTCGGCGCCCGTGATCGCGGAGCAGCGCAAGAAGGACCAAAAGACGGTGGACGCTCTGCTCATGAAGAAGCTGGCGAACGAGCCGTACCTGCGCGCGTACCTGAACGCTAAGTTCACGCTGACCAAGAACGACCGCGTCCACGACATGCGCTTCTAAGCTACTGTTAGTCTACGAGTTCCAGTGCATGGCGCGACGATTCAAATACGTATGCAGGAGACGCGGTCTTAGGTTGACCCGCTTGATGGTATGGCGTTGGCATGAAGTAATATGACGGACCCGAAGACGTATTTCATATCAAAAACCAACCACGCTTGGCTAATGGCTCATGCACATGCGAGCGGTTCGGGGTTCTGCTCAATACGCTTCTTGGATCGCAGGTACTACAGGGAACGCAACGAGATAGACAAGCGGTCAGGGAAGTCTCAAGGGGGCAATTGACGACGCTTTGCGCAGCAATCGCCGACACATCACCACGATGGCAAGGCAAAAGCAGGACACATACCTTTCGCCGGTCGCGAAGTGCTTGTCGAGCCCACTGGAGCTCCAATACGATCTCCTCCCGCGAGTGGGTCGCGAGGATCTCCTGAACGATAGCCAGCTGCGACGAATTCCCATCCTGGCCGCGCTGCAGCGGCGCTCTGTCCATGTTTTCCACTTGGCGCTCGAGCTCCTCGCGCACATCGGACGCTGACGTTTCTGCTTGGAGCGCGCCGCCGCGTATTTCTACAGCCGACGCGCCGTCGTCACGCTCGGAGCCCTCGGAGCTGATCCCGTCCTCCTCGCCGCCGTCCTGGACGAGGGTCTGGTGGCCAACGACTTCGCCCTCCTGCGGGTCCTCATGCGCGGCTTCAAGTGGCGCAATCGGCTGCGGTGACGGCGGACCAATCACTGCTCCTTGCTCGCACGAGCGTTTAACTTCCTCGTCTCCACTGCTCGAGCTGGAATCTTCTGCGTGCTCTTCCGGCTCGGGTGGGAAGCGCACTGAGACGCCGAAGAGCGAGTCCTCCATGCGCGGCAGCCGCAGCTTGCCGTCATCGCCCCAATCCAGCGCGAAGGCCGAGGCCGCTGCCGCCGGTCCAAGCAGCGCCCACGCGCCGTCCAGTTGGCGCCGGATATCAGCGACGAGCAGCTCCATGTCGTCGCGCACTTGGTGCACGACGCGGCGACGCGCCCGCCAGCCGCGGAAGACGCGCTGCAGTACATCGTTGCATGCAGCCACGCAGGTGTCAGTTAATCGGTCGTCGTCAATGGAGTCAGCCGACACGTCCGTCGACACATAGCTACAGTTCAAGAAGGACAAGAAGCAGAAAAAAACTATTTTCGGGCGTTAAATAAAACTCCTTGCAATTCACCTGTATCCTGCTCGCAGCCGCGTGGCGAGCCTGAGCTTGAAGCCGTTGCCGCTGCTGCTGCTGCTTGTGCATGAAGAAGCAAGTGTCTCGCCCGCGTGCGTCAGCGCCGGCGATTATGCCTCTACTGCAGCGCTTCAAGCGAGAGAGCACGAAAAGATTCAATCAAGGCGGTCGTGCAAAGACCACGTTAAACCGGTTGTGTGACACTTCCCGGCTGCCCCTTCATCTGACGCGCCACGGTACTGGCCACCTATTTGGAGCGTTTCCAAGCGCGCCCGGTCATTTAGCAAAGACGCGCTGAGCCCACGCCCCACGACGACGCGAAGCCCAAGCAGGAGCGACTGACCGACCGACCGACACAATTCATTAGAGGAGGAGATTAAACAGCCAGCCGTTCACTACCTACATGAAGCTGAATCTGCCGAGTCTGCCCAGCCCCGGCGGCGCCGGCTGGTCCGTGGCGCTGGCCCTGGCGCTGGCGCTGCAGGTGGTGCTGTACCGCAAGACGCTGCAGGACGCCGTGCGCGACGGCCGCAAGCGCCTGCTGGTGTTCAAGACCATGCACCGGCGCTTCGCCAACCAGCGGCTCAAGCGGCTCAACAGTCTGGGCGACGACCGCAAGTCCCAGTGGATGTGGAAGAAGGCGGCGGGCGCCGCCGTGTCCGTGGACAGCGACAGCAGCAGCGAGGAGAGCGCGGACGGCACCGGCAGCACGGACGGCCTCATCTCGTCGCAGAAGAAGCTCGTGCTCGTCATGGTGGGGCTGCCCGCGCGCGGCAAGAGCTTCGTGGTGCACAAGACGCTGCGCTACATCGAGTGGCTGGGCTTCCCCACGCGCATGTTCAACGTGGGCAACCTGCGCCGCAAGCTGGGCAAGGCCGGCGAGGACGCCAAGTTCTTCAGCGCCGACAACTCGGACGCCACGCGGCTGCGCGAGGAAATGGCCATGGACGCGCTGGACGACCTGCTCGAGTGGCTCGAGACCCAGGGACACGTCGCGGTGTTCGACGCGACCAACACGACCAAGCTGCGCAGGTACAGTGCTAGAACGCTGCAAGGTTTGCGGGGGTTGGGCGATGATATTAATTGAGGCTAACTTGTTGTGGTACTTTGTGGTGCTGGGGGTTGATGCAGACAACACATTCTGGAGAAGGTGAGCTCGCACCGCAATGTCCGCGTCATGTTTGTGGAGAGCATTTGCGACAACGAGGAGCTGCTCGAGGCCAACTACCGTCGGTGGGTTGCAAATCTCGCAGGATGAAGCAGTTGACCGTCGCACGCGGCATGGATAAGTTGTGCTAACCCCCGCTGGCGTTGTGCTGTGTTGCTGCTTGTAGGAAGCTCTCGAATGCGGACTACAAGGACAAGGACCCCGAGGTGGCGCTGGCTGACTTCCGGCAGCGCGTCATGGAGTACCAGAAGGTCTACGAGACTGTGGAGGATACGGAGGATGGCGGTAACGCGTGCTACGTGAAGGTGTACAACGCTGGCGAGAAGATTCAGGCGCGGTACTGCCAGGGCTTCCTGCAGAGCCACATCGTGTCGCTCCTGCAGAACATTCACCTTTGTCCGCGCCGGATCTGGCTGGTGCGCCCTGGGCCCAGCATCACAAGCTGCAAGGGCATCTTGGGGCTCGACACCGAGCTGGCGCCCGAGGGCCACCGAGTCGCGCGTGCCATTGCGCGGTTCGTGGAGAAGCTGCAGCTCGAGCGCCCCATGGAGGTATGGACGAGCCCCATGAAGCGCGCGAGAGAAACGGCCAACTACCTCCCCACCCGCAACTTGAAGCGCTACGTGACCACCACGCTGCTCAACGAGCTCGGCGGCGGCGACTTCGAGGGCCTCACGTACGACGAGATCGAGCGCTTTTACCCGAAGCACTACGCGGCGCGGCTGCAGGACAAACTGCGTTACCGCTACCCCGGTGTGGGCGGCGAGAGCTACGTGGATGTGATCTCGCGCTTGCGCTCGCTGATCGTGGAGTTCGAGCGCAAGAAGCGCGACGTGCTGGTGATCTGCAGTGAGTCCATCCTGCGCTGCCTTATGGGCTACTTCGCTGGCTGTGAGGCCGCCAAGGTGCCGCACCTGCAGTCCTACGAGGACACGGTCATCGAGCTGAGCCCGCACCGGGACGGCTGCGACAGCAAGCTCATTCCGCTCGAGTTCGAGGAGGACGCTGTGGAGGATGTCTCTCATGTGCAGTAAATCACCGTCCGCTCCACTGTGCAGCTACGCGGCTGAGATAACGAGGGGGATCGAAGCTCAGCTTGGACGACGCCTCAGAAGTACAACTACATTGCACTCGTTGCATATAAACCACCCCACTTATCTAGTCGGGCACTCAAGGGAAGGGCCTCAGCATTTTGTACATACGCCGAGGACCGGGAAAGCAAAATATACCTCTCTGGGCTTTCAATATCAAATGGTCAAGTTGAAGTTGTTTGCCGAGAGAAGTTGAAGCGTGTCCAAATGCACCGACGGAATTGAGTCTCACCTGCTTTCCACTGCAATACCTGCCATGACGAGAATGAGAAGCACGAGAGGCAACCTCAACCACTCAACCGGTCGCTGGCTGTGATGCTCGCTTTGTCGTGACAGGCAGCTGCAGGTCGAATGGTTTCGTGACGAAGGATCAAGAAATCCCACTTCCTTTAACACGGCAACGCGCTTGAGGCAGGCGCAACCGAGTCGACAAAAGCTTCTAAAGTGCCGAGCTTCCGGTCGATTTTGATTGATGTGACGCGATTTTGAGCGTTTGAAGCTCCTCCATCCACTGAGCACAGGAACATGGAGATGCTAGCAAACCTCCCGTTGTCAGTCTGTTCAAGCATCATCGCCTTTGCAATGCCCGGCTACTGCGACGATATTATACCAAGCGGATATTCACTGCCCATGAAAAAAAAACTCAAGTGCCGGCACCTGCGTGTCGAGCAGCAGCGTCATTTGTAAACCAAATCGTCGAGGAGTTCAAACGAACCACGCTCACCTTTGTGATCCGTTCTTTCAATCTTTGTGACCGCAGCTGAATGCTCAGCGACTTCCGCGTGCACACGAACGTCACAAAAGTCTGTCGTTGACAATGAACATTAGTTGGGATTGGAAGGAATATTTCCGTGACTGTGACGATGAAATACTCGATGCTAGCAGTCGAGTGGCGGGTTCTGAAGGTTGCCGAGCGGGGTTCAGCTCTTATATGCCTAACGTTCATACAGCCCTAAGGGGTTGCCCATCCTTTCGGCTACCCTGGTTAGCTCCATCAGAGCTGGACGCTAAACTATTCGAGCCCCAGACTCGAAGGTTTTTGGCGACTGAAGCAGTGGCAATGAATTGCCCTCTTCTTACCCGTTTGGCGCTGGTGCGTTGGTCTAACATCCGACGTACTCCTACTTACTGAGCATGTACTGATAACTCTTGGCGGGTTGACATTCATAGAACGACTGGAAGCTCACGATATCAATTGTACGGTATTGGATAATGCACCCCGAAAACGCCCCAAATCCCAAAGTTTTTCCCAAATGATTTAAGATCATGGGGAACGTTTTGGTACATATTTAGGACAGAATAACCTTCAGTATGAAAGAGCAGCACAGGGCGGACACTCGCGCGTTGGCTCTCGTCTGCGGACTTAGCGACGGGTCTGCGGGGGGCCCGCCCCTCTCTCGCTTCGCTCGGGGGGCGCCGCTGCGCGGCCTGCCCCACCCCCTTGTCCCTTACGCTAAGTTCCTCGTCTCGGCCAGGCGCGGTGTCTAGAAAAAAAAATATCGGGTTGCAGCGCTCGCGTTCACTCGCTCGCACAGACACGCCCCCGCCTAATCGGCGGGTGTTGGCGATTAGTGAATGCATCGAGTGAGGCTCGCTGTTGAATGAAGAGGCGCGCCGAGCGCGCCCCGCTCGCCTGTCTGCCAGTCGAGTTATTTTGCAACTGATTCATGTTATACAAACTTTAAGTAAAGTGTCGGCACCGTGCAAAATATGTGTATATTCACCTAATTACTTAACTTCACTATAGGTGGATAACATATCTCGACAGCCCTGCCTACATTATACGTCGGCAGGAGTGTCGGCAGCTCATACACCTACCCCTAACGTTGATCATTGGATAAAATACCATCTATCGCCCTTCTCATTCGATAATAATCAGTCATCGACATTTGATTGGATCATGACAGCCATACAGTGGCTAAATATAAAATCATATGTGTCGGCACCGTCACGATATTTATCCATACATAGTGCGATGACGACACGAGGCCGAGGAGTGAGGAGTCGAGGACGCAGTCCGAAGACGAGGTCACTTCCTCTTTTGCCTCCAGGTACCGAGCACGGATCTGGAGTAGTAGTCATAGGAATAGAGGATAACCAAAAGAGTAATACATTGTAGTGAGCTACCTACTCTGTGTAAACTGTTCATTTCAACATTTCAAGTACAATGAGCAAGCCCCAGGTTGACAAGTCGTCGGTCAACTCGCTGAAGTTCAACGGGAAGTCCCTGCACTTCGCTGCGTGGAAGAGCAAGTTGATCTTCCACCTCAGGGCGCTGAGTGAGCAACGTGCGCTCGAGGAGCTGCAGCACAAGCGTGCAAAGCCGCTGACGCGCTTCGAGGATCTGCTCGAGAGCCAGCCGGAGCTGCCGCCACGCCCGCCCGCGGCGGACAAAGAGGCGACATGGCAGCACGATTTGCACGAGACGCTGCTGAATCAGCAGTCGTCGTTCATCAAGCGGCTGCTGTGTGAAACGCTGCCGGGCGGTTTCAAGGGAATCGCGACCAAGCAAATGGACGAGCCGGTCCACGTGATTTGGCGGCTTGTTGAGAAGCAGTACAGCCTCAGCAACGCGGCAGGCGTCGTCGGGCTGGTACAGCAGTTCCTGGAGATGGTGAACGCCGACTTCAAGAGCGTTGGTCAGCTCTTACAAGACCTCAACAACGTGCGCAGCCAGGACAACGTGAACGCGCACGAGGCTCTGCACACGCACATGATCACGTCGATGATGATGCTGGTCATGGTGCTCGGTGTGCTTCCGAGGCACATGTGGGGCTCCTCCGTCAAGTTCACGGAGGAGAGCTTCACGCTGGAGAAGGTGAGCGAGAAGCTTGCCAACATCTTTGGCAACAAGACCAAGAGCGAAATTATGGCGCTGGCTAGCGGCAGGGTGGTCAACCACGTCAAGTCGACCCCAGCCAAGACGGCTACAACAAATCCGATGGGATCCGTTCTGGGCAAGCGAAAGACCGCAGACGGTCCGATCAACGACGTCCACTACAACGTCGGGTACATGAAGCGCCACTACTGCGCAGGCGCGCACAACGATCGGGATAGCATTGGCCCACACAAGATGCTTGACTGCCCCGCGCGTCGTGCAGACAGGGCTGCGGGTGTGTTTCGCCGCAACGTGTGGACGTACCCAAGCCGCAAGGCTCGCAAAGAAGACACGAGCCTACACCCAAGATGAAGGGCAATGGAAAGGGCAAGGCCAAGGCCAAGGAGCGTCGTGAAATCCCATTGGCTGAGTGCCTGGCCAAAGTCGTGGCGGTAGACGCGTGCGACGCGCAGCAAGATTCGCTGCCCGCGACCCCGGATGGGTACACGAGCCCGCCCCCAAGCAACTTTCAGCCTGGCACGCCGGGAAAGGGCGCTTCGCCGATGAGCGACGAAAACGAGCCTATGGAGAGCGTCGTCAACGCCGTGAAAGCTGACGCTTCGGGCACGGCTCCAGCCGCCGCTAAGCAATCGGACGACGACGTGGACATGGAAGGACAGCCAAGCGAGGGCAGCAATCTAGAGATTGCCGAGGCGACGAAGAGCTTCGCCGGCATGCTGACTGACCAGAAAAAGGTGCGAAGTTTGTATCCATTTCTGTTAGACGATGATTCGTATCTAACCACAAATTCTTGGGTACTTGACTCAGGGTGCGGGCACGGACTAACCAGCGAGGCAGCGCGGTTTGTGCAGAAGGAGCCCAACAACCAGTACATGTTTACATTCGCACAGGGCTCTAAGCATTCAAATACACATCTTGGCACGATAAAATTGTATTTGCATGGTCCACAAGGAATTAGACCTTTTCTGTTCGAAAATATTGCGTTAGTACCGGACGCTACCTCGAACATTCTGAGCGAGTTCTGGCTCAGGCGCGGTGGGTACCATATATTTGGTTTTACTAACTGGCGAGTACAAATTTGTGTAATTTGCCAATGAATTAGTGTTTGTTGCAAAGCAATTAACGGGGCATACTATATACAGAATAAAACACTGCAAGAGCGTCAACTGCTGTGCAACGCAGTGAAACAGGAGCCCTGTAAACCACTAGCTCGCCTAGGTACTGAGAGGTTAGAGCGCACACTGCAGGAGTGGCATGTTAAGCTGGGCCACCTTAATAAGAATGCATTAATTGCAATGTTAAGCACAAAAGTGGTGGCTGGAATGCCAAAATTTTCCGCGCCAGGTCTAAGAAAGATCCCATTCTTTTGCACAACTTGTGCAGAGACGAAGAAGAGGAGAATGTCCTACCGGAATGCGAAGGGCTCGAGAGATGAGAACCCAATCAGCACCATTCATATGGACACAAACGGCCCCATGAAGACCATAGGGGTGTATGGCAGCTGCGGGAAAATCAAATACTTCCTGAGTATCATTGACGACAGCACGTCGTGGCGCTGGACCTACGTCCTACGCAGTAAGAAATAAGTCTTTGAGAAAGTAGAGGAGCTACTTTTGCAGCTTGAGCGTGAGGGAAAGTTCACGATTCGTCGGATCCGGTCCGATGGAGGAACTGAGTTTGTGAATGCAGCCTTTAAAAGCTTCTGTAAAGGCAAAGGCATCGTATTCCAGACATCCAACGCCTACAGCCCCGAAGAAAACGGAGCTGCAGAGCGAGACCACCAGAGCAAACTGGATAGAGTTCGTTGCGCGTTGAAGGACGCAGCTATGGAACACAGGTGGTGGTCAGAGGCGCTCATGTATATGACTTATGTGCAGAATCGCACACCCATGGCACGTTTGGGAAACAGACACCGTATGAGATGGTGTATGGGGAGCCTCCCAACGTGAGCAAGCTATCTGTGTGGGGATGTGTGTGCTTTGCGCACGTTCCTGCCGCCCTAAGAAAGGACGAAAAGCTGTCTGCTCGCGCCGTAAAGTGCCGGTTTCTCGGAATATCTGAGGAAACGAAGGGTTATAGACTCTGGGACATGTATAACAACAAACACATCTTATCGCGTGATGTGCTGTTTGATACGACCAATGTAGCCACCATGGTTCAGCGAGCTTTCGGTCAGGCCGAAGAGTCCCTCACAATTGAATCTGCCGCGCGCGAGCCACCCGCAGCAGAGGGAAACCAAACACTAGCCACCGAGTCTACGGAGGCAGTGGGGGCTGAAGCACTTGCCGACGGGTCCATGGCAGTAGTGGGAGCTGAATCACGAGCACAGGGGTCTACTGAGGCAGTGGGAGCCGAAGCAGCTACTGAAAACAGTAACCCAGCAGTGGGAGCTCAAAAGAAACGCCAACGTGTGGGACTCGTCGATACGCCACAGAGGCGTGAATCCCGCCCACGTAGAGAGGCGAAGAAGCCGAAGAGATACGCGGACTATCAGTGCTTCCAGGCGATGCTAGATAAGAACATTGCGCAGGACATACTAGAGCACAAAGTGCCGACACCACGGTCGCTCAAAGCAGCCTTAAGTGGACCTCATAGAGAGCAATGAAAACAAGCTCTGGAACTTGAGTACGACTCCTTGATCGAGAATGGGACGTGCAGACTCGTAAAACTGCCACCCGGACGTAAGGCTTTGCCCTATCACCGGGTACTAGTAGTAAAGTATAACGCTGACGGGACTGTCGAGCGGTTCAAAGCACGCCTCGTAGCACAGGGCAACCACCAGGAGTTTAAGGTAGACTGTGATGAGGTATACGCACCCGTGGCACGATTTGAGTCGCTGCGCCTAGTGCTGGCGATAGGGACGATATTGGACTGTCATATCCACCAGATGGATGTCCATACGGCGTTCTTGAACGGCACGATGGAAGGAGAGCAAAAGATCTACATGAGGCAACCTCGCGGTTTTGCGAAGCGAGGTCAAGAGCACTTGGTCTGTGAACTTCTGAAGAGCATCTATGGCCTGAAACAAGCCCCGCGCATCTGGTATAAAGTCCACCATAACTTTTTGACGTCGATGGGTTTTGCACGCTGCCACAAAGAGTTTTGCATCTACGTGCAAAAAGTGGGAGTAGATTGGATCATAGTCGTGGTCTATGTCGATGATCGGACGATCATGTCGCGGAACATGCGACTAATTGATGGGCTCAAAGCCGAGTTATCAAAACGGTTCAAGATGAAAGACCTTGCCGACATTCACTACATCCTCAAGATGGAGGTAACTCGCAATAGGAACCAGCGTGTGATGATGATCTCACAGCGCAAGTACATTGCAGAGCTGATCACGAAGTACAAACTGGTCGATAGCTCGCCGGTGATGACACCGCAAGCACCTGGCCTCGTACTCGAGCCAGAGACGAACATGAGCGCAGAGCAGATTGCTGCGCAGCCTTACGACTACAGAGGCATTGTTGGATCACTCCAATATTTGGTCCGTGGCACACGACCGGACATCGCCAACGCGGTTAGAGAATTGAGCAAATTTCTGTCTTGTTACAACCGCACGCACTGGGAAGCGGCTAGGCGGGTACTCAAATACTTGAAAGGGACGTCACCGTACGGTCTGTTTCTCGATGGAAAAACGAGAGACGTGACTTACGAAGTGTACATTGACGCGAGCTTCGCGTGTCAACCTAAAGAACGTAAATCCGTAACAGGGTACGTAATCCAAATGGCCGGAACCAGTGTGTCATGGTGTAGTAGCAAGCAGGGAGGCGTGTCGCTCTCTACTGCTCAAGCTGAACTCATCGCACTAAGTGAGGGAGCTAAAGAAAGTGAGTGGTTGTGGCACTTGCTGGGAGAAATGGGGTTTCCTCAAAAGGTACCAGTGCAGGTATGGTGTGACAGCAACGCTGCCATCAGCATTGTGAAAAATCCTGGAAATCACAAAGCAAACAAACACATCGAGATCCGCTACCTTTTTACGAAGGACCTGGTTGAACTTGGCCGCCTCGAGATAGCTTACTGCTCTACAACAGAGATGACAGCGGATGTTCTCACTAAAGCTCTCCCCACAAAACAATTCCTGAAACTAAGAGAGAAACTAGGAGTGCGAGATATGAAACTTTACCCTAGTACTTAGTGGGAGTGTTGAATGAAGAGGCGCGCCGAGCGCGCCCCGCTCGCAGAGTGGCAGCAGGCTTCGCCTGTCTGCCAGTCGAGTTATTTTGCAACTGAAAGAAAACCCTCTCAAACATGTTATTATTGTTTTAGCAAGTACGAGAGAAGTTCAGATCGCCAGCTGTGGTCTGGATAGTGCAGGCAGAGAGCTGCCTGCCAACCATACCATGACGGTGCCGACAGCGGCCGACACCTGCCGACACAATCTAACATTGGTTAAAAGCCTGAATTTGTTTGATTGGTCTAAAACGGCTATTTTGAACCCTTCTCGCATTTTCATTTCGTGGTGGAGGTCATAATGGCGGCGCTCCTGAGCGCAATGCCCTCCCCTCCAGGCTTCGCATGCGTGTCATGCGGGCGTGCACAGGCGTGAGCAGGTCACCCAAGACGGTTCGTGGCAAGCCCGGCACGTCGGCGTGCTCAGCCTGTGCCCTCGGAGCCAGTCGAGAGCGAGGAGGACTAGGGCACCCACGACACAAGGGCGAGGGGCAGCAGGCACCGGGAGGGCGGCACCAAGAGCGCGGGGGAAGGCGAGGAGCTCAAGAGTACGAAGGACAGCAGAGGCTCCAAGGGCACGACGCACGGACGGGCGTCGTCGTTGGCGGCGGCAGTGGTGGGAGGAGGGGGAGGAGTAGGAGGAGGAGGAGGAGGAGGAGGAGTAGGAGGAGGAGGAGGAGGAGGAGGAGGTGGAGAGAGTGAGGCAGGCCGCGATGACGCTGCAGAAAGGAGGGAGGTCGAGCAGGAGTCGAAGAGTGGAGGCAGAGCGAGCGGCAGTGGAGGAGGAGGTCGTGCAATGCGTCAAGGAGCGTGGCGGTCACCGCTGAGGCAGCCGTGGAGGAGAGGGGACACGACGGAGCGGCTGCCGCGTATGGTAAGGAGAAGGAGGGTGCAGTGGAGCTGAAGGAACGAGAGGGCACGGTTGAGGTGAGCGCGCGGCGTACTCGAGTCGTCGAGCCTGCTGGCGTCTGTGGACAAGGGAGAGTGACTGCGGTAGAGGGCGAGTGCGGCGGGGACGAAGGCGCAGTTTGCGGGTTGAAGAGCGGGTGGCCTGCAGCGAGGACACAAGGAAGCGTGCGAGGAGCTGGTGCGTCTCGTGGCGGCGCAGCTGGTCATGCAGAGCTGCCACTGCGTGCGGGTGCGTTGTGTACGGTTGGCTGGGTGGGATGTTGCTGGGACCTGCCCCGAAGCCCTCCTAGCTGGAGTTAAACCGTTAATACTAATTAAGTATCTATTTATTCGAGTGTTTCATTGCGTGACCTCCTTCTACATGTACATCTCCACGATAAGAAACTTGCAAATACTACTTATCGCATGCCTTGCCGTTCTGCTAACATGTAGTACTAGTACTTAGTAGTGGTAAGTTCATGAAAGGGCATCGCCACGGAAACTCGGTTGAGTTTGAGAAGCTAGCGGAAGCGCCACTACAAAACGCGTAAAGCAGTCAAATTCATGTTATACAAACTTTAAGTAAAGTGTCGGCACCGTGCAAAATATGTGTATATTCACCTAATTACTTAACTTCACTATAGGTGGATAACATATCTCGACAGCCCTGCCTACATTATACGTCGGCAGGAGTGTCGGCAGCTCATACACCTACCCCTAACGTTGATCATTGGATAAAATACCATCTATCGCCCTTCTCATTCGATAATAATCAGTCATCGACATTTGATTGGATCATGACAGCCATACAGTGGCTAAATATAAAATCATATGTGTCGGCACCGTCACGATATTTATCCATACATAGTGCGATGACGACACGAGGCCGAGGAGTGAGGAGTCGAGGACGCAGTCCGAAGACGAGGTCACTTCCTCTTTTGCCTCCAGGTACCGAGCACGGATCTGGAGTAGTAGTCATAGGAATAGAGGATAACCAAAAGAGTAATACATTGTAGTGAGCTACCTACTCTGTGTAAACTGTTCATTTCAACACTCGCGCTCGCGTCCACTCGCCCTCGCCCATAGACTATAGACCATAATCAGTCAACTCCGTTTTGGTACATATTTGGGATAGTTTTACGAGAAAGCAGTCATAAACTTGGCCCCAAATATGTACCTAAATGTTACAGAGACAATTCATTATTTGGGACATTTGGGGCGATTTGGGCACATATTTGGGATGCATTATCAGCTTCCAATTGTACGGTAGAGGCTTTTCTTCTTTCCGATGATGTCAAGTGTCTGCGCACATTCTCATTCCGGATGACCGAAGACCTCACCAGCGAGTTCTTCGACGCGATTTTAGCTTTGCTGTACGATCTGGAACAGACAAGTGCGCTCGAATTGCACTGCGCACGCCAAGCTTTCAAGCTTGAATTGCTAAACCTGTCTGGATCAGTTCCGGATGCCTACGTCGTTCGAATCGACAATGGAAAAGATCGACCCCTACGCTATCGTTCGAGATCCGTCGCGGAGATGCACCTCACGTAATGTTTGGTCTTCACCCTCACGTAATGTTTGGTCTTCTCAATCGCCACAGCGAGTACCGGTAAGAAAGTAGAGAAAAACTATGCGAATCAAATCGTGCTAACGTGCTTACCACTACAGTTGAAACACAAAGTAGCCATCTAAATCGCTACACCAGGATCAAACGCCGTCTTCCTTCTTGCTAAATCTAGTTGCTGTTGTGCTTCTCGTACAGCGCCTTCTGCTTAGCTTGTTCCTTAGCCAGCTTCTTGGTCTGGCCCTTGCTCAACGGCTCACCAGCCGCATCGTGCGTCGGCAGACCCTGAAATTCACACATACATAATACGTTAGCAAATGTGCGATGACTTTAGAGCACGCTCATATCTGCGCCCCGTCACTTACGTTGTCATCGAACTTCGAGTACTTGTCCTTCATACCGAGGAACATCTCGCTGGGCGGAAATTTGGCCTTTTCAGCCAGCTCCGCCTTCTTGCGAGCCTCCTCCTCCAACCGCAGACGCTTCTGCTCCTCCTTCCTGAGCTTCTCCTGCTCCTTCTTCTCGATCTCCTCAATCAGCTCGTCCTTGTTCGCCAGCTTCCAGACAGCAGCTCCGGCAGAGCGGTCCTCGAGACGCACACCAGCGTAAGGAAGCTTCTCGTCGCGGACCACATCGCACAACCGCAACACAGCACTAGCCAGGGCCTTCGCGTCGCCACCATCCGCAGCTGCAGAGCGCGCGGCCTCGCGGATTTCGTCACGGAACTGCGCGAAAATGTCCAACACGGGCGTGAGCACAGTCTCTTGGTCAGCACCACCAGTCGCACCCGAGCTCAACGGGAAGCCAATGTCCGTAGCCGACGTAACAAGGCCAAACACAGACAGAATACGCGTAATGTACTCCGCGGCGGCACGGATCAACATAGAGGCCTGCTTCTCAATATCTCCGGCCATGTAGCGGTTGACCTCCTTGGCCAGCTGCTGCAGGTGCAGCAGCGCCAGCGGCGTGTTAATGTCGTCGCTCAGCGCGCGGAACACCTTCTCCTTGCACTCGAGCAGAGCTCCGTGCAGAGCCTTCTCCACAGGGGTCCACTTCTGCGTCTTCTCCACGCCAAGCTCACGGAGACGTGCCTTGACGTTAGCAAAGAACTCAGTGAAGAAACGGTCGACACCAACAGCCTCGTCCATCGAGTTGTCGTTGTAGTCCATGGGCACGTTGTACTTGTGCAGCAAGAACAGGAAGCGCAGCTGGCGCGGCGAGTTGTCCATGAGCGCCTCCTGGATCTTCACGAAGTTCTTGAGACTCTTGGACATCTTCAAGCCCTCAATGTTGAGGTGGCCCGTGTGCACGAAGTAGTTGACCCACTGCGAGAAGTCGAAGTACGCCTCGGACTGCGCGATCTCGTTGTCGTGGTGCGGGAAACGCAGGTCAATGCCGCCAGAGTGCACGTCGATCTTGCCGCCGGCAAGGTGCTTGAGCGCGTCACTGGCCATGGCCGAACACTCAATGTGCCATCCCGGACGTCCCTCGCCCCAGGGCGAGGGCCAGAAGGGCTCTCCGCTCTTGGACTTCTTCCAGAGCGCAAAGTCGCTGGCGTTGCGCTTGTCCGACTGTCCAGCGGACAGCGCGCCTTCTCCCTCGGCGAGCAGCTCGGACTGGCCGACGTTCTCGGGCAGCAGCTTGCCGTACGCCTTGCCCTTGGAGCGGCCGAACGCCGCCGTGTCGAAGTACACGGAGCCGTTGCTCTCGTAGGCGAAGCCGTTCTTGATGATGCCCTCCACAAACTCCACGACCTCCGGCACGTACTCGCTCACGCGCGTGATGACCGTGGGGGTCTTGATGTTGAGCGCCGCCATGTCGTCCAGGAAAGACTTTTCCCAGAACTTGGACAGCTCGCGCGTGCGGCGCATGTTGTCCTCGGCGGGCTGCTGGGCGGCCCAGCCCATGACCAGCTTGGCCTTCTCGTCCTTGTCCTTGGGCAGCTCCTGGCCGGGGTTGGCCTCGAGCCAGCCGGTCTCGGCCGCGCGCAGGATGATCTTGTCGTCGATGTCCGTGATGTTCATGACGAGCTCCACCTCCAGGCCGAAGTAGTCCTCGAGGATGCGGCGCACGTAGTCGAAGCACGTGTAGGTGCGGCCGTGGCCCAGGTGCGTCTGGTCGTACACCGTGGGGCCGCACATGTACCACAGCACGCGCTTGCCCTGCATGGGCACGAAGGCGTTCTTGGTGCGCGTCATGCTGTTGTACAGGCGCAGCGGGTAGTGCGTGTCCCAGTACTCCGTCAGGCCCTCGATGGGGCGCGGCGGGTACCACGTGGGCTGCTTCACGGCGGCGGGGGCCGCCTCGGGCGTTGCGTCCGTCATGGCGAGCACTTGGGGGGCGGCGATGGAGGCGTCGGGGACGCGAATTGAATGGAGTCTGGGCTACGTTTCTATCGACTTTTGACACGATCGCTTTTGACGCGCAGCGATTGGGCAGAATTAGAAGCGACAGGATTGGCTGAAAATACAGGCAACATTGGACCAGTTCAGCGGTACGTTGCGCAACTGTAGATCTTGAGCTCCAAACTTGATCACCAAAGAAAAAGCTCACGAAAATCTGATGTTGGTTCTGCAGCAGTCAGTTTTTTTAAAAACTTTGAGCCCCGATGGATCACTACTACCTATCGCCTTGCAAATTGCACGTCAAAATGCTGAGCATTTTAACTGTCAGGATCGTGTTGCAGATGCAGCGGGCGGAGGTACGATACGCCCCTCGCAGCGAGGCTCGTTCCGGCAGAGGACCCACCTGCAACTGCGGCAAAACTTTCGCGTGTTCAGGCGAAACCGCTGCGCTACGCTACTTCAGACTTTACGAGAGAGAACGCAGCCAGCGCAGCTGAGAGTTGACAAGGAAGCGAGGCCTTCTTGAAACGCCCTCGTACTACGAGGCTCGTAGCAATGTGCCAGAGTCTGCAATACGGAGGAAGGCGCTCGCGTCTCAAATATTTCGCACGCGGCTGGGTGCACTTCTGTCTTGCGTTGCTCTTGACCGAGTTCTTTTTAATGGCCTTGAACTATAAAGTCAGGATGATTCCCTCATTCAACGTGTATGAAGGAAGGTAAGTCCATGTCATGGACTGTATTCATGGACTCCATGAATACAGTACACATCTGATGTCGTTAAAGCAAGGGTTTAGGAACATGTAGAAAAAATAAATTTACAGAACACGAAACAGCAGATTCCTTCCCATACGCAAATCAAGACAGCCGCATCTCCCCATCGTGTGGACCCATGTGGCAAATGCAACCGACGAGCGACACACTGCAACGGTCGGGCGCCGTTCACCGCCAGCAGTCTCAAATCCGCCGGCCATGACGCACACCCGCATCCCGCTCGTCCTGCTGCTGCTGGCTGCGCTGGTCGCCAGCGTATCTTCTTACGTGGCGCCGCCTCCGCCGCGCGCCGCCGTCATCGCGCGCGAGCAAGAGCCCGAGGACGCCGACGACTTCGAGAAGCGCGAGGTGGAGAACTGCGTGCCGTACGACATCCGCTCGTCCGTCGTGGGCACGCGCGCCGTGGTGGAGTGGGCCACGCGACGCACGTACATCCGCAAGGTGAAGCTGCAGAAGGCGCACGACCGCAGCCCGGCGCTCGCCAACCCGTGGCGCTCGTGCCACGACGTGGGCGCCGATGTGGAAGTGCGCTATCGTCGACTGGGCGACAATGACACGATGCTGGTCACTGAGGGTACGGAGGAGCCGTTCAACCGCAAGGAGGCCATCACGTACACTACTGACGGAGCCACATTCACTACCCACACGGCGTTCCTTGACCTGTCGGGCGACGAGCCCGGCGCTGCTTACGAGTTCATCGTGGGCTCGGTGTATCACGGCTGGTCGGCGGTCCATCGACTAGGCGCCAACCTACCATTTCGAGGAGACGAAGCCGAGCGCTGCCGTCCTAAGCACGTGCACACTGCCTACGGACTGAAGCCCGGAAGACTGGCAGTGCAGTGGATGACCAAGGAGTTCTGCGGAGAAGGAGACGCTCAGTTGCAGCTGGTGGAGGGATACCATGCTCGTATCGAGGTGGAGGGGCCAAACATGACCCCCGTGACAGCGTGGGCTAATACGACGCTGTTCGAAGATGATGGTCAGAAGCAGTCCAAGCGCTGGCTGCACGTGGTGAGGCTGGAGGGACTGAAGCCCGATACGAGGTACACGTACGTTGTGGGCAATGCGCACTACGCGTCGTGGTCCATCCCGTATGTTACCAAGACTGCCCCGGCGCCGGTGACGGCTGGAGAAACGCCCAAACCCATGCGATTCTTGGTTACTGGCGACATTGGCTACCAGAACGCCGCCACTTTGCCCATGATGCAGTCTGAAGTTGCAGAAGGAGTGGTGGAGGGCGTGGTCTCAGTTGGCGACTATGCGTACGACCTGAACATGGCTGATGGCCACGTTGGAGACATTTTCATGCAGGAGATCGAGCCGATTGCTGCCAGTGTTCCCTTCATGGTGTGCCCAGGCAACCACGAAACGCACAACGTGTTCAGCCACTACTCGCAGCGCTTCCGACTTATGCCAAGCAACGAGAACGAAGGCGTGCAGACTGTTCACGTGGGTGGACGCTCGAAGGATGTCGAGCCGAAGGAGGTGCCAAACAACTGGTTCTACTCCTTCGACGTGGGGCTCGTGCACTTCGCGATTATCTCGACTGAGATTTACTTCAAGAAGACCTTCGACGTGGACGGAGACGTGATCGCCCGTCAAGAAGCCTGGCTGGAGCAGGATCTCGCCAAAGCCAACGCGAATCGCGAGAAGACACCGTGGATCGTGGTAATCGGACACCGCCCCATGTACTGCACCTCGGATAACACCAACTGCGGCGACAAGGCTGCTATGCTGCGGGACAAACTCGAGGACAAGTTTTTCACGCACGGTGTCGACTTGTACCTGTGCGGCCACCAGCACAACTACGAGCGAGCCTTCGACGTGTACAAGTCGCAGACGTGGAAGCGCACGCACAACATGCGCGCCACCACGCACATCTTGACCGGTGCATCGGGACAGTATCTCACGTCTATTATGCGCAAGGCTTTCGAGAGACCTGCCGAGGTATGGGACGCCTTCCGCAACTCCATCTTCGGGTACTCCCGCATGCAAGTCATGAATGCCACGCACCTGCACTGGCAACAAGTAGAAGCTGACCCGGAGAACCCTGCCGCGCGCGGGCTCTACGGTCAGGTCGTTGACGATGTGTGGCTCGTGCAAGAGCAGCACGGAAGCTTCGCCCCGATCGGGACAGCGACATAGAGGATTGTACTTCAGATAGCTGTAGATAGAGGCTGTACCAAAACCAACATTAATTTATCCACCATGACCACGAGTTTCATGGTTTTGCCTGCACATTCACTAAAGAAACATGAGAGTTCGTGGATTGAGTAGCGTCATTAGATTAGATAGACAAGCCCCCCCATCATGACATGGCAGCTGAAAACTTGAAACCCCTCTACTGGGAATACGCCTCGAACGGTCGGCTTCGTCGCGCCCTCGGCGACACTAAACTCGAGTGCAGGTGTTGTTAGTACCCGGACGCAGGATGTCTGGCGCTCCCCGCCAAATCCTGCCGGGCTCCGGCACGGCTGCGAACATGGCTCTCAACGCGTTCCGTGTGAGTGTGGAGCGTAGTCGAGTGCGTGAGCTCGCCAGCGACTCCAGATCGGTGAACAGTTCGTCCACGTCCAGAAGACTGTCCCGCGGTGCAAGTCTTGGGCGAAACATCACGCTCAATGCCAAGGTGGCCGCAGCAACCAGCCCTCGGGGCTCCATGTCCGAATCGGCAGCAATTGCAGCATTGAAAGGGCAACAAGAAGGCCCGCCGTCAGCTCGAGTATCGAGTGCCGCAGGAATGTTTAGCAGTCGGTTCTCCGCCATGCCCGTTCAATTCGGCGTGACGGACTTCATGCAGAGCATCATCAATGCGTCTCCAGGCTGCTATGCTGATGACGATGGTTCCAGTGACATCATGGAGCGGTATAACTTCTTCGCGCACGGCAAGCGCTTTCTCGTAAGTCAATTTCTAGCTAAGTTGCTACTTAGTACGTATGTTCAGGAGAACTTACACCAAAATTATTTTGTATGCGTGAAGTTTGCGCCGTGTTCACTCGGTATCTTCGACGAGGCCAACAAGTTTCGGCAGATCGTGGTCTGGCTTGTTACCTCGAAATTGTTCGACCAGATTGTTTTACTGCTCATCGCTACCAACTCCGTGATGCTTGCGATTGTGGACGTCCGACATGTCGATGCAGACGGGAATCCTGCCAGTGAAGGATCACTACGAAATACGATGGCAGACTACTCCAACAGCATTTTTACTGCGCTATTCACATTCGAGTGCTTGCTTAAAATTGTGGCGATGGGTCTAATTGGCGACCGCGGAGCGTATCTCATGGACCCGTGGAATTGGATCGACTTCACAGTGGTGGTAGTGGGGCTGATTGCAGCTTTACCGAGTATCCCAGCTACAGCAGGTATGCGCGCGTTGCTTGTACTTCGTCCGCTACGATTTTTCAACGCTGTACCAGGCATAAAAAAGCTCGTGACAGCACTGCTCAAGTCCATCCCAGAGCTTCTTACAGTCGTAGCCTTTCTTTCGTTTCTCTTCTTCTTTTACGGAGTTATCGGAGTACAACTTTACAGTGGAGCGATGCACTCACGCTGCCGCCTGTCGCCACATCCGCTAGCTCTCGACCCGAACATCTCGCTCAAGGAACTACCAGCCTATCAGGAACAGGTTGTGGCTGCACCTGAGCTTTTCAGGTGTCTTGACGAAGATTCATTACCGCTCCAAGCAGAAATGAACTCTTGGACTCATGATTCTTCACCATGGAAAACGCCGCGGGTTTGCTTCTGGCCCGTTTCCAGTGATGGCTCCGCAGAGCTGTGCAATCTCAATGATGAACAAGCCTGTCCCATCGGCCAGACGTGTGGATCAGACTACGATCGCAATGGCAACTTTCGCTTTACCCACCCAGACTACCAGATACGCGCGAAATTGGAGTTGGGAGTGACGTACGATTCTGATCTGGACTTTGGCATACTTGGTTTCGATCATATTGGACAAACGGCCATGGTGCTTTTCATCTGTATGCCGCGCGAGGGATGGACTGACGTTATGTATATGCTTCAAGACGCTGGGTATACCACTTCCGTGGCCATTTACTTGGTGTCTTTCGTGTTAGTGAGTTCATACTTTATGTTGAATCTAGCGCTTGCCGTTATCTGGGAAAACTTCTCGGATGCATCGCTGGTTGAGGCCGAAGAGCGAAAGCTCCAGCGCGAGATCGCCGCGTCAATGCCGCCGTCACCGACAACCAAGGGGAAACCTTCTGTGGTGCGCACTACTCGAGAATTCGTCAGACATGCACTCGATCATTGGGTCTTTAGCGCTGCTGTGACAGCGCTAATCCTACTGAACACTGTATTACTTTCCCTCGACCAGTACCCCGTTGATGATGAGCTGGCATCAATTGTCGATGTGATTAATTTCGTATTGACGCAAATTTTCTTGTTGGAAGCGCTGCTTAAGATTTTCGGGCTGGGTTATCAACGGTGGTCTGAGGACCGCTACAATTTGTTTGATGCTTTAGTTGTGATGCTGGGGATCATCGAGGCCACTGTATCACCTCCTCAGTTTTTGTCGGGTTCAACGCATGCCAAGTCGCAATCCTTTGCTGGCCTGCGCTCCATGCGTATTTTTCGGTTGTTCAAGCTGGCAAGGTACGAACTTTTCTATTCCATGATCATTGCAATGGCGCTAACCATATATATTTTCGCTCACACGTACAGATCTTGGCCATCTTTGCAGAAACTTATTCGTTTGATCGCGAACGCGGTGAGCGAAGTTGGCAATTTTAGTGTATTCCTGCTGCTCTTCATGTATGTGTACGCTCTTCTGGGCATGCAGATTTTTGGCAACCGCTTTCGCTTCGACTCCAATGGAATACCGTTAACCTCGCCTGCAGCCGACACTGATGGTGAGGAATACGTCCCTCGTGCCAACTTCGATTCATTACTTTGGTCTGGTGTCACAGTATTCCAGGTATTGACGGGTGAAAACTGGAACAATGTGCTATTCGACGGCTGGCGTACAACTGGCACGACCGCCTTATTTTACTTCATATCGCTCGTGGTATTCGGGAATTTTATCGTACTCAACTTGTTTCTAGCAATCCTACTGAGCCATTTCGAAGACGCTGAAGAAGCTAGTCAAGAGGCAAATATTATCGAGGCCAAGGAGGCGCTGCGCACTAAATCTCGTGTCACACCTATGATGACGTCCACCTCATTGCAACCAGCAGATAACGCGCGAGCGGGAACTCGCAGACGTGTAACTCCCGCGATTGAAGACAGTGCGCCCGGATCAAACTTGCGCTCACAGTCCAATCGAGACTCGCTAACATCTGTGACGAGGGGATCCGGGCGATTGGGGAACCCTCAAAGTTACCATAGCCGACGCATGTCCAAGACAGAGTTAAGCATATTGCCGGTGGAGACAATGTTGCTAAAGACAAAAACTCCGCAAGGTCAATCTCTGTACACTTTCGGCCCGTACAACCCGCTCCGGCGCTTCGCGTGGAATATTATCTCGCACCCTCGCTTTGATAGCGCTATCCTTGGGTTCGTGATTGCCAGCACGGCGTGTGTGGCACTCGATAACCCTCTTTCTGCCCCTGAAAGTACTTTTGTCGTGGTGGTGGGTTATGTGGACTCCGTATTTGCAGCAATCTTCGTGCTTGAGGTGGTTATGAAAATTATCGCACAAGGGCTCTGCTTGCACCCGAACGCGTACTTGCGCAATGGCTGGAATGTTATGGACTTCGTTATCACGGCTGTAGCAATCCCAGGTCTCCAGTTTTTTTCGAGTGGTACGAGCTCCCAGCAATTGAAGTTCATCTCAAGCTTGCGAACTTTTCGTGCGCTGCGTCCCCTACGCATGATCCATAGAAACCCCGGATTGAAGCTCGTCGTCAGCTCATTGGTGTCTGCCATCCCACAGATGCTGAACGTGGGCATGGTGTGTCTACTTCTTCTCTTGATTTTTAGCATCATTGCGGTTAACAACCTGAAAGGACGATTCTTTGCTTGCAGTGGCGATGTTTTCGACGCTCTTACGACTGCCCAACAGGCGTTAATCATGAGCCCACGCGCGTGGGATAACCTCTTAGCTGAAGAGAAATTATGGTTCAATGATACTGCTGCGGCACTTTATGCTAGTGCTTCTGCTTTGGCAGCAACCACTACTGAAGACGTCCACGGTGTGGACGGAATCACGTCACGAATGGTCTGTGGCTATTTGAACGCGTCGTGGCAGCGCACGATCCCGCAGAACTTTGACAATGTTTTGTATGCACTCCTCGCGTTCTATGAAATCAGCACCACAGAGGGATGGATCACGCTCATGCTTGCAGGTGTCGATGCTACGGATGTGGATATGCAACCCATTGCTAACCACCACGAAAGTTGGACGTTATTCTTTATTGCGTTCATTTTTCTTGGCTCATTCTTCTTCATCCAGCTCTTCATTGGCGTTGTGATTGAAAACTTTAATCGGATGAAGGAAACCTTGGATGGTACACGATTGCTATCATGTTCACAGCGAGAATGGTTACTGATCAACCAAGCGGTACTCAAGTTGCGGCCGAAACGCAAGATACGATCTCCACGAGGTGCTTTTCGTCTGTATTGTTTTCGCTTGGCGCGAAGCCCAATGCTGGAGACCGTAACGATGGGAGCCATCATGCTGAATACGTTCTTCATGGGTCTTACGTACTTCGGCGAGGAAGACCTATACTCGCGCATCATTGAGTATGCCAATGTGTTCTTCACTTTGCTCTTCGCACTTGAGGCGGCAATCAAAATCGCAGGATTGGGGCACTATTACTGGAAGGATTCCTGGAATATCTTCGACTTTATAGTGGTTGTTGGCTCTTGTTTCGGTATGATCTACACGTGGGTAGGAGGTGATGCAGTGGGGTCAAGCGCTGCCATGATCCGCGGCGTTCGAGTTTTGAGGCTCATTCGGCTCATTCAAACAGCTCCATCACTGCGGCAGCTTGTCAATACCCTGCTGTTTACGTTGCCATCCCTCATCAACATCGGTGGTTTTCTACTTCTCGTGTTCTTCATTTATGCTGCGGTGGGGGTTCAGCTATTCGCCAAAGTCAAGCTGGGCGATCTACTCACTCCGTTTGCCAACTTCCAGAGCATTTCTACAGCCATGATTACACTGGTAAGGTTTCCTAGACAACTTCCGGTCATATATCGATGCTGACATTTGGTTGTATATGTAGATTCGCTGCGCGACAGGCGAGAGGTGGAACGACCTTATGCACGAGCTCGCTGAGAGTGACAACTGCATAGATGACCCATATTACGACCCGAATATGTGTGGGTTTGCGAACTTTGAGGGTTGCATACCGCTAGACGGCTGTGGCTCTCCCATCGCATATCTGTACTTCTGCAGCTTCACGATGCTGATCACGTACATTCTCCTCAACATCTTTATCGCTGTCATCCTCGAGGGCTTCGCCAACGAGAAAGACCAAGCCAATGGAGTATTACTACCCCAACATGTACGTGCCTCACAACAGCTTTAGCTAACACCATGCTGACAACTTATCGTGCACACGCATTTATGCATTCTATCACAGTACGAAAACTTTGTCGAGACCTGGTCGATTCTTGACCCCGAAGCCACAGGAATGATCGAATGGCACCTTCTCCCCAAGCTCATCCAGCAACTTGACGAACCTCTTGGCTATGGCTGCCACGATAACGAAGTCTCGGTGAAGGAGGTCACAGCCTTTATCGGTACATAAACCTTCTATTGACCTCGTAATAGCAGACACCAATGCTAACTTTGTTTTCGTAGAGTTTCTGGACATCGGAGTCTACAACGGCAACCGCGTGTTCTTCAACGACGTTGTGCGCAAACTCGGCAAGTTCGTGCTGGACATTGTACGTGATACCATACATTTGTTTGGTAGTTGGTTGCTGTAGTCGACTTCTTCTCGCTAGTCGTTCATTTGTCTGACAATCACCCAATGCAGGTCAATGAAGCGCCTGTACCCGACTTGCCGAGCACTATTGCAGTCAGCCAGAAGTGGCGCCTGCTCCTGAAGGGCGGCAAGATGCGCAAGCAGGAGCGGTACCAGGTGAAGCATCTGCACGCTTCCGTTCTGCTACACGACGCCGTGCGCTCGCTCATCTTTCGCGACGAGCTCCGCGCGCGCGTGCAGAAGTTCACGGAGCTGACCAAAGACGTCCTGGGCTCACAGCCGAAACACGACGTGCCAGCGAGCCGAAGGAGCAGCATTGCGCTGCCCAGTTACGCCGAGGAGGAGGAATCGCGCTAGAGTCAGCGAGCTGAAGCGTCGTTTGTATGGGTTTCAGTATGCCGGTAGTTGAAGTACTCTGCGACCCTCGCAAGGGTGGACAAAGAAACGGCTACGGAGTTATATGGTGGACATTCTATGACGCATATCGGTCCGAATCGATGCCAGCGTGAGTCGAGGTCTGACTGAGTGAGCACAAATTGCTGGTTGGCAGGAGACTGCGGGACCCGTCGGTCGTGAGCGGCATCAGCTCTCTCAGTGCGGCTGAGCTGGGGGAGGTACTGCGTCCCCCCACCACGTTGGAGACGGTCAAGGAAGGTCCTCGACGTCAGCTCAAAGTCATGTCCATTGTCGGCTTGTGCTACTTTGCGGTGGGTACCATTTGACAATGCTTTGCTCAGCAAGCTTGACAAACTCAAAGTCGCTAACGTGTGCATATGGCTCGACATCGTATGGCTTGCAGGTTTGCGGCGGACCCATTGGCTCCGAGTACATCATTTCCGGTGCGTACAAACCTCGCGATCGTCCGATTTGAATCCCCAATTAATTAGCTCCTCTGGTTTGTTCATTGTTATTGTAGCTGGTGGTCCGCTGATCGGATTCATCTTTTTGCTGTTGTTTCCCTTCATCTTCGGGATCCCAATCGCTTACGTGACGGCTGAGCTGAGCACCACCTTCCCACAGGACGGCAAGTGATTCAAGTCATTGAACTGTACCAGGGAGCGGGCTGGACATTATTAACACCGTTGTTGTTGTTGTAGTTGTTGTTAATATTTTCAGGAGGCTACACGGTTTGGGTGCTGAATGCTCTGGGACCTTTCTGGGCTTTCCAGACGGGCTACTGGGCGTGGGTTTCAGGCGTGATCGACAACGCCATTTACCCTGCACTTGCAGTGGCTACGTTCACTGATGTCTATGGATCCATCGACTCGCCCGTTGCAGAGTACTTCATCAAAGCAGCCATCGCGGTAGCGCTGGCGCTTCCGAATCTGCTGGGTATCCGCATCGTGGGCAGAGGAATGGCGGTCATGTCATGATTCCGTTCGCCGTCCTATTCATTTGGGGAGTGGTGCGCGCCAAGGATTGGGGTGCAGTGAGCGAAGTTCGTCGTTCTGACATCGTGTACGATGAAAATGGAGATTTCGTCAGCATGTCTGGCGGTCTTGATGTAAGTGTGTGAATTAGGGGGCGGTGCTTCTCGGGCGGTTTGGTGAAGCTAACTTTGTGTTGTTGTGCGTGACGTTGTTCAGATCGATTGGTCGCTGCTGATCAACACGCTCTTCTGGAACTTCAACGGTGCCGTTGGGATGTCGGTGTTCGGTGGCGAGGTAGCCAACCCAGGGTATACGTATCCACGCGCGCTGCTGCTCTCCGTGCTGCTGGTGGCGCTCACATACTTGGCGCCACTGTTTGGTGCCACGGTGTTCAACTCGCCGCACTGGACGACGTGGGAAGAAGGGTCGTTCTCAAGCATAGCGGAAGACATCGGCGGGAGCTTTCTCTCGAACTGGGTTGTTCTGGCGACCTTCTGCAGCAATGCCGGCATGTACATCGCTGAGCTCTTTTGCGACTCGTTCCAGATCCTGGGAATGGCGGAATGTGGCCTCGCTCCAGTATTCCTAAAGGCGTAAGTTGACCCTCGATCTCATAAATGCGTATTATATTGCTAACACCTTGATTTATATTTTCCTTCGGCTATACAATAGGCGCAACAAACGCTTCAACACGCCTCACAACGCGGTCTTTGCCAGTCTCGTGATCATCCTCGTCCTCATCAAGTTCGAATTCGACGAGATTCTCGGCAGACCAATGCGCTTTCAGCTTTCTATCAGCTGCTGATTTTGATCGCGTTCGTCAAGCTGCGCTTCTCGCAACCCGATACCGAACGCCCGTTCAAAGGTACGCCACCAACAAACGCGTTATCGTTGTACGCTTATGATCAACTCACCGTGGTATGACTATTCACTTTGTTATGTTTGACAACATTCAGTCCCCGGAAATAGTGCTCTCCTGATCATCGCCCTCTTGATCACAACCGGTCTTCTCATTTACATCGCGGTTGACGTCTTTTTCACGATCACCCCGGCGATGTTAGTCGTGGGCATGACGCTTGCTGGCCTTTTCTACGCTCGTTGGAAAAAGTTCACCCGCGCGCAATTTCGTCAACTTGCCACCAACTCCGAGTCCTGACGAAGCTTCGAAATGGCGAACATTAATCAATTGAATGCGATCAATTCTGGAGCGATTCCCTCGATTGGTGCCCCACCTCTCATTTTTGATCGTCTTGGATGCAGTGCCCCCACCAACCTAGTACCAAAAGATTGTTGGAGAGGGGCTGTCCAAAGTGCACGGTGTACACTATCGGACTCGCCCCCATGTCCTGTGCTACAACACACGCATACAAGCAAAGCACACTTAAGACTATCACCTGCGCTTGCGCTGGATCCATGCGGAGCTGCGTCCTCGCAGTCGTTGTGGCAGCCAAAGCATACGCGTTTGATGAACACGTGTGCCGGTATGCCCGCACATATTATGCAGGGCTCACACGCCACCTACAACGTTGCATTTTGTTGCGGATTATACTGATCCCCACTATACTACTTGCAGTTGGAGTAAGACAAAAGGTGAAAGAGAAGAATCTAGGCCTCAGTTGAGAATATACACACTGCCAACAAGGTGGCTTTTGCCGCCCAGCTGAGTGTTGTCGTTGCTTTCATCTCTGCGTGAGCAGCACCAAGAGGACACTCCACTTCAGGTTATGAGCCCAAGGCTGACGTGAGGGGAGCACAGCAACTAGGACGTCATGGCGGAGCAGAAGAAGACGCCCAAGGAGTCACACGAGGAGAAGAGGACGATCCCGCCGTTTGACGGCAAGCACTACGAGGTCTGGCACGAGCGAGTGAAGCTTAAGCTGGAGAGGAAGAAGCCGTGGAAGTACTGCAAGGAGGACTTGCCCGAGCCGGACGAGAGCAAGGAGGCGGAGACGCACGCGACGTGGACGAGCGAGATGGCCCACGCCAAGGAGATCATCTACGACGCGATGACGAATAACATAATGAAGACTGTGAAGTATGAACCCACCCCATTTCGTGTCATGGAGCGCCTGAAAAAGAGATTTATGGGCAAAACGTACCTGAAGTACGCTGAGGAGAGGGCCAAGCTCAGTCGGCTACGGCTCGCTCCCAACGGCAATGTGCCAGATCACCTGAGCGAGATGCGTCGGCTGATGGAGACCATTGCTGGAGTCGGGCGTCCTGTGGACGAGTATGTAAAGCCAGCACTATTGATTGGATCGCTGCCGCGCGAATATGATCATGTTGTACAGACGTTTCTCGCCAGTCACAAGCCCCAAAATGCTGATGATCCTCCTAATTATGAACAACTTGAACTCGCATTGGAGATGCTTACGACCATCGCCAAGGTCGGAAAGCAGAGGGCGCCAAGGACAATGATGAAGAAGAAAAGGTGTTCTTTGCTGGTGGAGGAAGAGGTCGAGGACGTGGTCGCGGCCGTGGACGTGGTGGTCGATCTGGTGGACACGGGCGCGGTTCCGGTGGTGGACGTGGTTCTGGCGGTCGCGGGAGCCGAGGTGGTGGACGTGGAGCTGGACGTGGCCAAGCCGGCAGTGGACAAAAGCCAGGTGGTGCTTGCTATCACTGCCATGAAGCAGGGCATCATGTGTTTGATTGCCCGTTTCTTGGCAAGCGACCTCCAGCCGAAGATCGCAGCAGCACCCAAGCTCAGAAGCGCGTGAAAATGAGTGGAGGAAAGAGTACTAAGGCTGCTGAAAAGAGTAACTATGCTAATGAAAGTGATGACAGCGCGTATGTTATTCTTCAAGTAATGAAAACTAGCCGAGCGCCGCCGCTACGCGGCGGTTTTTTTTAGTTAGTTGGCGCTTCACTCGCTATGCTCGCTCCGCTACTGGAGCAGGCTGCCTACGCTTCACTACGGCAGTGGCGGACCCGTTCCGCTCGCCTCGTCGGCTCGCTGCACTACTCTCAATGTCAGGTTAGTACTACAGAGGCTGGGGCGGGTCCTGCGGCCCCGCAATATCGTATGAGGGGGTCGCCTTCGGCAACGGGGCCGCCTTCGCTGCGCTCGGCAGCTACTCGTACTTAGTAGGATCCGTACTTAGTGAATAAGCGTGACGATTTTGTGACGGACGGACACCGCGTCTTTCTGATTGATTCTTTAGATGAAAATGCCGGTTGCAGACAAAGCTCATTATAACTGGTACCTGGACCCTGGTGCATCGAGTCATATCTCGAACCAGCTCACTGATTTCATGGAGTTCACGCCTCTTAGCGCCCGGATTCGAGTTGGAGGAAAGAACTCGCTGAGTGTTGAGGGTATTGGTACTGTGGTTAAGGAGCTGGAGACTACTGGTGGGAGGTGTTCACTGACGCTGCGAGGAGTTCGTTATGCTCCAGAGCTGCAGTGCAGTCTCTACTCTGTGCGACCAATATCTGCCTGAACGCGATCGTGTGAAGGTGCACTTTGATGAGGCAGATCGTGCTGATGTTATCTTACAGTCTGGTGTGACTACCGCTCAAGTTGATTATACCAATCTCTATCGCTTGAAGTTGGAGAGACCCCATGGTGGCGCTACCAGCTCGAGTGAGTAGTTTGGAGCTGAGTTTGAAGAGCCAAATACTTTCGGTGACGCTATGAAGAGTGAACACTCATTGCAATGGAAAAATGCAGCTGATGATGAGTTTGATTCGTTGATGAAGAACGATACCTGGGAGTTGGTGCCGCGTGAGAAGCACATGAAAGTGCTGCAGAATCGCTGGATCTTTCGCGTCAAGTATCTAGCGAGCGGAGAGATCGAGAGATTCAAAGCCAGGCTCGTGATCAAGGGCATCATGCAGATTTATGGTATCGACTACCTTGAGGTGTACTCGCCTGTTGTGAGGCTGGAGACACTGCGTGTTCTCTTGACACTGGCGGCTGTTTGGGATTATGAAGTGCATCAGATGGGTGTCACTACTGCTTTCTTGAATGGAGCGATCGACGTGGAGGTCTATATGGAGCAGCCTGAAGGCTGCAAAGTGAAAGGCAACGAGGACTGGGTGTGCAGATTGAAGAAGAGCCTGTACGGCTTGAAGCAGGCACCCAGGGTGTGGTTTCAGCTGCTCAAGTCATTCCTGGAGGAGCAGGGCTTCACGATGTTGCAGTCGGAGGCCTGCGTGGCTGTTAACCCTTCTAGCCCCAGACCTTATTCTATATCCTACAGAATAAGCATTAGACTTGATTAAAGTATACTTCAAAACCTGTCAAAGATTTGCTGTTGGAAGCCCTTTCGCATCTTGCGGTCAAGCGCTGGGTACATTGTGCACAGAACAGCTACGAAAGTGAACAAAACATGCTCAATGTATCCACCATATGCCGAAATGGGGAGCTTCAATTGGTCGTGGCGAGCGTAGAGCACGCTCAAAACCTGCTACATGGTAATACCTTGCAAGGCGGCTAAGGCTGCATACTTCGGCTCCAGCCACCCATCTTCGGCACGTCGCGATAAACGCGGAGGAAGAAATCGCCCTGTTTCTAACTGACGTAGTGAGGAGGAACTGGGCGAATTCTTCCTTGTGCTTGACATTAGCGCATCATTAGATTTCTTTAGCCCACCAAACAAGCTTGTTACGATTGTCTCTCTAACAACACCAGGGAGCTTGCATGATCAATAGCCCGTAATGACACGCACTACACACGGTTCCTCTTGTACGAAACAGGACAATATATGATATTCATGCCAACGTCTACTTCTTCCTTTACATGCGCACGCTCTTCAATGTTCGCGCCAGCCGTGGGTCATCTTCGCCGTTTTGGCAGCCTCCACTTTGCTCTGTAGCCTCCGGCACTGCCGCTCCATTCCTGCCGCTTTCATCGGTAGCCTCCGGCATAGCCTCTGTCCCTTCTTCTGTAATCTCCGGTGTAACCTCATCACGCGGAGAGCTTCTTCTGTAGCATCCGTCGTAGCATCTACCGCTTCTTCTGTAGTCTCCGGTGTAGCCACACCATGAGGAGCGCTTCTTCTGTAGCCTCTTGAGTAGCCACTGCATCAGCTACAATATAGCGGTAGACCCGGCAGCAGCCGGCTTCGTAGGAACCGATGAGGTTGTGCGCTGACTCCGCAATCGATCTGCCAATCGGGCCACACGCGAGAGCTCATAGCGTCGTCTGGGTCGGATCACCAGGTCTGGTAATCAACATCGCAACGTAGAATCAATATACCACTAGTACAATGTTACAGAGCAAAGTACACGCTCTCGCTTACCTGTAGATCACAATGGCGCTCATCATGATCGTCTTCGGCCATGGTCCTTGGCCACTTGGGCGCGCTCGACGGGCCCCAACAAAGCTTGCATTGCGACGTCTTGAACAGCGCAGTTTCGGAATGATGGAAAGTACGAGTGGCTGACCCGCGGCGGTTTTAGGCTTCCACCCGAATTTTCAAACCTGTTGATGGTTTATACTCGTCCGTCTATTACCGCTGAATAAACCCCGTTTATCTTCCCATCGCTAATCTAACAGGAAGATGTGCACAATACCGGCTATACAAACATCCATATGCGAAGTTCGAAAGAGAGGACAAGTTTGCTGGATATTATGTCCTGTGACAATGCTTATTCTGTAGGATACAGAATACGGGGTTAGAGGGGTTAAAGTAATTGATGGGCAGTTAGTCTTCATCCCTCTCTATGTTGATGATTTGATTCTGTTTGCCCCTTCGATGGAGCTCATCAACAAGATGAAGAAGATGTTCGAGGACCGATTTGCGATGAAGGATCTCGGGGAGTTACACTACCTACTAGGCTGGGAGATCACGCGGAACCGGGCCGAGAGGACGATGTTCATTGGACAGCAGAAGTATGCCGAGACCGTGCTCAAGCGGTTCAACATGCAGGACTGCCATGGCTGCAAGACGCCGAGCACGGCGGATCTGAAGCTGAGCAAAGCCACGTGTCCGACCGAAAACGATGAGAGGCAACTGATGACATCGAAGCCTTATCGTGCTGTGGTTGGCAGCCTGATGTACCTGATGCTCGGTACCCGGCCCGATCTGGCCTACCTGGTTAGAGAGTGCAGTCAGTTCTTGGAAAACCCAGGTCTGTTGCATTGGAGAGCTGCAAAACGTGGATTGCGCTACCTGAAAGAGACAGCGGACTGGGGGATCCAGCTTGGTGGGCTGGCGTGGTCAGATCAAAAGCTGGATGATCACCTGAGAGCATACGCCGATGCGGATTTTGCAAATCGAGTTGATGATCGAAAGTCGGTTGCAGGCTACGTGACTCAATTATGTGGGAGCATCATTTCGTGGAGCAGCCAGACGGAGAAGACCGTCGCGCTGCACACGACCGAGGCCGAATATATGGCTCTTAGTCTACTGGTGCAGGAGGTGGTGCACTTGCGCCAAATGCTGAAGGAGCTATAGGTGCAGCAAAAGCAGCCATCCCAAGTCTTTGTGGACAATGAAAGTGGGAAGAAAGTTGCCAGCAACCCTGTGTTTCACTCCCGGACCAAGCACATCGATGTGCGCCACCACTTCGTGCGTGAGCGCATCGATTGGAAGGAAATCGACGTGCATCGGGTGCCAGGGGTTGACAACGTGGCCGATGCTTTTACAAAGCCATTAGCACGTCCGGCATTTGAAAAACACAGAGCAGCAATGGGATTATTGTCGAGGGCAAGATTTGGAGATGAAAATTGATGGGAATCCGTAGGTGGGGCTGTTGCGGATTATACTGATCCCCACTATACTACTTGCAGTTGGAGTAAGACAAAAGGTGAAAGGGAAGAATCTAGGCCTCAGTTGAGAATATACACACTGCCAACAAGGTGGCTTTTGCCGCCCAGCTGAGTGTTGTCGTTGCTTTCATCTCTGCGTGAGCAGCACCAAGAGGACACTCCACTTCACATTTCTTTCGCTTTGTCGGCGTACGTGGCGGCGAATCGCCCCTCTCTCTACTGCATCACTGCCATTTAAAAGGGTTATTTGCAGTCCACATTGAACAGTTCATTCACACGATTGGACGCGCTTGCAATGATCTCGCACTCATACACGAATACGCACTCTACGGGAACCTCCGCTCGCTCCAACGCTCTTTCGGGACGCCGCAGCTCGTAAGGCAAAAAAATGTTTGTAGACACCACAGTAAGTACACGGGTGATGGACGTACAAAGTCAGTGACTGTGCTGAACTTCAATTTTGAAAAAACCTGGTACGACATTTAGATATGTGGTAAAACCGCGCATTTCGAGGTTCTGGTGCTAAAAATAGCTAATTCGCAGCCGTTTTCGCGCTACAAGCTCTGCAAAAAGTCGTCTCGGGCGCTGTATTTTTGGGAAACGGGTTTTAGAACGGCGAGACTGGATTGGCTCAGTGGTGTGGACAGTGCACAGCACGTGTAAAACTGACTTTATGCGATAAAACGTACTGAATGCATTAACCCATCTGCTTCAATCCCTATCCAATCATAGAGGCTCTCTACGACTATAACACTGTCAAAGCAAAAGTTCTACTAGTGAAAGTATACAGTTCCACAATAACGTTGTATCATGCGATGGTGTAGTTAAACCCTAAGGTGCCTCCGGCAATGAGTATTGTGCCATCGAATGCTAGATCATGTTCATCCAGTAGGTTTTTGTAAGATCTATTCGTTTGCGAAGGTCGCAGTGGTCAGTTCGCTCTAGTTTTACCGCTTTTCCTTGAGGAAAATTTGCCTGCCCATTAGGGTTCTTACTCCTAAAAAGAGTTGCTGTCTTAAGGGCGGCAGGTACACCGTTCACCCTAATTAGTCGTGTGACCTAAATAGTCGTGCACCTTTGATAATTATTCTTCATTTTCACCTAAAATCGAGAAAAGAGACCGTAAATGTGTAGAACTCGGCAAGCCGAATTACGTAGTACATTTAGGTTTTTATAGATTGGAATAGTTTTTCAGAAAACTGAAATTGAAAACAGGGTGAATCACTCTTCAGGTCGTACACGGTAAATAGTCATGGCACGACTAATTAGGGTGAACGGTGTAGCCGTCAACTCTCCCTTGCGGCCGCCACGGTGGATATGAACGTGTTCCCCTTGTATTCTTCTTTTATTCAAGCCGCGGATGGACTCAAACGCACAAGTATTGGTGGAGATATGATGTCCTATTTCGAACGTTACAAAATTCGGCGACTTACTAGCCCCTTCATTTTCTGCCAGTACAATATCCGACAGCAGCAATCCAAACTAACCCTATATATGCTTCCCATCCCAGATTGGGGGTGGGGGTGGGGGTGTTTAAGGGTATCTTGAAGTAAGAACATCAACTGACAAGTGGTTTAGTAAAACTAACATCATATTCGCAAATGCTCTTAAAGTCATACCCACGGCCGATCGCGGGTCCCACATTCTCTGTTTAGCGACCGACCCTAGCCCAGATCACTATTGCAGACAGACAGAAAACGAAAAATCCATGATTCTTCAATGCAAAGACAATTACGCCAGGGACACCGAAAACAATGCTTACGTCTGCTATTGTACAGTCCGCCTCAATCGTACCCAGCTCGATATTTGTACTGATTCATACCAGTGTCGTCGGTAGCACACCAGTTCAAACTGCCCACGCATATAAACCTTTTGAAAAGCCCGATGCGACACCGGGGTCATACCAGTGTGATGGGTATCCTACTGGTTCAGTCTGCCCACGCATTTAAACCTTTTGGAGGGCCCAGTGTGGCACTAGGGTCATACCGGTTTCAACAAAAGTTACCAGTTAGAGGTCAAGAGGGGTCATTATTTGACTTGATGTACCACGGATATAATCTGATTTGATCTGCGATAGCAACACTAACGTTGCTTCCTATCCCAGTATAATCACGTAGTAAATGTTTCATAGCCTGGGCAAATGTGCGTCAAAAATCTAAAATGTGATTTCAGGATGCACCCATTGTGCTTTGCAGATAAAATGTCGCCCCATTTTAAGACCTAGATCGAAGAAGGCCGGTCCACAAATCAGGACACAAAGAAGAGGCGGTAGGGATATCTATCAAAACCTGGAATAAATCGGTCAGAACCTGGAACAAAATGCTGATAGGTAAAATTACAGGTGTGGTGGAGTGGATCCGCTGGAATTAGCAGGGATCCCACACTCACACACTGCGCCCAGACACCGACTAACGGAGGGGGTACTCCGATAACCGTAGGGTTGCTGAGGGGCTCACCTTGTGTACCCGTCGGTGGGCTGGATCTGCTCTCTCGTTGACACGAGATGCGCAGCGGGTGAGCTTGAACGTCCCTGGCGGGGACTTGGGGAGTTGTTGGGGTAGATCCCACGCGGGGCTGGGTAGGTTGATCCTTGGTCTTGGCCGTAGATCTTGTGGATCCGATAAGTAATATACCAGATCCGGAGTTGTTGCCTTGTCGGGGGTGTTGCATCCTTTTCCTTTACGTTGCTTGCCGCCTCCTGTTAGCGGGGAAGTTGGGGGGGGGCGAGGGTCGAAGGGCGCGAGCTGCTGGCCAAGCTATCCAGCAGTCTGCCACGTGTGCGGAGGGCAAATCACTTGATTAAAGTAGGGACCAATACTAATCCCAATACTAAGGACCAAGTGTGTGGTTCCCAAGCAAATTCGACTCTGATTTATGTTAGCCTGTATCCAGCCTTCCCATCCGGCTTGGATCTTATCCACTACTGGCTCTCCTTCCTGTCTAATTTCTCTAACATAGCCGCTGTATCAATAAATTGGTACAGTTCCATACCTAATCCAGGAGGTCCTAATGTAGATGACCAGATCCGTGTGCACCACACCACTTGCACCTGATCCATCTTCAACTGCCCTGATCCGGCAACCATACCTCCATCTAGCAACCGTGGCGTCATCCGAGGGACCGGGCATCGTCACCAACTGCCGGATCCCATTATCGGGTCAACTGGCGGATCCGATTCCATCAAGACCGTTCTTGAGCGGATCTTCTTACCACATTCGCCCCTGGGACGAGGTCGCTGCTGCACAACGGCATCACCTCGTGCCACCTTTGATCCGCATCATTTGAAGATTTCCTGCGGCGCTGACACCACCCTTCTCCGCTGCCCCTTGTTTTCACCATAGCCCGAACTCGCGACCGCCGTCCTGCACCCGGGCATCCTGACACACCGGAGGCTCCGTACGAGGCAGACGCCCCTGCGCCTAGAACGCGCGAGGCTGCCACCGTAGGCTATGGCCACTCTCCCGACCCTGCATCCCCGTGCATCATCTGCGACTCCGCGCCTTCTGTAGTGGGCCTACTTTGACTCACTACTTTAGCTTACACGTGTGCGCGTGTATGTGAGGAAGCGTAGCTTAGTTTAACTTAGAGTTAATTATACTCGGGCCTCCGAGTATAGATTAATCTAAATAAACGATCCAAATAATGTTTTGGGTTAAAATGAGAACTGCTATTTTTGTTTTATGTTTCTGACTTCCTCTAAATGTAATATTCTAAGATAGGAATCTGCCAATGGCTGGTTGGCAGAGTTCCAATGCTATGCATGTCGCTCATTGGCTAAGAGATGCTGCTCTCAGCCAATAGGAATCCTAAGTCTCTATGGACCACCCGTCGTGGTGGTCGTAAATGTATGTAGCCTGTGGTGTGTCTACACCAAGGTCGAGAAAGTCTTTCGAACCTCTAACAGACGTCGTATCTGTTAGAGTTACAAGTGACTGTAGCCACTTTTGCGTGTAACCCTGTTACACCATCCCCCCCTCAAGGTTAGACGCGCCGAGTCACGGCACGTCAATCCGGAAATTGACCATTCGTCAATTCTTCACGTTGGGAGAAAGAAAACTCGAGCTCATTCCGCCATGAGCTCGCCGCAGAAGAAGACCGCCGCCGCAACAGAGGGTAACCTCTCTGTTGCTCAGTACCATGAGCGCCAGCAGGCAAAGCGCGACGCGCTCGCTGCAAAGGCCGCGTCGGGGACAACTCAGTCGGAGATTGTCCTCGAAGGTTCCTCTGTAGTCAACGACGCCGTTGACTACGAAGACGACGACGTGGAGATGGAAGAGGGCGAGGCCTCTTCCAACAAGCGCAAGGAGTCTATCGACAGTGATAGTCTCGACCCGCATGTCGGGTCGAGACGCCCTCGTGAAGGAGACGACTCGGACGCTTCGAGCTCGAAGCGTTCGCGCGGCGAGAGCGACACTCCGCTCTCCGCTGCTGGGGCTTCAAGCTCCCCGCGTGAGGTGGCGTCTTCAAGTTCTCCGCGCGCTGCTCAGGCAGCGCGCGATCCGTGGATGCCGTCTGCGTCAGAGATCGCAGACCGTGTGGGCAACACCGTGCCTCCAAATGAAATTCCGCTGTATGTATGCAGCGGGATCCACGATGATGTTGTGGCGGAGGAGCAGCACTTTGATCCGTTAACGAATCAAAGGCGCGATTACTATATCGGACTCTTTCACGAGCTCCGATAATTCTCCAGCAAGAAGACCTCTTCTCGCAGCAAAGTACCTGAGTGGTAGGCACTTTGTCAAAGTTGGAATGCTTTTGTTGAGAACTTCAACAAGAAGCCGGCTGCTTACCGTGAGCGGGTTAAGCATGCCAGTGAGCGCTTCGAGACATTCTCGACGCGCGGGAGGCTGGGGCAGCTCCACCGATCCTCTGTGGACGCTGGTATTCCATGCGCTGTGCCCGAAGGCCATCAGTGCACGTTGTGTCTTTCGGGTGCGGTGCGCTTGAGCGACCGCGACCTAAACGGGTACACGACGATTCGTGTACCTGCGAGTCTCAAGGATCTCCGTGCCAAGTTCTTGGCACGTGAGGAACGCGACGATCGTGGGACCTCGGGCGCTGTAGGTGACCACAGCGCTCGCACTCCCTTCGCGTCGGAAGTGCGTGGTGAGCTTCGTACTCCCTCACCATTTCCGGAACGTCCTGCAGCAGGACGTCCCGTGGCTCCCATGTATCTTGGTGGGGCGGAAACCCTCTCCAACGAATACGATAACGAACCGGCTGCCGGTTCGTTTTCGGGATACTATGGTTCACAATACGCTCAACAATCCAGCGTGTTGAGCCGCGGGCGTCGCGGATCGGAGGCGGCGGTGGTGGGAACACGCCCCGGGTATGGTCAACCTGGGGTTGACCTTGGCCCGACGCTCGAGGAGCGGGTCGCTGCTGTGGAGCAGCTTCAGAGCCGTGAGTTCGCCGCTCTGAAGCAGGAGATGGCGTCCCTGAGAGCTCAAGTTGCTCAGGCCTCGCAGACCGCGTCGGACATCTCTGTCGACGTGGGAGGTCGCGTCGCAGCTTGGCCCAGCGCGTTTCACACGCTGGAGCGGAGGTTCGCTCCCGCTGGGGCTTCCGCTTCGGGCCAGCCGAGCTAGGTGGCTCGTGCAGCCGGTATGACTTCAGCCGCCCGACGTAAAAGGTCGGATGGAGGCTCATGCTAGATGGAATATTTAGCGTGTAGGCGTTGCCATGCCGTGCCAACACCGTGAACGGACCGATGAAGCGCGGAGCGAGCTTGCTCGCCCCGAAGTCGGAAACTGCATGTTTAGGCAGGTTTTGAGTTGCTAACAAAACCAATGAACCCTTCTTGAATTCATTAGTGTTGCCCCTACCAACATTGTCTGCGTTCAGCTTCTGTCGGTCGACAGAAGCTGCGATAGCGTCTTGGACAAACCGAATGACGGCTTGTCTGCGCTGCACGAAGTTGATTGCGTCCGAGCTGAACTCGTTCAGCTCGTTTCTAGCAGTAGGCCCGGCCTCTGCGTTCGTCTTCGCGGTGTCTGTGCCCTGCACAGACCCGTTTTTCTTCGTCGTCTTGCTCTTGTCGGCGTCTGTGCCCTGCACAGACGCGTGCTTCTTCTTCTTGTTGCGCGTAGTCGCGGCTGACACTGTGCAAGTGTCAGCGGCATTCTGCGGCTGCTGTGTTGCAGTCGTAGAAGGAGCCACCATCCAGAGTAGACTCGGGAAGCGTGGGTGCCTGATGGCATTCACGTAGAACGGTGTATGCCCGGTCGAGGCATGCACCGAGTTGTTGATGGCGAACTCCGCCATCGGCAGGCACTCGCTCCAGTGTTGGAACGAGTGAGCGTAGCTCTTAAGCACGTCTACGAGCACGCGGTTCACGCGCTCGGTCTGCCCGTCCGTCTGCGGATGGTCCGCAGTCGACATCGAAAGTTGACTCCCAAGAAGTGTAAACACTTCCTGCCAAAGGTGTGCAGTGAAGCGCGGGTCTCGATCCGACACAATGTCAATCGGCATGCCATGGTGTTTGAACACCATGTCAACGAACAGACGCGCCGTCTGTTTCGCAGTCACTTCAGCGGGTACCGCAGCAAGATGTACCATCTTGCTGAAGCGGGCAGCAAAGACCACAACGCCCGTGTTCCCCTGGCTGTCCGGGGGAAGACCGAACACGAAGTCCAAAAACATGGACTGCCAACACTCCCGTGGAGTTGGTAGTGACTGCAAGGGAGCCTGCGCGAAAGGCGCAGGCTTCACACGTTGACAAACTTCGCAAGCACGGACGTACTTGCGCACCCATTTATACTGGTGGGCCCAGTAGAAGTCTCGTGTGAGAAGAAGGTATGTCTTCTCACGGCCCGGATGCCCCGCAGTCGGTGCATCGTGATACTCATACATGATCCTGAGTCGCAGGTCATGGTCATTGGGCACGACAACGCGGTCCGCGTTGTCGTCGACTGCACTGTAGAGTAATAACCCGTCGTGCACCCGGTAACGGTGTGTACGAGCACGAAGATGCGTCGGCAGCTTCTGACGAGCTTTGTCAGAAGGCGCTGAGCCGTAGACCAGCAAGAGCTTCGCGTCCGCATCGTGCGCGTACGCGACCTTCACGTCGTCCAACAGTGACGACGTTGGGGTGTTCGATCGCATGGCGTCAATGGCATTGACGTCGGCATCAGTCGTGGCGTAGTCAGGTCGACGCGAGAGCGCGTCGGCCACCACATTGAGTCTTCCGGGTTTGTACTCAACCCGGAAGTTATACTCCGCGAAGAATGAGAGCCATCTCGCCATCCGTTGCGAGATGTGCGACGACTTCACAGCCGTCCGCAGTGACGCGTGGTCCGTATAGACCATGAACGGTTTGCTTCCGAGTAGATACACTCGGAACTTTGCGAGTGCGTACTTCATGACAAGGAGCTCCTTGTCATGTACCGGGTAGATGCGCTCAGTTGGCTTCAGCTGACGCGATTGGTAGTAGACGACACGATCACGGCCCTCGTGATCGTGCTGCATCAACGCACATCCGATTGCGAAGTCGGATGCGTCACACACAACGTGGAATGGGCGATCTTGGTCGGCCACCGCCAAGATCGGCGCCTCTTGACTGCATCGAAGGCTTGCTGATACTCTGCAGTCCAATTCCACTCGGCGTCCTTCTTCAGGAGCTGTGACAGTGGGCGTATCATGCCCGCGTAGCCCTTCACGTACTTGCACAAGTACGTGGTCAAGCCAAGGAACTGCCGCAGTTCCTTGACGTTCGACGGCGTCAGCCACTCATTGATCACTCTGACCTTCTCAGGGTCAGGGCGGACACCGTTCTTCCCAACGAGACATCCGAGCACGGGTATCTCGCTCGCCCCGAATATACACTTCTTCAGGTTCGCATAGAGCTTGTGTTTGCGCATAAGCGCAAGCAGCTTCCGGAGATGCACCTTGTGCATCTCAACATCGCTTATCCCGTCCGCAGCCCGGCTGTGGACGAACACATCGTCGAAGTAGCTCGGTGCGAAGTCGCGCACCGAGCGCAACAAGTGCGTCACGCACCTGTTGAAGGTCGCAGGGGCGTTCTTCAGACCCTGTGGCATCACTAGCCACTCCCAGAGCATGCCGCTCGGCGTGCTCACAGCCGTGAGAGGGATATCGCTCTCACGCATGAGGATCTGATAGAACCCATCGCGCAGATCAAGAGCACTGTAGATTGTGCTCCTGGCCAACGAATCGATGATAGCATCTTTTCGAGGTATCGGCGTCTGCGCCGGTATCGTCGCATCGTTCAGCTTGTTATACGCATGAACGATGCGCCAGCCGCCCTGTGGCTTCTTGAAACAGACTGTGCGGGGATTTCGATTCCCGCACTTGTCCAGCTTTGCGACGACTTTCGAAGAAGTCGTCGATCGCTTTGACCTGCTCTCGCGGCAGTGGCCACTGCCGCGTGACACAGTACTTCGTGCCCGGCACGAGATCAATCTCGTGCTGGATTCCCTTGTCCTGCGGAAGCTCCGCAGGAATCTCTTCCGGAAGTACGTCCGCGTACTCCCGTAAGATCTTGTAGTAGGGACTCGTTTTCAACGAGTCCCAGCTCTGCTCTTCAAAGCGCTCCTTCTTCGTCTTCGCACTGAGAGTGTCCTCGCTCTCAGTGGTGGTCTCCATGAAGAACTGTCTCAGTTCTTCATTCTCGCTCATCGTTCTCTCGGCGTCCGAGAGAATGCATATTTGTTCGATGCGTCCATCGTGCAAGTCACGCGCGAAGCGCTTCCAGCTCATGACTGGAAGCGAAGTCAACTTCGACGCTTGCGTCGGAGGGTTAGCGAGAATCATCTCCATGTACCGGAACCCGGCACAAGTACGTGTCAAGACGTTCAACGTTTCGACGTCCGGCTTCTCAGCCTCCGTCTGCCCGGCAGACATTCCTTGTAGCGTCTCGGCCCCAGGCCGAGACTTGCGCAGCGACCTTCGCATGCGCCGTCGTCTTGTTTTGCGGAGCCCGGCTCCGCTTGGTTCTTGACCTCGTCCAGGTCCAGCCGTGGACGGGTGTTCTTCTTCAGTACCGCCGGCGGGTTCACCCCGCGGGCGAGCGACTTCAAGCCCGGCTTGGTCGCCCGGCGCTTCGTCGTGTAGCCGGCTGCACGACAGCATGCAAGTTTTTCCGGTGCGGGACGTTTGCAACCGTCCGCACCGCCTGCAGCGTCGGCTCCCGGAGCCGACACGCCATCTTCACCTCGACGCCTGTTATTGGTGGAGCCCTCCATTACGGAGGGTGCGTCGGCTCCCCGAGCCGACGAATCAAATTCACCTAAGCCGTCGACTCCCGGAGTCGACGGCGCAACGTCACCTTGGCTCTTATCATTGGCCAGACCTGATCCAATCAGATTCGCGTCAGCCTTCACGGCTGAGGCGTGTGACTCGCCTGCGTCATCCGTGCCCCTTGAGGTCGGAGACTCTTCCTGATTCTCTGAAAAGCGGGTGTCGACCTCCGAGGTCAACACATTTTCTCCTTCAGCCGTCGGCGGCGACGCCGACGCTTCCTGCTCTTGCGCGCGTGCTCGCACGCGCCCAGGGTGCTCCGGGACAGCGGCATTAGGCGCTGTCTCGAGTGGGAAGTCGCGCGCACCTGCCCGTGCGTGCGTAGCGGCAACAGGGCCATCGCTCACTGTTCCGCTGTCGCGACCGAAGCGCACGAGAGTGCGCTTCTCCCAATCAATGACTGGATCATGCCGTGAAAGCCACGGCATGCCCAATACAATGTCAAACTTATCGTCCAGATCCAGGACGATAAAGGTCTCGACAAACTCTTGATCTTCATACGTGAAGCGCACGCGTACCATGCGCTTCTCGGTCTTTACGATGGCACCCGTTGCCAGTCGTACTTCCAACATACTTCGAGGTATCTTTAAATCCTCGAAGTCAAGCCTTGATAGACTTGCAGTCGAACAAAGTTCTTCGACGCGCCAGAATCTACCAAAGCACGCTTGATCTCATCGAGTTCACGTTCAGGATGACAAGGTCAGGCTTGTCATCTTGGTTCTTGCAGTGAGAATGAACCTCACTGAGGCTGCAGTCCTCCGTGTCGCGTGTCCAAGGTCGACACGCGGAACTGCATTACCAGTAGGGCGCCCCGCGCCTACTGGCGTCCAGCGTTTTTTGTTTGGTTGCGACGGTGCCCGGCACCGCCGCGATAGCCACCCTGCTGGTGCACGGGGGCCGTGCACTCCCGAGCAAAGTGACCGACTCTACCGCAACGGTAGCATCGCACATTGTTTCCTTGCGACTGCTGGGGTCCAGCAGTTGTAGCACTCGAGAGGTTAATGGGTTCTGGGCCTCCCGTCCTCACTACCGGGCGTGGCTGTGGCCTCAGCACATGTGCATGCAGTTTAGCCTGCCGCAGGCTAAACTCCTCCTGCATTGCAAGAGTAATTGCAGCTTCGAGAGTACTCGGGTACTCACGGAAGAGGTAGGTCTTCACAGGCCCATCTCTCAGTTCATTCATGAACGTGACGACCTTGGTCGCCTCGTCGATCGGATTGGTCACGATGTTCGAGACCAAGTACCGCGCTCTCTGAGCATAAGCATGGACATCATGCTTGACCTGCTGTAGGTCGAGGAACTCCGCCCTCGACCGGAACTCGTTTTGCGGTGGCTCAAACGCTTGTCTGAGCTCTTCTTTGAAACCCTCGTACGTGCTAAAGCACGTAGGATCCGAGAGTCGGCGTCCATACGCCCAACTTCTTGCACGTCCGCCAAGACATGACATGGCGAACGCAACCTTCGACAACGGGTCGACGATACGTCGAGCCGCAATGGCAGTATCGAGTTCGACAAGCCAACGGAGGAGAGGTTCACCCTCTCTTCCGACATAGTTGCTCACAGTGAGCTTCAGCGATTGCGCGCGTGGTGTCGTCCCGGCCGACACCGCGGTAGTAGCAGCAACATCGCGTTGCTCCTTCAGGATGAATCCTAGAGCAACACCGTGTTGCTCTGTCGGCGTTAGCGTACGCAGCATCGTAGCTACAGACGCCTCACCAATGACTGTTGACAGTCGTTGGAGGGCCTCCCACTCTGGATCCGACAGGTGGGGACAGTCAGCGCGTGCAACGTGAGTTGCAGGCGTAGTGGAGCTTTCCATGGGCACCTCTGTATCCATGGGAAGGTTCTCAGCTCCGCGTTCGTGCGGTGACGTACGAACTCAGGTAGTCGGTCGTTGGACGGACTACAAAGTGCTACCAGGTGTAGTGGACCTACTTTGGCTCACTACTTTAGCTTACACGTGTGCGCGTGTATGTGAGGAAGCGTAGCTTAGTTTAACTTAGAGTTAATTATACTCGGGCCTCCGAGTATAGATTAATCTAAATAAACGATCCAAATAATGTTTTGGGTTAAAATGAGAACTGCTATTTTTGTTTTATGTTTCTGACTTCCTCTAAATGTAATATTCTAAGATAGGAATCTGCCAATGGCTGGTTGGCAGAGTTCCAATGCTATGCATGTCGCTCATTGGCTAAGAGATGCTGCTCTCAGCCAATAGGAATCCTAAGTCTCTATGGACCACCCGTCGTGGTGGTCGTAAATGTATGTAGCCTTTGGTGTGTCTACACCAAGGTCGAGAAAGTCTTTCGAACCTCTAACAGACGTCGTATCTGTTAGAGTTACAAGTGACTGTAGCCACTTGTGCGTGTAACCCTGTTACACCTTCCCTAGCTTGGCTGGACTGGCGTTGTACTTGCGCTGGCCGAAGGTCACGAAGCGATCTGCGATCTCTCGTATGGCGGTAGGCGCGGCGTGAAGCTGTTCGTTGTGCTGGCGGGCGAGGGTGTACGCCTGGCGCAGCTCATCGAAGGCTTCCAACACCGCGTAGTAGTGGTTGATCACGGCCAGCAATGCAGCCGGCGTGACGTCGGCCGGGTCGAGCGACGATGCGAGCTTCCGGGGTGCCGACGCCATGGCCTCCATGGATCGCATGAAGGACCAGCTGCGCCAGTTTAAGATTATCAAGATCGAGCATGAGCTGCTCAGAGAGACGTCGACCGAGGCTTACGACCGCCTTCAAGATTACGCTGCTCGACTGGAGCGACGGATCGAGGGCCGCGTGATTGATGGCGAGCTGGCCGGATCCGTGCTCCAGATTGCTCAAGACTTGAGTGAAGTGCGTCGCGAGAACGCGGATCTCGCACGCCACGCTGCCGATCACCACAACATAATCCACTCTGCCCAGGCCTCCCACGCTGCAACCGCCGCTGAACTCGACCAGTCCCGCCAACAGTGTGACCAGCTCCAAGTGAGGCGAGGCGGGTGAACGCCTTTTGCCGCCCAGGTGTACAGTGGCCCGAAAAGAATCTAGACTTGTCCCCTCGAAACAACCCTGGGCGAGCACTTGGTGTCGTCCCGGGTGGCGTGTGTTCCTCGTGGAATCCCTTTGGGTGTCGTTTGTCTTCGAACGTGAGGCTTGCACTGCGTGAGTTGCGGGAAACAGGATAATATCGCTAGGACCAGGAAGCAGAGCCAACGCACACTTCAGAACGCAGCTTCCACAGCCTGGATCCGGAGAGATAACCTTAACAATACAGAGTTATACACAAATATACAATACACACAACCGTCACTTATTCTTTGGTTGGCCCTTGGACGGTGGGCCCAACACACCAGTCAACAAAGAGGGTACATCCAGGACACTGGCAAGTCCAAGACCTCCAATCAATCGCGCACCACCCTCAATCAAGAGGGAAAAAGCCGAATCAATACAAAATACAGTCCTTCCTATCACTCAGTAGCCTATCGACAAATCATTAGGTGGTGACTACCTCAACCGCCCTAGGAGTAGCTTAATATGAAATGGCAGTGCTGTACAGGACAAACACCCCAACTAGAATATGAAATAAAGCTTATCAACCCTGGCCGTGCGACAACTCAGGTACTCGCCTTAACTTGATCTGATACTTACTATGAGAGCTCCACACACGACCCTTACGCTGTTAGCCGAGGTGCCCTGAATGCAGGGGAAGAACCGAAGACACAAGGCTCCTTTGAGTCTGAACCAGCTCTAAATAGCCTGGCCCCCAACCGAAGACACTTGCGCTGTACTCGGGAAAACGAACTCTGTTTGGTCTTATCTTTGATGGCTATCACTAATAGTAACATGCAGTCTTGGAAGTTTTATCTTGGACCAAGTTCGAAGATCCTGAAGCCTACCAGCCTGGAAGTTCCCCAGCCAAGATCGAGCCAGTCATGCTGCAAGAGCCGTAGAGGTGCCCGGCCAAGCTCGTCGATGCCCAAGCTGCCCGACCGAAGTCCATGTATCCTGAATGGACAACGCGCATCCCGAATGGACGACTCTCCAAGCTCCAAGATCTGACCATACAAACCCAAGACATTAACGACCGACCAAGCCGACCGTCCAAGATCTGCTCGGCACATGGAACCTTGAACTCCCTCCCAGCTGTGCTGCCGATCCCCGCTGGATCTTTGCGACTCAACCGACGACAACCCATACTGAAACCGGATGCACCTTGATCATCCTGATTCAGGGCGCTGAGTGCATATCCAGGCTGTTCCCGCCACTTGGATCCTGGATCCAGCTAGAACCAGGCCGTCAACGTGGGGCTCGGGCTGAAATCTGGAGCCGCATCGTGTCACAAGCACGACCCAAGGACCTACTGACGCACGCACAGAAAGTGGAGGCGTCTAACCAGCAACTTCGGGAGGATCTGCGCGCCATGACTGGTGGGGACTCGGTCGTCCACTCTTTCCGGTTGGAGCTCCACGTACGGGGTGAGCGGGTCCACGAGCTGAACGGGCTCCTCGATCGCGTCGCCGCTCACCGGGACCGACTCCAGGAGGATCTTCAAGCCTCCAACCACCATGCCGACCTAGCCACCGCGGCTGTGGAGCGAGCTAACGAGGCTGCGAGTAGACAATATGTTGTCGTCCGCGACACGAAGCGCCGCGCTCGGGATCTCGAGGACCAGTTGGGCCAACTTCGCCAAGCTCGGGCCCAGCATGCGCGAGAGTATCAAGTCCTCTCATCTGATTTCCGCCGGTCGCAGGAGCGACTCACGCAAGCTCATGCGCGGGTGGCTGCGTTTGGGCTGTTGCAAAGCGAGAACAGCGCACTTCGCGAAGGGGCTACGTGTTGCGATCGTTGCCCGGGACGCGCTTCAAGCTGACAAAGAGGCGCTCCAGGCCGACAAAGAGGCGCTCCAGGTTGAGCTGATGGCCACTTAAGAGGCCCCGGATCAGACGCAGACCTGGCCGACACCTGCTACGGTCGCGCCTTCTGCCGACCCTCCAACTCATGCTGCCACTCACGCTGTCGTTGCCCAGGTATCCTGGGGGGCCTGTCGTGAGTTCCTGGCACAGACCGAAGACATCCAAGACGCCTACGGTCACGTGCGTCGCGATTTCGACGACTTGGAGGCCGAATTGCGGTCGCTGGAGACCGAGCATGATGGGTTGGAGACCGTCTACGGCACATTGATGGAGGATCACTCGCTCGCCCTCCGACGCATTAAGGAGATTGCCTCCTTGGCGGAGGCAGTCCCTTCTCGCGTCGCCGGCGTGTCGCCTTCGCGGGTCCGTCCTCTGCCTGCTGATTCTCCACCCTCCTCCAAGCGGGCTCGATCGCCGTGCGCAAACTCCGATCCGAAGGAAGCTCCTGCAGTTAAGCGCGCCCGTCGTGGTACGTCATCTAAGGCCGTATCTTCCAACGTGTAGCCCGCCAACAGCTCCTCCGCCCCGATGCCTCCGGCTGCCGGTGTACCATCCAACATCGACGCCGTGGTGGACCCCGCAGGGGATAAGCTGAATGACGATTACGCCTGTTCTGACGCCAGCACGGAACCCAGCGGGTCGGACTCCGAGACCCCCGACGACGAAGATCTGCGTGTAGCTCGGGCTCGCTGCCGATCCGACCTCCGCCGCCGTAGCTCTGAGAATGGATCGTACGCTCCGCTTGTCCAAGATGGGTCTGCCACCGCTCCGATCGAAGTGGGTGATGCGGACACCCTGGAGTTGTCGGATCCGGCAGGAGGCTCTATCATCGCCCCTAGTCGAGGTGATCCGGCTGCTGCAAGGAGCGCTGGCGATGGCACCTTTGTCCCTTTCGGTCCCCTCGAGGTATTCATCCCTGGCCTTCGGCAGCAGCGGACCGTGCCAGCGGCAGACGTTGAGCCGTGGGAGCCATCGCAGATCTCGATACTGAGTATGAATACGGCCACGCCCCGCGTGATCATCGATTACCAAGTGCTGGCTGCCGGGTGGATGTTTCCAGAGCGTGTCGGGCGCGGTGGTACTCTGGATCGCCGTCAGTATGTACCGGGGTTCATCACACGTGTTAACGTGGAGGCGCTGTACGCTGCAGAGCCTTGGCGCACTGTCTACCCGCCCGGCGCCCCACACATTCGACTTGGACGTCTCACCCCAGTTGCTGAGCATAGTGGATGGGTATCTGTAGTTCGAAAACGACTGCCTGCCAGCGATCTGGGAGTCGACGCATCCGTTCCCGATCACCAAGGAGTTGAAGAGATCCGACCCTTGGTTCTCTTCCTTTTACACCAGCCGCAAGAATCGCAGCTCGCACGCCCGGGAGAAGTGTCGGAACTGGCAGGAGCAAGGATTCAAGAAGACTCGTCGGAGTGGATGCTGTGACCTGGATCTCTGGCTGGATCGCATGTTTGCTCGGTTCCCCCAGCAGAACGAGGATACGACGTGGTTCCCCGGCCGCGAGGCTGTCGCTGCTGGGCGTCCGGCGCCCACGAGTCTATTAGCTGCTTTAGCTGACTGCGATCGAGCGGACTCGTGGCGCAACCACTTACGCACGGCGCCTGGTGCACACACTGCTCTCCTCATCTCCCGCCTTCTGTTGAAGTTCTCTCGCACCTCCTAGGTGTCGTAGTCCCGATTTCGGGCTCCATTTTTCTTCGCGTCTAGCTCCGTTTCGTCTTAGCGGTAGCATTCGGTAGCTAGCAGTTCTTCTCATGCATCCACAGAAGGGCAGCCTCCTTGCCCATCTTTCTCCGCTAGTTTTATACCCCATGACGGCCTGCCCGTCCAAGAATGCCCTTCCTCCTTGATGATGCAGCCACCCTGCAGATCCTTCACTCTGATCTTCACGTTGGCGGCCAACCTACCGACGTGGTTGCCGTCGTCACTCTTCCTCGTGCGACGGCATAGCTTGGAATCGATTCTGTTTCGCGTGGGCGGTCAGGAAGTCGTGGATCAACGCGCCGCAGTTCAAGTCCGCCTTATCCACCCACGAGAGCTCTTTATATTCCTTCCACCTGATCTGAAATTCACGTAACGTGCGTCCATAACGCGTCTTCCGTCCAGTCCTCACCCCCAAGATCTGCTCCACTTCGAACTCGTCTTCGTCCGGCTCTCGATCCCAGCTGTCTTCCGGCAGCAGGGCTTCATCGAAGTCCACCCGTTCGGCCTCATGCACAGTTAACTGGATCCGCGGGCGTTCGGGAAACTCTCTCACAGACTTCAGTTTGGATATATGCACCACCGGAAAAAGGTGATACGCGGTTCCTGCCGTTTCCAACCGCACCATATACTTGTTCACCATCTTCAGCACTCGAAAAGGTCCATGCCACAGTTGCGCGAGCTTCTTGGCGTAGCCCTCCTTTACTCGATCCAAGTAGAGCAACACGCGTGGTTCAGCCTCAATATGATGGGGTGTAGCCTGCTCGTTTCGCGCCTCTGCCCTTTCAGCGATTGCCCTCTTCAGCTTCCTGTTCACCTTTTGTCTGGCGAGTTGGTAGAACTTCTGGATCCTGTACCGCCAACGACGGGGATTTGAGTCTCGTCTCTTGGTACTGCCCACGGGCAACGTTGCTTCCAGAGTGGTCCTAGGATCCCAACCATACGCTAGATAGAAAGGCGTATCGCCCCTGATCCGGTCGTGAGCGGTGTTCAGTGCGAACGTTAGCCGTTCCGCGTACTCATCCCAGTCACGATTATCCTCATCTTGCACATACATATCGTTATAGTCTGCACCATCCGCTCCGCGGTTCCATTGCCTTGCGACCGGTAGGCCATAGTAGCTCGTTGCCGCTGACCTAAGATGCGGTTGAAGGCGCGAAAGAAATCCGACATAAACCCGGGCTCACGATCGTGGCGGATCACCTCGCTCGCACCGAAGCGGCGGAAAACACACTCCTCGTAAGACTCAGCAATCGTCTGCGCAGTACGCGTTGCACTGGCTTTCGCCACCACATAGCCCGTGAACATATCCACCCAGATGAGCAGTTCGGTGTTGCCCTTCTTCGACTTCGGGAGCGACGGGGTATGATCCATCGCGATCACCTGGAACGGGTACGTCGCTCTGATGTTCCCTGGGGATCTTCCTCGAATCGTCGGTCGCCCCTTGCCTGTCTCGCAGTCGACACATTCGCCGACGAACTGCGGCACCGATCTAAACATCCCTCTCCAGAAGAAGTGGGGTTTGATCCGCTGGTAGGTCCGACTGATCCCTTGATGTCCCCCTTTTAGGCTCACATGGTAGTGGTGGAGTAGGTCTGGTTGTAGAGACTCTGGCACGACTAGTCGAAGTAGACCATCCCGGTCCGCCTCCGCCCTTGCCGACGGTGCGCAATAATACAGCAGTCCCTGGCTATCCATCTCGAAGTCTGCTGCTAACAGGCTGCAAGCCTTCGCCTCTCTCTGCGACATTGTCTGCACATCGCCTTGAAAATACTTCAGCTGCTGGATCCACGCCTCTTCTTCCTGAGCCTGGCGGATCCGCTTTACACGTAACCGTTGCACCACTTCCACTTCTAACACCTTCGGCTTCGCATTCCTTCCGGCACCGGATCGTGTGTGCGTAGCATTGACTCGGACCACGTCCTCCGGCGCAGCTGGCACCAGCACGTCATCCAGACGGTTCAACGTAATCAAGTCATCCGCTTCCGTGTCTGGCTCCACAGTTTTTCTTTCTTCCCGTTGCAGGGCGGCGCTGGCCAAACTGTCCGCACTCGCGTTCCATGCTCTCTTCACGTGTAACAGATCGTGGGTCGTCAACTTGCGCAGACGTTCCAGTGCCTTTTGCCTCAAGAGTATAAGGCTCGGCGCCTTGCAGTCGATCTCCCCACGCATCTGTCGGATCACCAGGTTGGTGTCGCGGGCAAAGCCCACACAATTTGCACTGAAAGATCCTCCGCCCCTCTTCACTCGGGCGGATCCATCGAAACTTGCTACCCACAGCTTTTCTTCTGGTTCCACTGTGGGTACGGACATGGATATCACTTTCCGCGGTTCATTTCTGGGGGCGCTTGCAGCTAGTGCTTCATCCACCTTCTCCCTGGGGGTAATGCAGCGGCTAGCGCCCCTAGGATCTCGTCCTCGCCCTTGATGCATCGCTCGATCTCGATTGTCCATGGCGACAACAACGTAGCTCATTGGCTCAGGCGGCCTTGCAGCCCCGTCGATCTGAACAACCAAGCCAGCGTGGAGTGGCGAGTCAACACCCAGATCCGTCTTCCCACCAGCATCGAGTAGCCGAGATCCAGTATCCTCCGGATCGCCAATACTTCCTTCTCCGCGATGCCGTAGTTCAGCTCGTTCTGCTTCAACGTCCGGCTGGCGAACATCACCGGCATGTATACGCCGTCGTGCTCCTGCGTAAGTGACGCGGCGATCGCCCCCTCGCTTGCATAGACGATCACTACCGGCTCCTTTTCTTCATCGAAATGGCGTAGGATCGGCGTGGCCGCTATCTTGTCCTTCAACGTGGCGAAGGCCGTCTAACTCTGCTCCACTTCGTATTGCGTTTATCCTTCTCAGAATCGTCGTCGTCGGACTGCTTCTCAGTTTACCGCTGCCTCAGCTTGCTAAGTCGACCTCCCGTAGCTAGTACAGTATCGCCTCATACACAGCCAGATTCTCAATGAAGCGGCCATTGTAATTTAAGCTTCCGAGGAGCGACTGCGTCGCTCGGAGGGACTTCGGGAACGGCAGATCGGTCAGAGATCATAGATCCTTCGGGTGTGCCTCCAGGCCTCCAGCGGACACTCGGTGGCCGAGGTAATCCACCTTCTTGAGGCCCCAAAAACTCTTGGCTACGCTGATCGATAGGTCCCACTTGTTGCATGCTTCAAGCCGTTTCCGCACTCGTTCACACAGGTGATCCCACGACGTGGCAGTCACCAGGATGTCATCAATGTACGAACGCCGGCCCAACACCGACGGCTCTCCTCCATCATTAGGTTCGTCCTCTCTGACGAGATCGACGAGATCGCTCCCTTTCGTAGCAGGCGGGATCCGGAGAAAACCATACAGCGCGTTGTCTATCAACCTTTGGTAGATCTGGGGTGCGTTCTTCAACCCGAATGGCATTCTGCTCGACTCGTACAGGCCAGATGGAGTGATGAATGCTGAGATCGCTCGTGCACACTCGGTCATCGACACCACCCAAAACCCACTCGCCATGTCCAGCGAGCAGTACCACAACGTCGCCTCGAGATCTTCCAGAAGGTCATTGATCAGAGGCATAGGATAGATCATCAACTTCGTCAGGCTGTTCACCAGCCTGTAGTCGATACAGATGCGGAAATCTACTCCGTTCTTTTTGATGATGACCACGATAGGAGACACCCATGGGGATGTGGAGGTGCTGATAATCTTGGCTGAGAGCGGCCCTTTGAGGAGGTCTGAGAGCTTCTCCCGGGACTGTGGGGCGACCTTACGTACACGCTGCGCGCGATCGGCTTCACGTCTCCGACGTCGATATCACAGACTGCGCCGACGGCGGCCGGAGGTAGAGCGTTTCCTTTTCCGATGAGGAGATGCTTGTACGCCCAGATCTCGTCGATCAGTGGTTGGATCTCCTCTGGGGAGTTCTCCTCCGCGTCGCCTACGTGTAGATCTTCCATCTTGACTTCGGTCGTGGTAGCTGTCACATCGGGTAATACCGCCAGCCCCCCCCCCCCTCGTAATCTTCTGCATGCAGGGCGGTCGCTCCGTGCGCGTACACCTTCTCTGTTGGGGCTGCACCTTCGGTCTCTGCATCTGTCGGCTCCGTCCTTGAGGTGCTGCCTGGTCCTGGGGTGGTCTCCTGCAGATCTGCCGATGCGTCAGCTGGGGTGTTCTCTCCAGCTTGAACCTCCGAATCTTCCGCTACGTCGTCTTTCGTATCTACGGCCTCTTTTTCTACTGACTCCGACTGGTGGCGAGCCGGCGGCAGGGATCCACTGGATGGGATAGGGATTGGCTGTTCTTCTACACTTCTAGCGGCCATGGGGATGAGTTCCTCATCTTCAAGGTGAGTCACGGTCGGCCCGTCCCCCCGAGCCACGTCCGCGTGCGCGTCTACCGGTTCCTTCGGCAACGCTTCTTGTCCCTGCTCAGTTGACCATAGGATCTCCTGGCCTTGGCGGCCTAGCGTATCCTCTGTCTCGGCTACCTATGGGGTCTTTCTTCTGCCTGTTTCCTGCTTCGACCATCTCTGGCTCCGCCTCTGCTCCCAGCGCCTGATCCGGGTGGGCCGGGACCTGTGTCTCCAACCGCAACGCAGACACACGCGTGGCGATCGGTCGGCCTCTAGCAATCCCTTCCGGCCAGCTAATTACCGCATTGGGCGTCGGGTACACAGACTTAGGGACCGCCGGCTCTGGTGATTTTGGGGCTGGATCGGGTCGCCTATCGGTCGTGGCGCTGTACACCAGGTTCTGCCACTCGGTATACCTTCTCGACCCGGCGGACACGAAACCGGGTTTGCGAGGAGCATGATCTCTGGTTAACCACATGCCCACTTGATCGTGATGTTGTAGGCAGACCGGCGCGTCTCCAATGGTGGTAATCTGCAAGTAGCGCGTCTTCCCTAGTCCAGCGGCCAGCGTAGGTACCCACTGCTTACCTCTCGTGAGCCATAGTTGTTCGGAGTCTGAGAGGTGTATGCGCTGCGGTAGCTCGACCGTCTCGCCCGCTGCTAACGACATTCACTGACCGATCGTCATCGTCCGCGCCCGGTCACTGAAGATCTGTCGCCGTCCATGTAGCTGGATTCGGATCTCGTCTGGTAGGCACATTGATCCGTCTCCGAGCTCTAAGCGAATCCCGGCTGGTACCATGAAGTCCATGCCCAGGATCGCCTGGTAGTCTGGTGGCCGATCATCGCCCACCCACGTTATTGTGGTGTAGCGGGATCGGCCAAAATCTGGTTAAGGCCTGATCGAGCTTCCCACCAGCGCCCAGACACCGACTAACGGAGGGGGTCCCCCAACGATCCGTGATCGGCTGAACTTGTTCTCACCCTGTGTACCCGTCGGCGGGCTGGATCTGCTCTCTCGGTGCTCCGAAGATGCAGCACTTGGTGAAGATCGAGTGTCTTGGCGTGACGCGGGGATAGTTTGTGGGGCAGCGCGGTAGTCTTCGCTCTGCGTCCGATTATACGCTCCGATCGAGGGTTCTTCGCTTCGATCGGTCGGCCTGGAGTAGATCCAAGGCCTGTAGTTGCCTTTCCGGGTGTGTTCCTTCCTTTCCTGAGTTGCTTGCCGCTTCTTATAGCGGGATCGAGGTCGATTGAGAGACGCAGCGATCGCCGGCCAAGCAGTATCCGATCGATCGAGGACTTGCACACGAGAGAAAGATCACTAGAGTAGGTCAAGCTGGCCAATGTATTAATCCAGTCTTAACCGTACCGCTAGTTCACTACCTGAAGTGTCAACGCTTGCCGAGGCCAATGTAGCTCCTGGGACTTGACGACTTGAGGGCACTTGTGGTCTTCTGTGCAAATTGCGTTCTGATTTATGCTTAGCTGGTCTCTCTCTACCGCTGCCATCTCATCTATCATCCTACAACCAAACGATTACTGGATTCTTGCCCTGGCTTCGCCCCCATGTGCTTCCCATCCGATCGATCGGCGATCCACGATCGCCTCCTGATCCACGATCGATCCCGATCGGCGATCGGCGATCAACTCCCGATCGATGACCTGTGCGAGTTGCCGTGCGCTGCCGATCCGTCCTCTTCTGTCCTCGGCCGCCCTAGATCTGCGAGATTGGTCGTCGATCCGGGCTTGGGTCTACGTCGAATCACGCCGCAGTCCAAGCGCGATCGCCCGTAATCTGTCTTGACATATGTGTTGCCTTACGCGTCGACGTTATCCAATCGCTTGAGATCTCTCGATAGACCCTCTTGATCCGCGACCGCAGCCTGATCCCTGCCTATCGTTCTGCCACCATGTCGCTTGATGTCATCGCAGTTGGAAATTCTTGTTCGGTGCTCCACCACATTATAGTACATCAGGTATCCGGCCAACGTGAGCTTGATCCTTGTTCTCCCAGTCGCCACGTACAGTTTCTCCCCTATGCCGAGCCACTCTTGACTCTGACTTGTAGCCCCATAGCATCCTTCCTCACGTGTCGATAAGCGACACCTCGGATCCAGAGTCAAGCTTGACTACGGCTTTGGTGTTGTTGATCTTGCTGCTGACCTTGGCTTGCTTGAAGTATTTCCCGGGTACGTAGTACTTCCAGTACCCTCTCGACTCTCCAGGCATCAGATCCAAGGTTATAGACACTTCTGACCTCATGTATTCATCGGGTGCACGCAGACTCGCAACAGAAGCAACACGTTTCTTTTCATGATCACCTGTATTATCAGAGAGCCCTGATCTTACGACCGTTCCTGGGCGTCTCGGTTGCTTGTCCACAAATGCGTAGATGCAGAGCGGAGAACGCTCGTCTCGTACCGGATTCAAACCCGGCGAGCACTCTAGTTTAACATCTTTTCCGCCGCTTCAGGCAGAAGTCCCGGGTGTTTGCTGGGATCGAACCACTGCCGGATCAAGTTGTAGAACACTTCCATCTGACAGTTGCCGTGATCGTGGAGCTCGCCGCACCCGCGACACACGAAGAAGCATCGGTCGGACGGGTGGCCCATCTTGCCGCATTTCTGGCATGCAAGGCGCTTTCAGCAGCCCAGGTACGAATGCTTCCTCGATCCGCAATGCGAGCAGCGTTGCCCGTCGTTCGGAAAGCGAGGCCGGCGATCCTGCACGCCAGGGCCTGTGGGTGGTGAGGCTAAAACAGACGACGTTGCACTTTCGCCATCCGTAGGCATGGTCTCCGCCGATGACGATCCGCTTGCCGCGGCCATGTATGCTCGGTGTAGCTCTCCCTCCGATCCTGACTCGTCTGTGTCTGACTCACTATCCGACGCTGGCAAGTGCATCGCGCGGGTGCCGATGGCTGCGGCATCGCTGCTGGCTTCGGTCGAAACTTGCTGCCTCCTGACGGCTTCTTGTGCCTAAACTTTGATCACTCTCGTGCTTCGTTCAATCATAGCAAGGTCAGCTGATCTGCGAACTCGGGGTCCCCTAGGGTTTTGATGAAGTGTTCCACGTGCTCGCGGCGGGACTTAGCGTCCCCATCCTTGATCCTTACGCGGGTGCGTGAGGCGAGGCGGGTGAACGCCTTGATCGTCCAGGTGTATAGCGCACTATGCCGGACCGAATCGGTTCGGAGTACCAGAGATATCCGCTGCAATCCGGTAGTCCTCGGAGCACAGGATGTGAACCGGGGGCCGGGAGGATCGCTTGGACTTGGCGTGTGTCCTTGCGTCAACCCCTATAGGTATCGTTTACCTTTGGCGGACCGGACTTCACCGAGTGAGTTGTTGTAAATACAGAATCGAGTCTGCTGGGTGTGTTCCTGAACCAAACTACACCGAATTAACAGAAGGTCAGACCGAATCGAAGGGACCACAGTCAGATCCACAATTCAGCATAACCAACACACAGAAATACAATGCCGAGCTAAACGTCACAAAATATTCAGCCACCACTTATTCTTTAAGACCCTTGGGTGGGGGGTCTATACGCCAGTCAACTTACGAGCCGTCACCCAAGGCACTGGTCAAACCTGGATGCACACTCACTCACGCGCAACACCCTCACAGAGTGAGGGAACAATACAAAATATAAGTCAATCCTATCACACAGTAGTCGATCAATTCAGTCTCGGGGGTGACTACCTCTACCGCCTAAGACACACAGGATGGAATATGAAATGGATGCCCGGATAGAGCACGCAAATTGGAAATAAAGCTCTCACAGATCACTCCAGGGCGCGACACCCCCGTCCCTGCCGACTTTGTCTTGGTACCTTTGAGTCCCCACTACACCAGTGCTCGCAACACCAGTGAGGCCTTGAAACGTCCTCCGTTTTAATATCGCACGAAGGCGGATCCCACGTATAAGCTCTTGAAGACGTCAATGTCAGGGGGAATTCCCTGTCCGAAGAAAGACGTCCGCGTGTTCTCGGCAAATTGGTTTCTGTTTGATCTTACGTTTGGCTAGCTATCTGTTTCACTTCACTGACTTCTAATAAAGGTTTCACTGTGCTTGACTTGTCTTGGATATGCTTCGACCTTGTGCACGGGACTTCGATCTTCTTGCACTGAGCTTGGGTATGCTTGACTTGGCTTGGTTATCGGGCACCTTGTCGACGTCAACGTTCCTTCGGCAACACTCATCATCTGGCGACAGAGGTGCGTGGGTACGGCGTCTCATCAAATCCGCACTGGACCTCTGCGTCTAATCACGTGAGCCATCCTGTGTCGCTTGACGTTCTTGGTCGATCCGGTCCCGGATTGCTGCTACACACACAGCAGTACTGGACTTGTTGTTGGTGCAGTCACGATCCAGTATGGGCACCAGGGGTCAGACCGAATTTATCATCCGGTCCGGCCTCATTCGGTACGGCACCTTGGCCTCCGGTGCGTCGCTACCGGGTGCACCACGATCCAGTCCGGCAAACAGTGTACTTTGTCCAGCGAGGCCTTGGGCGCATGGGAGCATTGTGGGCATGGTGAACTTGGGGGTTGGTCCAATGTCTTGACGGAGCCAATGCAGGCAGCAGCCAGGATACGTTCACTGGCTGCACTTGCGCGCCTTAGGCTTATTCTGCGGTCAGGGAAGCCGGCGGACGGACAGGATGTGTTACTCCACACCGAATATGAGCGCTCATCCGGTGGGCACATCTCCGATCCTGTGAGCCCATGCTTACTGCAAGCACCGGGTCCCGCCAAATCCACCATGCGCATCCACTATCCACATGTCACACCCCACGTCACTGGATTCCTGTTCACTGCGACCAGTCACAGTCAGGCGAAGGGTCGTCCCATCCCAGCGGTCAGACATGCATGCGGATAAAAATCCTTTCCCACATCGTGTCATGCACATGCCCGGTACGTTCGGCCGGTGCAGATACTCTAACAGAGATTCGTCCCCGCGCTTACGCGCGTGGTGGTACTGCCACGCTACCGCCACTCCCAACCCACAGTACTATGGCTGGAATTCTTTCACCAAATCCGCCCATTTCGTTCGCGTCGACCGGCTCAGTTGTCGATACCAGTTTCTAGCCGGGCCTGTGAGGAGATTCGCGAAGGTGAGGCACTTCTCCTCATCCGACGCTTGGTCCCTCGTGAAGGCTGACTTGACTTTGCTGATCCAGGCTCGGGCGCGCTCTTCGTTGTGGTCTTTTCCAGTGAACTCCTTCAGGTCTGAGATAGCTGAGATCCTATCACGTTGGATCGTGGCTGTCCCAGCTAGAGGTGCCGCTGCTGCCGCTGTAGAGACTGCTGCTGGCCTCCCGGTGCCCACTGCTCCCAAGTCGTCCGGGGCATACTCCCAGTTCTCTGGATGATCGTGAGATCCTACCGACTCCATGTCCACGTCCTGCGCCCCTAGATAAGCTGTGTTCAGCATGCTTCGCCTTGCGGCGGTTGGGTCCGTTTTTGGGACTGATGTGAGACTCCGTTCCTGTAGGAATTGATCCAGAGCCGACTTGAAGTATCACTCCAATGCGCTCGTCGACTCGTGCGGAGGGTCTACCTCGGGCGACCGAGTCGTTGGGCGTGTCGGGACCTGAGCTGGTCTGGCTGCAGATCGATTCCGTAGCAGCTCAATGCCTGCTGGAATCAGCGGCATGCGCTTCGGTTCGGTTGAGCTATTCGATTCCACCTCCGACGTGGCTGACTCATAGGTAGAAGATCCCGTATGATACCCCGGCGTCGGAGGTTGGCTCTCTTTCACGCAGTTCGTCGGAGTATGTTCCTCTGCTTCTTTCTCACCGACGATTGGCTTCAGCTTATTGAACAGCGCGGCTGCTGCAAGCCGGATCGTATCCAGCTCCAAGCTGAAGAGATCCGTCGCCGCGAAGGCGCAGACGGCAAGACCCGCTTCCTGCGCCAAGCGCAGCAGGTCTGTGGCGGCCTCCAGCTTGTTCATCGTCAGGGACGGGGCCTGCCCCGGTCCAGTGAGCCCTTCGGTTAACAGTTGCTGCAGGATCTGCATCACGGGGTGGTCCCGTAGGAAGGCTTGCAGCACGATCCGCCGATAGGCTACCTCCAGCTTGGACTGCGTCCATGTTGCCTTGGTCATGATTAGATCTTCTGGCTCCGCATCTGGAGCCCTTAGTTTCTCCCGCGCTGCTCGTGTCTTCTTCTTAGACGTGGCTCCTTGGTTCTGCGCGGGGTTTTTGGTCGAGGATCCGGCAGCTCTCGCTGCTGGGCGCTCGTCCGGCGGGTCCTGCTTTGCAGCACGACCCGCGGGGGTCCTCGGGAGGATCTGTGGAGGGGGTAGAGGCTTCTCCTCGAGATTAGGGTGCCTCTGATCCACCGGTAGTGTTCCTCCTGGCACTCGGTCGGTTCGAGGATCCATTCTTCAATGACGCCGCCGGTGATCCTAGCTCCGTCAGCGCTTCATCTCCTGATTCGTTGCTCACATGCGCATCATCTTGGGACTCACGGTGAAACCCCGCGTCGCCAAGAGATCCGGGCACGCGCTCCATTGTGGTGGAGTGGATCCGCTGGAATTAGCAGGGATCCCACACTCACACACTGCGCCCAGACACCGACTAACGGAGGGGGTACTCCGATAACCGTAGGGTTGCTGAGGGGCTCACCTTGTGTACCCGTCGGTGGGCTGGATCTGCTCTCTCGTTGACACGAGATGCGCAGCGGGTGAGCTTGAACGTCCCTGGCGGGGACTTGGGGAGTTGTTGGGGTAGATCCCACGCGGGTCTGGGTAGGTTGATCCTTGGTCTTGGCCGTAGATCTTGTGGATCCGATAAGTAATATACCAGATCCGGAGTTGTTGCCTTGTCGGGGGTGTTGCATCCTTTTCCTTTACGTTGCTTGCCGCCTCCTGTTAGCGGGGAAGTTGGGGGGGGCGAGGGTCGAAGGGCGCGAGCTGCTGGCCAAGCTATCCAGCAGTCTGCCACGTGTGCGGGGGTCAAATCACTTGATTAAAGTAGGGACCAATACTAATCCCAATACTAAGGACCAAGTGTGTGGTTCCCAAGCAAATTCGACTCTGATTTATGTTAGCCTGTATCCAGCCTTCCCATCCGGCTTGGATCTTATCCACTACTGGCTCTCCTTCCTGTCTAATTACTCTAACATAGCCAGATCCGTTTGCACCACACCACTTGCACCTGATCCATCTTCAAATGCCCTGATCCGGCAACCATACCTGCATCTAGCAACCGTGGCGTCATCCGAGGGACCGGACATCGTCACAAACTGCCGGATCCCGTTATCGGGTCAACTGGTGGATCCGATTCCATCAAGACCGTTCTTGAGTGGATCTTCATACCACACAGGCGATCGACTGCACGCTCGGCAATCCATCCTGCACCATCTCAGTCGCCGCTGCGCGCTCGAAGAGCTCACGGCCACCATGGGCATGCCTGGCAGCGGTAAGACCATGTCCGTCGAGCTGCTGGCCGACCGCATCGGCTCTGGAGGCGTTACGGGCGGCATCGAGTATGAGGATCAGCACTTCAACTAAGCTCACAGACAGTAACATGCTTTAGTGTGTGCGGGGCAAAGGCGGACTTTATTGTAGGCGTTAGCTCTGCTCTTTGCTCTGCGAAAAGCGGAATGATCTTATCTGGCGGGATGGGGTGGGTGGGTGGGTGGGGCGGAACTCACTCGGTTGTGGAATCCAACGGATTTGTCGTACGAGGCCAGTTTGAGCAGTCGCAACGTAATTCTCATACTCTATTCTCCACATCAACACTGCCGCGGATCGTCAGTCCTTGTAGCACAGCATAAGACATCAGAACAAATCAGACCACGTCAATACCCTTCTTTAGTATGCTGGTCGTTTGAACCCGAAATTGATCCATGCAACTTCGGTCTCCACGCAGATGCACAGTGTCGACACACTCGTGCGTACTTCGTCTACTGAAAAAATCACGTGCCGTTCCGGTTCATACGCAATCTACAATTCCAACAAGTAGTTCGCAGCACCGAAATCTTGTCAAACCGGTCTTTCAACTTATCAGCTATGAAATCCACATCTTGTTCACAGCCAATAATCCGAATGTCATCTGATTTCGGGATTGGAGTTCGATGACACGTTTGCTCCAGTGGTCCGGTCCAAGACTCTGAGATTCGTGTTGTTGTACGGTTGAATGTTGTGAAGTAGTTTGCCTTTGTCACTGCGTTCCTCAACGCACCCACCGACAGGGTATTCTTCATGGAGCAGCCACAAGGGCACATAAAGAGGGGCTACGAGGATTGGGTCTCCCTCTTGAAGAAGAGCATCTACGGCAACTGGAACAGTACTCTGGACCTGGCGCTGGTGGACTTTGGCCTCCAGAGGTCCTTTAAGGACGAAGCTCTCACTGGATTCGTGTGCAGTCACGCCTCGTGCTCTTACCGATCTATGTGCTTCTCGCATTGGGAGAGGCCATCATTGCGGCCCAAGTCAATGGAACATACAGTCCCATCACTGTAGTTGCTGCCGTGGACGAGCTCAGCACACTTGCCACAAAGTCCTTGAGATGAGCCGGTTTCTTCCTCACGCGCTCTGAGCGCCGCGGGTTCTCCACCTCCGCTGGCAGATGACGCTTTCGTTTGGGCACCGGTCACTTGTCCTCAAGACTCATCAGAATCGTCACTGTCATATGCCGGCGGGGCTGCCGAATATGGTATTTTTATTTATTAGCGCAGATAGAGTCTCATAAATAATACAAGGATTTTGTCATTTGTATCTGCATAAATTATGTAATGTATTCGAGCAATAAATAAATAATGTGGTGCAACTTCAACGGGTATTAGACGTACTGTTACTCACACGAATTGACGCGATCGACTGTCGAAACGTCCCAGAAGTCAGCATTCTCGCGCAGAAACAAAGTTTTTTCCAGCGTAGCGGGCTGGGGACTGTTGCGTTCTTGAGCAAACGTGGTACGCGCCACGCTGAAAAACCGCTCGACCTTGTTCGAGGTCGGCGGGATGCTGGAGATGTGGTCGTAGCGGGGCTTTCGAGCCTCGAGCCGGCGATGCTTCTCGAGACGCTGGACAAACGAACCCTATGGCTTCTCGCCGCCGGCTTCCGCACCGTTCGTGAGATAGTATCATAAATTATGAGTATGGACTAGTAATATGGTATCAGCGGTCTAAGCCGCCGCTCATAAATTATGCAACAATATTTATGGCAATTTCTGGAGCGTCAATTTATTTTTCGGCTGCCCTGTATGCCGCGCTACTTGCAGGACTTTCATGTCATACCCCTTTCGCGCGCGCACATCTGCCGCCGCACTGCTCGACTCGTCAGCCACTGCGCTCTCCACGTGCTCAGCATCATCTTCCTCAACTTCGTCATCATCAGGCTCTGGAAGCTGCACAACAGGCAACGGAACGAACGGCAACTTAGTACTATCGAGATCAGGTCGTCGCCTTTGACGGTTCAATTGTTTGTCAACACTCGCTCGATACCGTAGTCCGCTCGAAGAACTTCACATGCTGTCGGCGGTGCTCGCTAATCACTCCACTTCTCAAGTCCAGGAGTCGATTGCCTTTCGTTTTCGTTGCGTAGCCCGCCATCAGGGCAGGAGCGATAACTTGTGCACTCGATACACCTTGCCCACAAAATTCAGCGCCAAGCAACCAAACGGGCGCAAGTGTTTCACACTGGGCTTCGTGCCATACACTTTTCCATGCGGGGTCAAATTGTCTTTGTTGCCCTTGGTACTCGTGCGGTTTATGGTTTCAATCGCGTACGCTGCAGCCTCGCCCCACAACAAACTAGACACGACGCTGCTGTACAGAACCTCTCTTACCTCAGCTTTGCAACCGAAGCCGCGGCCAAAACGGAGCGATGGGGAGCAGCTAACCCCTTTGGATTGGCTGTTCCGCTGTGTGGTACGCGCACTACAAGCACCAATGAAGGCGAAAATAATGCACTCAGCTGGGCTGGGCTTCGTGGTATGGTTGTGCCTTCAGCCGTCATCGCTTACTGTGAAAGAGTAATGAAAACGCTAAATTCTGGACACGAGCGCGGAGCTGCATGGACAAATGCCCAGTGCAATATTTCTCCACGAGCAAAAGGGTACGTGAAATCTAAACTCGAAAAGGTCTCGAAACTCACCGTGCAAAAAAAACGCGGATACCGTGTTTTACGTTGTGGAGCAGAGAACACCTTTGTCAACCGCAAATAACGCGACAAGCAGCATGCCAACCCAGAAGCGCTACTCTGTCAATCTGGCAGAGAAAACATGCACGCCATGCTCGACGCGTCAACATCTACATGTTCCTTGCCACCATAGTTTGGCTGTGCTTTACCACCACCAAACCACCAATTGTGATACAGTGGAGAACTTTTATCCAGTGTATTAGGTTAAAACCCCAGTTAGATTCAACAGTGCTTGCAAAGGAAGTAAATCTAATCATGTGAAAAACTAGGCAATATACTTATGCGACCTCGGCCTTTCAGGTTATTCTGCGACCATCGCTACCTTATTCACGTGTTCGCTCTGCATGTGAGCTTAAAGATACATATTAGGGGCCAGATACTGCGATGGACGTTGAAATTAATACCCTACTGCTATGTCATCGAGCACGTGGACAGAGTGGCGAATGTCGGAGCAGACATGCTGTCTAGGTGGGCGGGGAAGTGTAGTATATTCATTGCACTCCATAGTCTTACTCCACGATCGGTGCATAGTGCGTGGGCCTTTCATGTAGGGGCAGAATAGGAAGTCTGAAACAAAGGTATACACAACACAATAATACACCCCAAATTCGGGATGTTGAACACGCAACGATGGCGGTTCACCATTGCCTGTTCCCCGCATGCAAGCATGCCTATAGACATCCAGCTCACAGCAATTACAGTGACAGGAAGCCCACTAGATGTAATAACGACCATGAGGATTGTACAGGTGATCTTCCACGATAACTCGTCGCGTCCAACTAAGTGGCGTCAACACCAGGGCGCCTCAGCCACAATGTAGACTAGCATTAGTGGACGCCTCACTGTGGAGTAGTGGCCTCGCCAAAATCTCGCGGGGTCGGTCTCGCACAAACTCGGCGCGTCTGGATCGCGGTCGCGCCGAGAAAATTACCCGGTTGTTGGAGTAGCAAGTCTTCACAGGCTTCAGAGCTGGGGGGGTTCTTGTGTTGACGCTTAATCCTTGTCGTAGGGCGTCGAGTCTTTGGGCGTGCGGCGTTATCAGGCTGGCGTTTCCTGGGGCTTGTGTGGCGTTATCGGGCCTACACGGGGGATCTTGTACACGGCGGTTATCAGGCCGGTGCGGCCCTTCGCCTAGGTAGCGCATTATCGGGCGCCCACCTAAACGATATATGTTTAACGTGCCTTTATTCCAGCACGGGGTTGAGGGGTTGAGCGCCCGAACCAGCAGGCGAAGGGGGACCGCGATATCGAGGCGGCTCTGCTTGCCGACGCTTGGTGGTACCCTGGAACCTCGGAGAAGACGGGAGGTATTTGTGGTTCAGAGAACTTTCGGGACTGAGCCCTTCCCCCTTATGTCCTAGCTACTGGCTACTGTGTACTACTGCTTGCTAAGCCTATCGCTTCGTACTTATCCTACTTCTGTCGTGCTTGCACTACAGTCTTTCAACCTGATTTACGTGCCATAATCACGATCTCACCACCTCGCGTTTTGGTCGGCGGGTTTTGCTCGGCGGATTAGGGTCGGCGCGTTTTGCAGAGACGGGCGCGCCGGTCGACCCATCGGATGATTACGCGTCGAGTTGGATTCTGTCGCCGTATCTCACGGCCCATCCCCCGCGTCGAGTTTTCCCGTCGATCTCCGCCGCGCGTCACCCCCATCAATCGCGTCGCGTGCCATCAACTGCATCGAGTTCCATCACCCGCGTTCGTGTCGGCGTCTTCTTTCTCCGAGGGGTGCTACACCACATCACTTTGCTGTCGAGAAATAAACTACGGTTAAACCTCAGGGAGATTCGCCACCTCCTCCAAGTGCGTCTTCTACCTGCAGGCACTACAAAGAACTCTTTAGCAGTTGGCTGCTGTACCATGACGACCATGGCGAAGACGAGACCTCACATTCAATGCACCGGGGCACGCCAATGTCTCCAAGCACTCCACACAATTACTCTGCCTAAACCTTAGATTGGATCATCTTCCACATCAAAAATATAAAGATGTAAAGCTAATGTGAAGTAACGCATCAAGACACAATATCAACGTTTTGTATGTTAACTCCTTTTGCGATAATTTCGAAAGTGGCTGATATTAAGGATGAGATCAGTTGAGAAATTGAGATCAGAAAATCAACATAAGATTTCAGAGCTATTTACTGGCTGCATGTTGATTATTGGTCAAATCAGTTTGCGATCATTGCTAAGATGGCTGAAATTGAAGTTCAATTGAGAACGTATGGTGGCAGCCTCGACACAAAGGCTGCCAATGGAAATAAAACAGTAAGATGGTCAGTAAGAAAGTTTGGCGAATACTAAACTCACAAACGAAGGAACCCCTGGATGATAGTCAAGTTGGAGTTTAAGTTAAAGTGAATTATCAGGTTGGAGTTATGTTGAACATAGATGCGGTAGCTCCTTTGATCGCAGTGTTAAGGCATACAATTGGTTAATCAAAACAACAAATAAAGCAGCGATTGACTAATTATTCATTTAAGTCAAATGACTATCCAATCAAATGAAGGGAGATGCACATCCAAAAATCTATCTTGTGAGGGATGTAATGTTTGGAGGAGAGACAGGTATCGGGACAGCTCGACGCCCTTGCCTCGCTCAGTTCAAAAGCGGACGGCCTAAGACCAAGTGCAACATGTTACATCGATCCCTCGCAAAAGGCGCCGCAATCGCCGGTGCAATGCCCTTCGCAGGTCCCACAGATCGCCCGGTAGATAAAACGGTTGTCGAGGAGAGCATGAGCCCGAACCAAGTACGCAATGAGACAAGTTCGACGTCCCCACCATGGCCCTTCCAGTCGCTCTAAAGACGCTTTGTGAACGCAGCTGGGTGGCCTGAACACCGAGCTGAAGGCTGCTCGCTCGCAAAGCTAGTGGCGAAATCTCTGTCCGATTCACTGCGGCTGCTTTGGGAGTACGTAAACGACTCCGCCACCACACCTAACACTCCTGTGCCCCGGTTGTTGCTACACGAGACATCGACGTCACCCTGGGCGTCACCGATCGTGCGGACACCTCAATTTCAATCTACGTCTCCTCTAGAATCTTGGCCATTTTGAACTGCACGAGCTTTGGCGACCGCCTCCACAAGCATCTAACCTGTTATGACTGAAAAAAAATCGAGAAGATGAAGCTCAAGCACAAGGAGCTAGGTGCTGCGAGCGAACGGGCAACGTATTGAGAATTTTTAGTTGAATTAGTTATCGCAGTACACGTACTGGAAGCGCCTCATGGTGTGATTAGAAACGAATTTCTAATTCTGGATGGACGCCACCACCCCTGCGGGACTTCCGAGCGTGCGACTTCAAGACCCTTCTCGGCGTGTAGTTTTGAGCATTTCACTACCCCAATCTCACAAGGGTTATTTACATTTTCAGCTTGCAATATTCGAAGCGCAACCCATCATGCAATATGTGTACCAGATGACGCCGAAGCAGCCGCAGGTGGTGCTTAAACTGTGAAGAAGGTATTGACGCTGGCTCCCAAATCCCGCCGAAGTAGTGGCTCGCCACGGATAGATCGGAGATCGGGCAGGGAGCTGGAGCCCCTCATTTTGTGCGTCATCTGCTGTCACGCTGCCAATTGCCATGGAGTCGTTAAGCGCATCCTGGAAAGATCACGGAAGAGCTTGATTCACCTTCAATGTATGGATCCCTCCTACCTTCACCTAACGACGAAGGACCGGAAGAAATTGGGCATGGCTTAGCAGTGTCGAGCCGCAACATCGAGCTCCGCGTCCGACAACCGGCCTCTCCGACGCGACAGGTGAGGTAGACCTCTGTTGGGCATTATGTCGCTCAAGTCAAGAGTATCGAGGGCGTTCTTCCGGATCCGGCAGTGTCGGTGCCCTTCCAGCTTTCGCAAATGATTGGTCTGATCTTTGACTCATTGGACTAAGGCCGTCACTCACCTGAGCAGCAGCGGCCGCGCGTCGTCCAGCGGCCACAACCGCTCGGCACTGTTCTACTTCTTTCTTCCTGCAACGCCGTCTCCTCCACCAAGGGCTTTATTTTACTCAAGAAGCACTTGCCATACTGGCTACCGATAAAAACTCAAATTATACTTCATTTTGGCAGCCCTTCTCGGCGATGGCGTGTACAGGACGCAAAGAGCGGTTCGTACGTACCAATCGCTTCCAGGGCTTGGATGTCACCGATATGGTGGTGATGCTGGTTTCCAGAAGCTAGCGAATATTGTGGTAACGGAGAATTTTTTTATTGACATTTTTTTATTCACAGCTCCAGCGACGGCTCTCCTGACGTTGAAAACCCTTCCAGTACGGATACGGAGCAGCGGCGAGGTTCGGTTCCGTTCATACGCGTGGGTCGGCAGCTCGCCGCTATGTATGGTCCGCCCTACCGAATTAGAGGTGCACGACTGCGGACGTGTTGGAGCGGATGGCCATGTCGGCTGCAGCTCGAAGGAACCGCTGGCCGGGTCGGCTGCCGGAGTCCCATGTGCTTTTGTCGTGCCGACCAGCCCGGCGGGCTCGACTCCTAGCTAAGCAACTCATTCATTCATTAATCTTTCTTAGTAGACCTAATTTTGCCATTGATTGTTCGAGGCTATTGTGGTAGTAGTAGAAAAGATCAAATGTAGTTGGCCTCGCGGTGTGAATCTTACATCAGGGCTCATTTGGGGAGGTGGATGGGCAGGGTAGTCCTATTAGAGTGAATTCGGGGAGTTGAGTATCCCAAATAGTAACTAAACCTCCAAATTTTACCGTGATTGGATGGAATTCAGAGTATAAACTTAGGCAAAATAAAAACCATTGACAAAATATAACAACGTTTTTAAAAGAGATGCAAAAACTTCAGATTGCTAAACGATGGGCTAAATGGGACTCCTGTTATCGATCCAGTCTCCCGGACACACTCCGCCACTCCTTCGACTGCTAGACGGTAGAGCGATTCAAGCAGTGGCGTCGGAAGTCGTCCGAGGTGAGCTGAAGGTGGATAAACTACTTACAGTGGACAATGAGAAGGCTGAGGAGCTACTGCAAGACATCGCACGACTCAGTG